GGAGTCGTTACCTCGAACAAACGCTGGAGCGCGCCCGTCCGGCCCAATCGCTGGCAATGTATACCGTCCACCCACGCCTCGCCTAACCCGCCCGCCGGCCTTGCCCCGGGCTTGCCGCCGCGTTTCCGCGGGTTGGCCCAACCGTGCTCCGACCGGCAATGCTCCTGGATATGGTACCTCGTACGCCGGATATACCCACAATGTACGCATTTCTTGCCATCGCGCCAAACGGGTAATCCATCAATAGCGGGTATAATCTCGCTGGGGAACTGGATGCTCTGCGCGTCGGCGGCTAGCACACCGTCGGCCCCCAACGCCGACGCCTCCTCCACGATGCGCTGCCGGACGCTGGCGACCAAATGGCGGTGCTGCAAATTAATATGCGACGCCGCCGACTTGGCCGTAACTGCGCTGTGGTGCTCGCGACAAATCGCTGCCTGGAACGTGGGTAGTTGGATAAATAATTCGTCGAACGATGCCATGCTTGCTGTTTTCTTCCTGTTGGCTTCCTACGGATAATCGGGTCTGCTTTACGGTAATACTTGATGTAAACGATGACTCTTGCAGCCTTACCAACCTCATTTCCGCCCTTGCCCATGCTTTTTCCTCCGAAATTGCGCTTCCACTTCCCCTGCCCTCACCCCTGATCTCGGAATTGGCTGTAATCCTTAACCCTAACCCTGGAAAACAAGTCGTGGCCGATTTCTCGTCGAACGGCGTACTCCTGGAACAAACGCGTAGTGGAATCGAGACCGTCGCTGTTGGTTCCACGGGGCACAACCAGTGGGCCGCATTTGAGCAGCGTCTTAAGTCGAAGGTATTGTGGTCGTCGTAGCTCAATGCATTCTTCTTTTGGTGGCCCGAGCGCCCGCTCCACTGGACCAATAAGCGGCGGCGCCTTCAATCTCTCCAACTTGAACCGTTCGTCCCGTACGAGATAGGAGCGGGGAGCGGGGAGCGGCGGGGCCCCACAAATGATGTATCAGGGAGCTGACACAGGTGGGCCGCTCTGGCGTTTGCGATGACCATCCGGCTGCTTCCATTCTGCTTAAGAATAACATCATTAGCTAGATAATTAGAATCAGGGTCTGAAAGCATACCTGACAGGCTCGGCGGCAGCAGGCCGTTAATTGGAAGCGGAAAGTTAATGCTGTGGCAGTAACACTGCTGTGAAGATGGCTTTGAGGAAGAATTCAATTGCGCTGTTGGCCCACCTGGCAGCTGTCAAAGAATTCAGCTTGTCCTGCTGCAGTGGGGCACACGCGCTTTTCCCAGTCAGGAATAGCGGTGTGCTTGATAGTGGTGGTGGTGTGCTTGCTAAGGCTTCCCTTCTATAATGGGTGGGTAAGCTATGGTAATCAGTTCAGCTCGTGTGGTGCGAGTGGTAATCAGTTCAGCCTGGTGTGGTCCGAGCTAATCCGGGCCAATCCAGGGCCCCTGCTACCAGACCCACCCCATAATCAGCCTAACATGGTCTGATTCAGGATACTTGGAGTAGTAGTAGTAGTAGGGGCGGCTTGTTGTTGTCCCGCTTGTCATGTACCCGCGTCGGGTCGGGGTTCAGCCAGGCGACCACGTGGCTTAGCACCTGAACCATGACCCGGCCGTCCTCCTTGGAGGTCCGGCGCAGGCTCTGCACGTCGACGAACCGCAGCCTCCGAGCCTCGGCCTGCCGCCCGCGACGCGCTCGTACACCTTTCGGTAGTCGTCGTCCCCCAGCATGGCGAGGAAGTCGGGCCGGCGCCTCGTAGCCGTACCGGCCTCCGGGGCCGGGTAGAAGAGCTCGGCCGCCTGCGCCGCCTCAAGCACGCCCCAGCCACCACCGCCCTGAGCGGTACATATTCCGGCTTTTCCGCCTGCTTTCTTTGCGCCACGCCGGCCGAGCCAGCTCACGTGACTAGTCACATGTGCCCTGCCCGCATGCTTTGGCTCTGGCAACCCATCCCGCTTTAGCTGCTGAAGATAGGACGCTGAACACTTGGAGAAAGTAGCCTCCAAGTTGATCTGCTAACAACAACCAAGGCAAGAGGTAAATGGTGCAGCGAGAAAGAGGGAAGAAGTAGGGGGCTTATACGAGTTAAAGGCAAAACGATTTGATCCGGATGTAGTTAGCGTGCTAAGGCCCTATAGGCCCAGTGCCTCCGGGCGAAATAAATTCCATCCATCCATCTGGCAACCCATGATGGAAGTTCCGGAGAAAAGAGGGCGCATCATTGGATGGTTGATGTTCTGTTATTGATGGGAAAGTAGCAGATAGCTCATAGTTCCGAGGAAGTCAACAAGTTGACAGCGAACCGGTTAAACGCTCCGTGTATGCTTTAGCAACAGCTTTGCTGAGCATTGGAACATCCAACAAACAACGCCCAAACCATTAACACCTTGTGATCAAGGAGTATGCAAGAGAATGCAAAATAAGATCCAACCGTGATTCGAGCCCGCGGCTCTAGAAGGTCTTCTGTCGGACGTTCTGGCCTCTACATCAGCCTCTCAGGCAGGACCGTAGCGCCACACCGAGATCTTGGCTAGAAGCGCTCTACATCTAGGTCAAGTCATCGTTAGTGTATCAAGCGTAAAGACTCGCGCTGAGTATCTTTTCTGCCTCGTGGCCGTGTCCTGCGCGTGTCCTGCGCGTGTCTGCCGCTCAGCTGGTGGCGCGTGTTCGCAGGCAAAACAAGCCGATTTTTGACGCCTCGCTAGAGCACGGTGACTTAAGCACCTGAGATGATTCCACGTGGGGGAAATAGTCTCTAGATGAGATTAAGATGATTGATGTATGTTTCAATTCGATCGGACCACTTTTGGTAGTGGGTTGTCTAGATGATGTATGTAACGGTCTACAATGATTAAAATCTTGATATAAACTTGTCCGTCTTCTGGTCTAAATTGCCCTGAATCACTCGACGCGTCCCGGAGGAGATGATATTATACATCCTGCTAACATGAATTTTGCTGAATTTAATGATACTATCAGCTTCACTGTATCCCGACTTGTTGAAGAGTTCTTGCCAAAAGATCAGTTTACAGATAATGGTTGCTTGGAAGGACTGACAGGAGGTTTACCCCGCGATAGGCGGGGTAATCGATGCACAGCAAACTTCCGTTACAAAGCAACTCCGTCACTAACAATTTTGAAGTCGAGGTCCTGGGATCCTAACAAGACCATTGCAATTTATTGCTCCGCAACGAATCGTGTCACCGGCATCGGTTTGCCTTCATTCAGTTTGCAAAATTCAGGCGAGTCGAGCGAGATACTTTTCCACGATAATAGCTACTGAATCGCAGTCCTGATACGATGAGACTTAATGGTACGCCTCCTGCCGGTTTTCGAGCCGCTAATGCTGGGCTTCAACTTGTACTACAGCGGTCTCCAGTAACAGCAATCTCCAAGAATCCTACCGCTCATGGACGTTGACAGGGCTTCGTGAAGACGCGTTTGACCACATTCTTACGAGCCTTTCAGCGTCAGCCAAGATCTACAATATACAATTCCCTTTGCCCCCATCAATATGTCTTTTTCCTTATTCCTTCTCTCAACAGACAAGCGAGACCGCATCCAGTTCTTTCTCGACTCACTTGAGCCCACTCCACCGAACACGAGCATGACCCGGGACAGCCTGCGGTCATCCAGCCTCTGCGAGTCGCTGCTCTCCGATCCCATTGACCCCCCCTTGAGCGAGACCGGATGGGCATCACAAGGGGTTGGTTCTGGGAATACAGATTCAAAGTTCGCAGGAAAGAAGACAACCCAAGATCATCCGTTGGCTTTGCAAGGCCTGCTCCTGTGCGAAGAGACCACCGAGAAACACGTATACCCTCCTTGCCTCGAACCCCGAGAACATCTACAGGCACCTTGCAAAGTAATGCAAAGATGGCCTTTGACGTGCTCGTCCCTCCTATGGCAGCTCAGTGTGAGAGAACATTCTCAGCTGCTGGCTGCATGGCCACGCCACGACGGACACGCCACTCGTGGCTAGGTAGAAGAAGTATGTTAAACGACGTGGGTCCTGTTAATCCTTACCCGCCCAAGCCTTGGCAATCTACCGAAATAGAATCTACATTGATAGAATAGCTTCCTATTCTATTTACTTTGGGGTCGCCGTAGGTAGAAGTAGATGCAGAACCCTGCCCCCCCCTCCGCCTTTCTGCCTTCAGATCTTGGTACGTGTGACAGACGTGGCGAATCTCTCTGCATACAGACGCTGGGTTCGCCGGGTTGAGGGTCAGATACAACGGCACGAGATTTTGGCGGAGCCAAAGGGTCACAGCAATGTGAGCAACCCGTCGAGCCAGCATCGAATAGCGTCTCCGGTTGGCCGTAAGCCCTGTGCTAATGATGGGTCCGGGGCGCTTCCCGCGCAGCCCTCCGGGCCACTGCACAAAATTGTATAGTCAAAATCCGGCACGCTTGCCCATCACTTGCCTATCAGGGACGATCCCGTTCTTGCCGGTGCTGACCCTCGTCCAGACGATTGGCTCGGGGCGGTTACCCGCGCTGCCCCTCGGGCCGCCGCATATGGGCCGTCCGTGAGCGAGGCGGAATCCGTCCACACAATACCCCCGCTACTGATGTCGCAAATCCTATCAAACGGACCGCGTACGACGCCACGACCAGCCGCGCCCGGGCAGTGTAAACAAGAACCCATTCTTGCCATTCTCATAACCATAACCACAGCATCACGAAACCCGACCACAACGGACCCAGTGCTCCCAGTTCCAACTCCGGCGTATCTCGCCTCACCTCGCCCACGCCTATAGCTAGGCTGACTGCCAACTCGGACACGGATGGATGGGCCATGGACGATCGGTCGTCTTGTCGGGCGCTCCGTCCCACCTGCGGCTCCTCGGGGCTTCCTCGCCCCGAAGCGGCAACCCTGTCAATTCTCTGTCCCACGTGGGGCTGATGTCGCGCGCAGGCCCGCCCGTTGTTTGTCAAAAACAAATACCTATCTCTCCAATCTCTCCAATAAACCCCACCACCTCGCGTCGGCTTTCTTCCCTTTTCCCTCTTACCTCTTTCCAGTGCCATACGCCGCAGCAGTTCGCACTCACGTTGACACATCGAGCGATGACCTGTACTGGTCGATAATTTTTGGCGCCACATATTGCCTAACATTGTATGCTCTGGGTTTGGTATCTCTGCGTGACCGCGGGAGGCTAGATAGGCTAGATGTGCATCCGATGGCACAGCCTTGACCCTACCAGACGATGCTTCCAAGATGTGTTCTTTAGGACAACAGTCAATTTATACGCGATTAACTCATGACGTTCCAAAGCTCAGAATAACCTACAGGCAATGCATATGCATTATGCATTGATGTAGCTTGCTGCAAGAGGCTTCCGGATTCCGGGAGACAAGCTTGCGCCCTCACTCCCCAGAGGACAGGTCTTCAACCCCAGGGGCCAAGCTTGGTCTTCACCCCTGGGGGCCAGCCTTCGTCTTCACCCCCAGGGGCCAAGCTTCGTCTTCACCCCCAGGGGACACGTCTTCCTTCACCACCGGGGGCCAGCCTTGGTCTTCACCCCCAGGGGCCAAGCTTCCTCTTCACCCCCGGGGGCCAAGCTTGGTCTTCACCCCTGGGGGCCAGCCTGCGTCTTGACCCCTAGGGGCCAAGCTTGGTCTTCACCCCCAGGGGCCAAGCTTGGTCTTCACCCCTGGGGGCCAAGCTTCCTCTTCACCCCTAGGGGCCAGCCTTCGTCTTCACCCCCAGGGGCCAAGCTTGGTCTTCACCCCCAGGGGACACGTCTTCCTTCACCCCCGGGGGCCAGGCTTCGTCTTCACCCCCGGGGGCCAAGCTTGGTCTTCACCCCCAGGGGACACGTCGTCCTTCACCCCCGGGGGCCAGCCTTCGTCTTCACCACCGGGGGCCAGCCTTGGTCTTCACCCCTGGGGGCCAAGCTTCGTCTTCACCCCCAGGGGACACGTCTTCCTTCACCCCCAGGGGCCAAGCTTCGTCTTCACCCCCAGGGGACACGTCTTCCTTCACCACCGGGGGCCAGGCTTCGTCTTCACCCCCGGGGGCCAAGCTTGGTCTTCACCCCTGGGGGCCAGCCTTCGTCTTCACCCCCAGGGGCCAAGCTTCGTCTTCACCCCCAGGGGACACGTCTTCCTTCACCCCTAGGGGCCAGCCTTCGTCTTCACCCCCAGGGGCCAAGCTTGGTCTTCACCCCCAGGGGACACGTCTTCCTTCACCCCCGGGGGCCAGGCTTCGTCTTCACCCCCGGGGGCCAAGCTTGGTCTTCACCCCCAGGGGACACGTCGTCCTTCACCCCCGGGGGCCAAGCTTCCTCTTCACCCCCGGGGGCCAAGCTTGGTCTTCACCCCTGGGGGCCAGCCTTCGTCTTCACCCCAAGCTTCGTCTTCACCCCTAGGGGACACGTCTTCCTTCACCCCCGGGGGCCAGGCTTCGTCTTCAACCCAAGCTTCATCTTCACCCCCAGGGGACACGTCTTCGTCTTCACCCCCAGGGGCCAAGCTTCGTCTTCACCCCAAGCTTCGTCTTCACCCCTAGGGGCCAAGCTTGCGCCCTCACTCCCCAGTGGACAGGTCTTCACCCCCCAGGGGACACGTCTTCCTTCGCCCCTGGGGGCCAGCCTTCGTCTTCACCCCCAGGGGCCAAGCTTCCTCTTCACCCCCAGGGGACACGTCTTCCTTCACCACCCCCCCTCCCTTCCTCAACGCCCTAACCCTATACCCACCCGCCCCCTCCCCTCCTACTATGAGGAGGAGAGTCTAGACCAGTCACAGTAGAAGAAGCCGACACTCAACACCACGAGCCTCAACCACGAGCCTCAACCAGCAGGTCCCGCTTTAGCTGCTGAAGATAGGACGCTGAACACTTGGAAAAAGTAGCCTCCAAGCTGATCTGCTAACAACAACCAAGGCAAGAGGTAAATGGTGCAGCGAGAAAGAGGGAAGAAGTAGGGGGCTTGTACGAGTTAAAGGCAAACCGATTTGATCCGGATGTAGTTAGCGTGCTAAGGCCCTATAGGCCCAGTGCCTCCGGACGAAATAAATTCCATCCATCCATCCATCCGACGACTTCAGCATACTACCTTACCAAGGTACCTACTTTCGCATCATGGCTTCGTCGGTTTTCCACCTCGCGCCCCTTCCCAATCCGCCGGTGCCCCTCCCCCGCGTCCCGGGTCCCAAACTAGCCCCTTTCACTCCGAATGCCCGAGCCAACATCGAGTTTGTTGAGTTTCTCGGCGAGAAAAACAACGTGGACTCTCAGGTCTGGAAGGTCAAGATCAAAGGAGCTGGGCAGCCTCGCCTGTTTGCTCTCAAGACGGTACGTGATGAGACGCGGCACATTGGCTCCGCGCCGGCCCAGTTCACTTGGAATCTAACTCGGAGTGCCCTCCCTAGTTTTACTTCTGCCACTCAAACTTTCTCCGTAAGAACCAGGGCGGGGACCTTAAGAGGCCACTCGCCAACTCTCAGCTCTATGCCGACTACTTTGACCCTTTCAACTGTGAGTGCCGTGCCTATGGCCGACTCAAGGAAGCAAAGCGCGAGGACCTGGCCGCCAAAGCCTACGGCTATCTCCTCCTCACCCCTGAGCAGGAAGCCGACTTGGCCCGGAAGGTGACGGGCGAGTCTACCCCGCCCCCCGACGCCAAGGCGGACAAGGCCCTGAATGGCCACGATTTCTGGAGGCGGCAGGAGGAACACCGCGGACTGCCTGTCCGGGCCATCGTCAAAGAACTCGTCCCCAGGGAGGCACTGAATCCCAACGTAGCCCAGGGCATGTGGGCGGACCTGAAATCCCTCCACTCTCTGGGTATATTTGTGGGAGACACCCACGGCGGCAACTACCTGGGCGGAAAACTCGTCGACTTCAGCCGCTCATGGACCATGTATCATCCGGCCATGGTCCAAATCCGGAACAACATACGGCAAGGCATGATGTCGGAAGAGCTGCAGGATCTGCTAGACCATTGCTACTTCTTAAAGAGCAGTCTGAGGGCGATAGCCATCCCTGACGACCTTGAGGCTTTCTGCTCGGGGCATCTTGACGAGTACAAAGGCCTCCCGTGGGCCTACGACTGGCTCAAGTTGGAGAAGAACGCCGACGCGGCGGAAGCGTTTGTGGAAGAAAGGCTATTTGAGAGGGCGGCCCATTGATATCGCGGCGCTACCGTGGACTTTCTGTAATGTAAGATTTACTGGCTATCTCTCTTACTCTGACGAACCCGGGCTTACGAAATAGCGGGAGGGGTAGTACTGATTCTGTTGGAAACGACACTCAGATCGAGGGATGGGGAGAAAGAATTGATTGATTGATGTCTCGCTCTTCCTCTCAGACTCAGTCTCTGGGAGTTCTCCAGTTAGCAATCATAACTACAGTTCGCTACAAGCTCGAGAGCCTACTGTTGAGACAAGTCTTTGTTGTGCACCCTTTGGCTGCACCGAACCTAAGCACCCTTGAAAGATTACCTTCAACCGAAGCTGAACCCTAACAGGACGGGTCCAGAGACAGGTTCGTCACACTATATCTTAGCTTTTTCCTTCCTTAACGCTTAAGAATACTATACTATACGCCTATCTAATACAGCTACCATAGGGCCAGCACCTTACAGTAACATATCTTCATAGTAGAGGCGGCCATCCTTCTAACACTAATACCTACACGGCTCTATAGGCTTATGGGAACTGTTCCTTAGTCCTCTCCTCTCCATAGTTATCTAGCAACCTTTATATTCTCTCGGCTCAATCTTTCCCTACAAAGACACCTACAATACATATAGTACCATACCACGGGCAATCCTCCGTACTGCTTGCACACAGAGGAACTTCAGGTCCATCCATCCCGCGGGCCGCACTTCCACACCTTCACGGTATCACCCTCCACCCCAGGCAAACAACCATGCTCACAGCGCCTGTCAGCACTTCTCAAGTTCCTCCGACCCCGTCGGTGAACAATTCTCGGCAGCCCAGAAAGTTCTGCTTCCATCCGGGGCGGGCCGGCGAGCTGACCGTCTCAACTCGCGACAAGCGTGGTGCCAAGATAATTTTATTCTCTTTAATACGTGGAGGCGGGCGTTTGGCGACGGTGTCGCCGTGAGACTGATCAATGACTGGTTCTGTCTCTCAGCCCTGAGCCCACTGCCGTCTTGGCTAACTTAGTACTAACGGGAACCGGTTACGAGGAGCAATGGCCGCTCCGGCAAATACGAGCCCAAGTGGGCCTCTCCCCCTTGGCACTTCTCGTATCCCGTTTTGGGCACTACGCAGATCTTCGGGGGGGCATTGCAGTGTGGCAAAACGTCATTAATTAAAGAGGTCGATGTCGACGATATAAAGCTGCAAAGCAGAAACGGACAGCCTTCTCTCAATTATTAACGCTTCTCTCAACCTTCCTCGTATCGAACAACCCTCCAAGCTACCTATTCACCATGCAACTCACTTCCGCCTTTCTGTCTCTCTTCGCCGTCGCGGCCTCGGCGGCGCCCGCGAGCGGGTCGGGCAAGTCGTGCCCAGCTTCGACGCGCAAGTTCGGCATCATGGCGCTTCGGTCTGCTTCCCCCATCCACTTTGCCACCGTCGGGGCTTCTCAGAACGGAATCGCCCTGAACCTTCCCGCCAACAAGCTTGATGCTCAGTGCACCGATGGAAAGTCGAGGAAGGATGCCATCTTCTACATTAAGGACGAGGAGCTGTATCTCTACGGCAAGGGCGACGTCGTGCAGCAGTTCTTGGTCGACCGTTCCGGCATGGGTAAGGACCGGGAATCACCTTGAATAGCGGTATTGTAACTAACAAAAGTAATACAACTAGGCCAAGGCGTTGTACGTTACTTCACCAAGGGCCCTACGGACCCTAGTGGCAGGTTGGAGGTGAAGGGTTGGGCCGTTGACGAAAACAACAACCTCACCTTTAAGGGCACCAGTCTCCAGGCTTGCCCTAATGCCGACGGCTCCTGGGCTATCTGGCTCGCGGGTGTTACTAAGCCGGCGGGCCAAGAAGGCTGCCTGCCCTTCACCGGTCGTACGATCACCACCACGAAGCCGGTGAAGTGCACGTACAGCGATTATGTTGCTTGAGGATAGGCCATCTCGCTCCTTTATGTAATTGGTTTGGGCTGTCGTAGCCGGATTGGGACTTCTAAGTTAGGATTGATCGTGTGAGAAAGGGAAATCGTATAGTGGCTAATAATGTAATAATTGTAAATCTCGGACTATTGGAGTGTAACAGTGACATTGCCCTTGATGTTGTTGCTCGAAGCCCCAACCATGAACATGAATTCCCCCGGCTCAACCACATACTTCATTCTCGCGTTCCAAATACCCAGATCCTGCATCTTGACTTTGATGCTCACACGTTTACTTTCTCCGGCCCTCAGTAAGACTTTCTGAAACCCTCGCAATTGGATGTTGGGGACAACAACACTAGCAATCAGGTCCTTAACATAGACCTGGACAACCTCTTTCCCATCTCGACGGGATGTGTTTGTGATTGTAGCACTGATTGTGACAGTATCCGCCACTCCTACTTCTTGTTTATCCACCGCGATGTCGCTGTAAGTGAAGGTCGAGTAGCTCAGTCCATACCCAAAGTCGTACAACGGTCGCGGGTCGCCCAGGACATACTGGTGGCCAAAGACAAGCGTACCATTTTCGTAGGCAACACCGGCATCGGGAGAATCCCCACGCCCCGAGTTCAAATAGTCGTAATGGACTGGCAAGTCGCCAACACTCCGGGGGAAGCTGACGGCGAGTTTGCCGCTAGGGTTCGTGTCACCAAAAAGAACAGAGGCGAGCGCCGCGCCGCCTTGTTCAGAGGGGTAAAACTGCTGGACGAGTGCGGCAGCATTGCCCGAGATCCACGGCGCGGTCACCGGTTTGCCCGACGAAAAGACCACGACGGTCGGCTTCCCTGTCGCGATAATGGCACGGACAAGCGGTTCTTGGGCGCCGACCAAGTCGAGGCTGTTCACATCGACATGCTCTCCCGTCGTGGCATTCAGCCCTTGCCAGAGTTCGTTCTGGTCGCGAGACCAGGTGCCCACCACGACCACAGCGACATCGGCTGCCTCGGCGGCGGCGACGGCAGCAGGAATTCCGTCTTCGGAGGTGGACCAGCGCTCACAACCTTGAGCGTACGTAATCTTGCCGTTGCCAAGTCCCTTGATGCCATCGAGGGGGGTAATGCCGCGCGAGGAAGAATTCACAGTTACGTAGTCTCCATAATTCATGAACCCGTGCGCCATGGGCCCGATGACGGCGATCGATGCATCCTTGCGCAGCGGCAGGACGTTGTTGTGATTTTCAAGGAGGACAATGGACTCCTCGTCCAGCTTCTTTGCGAGGGCGAGGTAGGTTGGTGCGTGTATCACCTTATTAGCCTCCTTCAACGGCAGCCCCGAGAAGGGCTTCTCAAAGAGGCCGAGTTCAAACTTGGCCTTGAGGACGCGAGCAACAGCCGTATCGACCAGCTCCTCTTTGATTTTGCCGTTTGCAACCAGCTCCGGGATCTTCTCAAACGAGTAGGAACCGCCCCCCATCTCCACGTCACCACCGGCTGGGAGGATGTATTGGACGATGGCCTCCTTGTCAATGGGATCGGAAGCGCACATCCTAAAGTCCTTGCAGAGACGGTCTGAGGCGCCTGCGTCGGTCATGGTAAAGTACTCGTATTTCCATTCATCGCGGAGAATATCAGTGAGCAAATGCGGGTCGGAGACAGCGGGGATGCCGTCGTAGCTGTGATAGGCCGTCATGATGGAGAAAACGCCTCCGTCGACAATGGCGCGCCGATACGAGGGGAGAAAGGTCGTTCGCAGCTCCCGCTCGCCTCCATGGGCAGGTCCCGTATTGAGACCCTGCTCCGTGACACCAAACGCAGCAAAATGCTTAACCATCGCGCTGACTCCCGCGGACTGCGCGCCCTTAACGTAGGCGTGGGCGAGTTCTCCGGCGAGAAACCCATCCTCGCCGTACATCTCTTCGACCCGGCCATGGCGAAGCTCCCGTGCCAAATCGGCAACTGGAGCAAAGAGCTGGTTGATACCAAAAACGCGGGCTTCTTCGGCAATGGCAACGGCCATATCCTCAACCAGGGACGGGTTCCAGGAGCAAGCATGGGCGATGGGTGAGTTGAAGATGGTGGCATTATCTACACGACTGGTCAATCATTATCTGGACGGTTTCACGGTTCCACCACTCGCTGCACAAGAAGACTTACGGGCAAGAAAGCCGTGGATACCCTCGGTTTGGACGAATGCCGGGATGCCCAAGTAGGTTTCTTTCTGGATGTAGTCTTGGGCGGCCTCGATGTGCTTGAGGAGCCATTCGTTTGGGACCGGTACACCGACATAAAACGCGCTTCCGCGATACTTGGTGCTCCATTCCAGCCCAGTCTGATTAAGAGCATTGGTTGATTCATTCATCCAGTTGCGAACATCGCCTTGAACAAGCTGCGACGCCTTCTCCTCGATGGTCATTCGTGATAGCAGGTCGGTCACACGAGCATCAATGGAGGCCTTGGGGTCCTTGTAAATGGCATTTTTGAGGCTTGGTCGCCCCTTGTCGGCAGCCCAGACGGCCGCCGCAAACAGCAGCCCTGGTGATAGCAACCTCATGGTTCTGTGCTTCTCCTTCTCGGCTAAGAATAAGATACTGCGGTCGTCTGGGAGAGAGGAAACAGGGAGAGTAATCGGATATGGGAAATGAGAAACATTGCATCTTTATGAGCAAAGCCAAGAAATATTTCCAAGTCCGACGATCAGTCGGTTGAGTACTGCCAATGTTTTCACCGTGACACTAAATCTCGGGTTGCATGTGCCTGGACAAGGAATCTCCCGGATGTTTGCGTTTGTTGGGGTTACCGGCCGGCCGGGCCTCGATACCGACATGATGTCGAGAGCCTCGATCGCCACCAAGACCTTCCGCTCGACCTTCCGCACCAATGCCCACAGTTGCGTTTGTTTCTTTGGCTATTCTCCGCGCAAGCCTTGCAAGCCTGCATGGCTGGGCTCGCGAGAGCGGGGATGTGGCCTTGGTGCCTTTTCAATCCCAGCATGTCGGCGGGGGCCATACTCTTCCACCAATCATTCCCTCGGTCAACATTCGCCCGATGTCCGAACCGCGGGTGCAATATCTCCATCGAGAATCAGATGCAGACACAGAGAAGGATGCACTTCGCTCGCATGCCGCATTACTGGCCCGTTGTCTCCACCATTCTGTTCCACAACCCCATTCAATGGACGAGCCATGGAATTCGAGGGGTTCATCCAATTCCACCACCGTCCATCGATCCGAATGTGAAGACAGCTTTCCCAACCGGTGATAACTTCAGTTAGATATTTTGGCCTTGGAGAAAGACGCTGGCCGAATTGCTTCCTAGCCTACCACTTTATTTTCTCCGTGTTTTTACAGTGAGCGTACCTCCAGTTGGTTCGCAACCTATTTCAGACAATGAGGTTCCGGGACGGTATGTGCCCTTGGCTCGATCGCCCACAGATTCAAGTCTCGGAATAGTGCCTGACACACGAGGATCTAGGTCAATGGCTGGTGGCCGAAGGGGTGCGCATTGAGTATGCCGAGGAAGTGTACCGCATTACGCAGACCCCCTCGGGGAAAGGAATCAGCCTGCTTTGCCCGACGCGCAAGATCATGCGTCGCGGAGATACGCTCAATCTAGCGACACTCAGCATTGTATGGCACAATCACGACATCCTAGCCAAAAACTTTGGTCTAACTCGGCGATGCGTAGGATATCGAAGCCGCCCTTGATGGGGTTATCTCTGTGGAGACCACACACTGGCAAGGCGCCGTTCGCCGTGGTCCCGATTTCGATCTTTTCCCAGCCGGACGGCCCGATGTAAATGCCAACGTTACACGGAACGAGAATGGCACCACGCTGTCGGCGGGGGGCCTCTCGGCGACTGTCAGCGGCAAGCCGCACGAGTTCGATATTTCGTTCCACCCGACCGACAACAAGAAGCCCCTGACCACTCTCCTGAATCGGTCCGTCGGTTTGGCCTACACCCCAGCAACGAGCACGCCTATGCAGCTGGCCGACATGCGCAACCTGAAGCATTACATCTTCACTCAAACGACGCTTGGTGTTGGCGAGTCTATCCATGGCCTCGGCGAGCGTTTCGGCCCTTTCAACAAGGTCGGCCAAAAGGTTGACCTATGGAATGCGGATGGAGGCACCTCGTCGGATCAGGCATACAAGAATATCAGCTTTTGGATGAGCTCACGGGGCTACGGCGTCTTCATTGACACGCCTGAACGGGTCGAGCTCGAGATCGGGAGCGAACGGTGCTGCCGTGTCCAGACGAGCGTCGAAGGCCAAAGACTGCGATGGTACATCATCTACGGCCCCTCTCCCCGGGAAATCCTCCGCAAGTACTCGATCCTCACTGGAGCGCCGGGTGCTGTGCCGAGCTGGTCTTTCGGCCTGTGGCTCAGCACGTCCTTCACTACCTCTTACGACGAACAAACAGTTAACAGCTTCCTCTCGGGAATGAAGGCGCGCGACATCCCCGTCGAGGTGTTCCACTTTGATTGCTTCTGGCTCAAGGCTTTCCAGTGGTGCGACTTTGAGTTCGACCAGGACATGTTTCCGGACCCCAAGGGCCAGATCTCGCGTCTCAAGGCCGACGGTATCGTCAAAAAGGTTTGCGTGTGGACGAACCCCTACCTCGGACAGGCATCCCCGGTGTTTGCCGAAGCCGCGGCCAAAGGCTATCTCTTGAAGCGTAAGAATGGAGACGTGTTTCAATGGGACATGTGGCAGACGGGCATGGGCATCGTCGATTTTACCAATCCCGACGCTTGCGCCTGGTATGTCAGCTGCCTGGAGAGGTTATTTGACACCGGCGTTGACTCCATCAAAACCGACTTTGGTGAGCGTATCCCTTCCGAAGACGTCCAATGGTTCGACTCCTCTGTGGACCCAAAACGGATGCACAACTACTACGCTTTCATTTACAACAAGTTGGTCTACGAGACGCTCCAAAAACGTTACGGTGCAAACGAAGCCGTCCTATTTGCCCGCTCGGCCACAGCCGGGACGCAACGGTTCCCCCTAACCTGGGGTGGCGATTGTGAATCCACCCCCGAAGCCATGGCCGAGTCACTGCGAGGGGGTTTGTCACTCGGCCTTTCTGGTTTCGCTTTCTGGAGCGTCGACATTGGCGGTTTTGAAGGACACCCACCACCATGGATCTACAAGCGATGGGTAGCATTTGGCCTCCTCTGTTCACACTCGCGTCTTCACGGGTCTAACTCGTATCGTGTGCCTTGGACGGTTGACAACGACGACAAGTCAGAGGAGGGGTGCTCGGCGACGCTCCGGAAGTGGACCCATCTCAAGGCCCGTCTGATGCCATACCTATTTTCTCAGGCCCAGCAGTGCGTGCAGAGTGGGCTCCCGCTCAGTCTGAGAGCCATGTGCATCGAGTTCCCCGATGACCCAACGGCATGGACACTGGATCGCCAATTCATGCTCGGCGATAGCCTCCTCGTGGCTCCTGTGTTTGAGGAGGACAATACAGTCCAGTTCTACCTACCCAAGGGCGACTGGACTGACTTTTTCACGGGGAAAGTCAAGAGCGGACCTGGGTGGTTCACTGAGACTCACGCATTTGGCACCCTGCCGCTCTATGTTCGGCCAAACACCTTGTTGGTATTAGGAAAGGAGGGTGAAACGAGAACGGTATATGATTACACACAGGACGTTGAAGTCAGAAGTTATTTTGCTACCGATGGTGCAAGCGCTGTGTTAGTCGATGATCAGGGCAAAGTGCTGGGTGATTTGGGGATGAACAACGGAGAGGTCATCGGGACAGAGTCACTGAAGGGTGACTGGGTCTTAAAGATCATAACTCCTTAGGACTGGACTCTTTCTCGAGCTAGGCGAGGATAGGGCTGAGCATGGACCTTGCCGTGTTCAACGAGGTAGATGTGGATGAGGGAGTTACTGAGACTTATGTGCGTCTATAAAAAGAGCAACACTTGCCAAGATATCAAGGAGGGTTGCAAGCTTTGGATTGTGTCAAGAAGTGTCTCCCAGAAACATTGGTCCACGTGCTATGTCGAATAAAAATAATCACAGAGGTGGATATATGCCGCTGTTGTCGTTCTGGTTCGACACTCATGACGTCGAGTATGGGCCATCTTTCACGTTGCCGCATATTGACGGCCGGCCCGATGCCCCGGGACTATGCCACCGCGCTTCGCAATTCATGAAGCAAGAAGCCAGGGTCTGCGGACTAACAAGGTAGCAGAACCGAATCTGTCTCCCGATTCAAGCGAGAGAGCTACCCCTGGCTAAGACCGCGGCCCGACCCTGGCCGGTGCCCGCTTTGAGAAATTAGGCCGGCTGAGCCAGCTCCTTTTCCCCCATGAATAATAAACCCACGGAAAAGATACAGGTCACCCGTAGTTAAGTCTCTGGGGTGCAAACCTTGATGGTGGTTAAGCGAATTAAGTTGTGAAGCAACGAATAGCAAATCCCCCCCGCCCAAAATAGAAAGAAAAAAAAAAGAAAAAGAAAACGGGAGCAAGAGAAGCCTGAGAAGGGACTGTCGGTTTGGTGAAAGACTCCGAGTCACTGACCGAAAAATTGCACCACCTTAGCAGTGCTAGGAAGACGTCAGACAATCTTATAGGGCAAAGTTAGAGTCCCCCTTTCCCGACCCTTTTCTCCTTCTCAATATTACGATGTTTATGACCCGCCTGATATGTTCCAGTTTAACGTCGGGCGCTAGCGAACGAATATAGAGGGGAGTGTGCATATACAGTGCTTCCGACACACCCTGGCACCAGACGTCTCCACGCCTGGACAGAGCTCACTGGCGGCATTTTAGGCGCACGAATCAGATCATAGTTAGTTAAATCAAGCCTAAAGCCCCGCCAACTCGCTCTGCCGCGGGCAATTATTCCCGAACGGTAGTGCAAAGTAAACAGTTCCTGGTTACTGGAAAGCCGATGGCGTCTAGACGGAAAGCCAGCGCGCGGAGCCGGTGATGCGTCGCGATATCCCGACGACCGGGAACGCGTTCCTGAGCCGCCAGGACCTTACCCGACCCTAGGAGGCAACCCAGGTATATAAGTACTAATACTGCGAAACTATCGATGGTCTCCGAAGACTCTCCTCTTCTCAAGTGGTGATGGAACGCTCCAGTGAACAACAATGGGGAAAGCTTTTAACGTCTGCCTTGCGGCATTCGCCGCTACCGGGTCAGTACCTAGTCGATTCAAAAACGGCCCGCGGCGGATGAGCACGAAAATGAGGTTACTAACAATAAACTTGGAACCTCACAGGTCGTTTTTATTCGGCTACGACTCGGGCGTGATGACCGATGTTATTGCGTCCCCTGACTTCCTCGAGTTTTTCGACACCGACACCGGAAGCCCGATTATTGGAGCCATCAACAGTACATTCTCGGGGGGTGCCGTTTTCGGTTCGTTGATGGGCGGTCTCACAATGGACAGGTTCGGCCGCAGGAAAACGATTATGATTGGAGCAATGATTGCTCTTATCGGCGCCATTCTCCAGTCTGCCGCCCAAAATCTCGCTATGATCCTCGTTGGCCGTATCGTAGCTGGCTGGGCGGTCGGCCTGCTGAGCATGTCGGTCCCGGTGTATCAATCAGAATGTGCCCACCCAAAAATCAGGGGTTTGCTGGTTGGGATTTCACAGCAAATGATCGGAGTGGGCTTCATCGTGTGAGTTTTGTTATCTTGATTTGACTTCTTAGTCTACGAGGGGCTCGAATATTCATTAACTGCCCGATTACAGCTCTACTTGGGTCGGTTATGGGTCTTCGTATGCTCACGGAGAACTGGCACAGTTCCAATGGAGATTCCCACTCGCCTTCCAAGCTGCACCTGCTCTACTTCTTGTCTGCGGCATCATGTTCTTTCCGGAATCTCCACGCCATCTTATGGAGATAGACTGCGAGGAAGAGGCAAAACGAGTTCTCTGGAAATTGCACTCCGACGGCACCAACGATGAGTGGATTCAGCAAGAGTTTCACGAGATCAAAACCACCATTGCCGCCGAGAAGGCAATCACTGTGCCTGGATGGAGGATTATGTTTACCGTTCCGCAGTGGCGAACACGCCTCATGCATGGCGTGGCTGTCCAAGTTTTCACTCAGTTCACTGGGATTAACGTAATTGGGTATGTATCCGCTACGGTTAAGTTTTGTTTTCAAGGTTAGCCTATTAATCTGGTGGGAACAGATACTATCAAACTCAGATGTACGGCGCTCTCGGGATAACAGGGAATCGGGCTCTGTTGGTGGCGGGCATATACAACTGTATGGGCCCGCTCGCCAATTTGATCTTCATCGTCTTCATGATTGACCGTGTTGGGCGCCGCCGGCCTCTCATATGGGGCACTGTTGCGATAGCCATCGCCTTGATCTGCGAGTCGGCCGTCAACAGCCGGATTGACCGGAACAATCCAGACCACGGGCTATCTATCGCTGGTGTCTTCTTCATCTTCTGCGTCACCGTCATCTTTTCCTGGTCCTGGGGCCCGATTTCGTGGGTATACATGTCGGAAGTGATGCCTCTGTCGATTCGGGCCCGCGGAAATGCATTTGCCACTGGTATCGGCAACTGGCTCGTGTCAACTTTCTGGTCGCAATTGTCCCCTATGGCGCTCAAGGCGCTGGATTGGAAGTTCTACTTCCTTTTTGTAGCCTGGGATATTGTCATCACAATTCCCATTGTTTTCTTCTTTTTCAAGGAGACGAAGCAATTGTCTTTGGAGGAGATTGATCTGTTGTTTGGCGAGAGGTCATTGGGCGCCCTACCGAAGGACCTCGACAAAGGGGAACTTGCTCAGCCGGTGAAGCAGGAGGCGGAAAACCCCATTTGAGAGAAGAAGAGGAACAATTGGTCTATGTTATTATCTTTGCTGCCGGGCCAATACTCGCGGTGTTCTCACTGTACACTGATCGCGGACTGGGCTTTCTGGATCTTTAGCAGTTATCATACCCCCAACACCGGTTTTCGTTTTCTCGCTGCACTAAACCGAGAAGGCGATGTTGCGGAGTGATTCTCGGACTGCCCGAACCAAGATATTATTTAATCATGGCTGTTATGAGACAGTTGGTCTCGCGTCCGAAGTAGATGGCGGTTACCGGTGGGAAGTGGCAGCGGACCAGCACATTTAGACAGCGCTCCCAACCAGGTCATCCCCCTCTAGCTACCACGGCTCGTAGGCTTCAGCTCTTCAATTCGCTACGGCGGCATAGGTAATTGCGCGCGGTCGGACTGCTCCCGCTTATCGAGAACACGCCCGGCACCCGCCTACAAAATCTACCTCCGCAATGACTCTTGTGCCTCATCAAATCTACAATGGGTGATACATATGATCGTCTCGGGGTATTAGCTCAACATTGAGGCTTATCATTCACGTAAGACAAGACCGTCACTAATGTCATAACATGAGCCAACAGCTGAATATCATTTAGCCCTTCTGCTTCGGTATTGGACAGGGCGGCCCATCCCACCGATTGTACTCATTCGCCATGGCAATGCTATTTCACACGGGGCAACCACCGGAAAGCGTTGCATCAGAGATAAACAAACTTCGTTTGTCTTTGGCAAATAGTTTGCCAGCACAGAAATCACCTCCCCATTCACTTTCTAGCCGGTGAACCCCCGGACGATGAAGTCGACAGCAGAGTCGATGTGATTGGGACGGATGTAGGTGAGATGATAAAATACACACTCCCCATTTCGGTCACAAACCTAGAATCATCCCAATTAACAACCGACTTCAATATGGAAGACAAGGGTTGCAGCATAGAGTAACTCATACCGGGTCACCACTGGCACAAACTTGCATCACCTTGCTATTCAAACCGAGGGGGAACCTGCTGACAGTGTCCCCGAGGCGGTGATAGCCATCTCCGAACATGACAAGGGACTTGATTCGGCTGTATAATCGGATTGGGATATCTTTCGCCGCAGCGTGCATGACCCCGGCCCCTTGGGAATAGCCGACCAAAGCAAATGTCTGGTTTGGGCAAGCAGCTGCTTGGGACCGGAGACGGTTCACGACATCCAGGGAGCCCTGAATGGTACCGCTAACGATCTCGGCGCTGGCAGGGTACTGTTGAGTTGTTAGAGGGCGACAGAGGAGAAAGTTGACTACGGAAACAGGGTACAATTTCCGCCGTTACTTGCCTGGACAGGGTATCCTCTGGCGCCAGGAAGCCTGAGGGTTGTATTGCTAACAACAGGGTCGCCAACCACGATGCCAAACTTGCCACCACCCGCCTCGTAGTTTGGCTCACTTGTTCCACGAGCTTGGGGTTGTTTTGTTAGAAGAGTCTTACTTCAATAAAGTCTAGGATAGCAGGTCACCTGCACTCACCCACGAGAATCTCGAAGTCAGAGCACCCAGCTGGAATATGTTCTGGATGCATAGGGACAGGTTCACCCATAGTAACTCCGGTTTCTGGGAGTTCGGGGCAAGTTGTAGATTCTTGGGCAGCCGCCAGGGCGAGGAACGCGAGGGAGCCGACGATGAGCTTGGGAGACAACATAGTGGTGAATAGGTAGTTGACGAGGTAGGACTCTGGGTTGACGATGTTCACAGGGTTAGACGGCACTGCAATGTTTGGGACGATTTAAAAAAAAAAAAAAATGTGGTAATGGGTCATGTATAATATAGTCTGGCACCCAAGAAGCAAACACAACATGGCTCAAGGGAGATTTACAACCTCGGGACCTCGGCTGTGAAGTTGAGTTCAGTAGATTCCAGGTTCACATCCCGAATTTTCCCAGTGCTGTCATGATTTTACACCACCACTCGCAAGCTATACTAAGATGAGGAATGCTACTGTTGGAGATCGGGACAGGTGACTTGATGGTAGGATGTTTCGAGTAGCCCGAAATCGGGCGGTGTAGTGCGTTAGGATTTTGGACAATAAGGGATGTATCAAAGTACCTAGCTAGATTGTCACCTACCTACATGCCTAGGTACCTATTGAAGAGGTAGGCGGCGAGGTTGGGAAGTAAGTTGTCGTCGCAGGAAAGCGTGTAGCGCTTGCGAAACTGAATATTTACCTCGGCATTACACTGCGTAAAGTGTCTTATCCCGGTATGGGTTCTCCAATCGCATCTCTTGCTCCACTCGTCCGGCAGGGGGACGGTAAAGAACTGAGCGGCGCATCATCCCAGCTAACCCGGTTTTCACGCCCGAGACTGAGAACCAGTCGCAAAAATTACCAAATTGGTGTGATTCCGAATAACTAAGGAAGGTCCCTCACCCTCAACGGAAGCCGCGGCTCCCACAGGACAATTCAGTACACCTTCATTTATACGTCTCTCCGCACGAAACATCTCAAACCTCACGGCAAAAGCGTCCTTGGAGAATTGAGGAAACGGTATCACCCTCCTCCACAGCCGCCCCCGCCGCCTCCGCCGCCTCCGCAGCCGCCTCCTCCGCAGCCACCTCCACCACTGCTGCCCCCGCCTCCCCCTCCGCAGCCACCACCACCACCACCTCCGCAGCCGCCTCCCCAGCCCCCTCCAGAATCACCTCCACCATCACTCCCCCCAGACCGACCCCATCCGTCACCCCCACGCCCTCCGTAGTCACCTCGATAGTCCGGCCCGAACGCGGCGCCGCCGAAATGAACCTCCTCCCACAGGATCAGAGTGTAGTATATCCCAAGCTAGCTCCCCAAGTTCCCTTTGAGTGGGGCACTGCGCCGTTTCTTAACATCAACGATGGGAGCCGCCATAATTTGAGCTTCGGACGGCACCACAGAGAACATGCCCTTCCCCAATGGGTCACCTCTTAGCTCATCTGCTCGGGCGACACAGTCCTTTACAATAGCGTTTTCTGCCATTGACACCTGGCTTGCGAGCTCCGCCTCCAGGACCGACCTCTCCGTCTGGATCCCCTCCCAACGCTCTTCTTGTTCGTTTCTAGCTGCTACCGCTTCTGCTGTGATCTTCTGCTGTTGGCTGAGATCTTGCTCCTTGGCGCTTTTTGCCGTCTCGGCCTCGTGCACCTGGGCATCCCTCTGCGTCAGTTTTTCCCGGCGTTGTTTGGAATAATACTTCCACCTGAAGAACCGAATCTTCGGCCGCACAGCGTTCCGCCCCTGCACGCATTGCTGAAATGCTTCAGACAGGACAGCAACCTCACCCCTTACTGCCGCTTCCTTGTTCAGCTCGATCAGAGCTGCCTGCCTTGCCGCCTTCATATCAAGCAGTGTACCCGCTGTGTTGACCTCATTGTCAAAGGCGGCGAGACGGCGATCTTTTTCCTGGCATTTGGAAGTGTAGAAGGCCGTTTTCTCGTGCAGCAGAGTGACAATCTCGGCAGGGCCACCTAGGAATAGTTCGTCGTAAGCTAGCGCCCAGCACCGCTTAGTATCGTCCAGTGCGTTGCGCCGGCCACATGCAGCAATAGTGTCGTCATGGTTAACAGGGCGACCGACGTGTCTGCGGCAGTAGGTGTTGTAGGCAGCAGGTGATAGCTGATGGGTGTGCCAAAAGAGGTCGATGTCGAGCGTCGGGACGAAGACTTTCTTGGGGTGGTCCTTCATCAATCCCAGGAACTTGAGATAACGATCTTGGTGGGCCTGGAGCTGAACCGCTGTGACCAGGGCAGTTTCAACTAGGATTCGCTCGACGAAGCCGATCTGGCGTAGTGGCGCGTCCCAGAGCCCAAAAACGTGCTGCCCAAAGACGGTCTTGCAGAAGCGCGCAAAGTCTGAGTTGTATCCTCCCAAGAACGGCGAAAAGCTGGTCTTGCATGAGGGACAAGCCGGGCTATAATCCTTGCCGAGGCGATAGGCAGACCATTCGGCCATGGGGATGATCTGGCTCTTTTTTCCGCAGCGGACAGCGCCGCATTTGTAACCGCGGAGGTCGAGAGCACGCGGAACTTTTGTTGAAATATGCGGAGCTCCGCCGTCGGGCTTGAACTCGAAGAGCTGATAGGGAATGTCGGGATACATGGCCTCCCATTGTTGCTGCGAGGACTCGTCATTGCGCGGGTGTTGCCTCAGCCGAGCGAGAGGGAAGGAAATGCGAGCGTCCCAAATGCGGCTGTACTCGACAGTCATGTCCTTCTGGAAGCGTTGGGGGGAGAGCATGTGGATGTAAAACATGAGGGCGACATCCCAAGGTGGGAGCGGCCAGTCATTCTCTCTCAGGCCCTGGCTCCTCTTGAGAAGCCAATCGTCGAGACAGCGGAGGTAAAACGAATACCGGACCTCGGCGTTCATCAGGAAGGCCTGCACCCTCCATTGTTGCCCATGGTCGGCATTTTTGTGCCTTGTCGGAATGGCCGGATACTTAGCGACATAAGGCCCTGGAAATCTGACGTGGTCAATCAACGCGTAGAATCTTTGGAGCATCCAAATGTGGCCCTAGAATGGTTAGCATGGATGCATGATCTTTCAACCAAGAGGACAGGGGGGCCCACGAGGATAAAGTCTGACGAGAACTCTTTGGCGGCGGGGAGCGCCATCATATAGAAAGGATATCCCGATAATGCAAATTGCAGCTGGCGGTTAGAAGGATGAGTTGAAGGAAGGAATGGGAATTTCAAGCCACTTTATGTTTTTTAGATTTATCTTCGTTACCTTGCGACACGGCTGTCAGCCGGTGAATCTTGGTGGAGCCAGCTAACCTCAATGTGGCAGAGCCTTGTGGTCTTGTGCTGGATTGGGTGACTCAAACCAGAGACCGGCGCTGTGGCTATGTCCGGTGTCCCAGCGAGGCACCGAAGCTAAGTTCCATCAACCTCGTGCGGCTGTGATGTGCGCGATGTGGGGTTGTAAGTTCGTGGCAGCCATCAGTCGGGCGTTGGTAGCAGCCCAGTGTATCCAAACATAGCAGTTGTACATATACATACCTAAGCCAGGGGTTACTGCTCCGGCTTCCACAACTTAACGAAGTCCAAGCTGACATTGGCGTCGTTCTAAGTAGATTTGGATTGAGAGTGTGAAGCAAAATTGAACCACTGGACCAAAAGCCTGACAACGCGTGGACCCAGCAGCACAGCACCAATGTCCCAAAATAGTAGTGTTGTAATGTTGTTCAATCAACAGAAGAAAAGGAAAAGAATTGACCGTCACCGGCTCAAAACGACCTGTGATACCAAGTGGATATTTCGGCCGCTGCACGGTCCTGTGGGCCGCGGCAAAGGCTCTGACATCGAGGCCACATCGGGGCCATCTATAATGGCCGGACAACCATTTTGGAGTGCTAGTAAAGTATTGTCAGACTACAGCCTAGTGATCCTTCTGACCCAAATGTAAGACGGACGGTGGCAGTCTCACTGCTCTCAAACACACACGATCTCCATGCCAAGTTTCTTACTTTGCCTAGGTATGTATCGAGCTTACTCCGTTCAAATCTACCTTGGTACCTTAGTTTCATTGAGCTGACAATAAAGTTAATGTGAAACCTACCAAGACTGAAGCAGGATGATAGGTTCGGCTTGGCGGTATTATGAAGTAGTATACATAAAAGCGTAGCAATTTTGATTGAATTGCTTTCTGTTTCTTCTGCAAGTCTTCATACTTTGTACATCGACCTTTACCAACCTTCCTGGCCCCCGAACCACCAGACTACGAACCAATCTTTTGACCCCGTTTCAATCTCACCAACCTCGTCAAAATGAACAATACACGGAATCAAACGTCCGGCGGAGGTGGTCAACGACGAACGACGTCGAGTACAACAGGGAATGGAACCGGAAGAAATGCGTCAACAACGAACGGGTCGGGAACTGGAAATGGGACGGGAACAAACACTTCTACCGGCGCCCGCATTGCCGAGGCGGCACGTAGAACAGCCGCGCCTGCCGTTGACATTATCGCCGCCGGGGTCAACGCGCTGACCAGCGACACAAACTTTGACAACTCACCTGCAAAACCTGTCGCTAAAAAGCTAGCTCAAACCCTCGGGGACACTCGTTACGCCATCGTGGGTGCCTGCGCCCTCGGGCTTTTAGATATCAACATCAAGCGTCCCGTTCAAGACGTGGAGGTGTTTGTCCCTACTGGCCAAACCGCCAAGACAGCCACGGCATTGTGTGCTCCTTCGAATAACGGCTTCAAATCGTCTTCCTCGACGGGCAAACTCCGGGTCTGGTACGAGAAAGATGGCAACAAGGTCCCTATTCTCTTCCGGGAGCCGGCAAGGCTTCAGCAAGACTATCCTAACGCAAATGGCTTTTTCATGGTTGGAAAAGTCCGTGTCCTGAAGGCCTCACTGTTGTTAAACATTCGGTGCTACTCGTGGTCGCAGAACAATGCGAGTGGCAACAGGGATAAACAAGACCAGGACGCCGCAGACATCGACCACCTGCTGAAGTACATTGCTTTGCAGACCAAGGAGGAACTTCCCCATGCTACACCGCTGTTCCTTGTCAAGTTTGCTGCCTCCAAGCCAATCGTCCAGGCAGGGTTCCGTTACATTGGTGTGAGACTCCCTCCCACTTAAACAAGGGCCGGGGCTCCAGCTCCGATACGGTTTACATGAGCAGTGCAGACAGTGTAGCAATTAGAAATCCCGGGCTGGCCCCAGTATTACTTGAGAAAGATTCCAGTTTCCTACGAGTACAAGTGAATACTAGAGATTCTTACGCGTCGATTCAATTCCATGGTGTCGCGCCCCCTAATGTGTCGTACATAACCCCAACCCTCTCCTCTAGGTAGGCGGACAACTTCTCGTCGGGCCTCCATGTCCCAAGACGTGGGGTCAACAACCCCGCACTCCCACCTCAATGCTCTTTGCGCAATACCTCTAATATCCCCCAATTTAGTTTGTCTGCTTTAGGCACAAACTGCTCTCCTTGAAAAGACATTCCTTGCTACAACCGCTGCAATGTCTTCCCACGTCCCCGAGGTGCTGATGAAGAAGGTCGACGAGTATGTTGACTCGCTGGCGCCACAAATCCAACCTCGCATTGCCCAAGAACTGGACCTTTTTCAGCAGAAAACCATTGACAGCCTTGAGGGACAGGTCGTCGATGCTTTCCGTTCGCTTTTCAACAAAGACCAAGCTGCCACAGGTGGCCCTGCAGGCACCTCGAGGGGCCTAAACGACCGCGTCCCTGATGCATATGGCGGCCAGTCGTTACCCTTTGCCGACGAGATCGCCGACCTCACACGCAGTTTCACCAACATCGCAGGCGGGGCGGGAGATGACTTGCGCGACATTTTCAACCTGACCGAAAACCGCGAGGCTTCGAGCGAGACTCGATCCCGTGGGCCCGAGCCCAACGACAACCTGAACGTCAGGGGCTTCTTGTCCGCCGCCGTCCACGCAGTCCAGGACCACCTTGAAGTCAACAAGGGGTCAGAACGGCCGACTTTTCAACTAGACGGGCTGCTCGGCATCCTTAGCGACACCGTGAAGGACGCCGCGCGCAACCCGGAAGAAAAGGCCCGTTTAATCAGCCCCGAGATCAAGGAGAAAGTCGGCGCGAAACTCCGAGAGCAACATACCCCTATCGCGGAGCAGTTCACTCGGATTGCTCTCGACCACGTCAAACGCTGGTTGCGTGGAAACACAAGCACGCGGGATCTCGGCGATAGTGTCAAAGGGGAGATCGAAGACCAAGTGAAAGACCTCGTCAAGGGACTCGGGGGCTTGTTTGGACATAAGAAACATCCGAGCCAAGGCACGTCTAGGGGTCTCGAAGATCACGATCGCGATGCAGGGGACAAAGAGAATGGTGGCGGCTTCTCCAAAGTCATCAGCGAGAAGATCAGCACAGGCCTTGCGAGAGTGCACAGGGAAGTACGCCTCGAGTTTCGAAAGATTCTGGGTGGAATCGAAAAACAACTTTTTGAGTTGCTGCCCGACCAGTTCCAAAAGCCGCTGGAGAAAATACTCGGCGGCAATCCATTTGATTCGCAACTCGACCGCGACGCACAGCCCCACGCCGACCGTGGGTTTGGCGACGACATCAAAGCGAAACTCGTCAATAAAATCCGGGGTCTCGTGCGGAAGGTCCAGGAGACCCTACGCAGGAGTATTTTGGGCGTCGTGAACGGCGGACACCGCAAATTCGAGCGTGAAAGTTGGGTTTTTGTGCAGAACATGGTGGAGCAGAAGGTTCAAAAATACCTGCCCAAGGTCAAAATTTCCGTTCCGGATGATATCGGGAACGAAGGAGTGAGCGTGGGAGCGCCGAGCTCCAATATCCAACTCGGTGGTGGACATCACGGTAACCCTCCTCCTGGGGTAAACCCCCCTCCACCTCAAGGAAGCCACTCCCCTCCTTCCCATGGAAACTACCCTCCTCCTCCGTCTGGAAAACACGCTTCCCATGGAAACTACCCTCCTCCTCCTCCGTCTGGAAATCACGCTTCCCATGGAAACTACCCTCCTCCTCCTCCGTCTGGAAATCACTCTTCTCATGGAAATTACCCCCCTCCTCCCCATGGAGGTTACCCGCCACCTCCTCCTCCCCCCTCTCATCACCAGGAATACAACACTGCACCCCAACAAGAATACCGGCCTCAGCAGTACCAACCCCAGCAAGAATATCAACCAAGCCATTACCAGCCGCGCCCGCAACAGCATCCTCAGCAGCACCAAGCTGATCATCACGCCCAGCCGGACGATTACCAGCCCCAGCTTTATCAGCAGAACCAACAACATGGGCACAACCCCGCATACTAGACGGTGAGCCAAGACGGTTGACGCAATGTGTGCAACAACCCTGCACCACAAAGTTGCACCATCGAGGCGGTGGAGCGAGGGGGGATGTTTGGAACTCTTGGCATCTAGATTCAACCCCCCCCCTTAACGAGCCTGACTCCCATTCAATACGATCCAAAGTACCACATTAATCAATGCACGATTGACCGTGGCTTTGGGACACAAGCTGCAGAGTTGCCGTCAGTATCAAAAGTCCTTGCTTGCTTTCATGACATCATGTGACTCCTCCCCGCTCAGTCGCTGATCAAGACTTTACATCTCTGCTACGTCAGTCCGCAGAGCACCGGATCCTCGACCACTGGTCCAGACGGCCAGTGCGAATAACACCCACAACCGACCTCTCTGTGGAAGAAGCAGCTATTAACATCAAGAGGATATTGAAGGTCTTCCCACGACCCCAGGAGTCGGAGCTCGGAGGTATGACGTTAGCCAATACACGCTCGGTTTGCCGAAAGTTTTGTTCTGCCCCAACACCCGCCAAGTTTCCTGACCAGGGCTCGTAGAGTGATTGCGATTTTCTCAATGCCCATGATCACACACACCGGGGCCGAGCATGCCATCAGTTGCAGTGGGGTTGTTATCATTGATCCCCACCCCGTCTCGAATCTTCGGCTCCCCGAAGCCCCTTTTGTCCAGTCCGGGCGAACACAAGGCTTCTCTGTAATTGTTCAAGGGTTGACACCGGTTCACGGCGCCAAGGGCCCGTCCATCATGTTTCATAAATGCGATTTTATTAGATTTTCATGTTTCTCAGATTTACCACGCCAAGACTTTAACCAAATTAAGAGGACGCGAAGTTGCAAAGAAACTATACAACAAGATGTCCGCGGACAAGTTCTCTTTCTCTCGCCAAGAACGACGAGATATGGCGAGATGGCAAGGCCGTCTTCTCGATACCGGCCCCCCCGCGCCAATGTTCTTGGGCGGGCAGAAGGAAGACGCGAGCAACAGCGGGCTCCATCATCTTTCTCTCGGCGGTCCACATGCCAATGTTTTACTCCTCCCAATACGTAATATGGCTGCACCACATGCGTCTTGGCTCCCTTTTCGGGATGTACCTACCCAGTTTTTGTTTTCACCTGGGGCTGCCGGGCACTCTCGCCATCCGCCAAGGTGAGGGTACTTGGGTTCGCCTGGCCCAGGTCTAAAAAAGGCCTTATAAAGCGAGGGGTTGCTCTCCAGTATCGACGTCCCTTCTTCGGTCCCCTTTCGAAATCTGAGAATCTGAGACTGCTAGACTGTTATGGCCACCTCCCTTGGGTTTCCGTTGACAACCTTCTCAACCCTGGCTTAGGCTTGACTTCTACCCACTATGGCGGCCCCAAACCACGCCCGGGCCGTCGAAGGTCGTGTCTCGGGCCAGTCAAACGAGCCATTGTCCCTCTCTCCACACTGCCTATCCTCAGCCCAAGTCGCCCAGGAACTACAGACCGAAGTCAAAAAGGGCTTGAGCTCCTCCGAGGCCGCTGCTCGCTTGGACAAATATGGCGCTAATGATCTCGGCAAGGAAAAAGGGGTCCAACCCCTTGAGATCCTTGTGGCCCAGGTCGCCAATGCCATGACCTTAGTAATGCACCCTTCTTGATCCCCCCTCGCCAGGATTGAGGTACTGACTTTGGCTTCTAGATCCTTTTGCTCGCGCTTGCGGCGTGTTTCGGTATCCAGTCGTGGGTGGAAGGCGGCGTGCTAGCAGGTTTGATTCTCATCAACGTCGTCATCGGCTTCCTCCAGGACCTCCAAGCAGCGAGGACAATCGCTTCCCTTAAATCGCTGAACGCTGCCACGGCACGAGTCGTCCGAGACGATGGACTCATCGCCACTGTCGACGCAACTAAGCTGGTACCGGGGGACATCATCGAACTCAAGGTGGGAGACAGTATCCCGGCCGACGGACGTCTTATCGAAGCTGTCAACCTCGAAGTCGATGAAGCTCTCCTCACAGGCGAGAGCCTCCCGGCTCGCAAGTACCCGGATGAAGTGTTTGGCGAAGACACCGGGCCCGGGGACCGCTTGAACGTCGTGTTCTCGTCGAGCATCATTACCAAGGGCCGCGGGCGCGCCATCGTATTCGCCACTGGATTGTCTTCCGAGATAGGAGCCATCGCCGCTGCACTCGGCGACGAGGGAGGTAAGAAGCGGAAGCTTGCGCGCGATGAAAATGGCAAGGCATCCATCGCATCCTACCTATCGTTTGCGGTCGGGAAAACGTGGGACTGGATCGGGAAGTTCCTTGGCCTGACGGTGGGAACGCCGCTACAACGGAAGCTGTCGCAGCTCTTCTACTACATCTTCGGATTTGCCGTCGTTTGCGCCATCATTGTCCTCGCAGCCAACAAGGTAAGCTGCAAGCAACGCCCGTCTACGCTGTCTCACGGCCAAATTTGCTAACACCGCACCGCTTTAGTTCCGAGCTCGAAACGATGTCATCATTTACGCGGTCGCCACCGCGCTCGGCACACTCCCCGTTACCTTGATCTTGGTCTTGACCATTACCATGGCAGCAGGGACTAAGGTGATGGTGCAGCGCAACGTTGTTGTCCGAAATATGCGATCGCTGGAAGCTCTCGGGGGGGTGACCAACATTTGTTCAGACAAGACGGGCACTCTCACCCAAGGAAAGATGGTGGCACGGATGGCGTGGATTCCCAGCTTTGGTACCTATGTTGTCGGTCCAAACGATGACCCGTACGACCCCGAAACCGGCACCGTGAGGTTCATTGAGTCTGAGCCACGCGAGATAGACAACGAAGACAACGCACCGCCTATCACACCTAGGGATGAAACGCGTGCCTCCGTCCATCATTACCTCGACATTGCGTCTCTCGCTAACCTCGCCACCGTCAAGCGAGTCGACAACGAGGGTTCAACATCGTGGCAAGCAAACGGCGACGCGACCGAGATTGCTATGCAAGTGTTCGCAACTCGATTCGGACGCCCTGGTTACGGGGCTGGTGCCTCGGAATCGTGGGGCCAACTAGCCGAGTTCCCTTTCGACTCGTCCATCAAGAAGATGTCCGTCCTCTGCCAGCACCGAGACACCGGGCAAGTGCGCATTTTCACCAAGGGGGCTGTCGAGCGCGTACTGGCCAGCTGCTCATCCATCTCAATCCCATCAACCGCCGGCGACGACGGCGATACCACCACGGGTCTAACATCGGAGATTCAAAACGTCATCTTGCAAAATATGGAAGCTCTCGCCCGCCGCGGCCTCCGTGTACTGGCACTGGCTAGCAACTCGACAACAGACGGCAACATCCATCCTGTTTCGGCCGACGACGCTCGCCGAGGCCTCCTCAAACGCGAAGACTACGAGACCAACCTTACTTTTCGCGGCCTCCTCGGCATCTACGACCCGCCACGGCCCGAATCCCGACCTAGCGTGTTTAAGTGCCACCAAGCGGGTATTGGCGTGCACATGCTGACGGGTGACCACCCTGAAACGGCACGCGCCATCGCCATCGAAGTGGGTATTCTACCTGCGAGGATGGACATGATCAAAGCGGACCTCGCCGAGCAGATGGTCATGACGGCCCACGACTTTGACCGACTGACCGACGATGAGCTTGATGCCCTTGCCGAGCTCCCGCTTGTGGTGGCGCGATGTGCGCCGAGCACCAAGGTCAGGATGATCGACGCCCTCCACCGCCGAGGCAAATACGTCGCCATGACAGGAGACGGTGTGAACGACAGCCCCAGTCTGAAGAGAGCCGATGTTGGTATCGCCATGGGCTTGGGTGGCAGTGATGTGGCCAAATCCGCGTCAGACATCGTCCTGAGTGACGACAACTTCGCCAGTATTCTCAACGCGGTGGAAGAAGGCCGGCGCATATTTGACAACGTACAAAAGTTTATGCTCCATGTTCTGGCCGCGAACGTAGCCTTTGTTACCACGCTGTTGGTCGGGCTAGCGTACAAGGATACCGGTGGGATCTCCATCTTCCAGATTACCCCCATCGAGATCCTATTCATGTTGCTCGTTGCCGGTGCCTTCACCGAAACGGGGTTGGGGTTCGAATCAGCCAGTAAACATATTCTGCTCAGGCCGCCGCAAAGTGTAAGTTCTAACAACCTCAAGAGTTTCAACCTGGATCAGGCCAGGCACTGACAGGGATGACAGCTCAAATACGGCGTCTTCACCCCCGAGTTTCTCTCTGACATTGCTGCATATGGCATTATCATGGCCATTTGCCTGCTCTCTTCGTTCATCATCGTCATATTTGGCTTCTACGGCGGCGAGTTCGGCCACGACTGTAACCTCCGGTACTCGCCCTCGTGCCTCGGCGTCTTCAAAGCCCGATCGACCTGCTACACAGCCATGATGTGGATGTTTGTTTTCTTTGCCTGGGAACTCGTGGATAGCCGGCTATCGTTTTTCGATGGTGCCATCCGCGATATCAAGGCCTGGGCCAAGCGCCTATGGAAGAACACGTTTCTGTTCTGGTCTGTGGTGGTCGGGTTCCTTGGCGTGTTTCCCACGCTGTATATCCCCGTACTAAACCGGCGCGTATTCCTCCACGAGGGTATTGGCAAGGAGTGGGGAGTTGTCTTTGCCGTGACCATTCTGTTCTTCCTTGGGGCAGAATCGTGGAAATGGGCTAAACGTGTCTATTTCAGGCGCAAAAACGTCATGCAGAAGAAGGGGGCTGCCATGACCGAGGAGGACTTAGAAAAGAGGGCGTTTGAGAGATTTTACTCTTCCGACAGCGAGATGTCCATGGAGAAGTAGCGGATGTTGGGTCTATCTACACTAGAAATGGGACAATGAGATATGCTGCAACGGCAATAATGTGCTGACCTTGATCTAATCTGGTCGGATTAAAGAATAACCATGCCTTATTATCATCCCGTCCGACCCTTGAACCTTGCTCCGGCAGACACCATGGTCACATCAATAAGTTGTCCTCTTGATGATATCCGACGCACGTTCCGCCAGGCCGTAAAGAGACGCTGTCAAGTGTCCGCTAACCTGGAGTGGAACCACCGAAGCATCGACAACCCTTACATTCGCGGTGCCGTCGACCCTAAGCTCGGGAGCGACGAACCCCCCCAATGCTCGAGACATCATAGCTGCTGTACCTGTAGGGTGCGAGTTTGCGATGACTAGAGCGGTGATGCATTATTAATATGGAGCAGGGCGGTTGGCGGAGTGAACAAGACCAAGTGCTTACCAGTATCGCGCAGGTACCGCTGCCATTGTGCATCGGTAGCATTTTTAGGAAGATCCACCTCCACCGGTACGATGGGACCTGTCACTGAGCCTTGCGTCTTCATCGGTTCAGATAGCCAGAACTTCGGGGCAACCTTCGCCGCCGCTACCATAGTGGAGAGGTCGAAGTCTGCGAGGAAAATACGCGGGTCCACCAGGGGCTCGTTGATCTTGTTGGCAGATTTGAGGTGCACACTGCCACGAGAGAACGGAAACAAGGCCCAATAATTGGAGGCCAGGATATTGTCTGGAGCTATGGCGAGAAGGATCTCTGCAGCGGTGACATTGTGCTTGAAGAGAAGAAAATAGCCCGATGCGCGTGGAGCAAGCACACGAGCATAGAAATCACCCAGGAGCCACGGCGGACGGGCTTCGAACCGTCAATCTCGCCCCAGATCGCTATTACCGCGGCTACGCCACGGCGCGATCTTGGGGGCTTAATTGACTGGTTCTTCGCTCGGTAACTAAGGTCTTTTCGCACCAATGGTGATGGTAACGCTTTCTTGGTGTTTTGAATACACACACACACACACACACACAATTTATTCCGCCCGGCGGGCCTAACCCGAAAGGGCAACTATCATACAATCTACTAATACATATCCTAAAATGGATCCTGATCTCATGAAGCCCGTACATCCTCCTTTTCTGGCTTATCTCCTTACAATTTTGCCCTCTCTGCTGCGGATGCTCGTGGGTTAGTTGTACGAATAGTAAGCTGGCTTGAAGGCTAGTCTCCAAGTGTCCAACGTCCTATCTTCGGCGGCTGAAGCGCGCTTACTCCGTGTGACACGAGATGAAGGGGGTTGTTAGTCGGGGTTTAGGATGGTGAGGTTAGTTTGCTTCATTCTGTTGTTGTTCAGTCCTCAGACGACCTGTGGCAATGGCAAAACGTATCGTCGCCCGCACCGCCCGCATGTTGGGGGACCAGTCCTTGTCATCCGAGGGCGACTTTCCTCCCAGGTAGAAGGAGAGGTTCCCCCTGTGGACATCCGTACATTGCAGCATCTCCCTACGGTGTTGATCCCATTGCTTGCATCGGAAGAGGAAGTGGTTCACTGTCTCTCTGGCTTGTCCACACGTACACTGGTCTGACGGTGCTGCTTTGATGCGATGCAGGTATGTGTTGAGCTTGGCCATGCCTGTTCTAAGCTGAGCAAGCACGCCGGCCTCGCTTCGGGACAGGTGGTCGTATAATAGTTGGGTGTGCTTCCCTGGTAACGCTATATCGACTCTCTTGGAATGTCTGCCCACTTTGTCAGGTAAGGACGTGGGCGGTGCCCGCTTTGCCCATGCGATACGGAGGGCTGTTGACCGCATGGCAGGATCCTGCGTTTGTGGCGTAGCGTCCTGCCGTGTTGCTTCCTTTGCTTTCGCTTTGGCTGTGTTCAGGAGCTCGTTTTTGGTACCCGCTTGGATCCAGACGACCGAGATCGTGTTTCCCGCCTTGCGTAAGGCACTTATCGCATCGTACGCCTGACAGAGATATTGTTGTCCTGATTGCTGGTGTGGTCGCTCCAAGGCCATCACGGCTGCCTTGTTGCTGGTGGCAAGGATGATCTTTCGGTACCTGATATTTCGAATCAACCTCAACGCGTACCCAATAGCCGCAAGCTCGCCTGAGAACGGGTTTTGCTCCGACCTGGAGCCCAGCGTCACACTAAAGGCTTCGTTCCTTGAGCCATCTCGCATCGGCAGCGGGAGACGGACGACTCCTCCGATCCCGACCATGTTGTTTCGTGCGGAGCTGCTTACGGCGATCCGGACCGCCCACTCTGTCTCTTTTTGCTGGATGCCCGTTCTGTCAACCGTAGTGCGGACTCGCCTCTCCCATGGCGCTAATACGACGGGAGCGATGGTTTCGAGGCTGTCCAATGGGACGTCCTTGAGGAGATCTGCTACTTGAAAGAAAGGGGAGCGGTAGGATCTCCGGAACTTGCGCATCCGGGAAGTGGTGTTGCGGAGTGGATTCGTCTCTGGTAGGGTGTGAATGTCCGTCCACATCTTGATCGCCCTCTTCCAGAATCGATCTTGAGCCGTGGGGATGTGAGCTTCTGCTTCTGCTACGCGTGTTGCTACCGTGCTGAACGTTCCTATGATCCCTTGCGCCGCGACCCTCTGCACCCTGTGTATGGCCGGCGCGGTCTTCCAATTGCATTGGTGCATCCAGACGCTGGATGCGTAGTCCACCACTGGCGCGACCATGGCGGTGAACAGCTGCCGCGCAGCGATGGCTGGGAGTGGTGGCAATGGCTGAGTTGGGTGGGAACGATGGCCGAATTCACTGGGGGAGGTGAGAGGTGGCAGCTGTCGCCAGGTGGCGCGATGCACAATTGCAGTGGGACAAAGAGGCACAGGCAGCTGGCAGTATTTCAGCCGGCGTTTTGCCGTCGGAACTAAGAAATTTAACTCAGGTGATAAACCGAATGCCGCCATCTCTTTGCAGCGAGAAAGAGGGAAGAAGTAGGGGGCTTGTACGAGTTAAACGCAAACCGATTTGATCCGGATGTAGTTAGCGTGCTAAGGCCCTATAGGCCCAGTGCCTCCGGGCGAAATAAATTCCATCCATCCATCCAGCCGCCATCTCCCATGAAGCCCGCTGAGCTCAGAAAGCTCAAAACCGACGAGTTTCCGAAAAGTGTTTGCTTTTATGCGGTGAGAGACGGCAGAATTCACGGAGCAAGTGTTCCGGGCGGTCGCTGGGAGCTGTAGGCGATTGACTGGCAGTACCGGTGCTGTCGCTATGGCGCTGAGACGATGTTGGGGGTGTCAGGTTGAAATATGGCCGCTGGGGCAACCTGTGCAAACACTGTTTGATGAGGCTATTTAGAGATGGGTTGGGGGGTGACTCGCACGTCAGGCGGGCAACGGGACTCTCTCCGCATCACGCCGCCATAGATCCTGCTCCCTTGCTTCAAACGATTCCCGGCTTCTCTGCCTCAAAGCGCTTAAGTCAAAGGGGACGTCAAAGATGACGCCTTGGAGCGTCTTGACCCGCGAAACAGCCACATACAAAAGCCCCGGCTGGAAGTCCCGCTCCGAGATATCCACAACCGCCTTCTCTACGGTCATCCCCTGCGACTTGTGGACCGTGATGGCGTAGGCGATGGTCAGAGGAAACTGCTTGCGGGTGCAGACAATGCGGCCTTTGAGGAATTCGCGTAATGACTGAAATATGGGGACGACGTTGGCGTAGTTCACCCCTTGAGGCGCCCCCTCAACAGAGAAGCCAGCGGGACACATCGGCGGACCCTCGTAGCTGTCAAACTCAACGGCGACGATGTTGGGGGCTTCTTGTCTCCAGTCTACGCCTGCTGCCCAGGCAATATCGCGGACGGTCCCCAATGCTCCGTTGACGAGGCCCGCGGGCGTCCAGATATTCTCCGTCAACATCACCCTCGCACCAATGCAAAGGGGAAGCTTGTAGTGGAGATTCCCAGCATCGGAGGCGGGCACTGTCTCGGCTCCCAGCCCTGTGCGCTTGGCGACGACTTGGCGGCAAGGCTGCTGGAGGGCGACCATGTGGTCGAGGTTGTAGTTGGTGACTTGCTGATTCGTAGGGAAGATGCGAATAGCCTCATCGAAAAGCGCGACCTCCTCTGCCGTCAGGTTGGACCGTACACGGGTACAAAGCAACTCCTAGTGCTCTATCGTTGGCTGGTTGTTTCTGAGGCCTTCTAGGGCGGCCCGAAAAGCCTCCTGATCCGCACCTCGCTGACGCTGGGCGACGGTGAGTTCAATGGTCTGATTCAGCGCCTGGTAAGCATTGCGGCCGGTAATCTCTAGCGGCTCAACTAGCTGAGCCGGGGAGTACAGTGGCTTGCCCCTGACGGGGGGGAGCTGATAGAAGTCGCCCATCAGCAGAATACTGAACCCCCCGAATGGCTCATTGCTGCGGGGGAAGATGTGACGCAGGCGGTTATCGATGAAGCCCATCGTCTTCAGCGAGATCATAGTTTCCTCGTCAATGACGAGATATTTGAGCGACTGGAGGCGAGCTTGCGCGGCAGCCACGTCTGGAGGGCTCAGTGGCTCGAAGGCGACGATACCGACGGGGAGGCGGAGCAGTGAGTGAAGCGTGGTCCCCTGGATCCCGTTGGCAGCTACGCCCGTTGGTGCTGACCGAATGACGATATTCTCAGCATCAGGGCGCGCTTGCTGCACCGCCCGCTTGTATAGATAAGCGGATATTAGCTTAATAGCGTAAGACTTGCCTGAGCCGCCTCTGCCGTCAATATTGAGCCTGAGCGGTGGAGGGTGCAAACCATCAACAGTCTGCTGGTCGTGGGTCATCACCATGTCGTAGATGAGGCGCTGCTGGGGGCTCAAGGTGTCCTCCGCACCGTCAGGGAAGTCACCGACGTCAAAGCCAAGGGGATGGGCGAGCTTGGTCTCCTTCCAAAGCTGGTTGCTGAGCCAGTATGGGCGGGTGCCAACGTGGCTGCCCCAATCTTTTGTAAGATCCTGCGGACGGTTGCCCAGGAGTTCGATATCCTCCGTCTCCGGACCCCGTCGCGGGAGCTCACGTGCCAACTCGTCCCAGGGGATGGGATTGGCCGCGTCTGGTGGCTCCTCGTCCTTATCTGACGCCTCCTGAAACTCCTCTTCGTGACCGTCAGCTATGACGCCGTAATAGTCGTCTTCGTGGCTGTGGTTCTCCAAGCAGTAGCGGTAGGCGGCAGCGTAGCTAGCAAACGGGACACCATCTACAATCTTGAGCTCGTCGTGGTGACGGTGGGGGTGGTGCAACGTCAGCTTCATACGGCAAAAGTCGTCTCTTTGAGTTTCTTGCTTGTATTTGGGAAAGTACCGCAGCACCCGGTCTTTTGCTGGTGCTTGCCAGTGCCGCCATGGCTTCTTGGAGAAGTTCACCTTCGTCAGGAATTGGAAGTAGCTGATCCCACTCCAATCCTCAGTGTCCTCTCGGCCCAGATATTTAGTGTAAATGGAGAGCGTCTCCTGGACCGTCTCGTCATGGATGATGTACTGACGTTGCGCCTCAGGGCTTCGGCAGTCCACCTTGAGAATCTGACGGCTGCAGTGGACGAGTTGAAGCTCAAGGAGATGGTGAGCGATCTTCTGGGCTGGGTAATCTCGCTCCGCGGCTATCTTATTCATCATCTTGCTGACGAAAGAAAGCATAGGCGTGCGGTGAGAGACGTGTGGGAGAATCTTGCTGGCCATCTCTCTGTATGAGACCGTCGCCTCTTCGCCCTTGGCAGCGTATTTGGCGACGTAGTTGACGACAGCAGAGAGAGACGTGCAGGGAGAGAAATCGATGTTTGCCAGCCACGCGATGATGACGGCCGGGTTGAAGCTGTTGAGAATAGCGTCATTGCGGGCACCGTCGTACATCTAGTAGTTTGGGTTGAGCGCTTTCGTGACGATGGCTTCTTGGTGCTCCGGCCGTGGGAAATAGAAGCGGCAGGCGAGCTCACTCTGAGGCGCTGGTGCTGGAGACGCATCCGGGGGTTGCCGGGGAGTCTTCTTCTTCCGTAAGCAGTATGAGGTGTTGCAGTGGTGACGCTGGACGCGGTTGACAACCTTGGACAGCTGAGCGAAGCTTAGCTCACTGTCAACAGTGGGAATGGCGCGTAGCGGGTTGCTTTCGCCCGGCGGCATCTGCCGCCCAGCCTCCGGGTTGACGGCGTGGACGTGAATGCCCCAAAACTCAGCGAACTGCTGGCGGGCTGCCTCTGAAGTCATCGCAGGGAGCGGTGCTTCAAGGAGCCAGTATAGGCCATGGCTGTGGGGACTGCCACGGCCCTGCCACTCGTACCGTTGCCATAGTTCAGTGAGATTGAACTTCTGCTTCATGACGAGCGTGGTGAACAGTTGCAGGCGGCGGTGAAATTGGTAGGCTGCGATATGGGGATTATCGCGCAAATTGGCGGCAGAGATGCGCATCCGCTGGAGCTCTTCAGCAGCCAGCCACTCCTCAAAGCGCGGCATGTGTTGATGAAGGCTTCGCCAGTGGTTATCTGCAGCACTGAAAGTAATGAAAGCACTGGAGCATTTGAGCGCGAAGGCCATGGCGAGCAGCTCCTGAAGCTTGACACCCCAGTAAGCTTTGGTGCCGCGGATACTGCCCGTCCATCGCACGATGGAGTCAAGAAGCCGTTTGCCGTCAGGGGTCTCATTGCGGAGCGCCTCCTTCAAAGTGTCGATATTGACTGGCTCGGGGTTGAGCTGCTCATGACGCTTCACGAAAAACGCGCTTCTGGCGCTGATCTGACGCCTCATCCGAGTATTGAAGGCGACGAAGCGAATAGGGGGGGGCGCGCGAAGCGCCCGTCGCGCCATTTCAGTGCATGCTGTAGATAGTCGCCATATTCGATACTGCGCTGCCGCGGGAGCACAAATTCACCTTTGCCTTCCGGGTAAAGTGAGGGGAAGGCAAGAGAGAGAAAAGCTTGGGAGCGATTGAATTCGCTGAGGGGAGTGCTGCGAATCTCGGGGACGACGATATGGTCCTGAGCTGGTGGTGCTCCATCTGGAGGTGGAGATTGCCGCCGGGGTTGAAATTCCATGGGATTGTGGATATGAGGCTCACCAGCAAGCTCAGCGCGCAACATATCAAGTTCTCGCTCGCTGACGACCATATTCGGTACAGCAGCCGCCTCCTGGTCATCAAAGTCAACATCTTCAACAGCATCCTCGAGGTTGACAGCAGCATCCTCAACTTCATGGATGGGAAGCTGGTCCATGAGATCGCCGTGCTCCGGGAGGGCTTGCAGGGCAGCTTGGACCACCTCAATATCTCGATAGCCGGGGTGGTGGGCGCGCAAGAAAAGCAGCCACGCGGTGACGACCTTGCGGCGCACAACAAATTCACGACGAAACTGGCGCTGGAGATGCGGGTGGTTTGCGGTGTTGGCAGGGCGTAAGATGATAACGTCAAGATCCCGCGCAAGGCATGGTAGCTGGCCATAGACCTTCAAAGACTTGTCTCAACAGTAGGCTTTCGGGCTTGTAGCGAACTGTAGTTGTGATTGCTAACTGGAGAACTCCCAGAGCTCTCCAGAGCGAGTGACTATATACTGACTACATCCTGTGGCTCTCTGAGGCTCTAGACAGCTCTCGAGAGCTCACTAGAGCTCATGCTCTCGGTGGCTCTCGAGAGCCCTTGAGAGCGGCTTCTGACTGGTCGCTCTCCTTTGACTCTCGGGTGCTACGAAGAGCACCCTGTGGTTGGCTCGTTTAAATGATTGGCTCAGGGCGTCCCGCGCCCCGGGGTCCCGCTTGTTGGCACATTCGTGACAGTCATGGATACCTCCAGTACCTAGATAGGTACCCACGAAGTTATACAACGACGATAAAAGCCTAGTACTTTTCATAGGTAACATTAATTATGCAGGCAGGTAGGTATCTCACGGCGGCGCTTACTACAGCTAAAACCTGCCGACAGTTCACACAAGTGGAGTTGAACCAAAGTATAACAAGTTTCAATACAAGTGTGGACTAGTATGCGTTGGTGATAAGGTTCAACTGCTTTAAATACTAGGCTGTGCTAGGTAACTTTACGCCCTACGGGCTAACCCACCTCCTTTCGAGCAATTGTTACTCGAGATCGAGATTATACTAAGAAAAAGGAATTAGCACAACGCTCTCTACCGCCGAGACTTTGAACTTACCGAACTCGAAACTGCCGTCATTGTTCCCGATGCGCTCGCCGAGGTTGATATCCCTCTCTACACCCTCGCCTTCCATGTTGAGGAGAATGGCCCGGAGAACCGGGGCCGCGTCGGTACCTTCGACTGAGAAGTGAATGTCCTGAGCGCTTTCGGAAAAGTTTACTCCGCCCCATTCGAAGCAGCCTTGGACATGTCATCAGCGGGGTGGTTTTGAAGATGGCACCCCAGTTTGGTTCACATACCATCATTATTGCCGATGAAGTCGTTGAGATTGATCTCAGCATCCACCCACTCGCCATCCGCTTTCTGGAGACGGGCCCGGAGGATATGGCCATCGTCGACACGGGTATCTTGAGCCGATTGAGCAAAAGACATGATGGCTATTGATGGCGTTGAGCGGATGAAGACTGTGAAACGGACTGTTGGTTGGCAGAGCTGCGGAAGGAGGGGGAGCGAGGTATCGAGTCTAGGGAACACCCAAGGCTATTTAAGGTGTCGAGTACAACACAGTTGCCGCCCCCGGTGGGCCTTCCATCCCGCATCACGGTACTGGCATTGTGCCGCACAGCCGAACGAGACGAATCACGCGAGAAAAGGACGGCGAGAACCCCACCCTTCTCTGCCACGGCCAGCGCGCGTGTTGCAGAGGTGTGTTGGCGATGGGGGAGAGGGCGGGGGAAGGTGGAGTTCGCCTGAGAACGACTTCTCTCCAAGCGGCGGGGCGAGCGGGGAAAGATACTAGATTTGGTGTTGCGTGTGCGGGAAACGAATACCAAGGGAGTACGAGCGGCCGCGCCATGCGCCCTGTACATACATCTTGAAGTATAACAGCGCTTAAACCCGGCTGGGCACCGTCTATTGGAGATAAACCAACTGTTTGCGTGATGAGTCGAACGGCCTCCAACCATGCGGTGGGGGGTCCTCATCCAATCCACCGTGTTTGCCAAGGCAAACATACAGTTGCAGATGACCTAGTAACTGCAACCTGCTGCAACGTTGGAGTCTTGGACTCTTCTCCCCTTCTTTTGGGCCTGTTACCCGAGAAATCCGCGTGGTGTCCAAGTACACCAGGAGAAGTCGCGTGGGGTGTAACCACTTGCGTGCTCTTCCAAGAATTCCAAGATGCGAGGGATTATTAGGGAGCGGGCGGCCTGGAATAGGTATATGTACCTAGGTACCTACCTATCGAGCTTGGGTTTCGGTCGAGGAAGATACTTCTTGGTAGCTACCGAATTTACGAGGAATAACTTTGGTAAATGTGCCGGCAATGTACAGTATCGACCTACCTAGCTAATTTAGGTTAAACCGGAGACTCAGAGGATTTCCGGGTTCAGCAACCCTTAGGCAGTGATGGGGAGGGGTAAGTTGGAGGAGGTATGAACTGAGCCTGCATGTGGCAGTATCTCCCCCAAAGGTATATCAAAACTGTTAGTTTATACCTCAACGACGCAGCGGTAAATCTCATGCGTGACTGGCCGCAGGTGGTTCTGTCAACTTCTGTGCTGCTCATTTGTGTATGCGACGGCAGGCAGAGGCGTGCAACACATGATGTGTCTTACCTCATTTACTGTGTACGTACCTGTAGATTGATTTAACGCTAGCATCTCATCCACAGCCAACTTGAAGTGAGTTGATGTCACACAAAGACTCGAAGCTTACCTAAAATCGAGTTGCGGGAGCCTTGCCTTTCCAAGTTTAGAGCCTGGCAAATAAGGTGGGAGAGGCCCAGGCGGGAAGAAGCCCCACTAAAAAAACAGCACTGCTGTTGCTGTGGTGGGCCATTAGCGCGTGTTCCGTCCAACATCCACATTACCCCTACGCCAACGGCCGAGACGAACACGTCCACAGCCTGAGACCCTAAGTACAAAGACACCAGCACGGGATCTGGAAGTCGATCATCGATTGAATCTTCTTGGGTTCGTGCACTCACGCATCGTCATGGCCACACAACTTGATGTCCAGACGCTGCGGTCCGTTTTCCAGTCCCGGCCGGACATTTTGTCCAACATCGAGAGGAATGCCGGTACGCGCTTTCCCCTTACTCCCCCGGTCTTCGGCTACAAGTGGTCTTCTGTTCCAATGCGCCCGAGATGAGCGAGCAGCGACAAGGAGCCAATTAGGGAGAATGAATGTTAACAACCGCGGATCAGCCTGCTAACGATTGGTGTGCTGTTTCGTTAGATACGCCCGCGCGTACCACTTTGTTCAACGAAATTGCTAGTTTCGTGTACGAACGGCTCGGCTCGGCTGACCCCGAAGACGGGCCTGCGTCGAAGAGGAGGCGGATTGATATCGCGCAACTACCAACACACCCGCAGCCGAATGGGCATGCACACGGGAGGGCGCCACCCGCCGGGTTGAGTGTCGATGTCGCCGCCACCGACCCCGTGTTGCTCGAACTCCGGGACATATCGGTTACAGCACCTCAGCGCAAGAAGTACGACCTTTGCTTTACCAAGAATTTCTTGTATGCTCGGGCTTCGGGGACGTCGGTTCCGGTTCAGGGGGTCGTGTACCCATTGAAGGACATTGGTACGCCTCTACTGGGCTTGCTCGTTTGCCAGACCGACGCACTGTTGAACTAACCTCGGCCGGTCTTTCCAGAACACGCGTTCTATCTGCCAGTTCCCGACAAATCCCAAGCACAGTACAACTACGTCCTTCTTCCGCGCGATAGCTACCTCCCAACCGCAAAGCAGGCAGGTGCTAACTCCGGTGGCGGCCTGCAACCGCTGGAACCGCTGGTTTTTACGGTCCCGGCCGCGGCGCCGAAACCTGGAAGCGTCGTGGGCCCCTCATCCGCAGCGGCCGAGGCTGTTTCAGACACATACAGTAGCCTACTTCATTGGGCTTTGACGACGTCGATGCGTTCGGCCGGAAACCACTCCTGCCAGCTCGTCGCATCGGACCCCAAGCTGTTCCATAGCGTGGCGCGGCAGCCGCATCGCCCAAACGAAAAAGCAGTACACGTGAAAGCTTTTCGCGGCAGCAAGGACGGATTCCTTTTCTTTCTCCCCACCGGTATTCTGTGGGGCTTCAAGAAGCCCATCTTGTTCCTTCCGTTGGACCGCATTGTAGCCGTTAGCTACACCAACGTCCTCCGGACAACCTTCAACATTGTAGTGGAGCTCGACACCGACATCCCGGGTGAGGCCAATATCGCCATCGAGAAGGAGATCGAGTTCGGTATGATCGACCAAGAGGACTATGGTGGGATTGACGAGACATACGTCCGCCGTCACGGCCTTGCCGACCGTAGTATGGCGGAGCAACGTAAGGCTAAGAGGGAGTTGGTTGAGAACATCAAAAAGCCCGCTGCCGGCGATGAGCTGGCCGGAGGAGAAGGCGACGCGGATGGGCTTACGGCACTGGAGCGGGCCCAACGCGAGGCGGAGCAGCAGCTACAGGACGAGGAGGATGAAATGGAGGAGGACTACGACCCGGGAAGCGAGGGCGATAGCGAGGGCGAAGGTGGATCAAGTGGGGAGGACGATGACGACGACGAAGCCCAGGGCGATTATGACGATGAGGAGGATGACGAGGCAGAGGGCTTGGAAAACTAAGTCAGAATAACTCCCGTGTATTGGCTGCCTCGCTTGGGGAGAACCCGTTGCTTGTAATCACACCACGCCCATGTGGAGTGAGCTGCCTCTGTGCTCCGCCACGCCACACACGAGGCTTCGTCTTGCCCCTCGGGAACCCCACATTGCCTGTATGCCACGTTCCTACAGGCGCCCCTTTGTGTGAGTGGCAAAGAGGTTGTTGAGGTGATGGGATTTGGCCCACAGCCCAATCTTGCCAAGAACCCGAGAAGGCAGCGGCAATGATCAGAAAGACCTGGAGATTCATTCAATGACAGACTCGGTGCTATTTAGCGTCTCGGCGGCGTGGACTCGGTGGATCCCCAGAGGCCTCCTCCGTTTTCCCGGATCGAATTCTTCGACGCCGGCAAGGTCCAAAGAGCGAGTAACCTACGTCGGGCCTCTCATGATATCCTTATATAATCGAGTCATCCGGCAATTGCGCTTCGTGCTCTGGGACGGTTTTACCATTGGCCGGAGGGATCAACATCGCCATCCGGATCTTGCTTGACGACCAAAATAAACACATGGTCATGTTCGTAACTACCGTCGATTTCGAACGGTTTCTAGCCTATTGCGTCCATTCCGGTTGCCCGGCTTGTTTGGGCAGGGGGGTTGTTTTCTTGTCCATGAGCCTGAGATTGCGAGATTCGCACGGGCAAGGCATGTTGTGGTTGCATCCGTAGCACTGCGATGTACACAAGCAGACAAGGTACCTCGAGTACATCGGTATCCTGCGCGCATACTTGAACTGTTCAGCGTGGGGTATCTCTCCACTGACGATGCCACCCCTTAACCAGCTCTCACATCGTCAATCAAGGTATGTCCATGCATGACTGGACAGCAGCTGGAGCTTTCGAATGAGGAACACTACAGGGTAACGAATCTCCAGTATAGAAGCGCGAGTTCCTCCTAAACTACCCGGCAATGGAAGGGAAGTCAGCTGGGGGAAAGGGTCGGATGGCAATCTCCATTCGGCTGGTGGTTTTGTGCCAAAGGCCAGTGCCCTCAACACCGAACTGCTCACCGCTAATTGGACTGGGGTTGTTCATTTACCCCGCAGCCACCGCGGGGAAAGGAAGTAACCAGCAGCTTGGTGTCGCCCAAGCACCCAGCGCGCAAATATCCCTGGAGTCCCGAAGTCACCTTCACGAAGCCCATGCCCGCTTCTCCCACCAAGCTCAAAACGCGCACTTTTGGAGGATTCCCTTTTGCAAATAGAAGGGCAAGTCGAAGAATCGACAGAAACAAGATGAGTTTCCATACCTAGGATGTAGTCAGATGCCAAGTGCTGGGAACCCACCAGATGTCAGCTCACTTCAATTCTGCCAATCACCACGGGTTATTTCTGCAATGGGAAAGAGTCTTGGCTGTTCCCTGCCGTAGGAGCTGAGATTTCCTCCACACGCCAAAGGTTTGCAGCCGTGCGGTGTCAAAACTCCATCTGGAACCGCCCAGGGCCGGAGTGAAAGGGTCCATTGGACGGCTGCCTTGGACCGGCTACCTAACGTACCTACCTCGGGCCCTGGTAATATGCCCGAGGTTGGTACTATGAAACTTGAAATGTATGGCTGATTGAACTTGAAACTCAAGTTAACTAGTTACATGGCGCGGCGCGTTCCCTGTGATTTCTGGCGGGTTCATGGGCAAGATAGGCTTCAAGGAGGGGGCGAGCGGCCGTGTTCCAATCTCGCAGGTCCTTCACTTTGGAGCCGCCCACTCATGGATGTGGAGGCTGACAAGAGAGCCACGTTTTGGGTTGGCCCCTAAATCTCGTCATCGGGGTCAACCGCGGGTGAGGGACGGATATGCCCTGCCTAGACAACCGAACAACGACTCACCCGTCCTGCTGACGCATGGTCTTCGTGCATGCGTTTTGCAATCACCGTCGCCCACTTTCGTAAGGCGAACCAGAAGAAAACAGAAAGATGGCCGGCTTGATCGCCGCGCACCGGTTGATCATCAACCAGGAGAGGATGCATCTGTCCACCCCTTGCCATGAGTGAAACAAAACATGAACCAAAAAAGCCAATTTTGTCCGCACTGTCGCTGCCTGTGTCTCGGAACCGCCATTTGCCGCTAGCAGTGCCGATTGCCACCTGCCAGATCATCGCTCCGCCCGCCTCCCTGCTCTGAAGATGGCATCGCTATGGTTGGATGGGGTTCATCCCATGGTCCTTGGTGGTGAGAAAAGCGCGGTCCCACCAGTTACCTCGCTTGTGTTAGTTACCTGGTACCTATGGAGGCGTGCAGTTTCTTTTTCTTCGATCCAGTCTGTGTAAGAGTTAGGCAATATACTTGTATGTCCATTCCGACCGCGTACCCACAGTGGCAATTGTCACTCGTTTGACGGGCTGACGGCTAGAAAAAAAAAAGGAAAGAAAAAAAAGGGAGTTTTAAGCAAGCTCTATAAAAACTGGGATGTCACTCTCTGCTACTTGGGTACTTATTGGCGGCAATCGACCGGAGTCCGCTGCAAACCTTTAAAACCAGGACAGCTTCGTTGTTTCTCCATTCGGTGGTTAACTATATGGAAGCCAACAAAAGAACGCTCAAAAGCGAAAGACATCGGCCATGGTCCGAACTGTCCCATCCCATCTCATCCCTGAGACAAGGATTTTCCCCACAGGCGGTGACCCCTTTTCTGCCCAGCAAGGCAAGACCGAGACCCCACCAATGCCCGGAGGCACGGAGTCATGAGCAGACGCCGACACTCACCTCCTCCTCATTTGCCTGCCACCAACTAACTAGGTCCTGCCCTGTTCAAATATTGCCGCAAATTAACGACAACCTTCGACTGGCAGGATGTTTGGGAATCTGACGGAGGCAGGCCGCGCAGTCAGGTAAGCCAGGTAACTGCATGGAGTGAGCAGCTAGAGTGGACGCGCTCGAACAACTGGAACACCCCGCCAAACAACGCCTTGTGGAGTTGTCCGTGCGAGTTCTTCCCCAAGGACTCATGATTCCCACACGGCCAGTTCCTTGTGCCTCGAGAGTGCTCAAGTCGCGCAGGAGGCAGGGAATGGATTTGTTGATCGCAAAGGAACCCAGTAAGTAACCTTGCAGATCCGCCAATTATGGATCCCTGCCGTTTTCACAAAAAAGGGCTGAAGCAGCGGACTGGGTTGAGTGGGGGAGTGGGCCGGGCTTAAACCGTTCTGGATGACGCGACCTTCTGAGTGCGATGCCATGCGTGCTGCGAGCCAATGGTGCCGAGGATGGGGCATCTGCAGCTCGCTCCTTCCAATCCGCGCTTTGCAAGCCAGCGCAGGGCAATATTCCGCTGCAACTTTGCAAAACGGGCCCTCGCTTTCGTACCCTCGTTCCGCCTTCGCGCGCTTCCAGGTTCCGTGTGTTCCGTCCTTCCATCTTTTCTGTGCGTCCCGTCCCCTCTGCCCGCCACATCCCGCGCGGCCACCCAGCCCTACGACCCTGCGTACATGGCAGGGACGAATCGTGGATACATGAGCAGTTGATAGATGAACGACTCGGGCGGAACGGCGCACCCCAGCATGCCCACAAAGGCACCTCCCGGTACTTTCAGGTTCCGGGCAAGTGACACGACAAATTGGGGCTGCTCCCTCTTTTCCAGGTTTCCAGGCTCTCAACCTCCCTCCCACCTTAGCCAGCGACCGGCTGCTGATTACTGCAGCTGACACCCAGGACGCTCAGCGGGGGCCGCACATATTTGGCCCATTGCCGTGCGGCCCCACGCCTAGGTAGCTGAACCCACCGGCCGGCGACGCCCTGTCGTGCCAAACCTCCACTTCTTTTGGCAGGCATTTCCCGGCAAGGACGGTGACCCCAGCCCACACAATTTCTCCACCACCACCGCCCTCGTCCCAATGGCCTGGGAGCCAGCACTGTCGCAGTAGGCGGACCGCCGCCTGCTTTTATTTTTTGGCCGTTTCCTGCATCGCACGAGCTCCCTAATTTGTTGATTATCAACCGCCGCCCTCCGCACTCTGGTCTCTTTTCTGCCCTCATTCGTCTTGCTCCCATGCACGCGGGGTGTTCCAGTTGCTTGTGCGCTGGATTGAGCTGCCACCGCAACCAATCCCAGAACGAGAGCACGGCAAGACCGGCTCTCTTCGGACGCCTGAGCAGCTGAGGCTTCAAGAATTGCGATTCCCTGCCAGCCGCCAGTTGCAGGGCCCAGTGTCCGTGTCCGCTGTGAGATCAGGCTTGGTACGGCTTCGGCTCAGCCAAGGACCTCGTCGGAATCGGCGCCGGTGGCAAGGCGAAGCGTCGCCTTGCACTTCAGCTCGTTCGCTGCCCCCCTTTCCCGCTGGGGCTCTCAGCGCACGTTGACATTGCCGTCGTCTTTCACACGCTTGCTCTTTCCCTTGCCACGAAGTCCAAACCCAACGTCATGGCCGCCATCCCCATTCAGGCGCCCTCGCGGGGGTACGGGGGAAGAGACATGAGCCCCAGTCCCGGCCCTCTCCCGTCCATATCAACTGGTCGCAGCGAAACCCTCTCCAGACCCTTTGGACCCTCAGGTCGAGCTGTCCCGTTCGCAGACAACCTCTCGCCCTCGGCCGCTTCAAATCCCATGGCGATACGCGGTACGGATTACATCAACGCGCCTCCGCCTCTTCCCCCGCCACGGTTGGTCCCCATCAGCGGGCCCGTCGACCCAACGCTGCAATTCAAAGAGAGCATGCGCAGGGACGACTACGGCAGCCCTGGTGCCGATTCGTTTGGGCATAGCTTCAAACGAAGGGATGTGTCCTTTAGGAGTGACATTTCCGACGACGGATATCACAGTTTTGAAAGCTTCAGGTTTGTCCAGGCCACCCATAATACCTGCCGCGCCCTTCACGGCGTGCACGCCCAGGTGAGCTAACCGAGCGATCTTCCATCCTCTACTAGGTCTTCGGGTTTCCCCTCGCCTTTTGGTCACCACACTATGAAGAGCTTCCGCCCAAACGGCGACTCCATAGACCACTCGATGCTCGACAAGCTTAACCGTCCCGGCCGGCGCCCAGGTCTCAGCGCGTCAGTCAACGACCTGCCGGGGGCTCGCCCCCACCACGCGCAGCTGACGACTCTCTCTCTGCCCCACCGAACCAGACAGCCATACCTAGACTCGACCTTCACCAAGTCTCCCGGAGCCATGTCCGCCACATCTCCGATCGCCGCACCCTTTGGACATCACGGGCGGGGTTCTATGGATCACCGTTCACCCTTGGGAACCGACGGTAGTGACTACGATCGGTCGCCACTCCCGCGGCCTCGCAGGATGCACGGGGTCCTTGCGGCAGATGAGGGGGGCCACACCGGTTACGGGGGTTACGACGGCCGGGAAGATGACGTTGATTTTCCCATGGAGGAAACAACACGCATGCGGAGCCTTGCGATTGAAGACCAGTGGCGGGAAAGAGACTGGGATAGGGATCGGGACAGAGAGCGGGAACGAGAGAGGGAACGCGACTGTTATCAACCGGGCCAGAAACGCCGGGCTTCATCGCCGCCCAGCGATGACGCCGCGGTAGCAAATGAGTTGCTGAGGAGAAGAGACGGTGGCTTAATGACTCGGGGCTCACCTACGCCGCGGCTCCTGGCGATACCTCAAAACTCATTGTCGAGCGTGTCCTCGGTCAGCCGAAGCGGAAGCTTCGCAAGTAACCTCACCGCCAGCAGCATCACAAGCATGGGCTCCTTTGGGCGGCGCTCACCCAACGCCCTTTCCCCGGCTGGCTTGTCCCCAACCGACCCCAAGGCCTGCAGCAGCCCGTATCCGCCGCCAACAAGCATATCCGCTTCTCCGCGCCCTTCAATCGGACGGACCGTCGGTGCGCTCTCACCACATAATCGATCGCCTAGCGAACAGCCCTCACCAGCACAGGTCACGCGCACCGTCGCCTCCCCAAGGAAGATTGCTGATGTCCCCAAAAACCACAGCAGCCTGGCCGCCAAGCTCAAGGGTCCGTATATGTGCGAGTGCTGCCCGAAGAAACCCAAAAAGTTCGAGACCGAAGAAGAGTTGAGGTATGCTATTGGTCCTTACATCCACGCTCTGGGATTGTCGCAGTCGTCTAACTAACCCCGCTACCCCCACTAGAGCGCACGAGGCTGAGAAACAGTACGGATGCGCATTCTGCGGCAACCGCTTCAAAAACAAGAACGAAGCCGAGAGACATCAAAACTCGCTCCATGTCCGGCGACACAGCTGGTCATGTTCGGCCTTGACCGCGTACGCGCGGGCGTTTCACGACAGCACAACGAGGCCCGGCGAGGCGGATGTCTGTGGATACTGCGGCGAGGAGTTCCTCAGGAGCGGAAAAGACGAACAGGACTGGGAGGACCGCGCCCGCCATCTCCAGGACGTGCACAAATTCCGCGAGTGCAACTCCAGCAAGAAGTTCTACCGAGCAGATCATTTCCGCCAGCACCTCAAGCACAGCCATGCGGGCACCAGTGGCAAGTGGACCAACATGCTCGAAAACGCTTGCATGCTGGAAGAGGACCCGCCCGTTCCCACGAGATGAAGCCCTCCTCCCCATCGCGGATAAGATGTGGGGGGGATTCAAGGTTTGTGGTTTGGGATGCTTGTTTGGAAGCTTCCTTTACCAGCACGAATATCTCGTCGGAATCTCTCTGAGCGAAACCCGGGGCCGGGTCTTGGCCACCTCGGTCTCGATTCTGGGTATTTTGTCTCCTTTCGGAATTCCAAAGTGGGGCGAGAGGAGATTTGGCCGATCCAGTCGTTGTGGCGGAGATGGCCGGCGCGAGATGATGCGACGTTGCCTCGCCCAGATCCAGGATCGTTGCGCGCGTTCAACCCTGCCAAAGAAACGACATTGACGCAGCGCCAGACCGTTTCATGCAAGTCCGCCGCGGACCCAGTCCTGGGACAAGGGCTTGCTATTTTTCGGATCATCTGAACCCCCTCTCACCCGAGCGAGCCGTTGACGATTCGGTGGCCATATCTAACGAACCACCGGTGCCAAAAAAGCTCCATTAGGGCGGAGTGTCTCGACCACGGGCACTTCATTGCAGCAGCGCACACCGACACTTTTACCACCCACGCGGCAACCCTCAATTACGACGAGGGTTGCCGCGCCGAACGAAGTTACGACCTGAGCATTTGCATTAGCATGCGATAGCTACCGGATTACGAATCGTCCGAGCTCACATTAGTTTACATCAAAGCGGCGTCTCTTGGCTTGGTTGGAGGGTGTTTTATGACCGATTTTGGGGCCCCTGCAAAGCTGTACATCCTGTTTTTTTTTTCTCCCCAGTATGGTTTTGGCAACGGCTCAACGGCGCACCCTCACTTCCTGCAGATGGTGAATTCTGGGGCGTATCCGGCGCATTTGACGGTGACACATTTTTTTATCCTCTTGATGACCGACCATGCCAATGAACCATAGAAAAGTACCAATAACTATCTGTTTTCCAATTGGTCGTTTGTCTTTCTGCGTGGTTGTCTGGTGTGCCTTTGCCCCGCCAAGTAGTGGAGGTCCGGCACACAATCGCCTTCGCATCCATGTTTCTGTGACAGGGCTGACCCAACCCAGGCCCCACTTCAGACCCCTGACAGGGGTCCAAGTTACCCCTCAGTCGGCGGTCGCGGGGCAGCAAATTGTCGGCTGCTGTCACAAGCCAGAATAATTTTGACTCGGACCATGAAACCCAAAGTAAGGCAAGTTGTGTGACTCCTTTACACTATAACCCCGCGAAAATATGGCTGTAAACCGGATCAACGGCCACGAAGAGCTGTATGTCGGAGGGTGAGTGAGCATGTCCAAATCGTCTCACAATTGGGAAACAGGAAAAACTAACGTGTGGCTGCCGCAGCGTTTTCGGTATCAATCGTGCCCGGCTCCAAGAACACAATATCACCCACATTCTCTCAGTCATCAAATACACTCTAAACCGAGACGACGACGCATTCCGCAATGTCGAGCACCTCAGTATCGACATCGACGACATGGACGACCAGGACATCCTCGTGCAACTCCCCAGGTTGGTACGCTTCATCAACCGCGGTCTCCATCCCGGGAAGTCCACACCCGACAACGACAACAACGGCGAAGCCCTATCGACAACCGAAATAACACCATCACCCGACTCCGCTGCGCCATCATCACCCGGCGCTGTCCTCGTGCACTGTGCCATGGGCAAGTCGCGTTCCGCCACCGCCGTGGTGGCTTACCTCCTCTGGAAACACCCGCACCGTTTCGGCAAAGCGAAGCCGACGACAACAGCCCAACAAGCGGTCGCACAAGCGGTGGAATGGGTACGCAAGACCCGGCCCCTAGCCGAGCCCAACGACGGCTTCATGCGCCAACTCGAAATATGGTGGGACATGGGCTGCCCGGCCGGCAGCGACGACGCGGTCGAGAAGGAGCCCACATACCAACGCTGGCTGTACAAGCGGGAGGTTGAAGACGCGGCGCGCATCGGGCGAGCTCCCGAATGGATACGCTTCGAGGATGAGGAGACAACTGGGGGCGCTGTTAAGGCCACGGAGGCCTCTACGGGGATAGAGCTCAGATGTAAGAAATGCCGGCGTGTGCTAGCCACGGGTCCCTTTATCGTACCGCATCACGGCACGGACGAGGTGGGCCGGGCGGATTGCCCCCATTTCTTCATCGAGGCGCTTTCATGGATGCGCCCGATCCTGGACGAAGGCGCGCTCGACGGCCGCTTGATATGTCCAAATGCCAAGTGCTCGGCTTCTATCGGCCGGTACGCCTGGCAGGGGTTCAAGTGTAGCTGCGGCGAGTGGGTTGCCCCGGCCTTCTCGTTGCAGAACAGCAAGGTCGACAAAGTTGTCAAGGGGAGGCAGGGCGCTGGAGCCGGTGCCGTTACTGAGCGGATGGCTGCCCTAGGGATCCGCATGCCACCAGGGGCTGCAAGAGTGCCCCCTGCGGCAACGCCCGACCACGTCGCCGAGAGGTACAAAGGGAATCTGTGATGGTGGAGCCCGGGATCTGAGTAACACGCCGCTCCTCCCGCCACAGCCTGGACGACCCCGCAGGTTGCGATGCGTCATGAGCCCGGTAGCGCAGCGTACTACATACAGATGCATATGCGCTTTGTCTAGACCCGAAGGTAGGTGACTAACAGGAAGCCTTGAGACAAATTCCTGATCTTAAGATTCGCTGTAGAGTTCTACATGCCTTGCTAATGCTAGAGGCAGTGGCAAACCCGGATGCTCTGGGACGACCTTGGACTGATTGACGCACACGCTGCCCTTATATAGAACCTCCCCGGTCGCATACCCTAATGGTTTTCGCATCCCCTTAGATATTTAATGTTTGTTTACCTGGCCCGCCATCTCGAGCCCCGGGCAGTTGTGGCAGATCGGCTTGGTTCCCGAGTCGGGACGGATGCACACGACGGACAAGAGGTTGCGCCAACGCACCTATCTGCAAGTTCCCAAGGCGAGGCACCTCGTAGCCATCCTCCCCCCCTTCCCCCCTCCCCTTCTTCTTCCAATCCCAGCATCTTCCACCCCCAACCGGGCCCAGGCGGGCTTCACCCCATGCTGAACAGCTGAAGGCTTCTTCTACTTTGCCCGTAGTGGCTCCGGGCTCAAGGTCACAAATTGCCTCTTCTTTCTCCAACTGTTGAACTCGTTGCTTGGGTATTGCTGGTAATTTTGATGTCCTGCTCGTCTTGATTGTGCCAACGTTTCCCTCACACGCCGTCCCCGCTCCCTTTGATGTTAAGAGCCCATCGTCTTCAACAACAAGCTAGACAGACCTAGCGCGTATTCCGAAACCGGTGCGAGCACCTCATACGCAGAACCATCGCTGACTGATGAGAGCCAAGGTTGTTTGGCATGCATCAGGGTTGGTATTGCAACCGGCTGACTGTGCAGGAAGCCAGTCATCGAGACGGGTGTTGTGTGGTGACAGCACACAGTAAGCGCTAAATTTTCATGAAGACGCGGACATGCGTCTCCGATGCAACCGTCATATGCGAGACAGTTCAGGAGGGGTTGAGACCGTCGTGACGAAGGATCCGTTTTCCTTCGTTTTCTTCTTGTCTCCGGCCGTCGCCGAGCTCGTCCGAGGGAACTGATCCTCCTGCGGCGGAGTGGGACCCTTTCCTCCGGGCTCACATCACTGTGGACAAGCACGTTCATCGTCCCGGTTGTTGAGATCGCTGTCAGATGGGGTAATAATACGCCGAGGCGAGGAGCAGCCAATCTGCACAACGTCTTGGCGACGAAGAGATGCTACATACAAATGACGAGGAACTGAGCCGTCCAAGCGACATATTAGCCAATCTGACGTCTATTCGAGCCGTTGGAGAAGGATGCAAAGATCCTGCATTTTGTGATGTGGGCAACCCAAGTCGGCCATCGGATCGCCAAGTGGGGGGCTCTTATGCAAATGCCGGGTGGCAGCAAAAAGAACGTCCTCCACGAACAGTCGAGGTGACCCGAGAGTGCAGCTCAGACAGTCCATACATCCCTCCACCGAGTTCTTAGGCGGCGAAAGGGTCTCGATGCAGAAATCGGGGAAAGACGGTCGGTTCCCGGCGGGCGCTCGCCGCGGCCGTGATGCTGCAGTCGGCCGAGGAAGGCCAGGTGCTGAAATACCACACAGGACGCTTGCAACCGATACAGGCCCGGGAAGCCCCACCAGCGCAGAGCCGAAATCCGAACGCATACCAGGCGTGCATGCTCGCCTTACCCGTGTTATTCTTGCCCTTGAATGATCTGTGACCCTCGAGTGTGGGGAGCATCACAGCAACAAGCCATGAAGGAAGCATCAGATGGCCCCCACTTAGGACATGCTGGCCCGGTACTCTTTCCTGGTGTCCGGGGAGACGCGTGCTGATTCGGTCTCGTGTGCTTGCCGGGACCCTTCATCATGGAAGGTTCTTAGGGACGGACGGGAAAAAGGTGGGATCGCGCATGCGCTCGTGGTTACGTTTGGCGATCTCAGCTTGTCTCTTTCTATTAACCCGTTGTTGGTAGAAGGCGCTGCAAGTGGCCGTCAGCAAAACGGAATGGTGGGGACAAGGAAAGTTTCCCACCTCTTCAACTCGAACACGCGGGGTTCTTCCTCTTCAACCACCGGCGAGGTGGTCGCACCTTCTTGGGTCTGCAGCAAGCAGAACATTAGCCACAGGGGACGAGGGCGATAGGGGGGTTGGAGTCGCTGACCGATTCGGACTTGTCCTGTGTGCTTTGTTTGTCTTCGCCTGTTCCATCCTTCGTGTCATCCTTCTTCTCGTCTTTTTTATCGTGCTTGTTGTTTCCCTTCTCGTCCTTCTCCTTCTTTTTCTTCTGTTTCTCCTCGTATTCCTTCTTCACTCGCTCGATCTCCTCGTCCAGCTCGCGCTTCTTGCGGGCCTCGATGGCTGCCTGGTCGATCTTGGGCGTACAGAAGCCAGTGTCTTTTAGATGTGCGGGACAGACGTAAAACCAGTCCTGCAGGTTGTCAGACCGTGTCCATGTTGGCTCGAGAGAGGTGTCGGGCAGGGCAATTGGGCGAACCTTGTTGTCGGGGGTGATCAACACGCTGGAACTAATCTTGAAGCAAATGTCGCATGACTTGGCCTTGGTCTCGGCCACCTTGCGGTGCGTGTAGGTATTAGGAAACGACATGTCCAGCAGCAGTCGCGCAACAGTCGCGTAGCAAAGCTACCCGATCCACAACGGTCGTGGACAGGGTTCGGTTGGGGAGCTCAATGCGGTGGGATGATTTGGGTGGGAGTACCCCGCACAGTTATACCAAGTGCCCGTCCGTACATACAGTATGCACACAACGAAGGAGGCACTGTGGCTTCCGCCGCCCAAACCGTGACATCAATGGGGAAAAACATGAGGACCAAAAGAAGTAAAATGGGATTAAAAACCAAGACCAAAAGAAGAAAAAGCGCTGTATTGGGTATCATCTATCTCCTCTCTAAATCCAGTATACAAGATCCTATGCTACCAAAAATATTAATTGATGCTATAAACGACAACCCTTGGTAACGCCATCATCCGTCGGCTTCAATCGACAGAAACACGACGATTCAATTTTGATGTCGGCGCCTGCCAGAGCAAGTGACAACTGCTTGCGGATGATGCTCGCCTCGGCGGTGCGCCCTAGGCGTCGAAGGCACTCGTGATAACCGTGTAGGGCCCAGATGTTGTTTGGGTGCTGGTGGGCTCGGACGAGACCGGCACCGAGACCGAGGTCATCGGCGTAGATCCTGGCAGCCTCATCGACGTGCCCCTGCTCGAGCAGTAGCGCGGCATATGGGTGGCGTGAGGGGATCATCCAACCCCAGGGCTCTGAATAAAGCAGCGAGTCATCCCGCGCGATGGCGAGGCGCAAGCTCTTGAAAGCAACCTCGTAATTGCCGCGTCGATACTCTATCTCTCCCTCTAGCATAGCTGCTGCAACTGCGAGTTCGTCAACGACCTTGTTGGGGAAGTCGAGGCGGCTGGGCGGCACGCGCCTTGCCGCGTCCCTAAAGACGTCTTGGTATCCAACTGCGGCCTTGACGTCGTTGGTAGCCGCATATGCAATGCCCTTCCCATAGTACGTCATGGCGACGGTGACGCAGTGGAGCTCCTTGTCCTCTGGGACTGGCAGCTGCTTCAGCTCCTCCCACATGCCGAACCGGATGAGGACATGAACGCGAACCGACTTGAAGAACTCCAGCCAGCTCGCCATCGGAGGGGAGGTCATCAAAAGCATCGTCTCGGTGATCGTATCTTCCATCCGAGTGGTGGCGTCAAGGGCGGCTTGGGATTGACCGGCCATCATGGCGTTGTATATGAGAGAGTGGTAGTTGTGCATCCGATAGAAGGAATAAAAGTTTCTCCCGCCCTCCCGGGCATAGTACCTGTCGTCGGCAATAGTGGCTTCTAGATTGGTGTGAAGAGCTCGCCGGTAGTCCCCGACAAGAACATCGATATGGCTGGGCATGTGGCGCAAATGGCCGGCATCGGGGACCAGGCCTCGCAAGTAATCGGCCGCGTTGACAGCGTCCTCGGGCATCTTAGACATCTCAACGAGGTGGATGTACATATGGAGGATACCGGGATGATACCTTGCGTCAGGTAGCGTCATACCGCGTTCGAGCATCCCGCGTATTTCAAGGACGGGGGTATTGAGATTGGGTTCGCCGGTTTTTGCCCGGTAAAGTTTCCAAGGTGCCGTGTTCATCAGGGCATCCGCTACGAGGGCAGTGACGTCCAGATCCTGCTCGCCAAAATCCTTGCCCACTTGCCTCATGGCATCGGCGTATGCGAGAACGGATTTCGACCCCAGGTCCACGAGCGTTGTAGCTGAAGGGAAACGATACGTGAGAGCGTCGATAAGGGCCCGCTCGACAGGGGTCGCGGACGCGGACATCTCCTGGGCTTTGCGGGAGAAATTGTAACATGTTGCCAAAGATTGTGACAAGTCCTCCTTATCAAAAGCCGACCAACCCTTATTGTAGTTGGGGCCCGTTGCAAATGCAACACCCCAGTAACCCATGGCGCAGCCGGGATCGTGAAGTACCACTTGTCCGAAACACGCGGCAGCCTCGGCGTGGTTGAAAGCGTAAACCCAGTTCAGCCCGCGATCGAACCAAGTTTGGGCATCTGCACTCCTGGTGCTTACGCGACGCGTGTGTCGCCCGAGATCGTAGTACGGACTACCCGCCGCCAGCCGTTTTCCCCCGTTGCTGGAACACGGGCTGAGAGTCATGGCGATGGCGGGGAGAAAGAAATAATTTTTTTTTATTAAAGAATAAATTACGGGAAAAGCCACTTGAAATGGCAATCTTGGTTATGGGCGTGAGGTTTTGTTTTCAAACCGGTGGCGAGAGTATCAGACGGAATACAGTCCCCGTTGGAGGAAAGCCACATGACCTTCCATTCTGCGCGGATGTGCAACGGCCACCTCGTGTGGCTCAAACAGCCGCCCACGCCAAAAAAGCAAAACCCTAACCCTCTACGTCGGGATTGCGTTTCATCCCACCTGAGATAATTACCAACAGGAAATTCGAGGGAAGTCGAACTTTTTTGCCAAAGGACCTTCCATTGTCTACATCATCGCGGTGTCCAAACCAAAGAACAAGACTACGAATATAGATTCCCTACTCTCACCGATATGTACAGGCATCACATACAGCCCCCCATTCCTGACTGGTTTACTCGCGTGTCGCATTACGCGGTATCGATTGTACATGCATGGGAGGTAAGGTACCTGATCAAACCTGGCCGTGCATGGAAGTTTGTCCAGGCCCCTAAACCCGGAGTCCACCTCAAATCATTCCACGGCTCATTATAAACAAATGACGGCTCCCGCCGGTCAGTTATCTCCGCTTATTATTTTCCATTTCTACCCGCACCACAAGGCGGCGGATGCTTTTGGCTAGATCAGACCAGAAACGGGCGCAGAGCATGCCCGGGTCTCTCCATAACGTACGCTACATTAGGTAGGTACCTAGGTAACGTACCGGCTCAACACTTTCCTCGCCGATCTTGGAAGAACGTACCATGTCAGGTACGCAGGTAATTACACAACTATACTTAATCGGCATCCCATTTTGCCCCAACACCACCTAACAAAAACAACATCGAGACCGGCTCCTTCTCGAAAAAGAGAGGGATAATAACTACGCACGCCACACTGAATCTTCTGCGGTCGCTCCGTCTACTATATTTGCCGTTGGTGAACACGGCGAAGTCGAACAATCGGTCCGAATCTCGCACGACGTTGTTCAGGTCAAGTGGGTCCGTGATGCTCCAACAGGGGCCAACAGGGCCGATTCATGGAAACAAAATGGAGCAGGAGAGAGGGTCTTCGCGTTATCCGTAAGCGCCTCCTGTTCCTGTTCCTGAATCGCTGTGATAGATCGTCCGAGATCCTGGAAACCCGGAGAGTCATGCACCTTGACTTTGATGAGCGAGCTCTCAGGTCTTGTAAAACGAGATACAACGAAAGACGCTCTGGAGTCTGCACCATCTTATTTCTAGGGAGGCTGTCATTAACCAGATGAACAGTGAACGTCATCGTCAAGCAGCCAAGACACAGAGCCTCAGCTCGGTGATTCCCGACTCACTGCCGTGCACTAGCCTCCCTAGGTGCCATGATCTGCGTTCAAGTGGCGCCCTCTGCATGGCAAGCTCCGTGCCGTTTCCCTGTCGTGGCACGCCCATTTGCAGGTGGCCCCGTTGGTTCTCCGCTTCTCAGCAGGAAAGCCCATAGCCAACAGCCCTCCATCGGCCCTTTAAGCTCAGCTTTGACCAACAGGGACACTTCTCCGGGGCCTATCCTCGGCGCCTCGAAACCGGCCAAACCCAGAAGCCACGAGGTCTTACAACGCTCCGGGCTGCAACAGAGAGCGACTTGCACCGCCGAAATCGAACAGCAGGAAGGCCAGCTTTGAGGTTGGGGTGTGAGATCAACCGCCGACATAGTTACTCGCATCACCATGTATGTACATACATACCGCCGTGCACTCAAGGGAGCGTGGCCTCGCCGCGTCAAGCATGGCCACAGCCAGGATTGCCCCTTGGGAGGAGCGCCCGCCCTGTTATCTGGCCGAAGGAGTCGAAAGGAACGTGCATTACCCCTACACACGCGGCATTAGGTACTTTGTACTCGACCACTTCCCATCCTCCGCATAGCGAAACACTAAACCAAACATGGAATACCCGACAAAGGGGATGACCACGTTTAGTGGACCACTCCTCCACCCGGTCGGCGTGGAGTAACGGGGAAACCTCCCCTTCTGCCTCGTTCCCCGGATTCTCCGCACTCGCCGCAACCTGCCCAACACCCCCAGGTTTAAAAGCAGGATCCTGCAGCATTGGTTCAGCTCTCTAGGCCTCTGGGCCGATGAACTCTGCCTCGGCCTCCTGTGTCCGTCTCCCTCCTCCATTCTCAATTTTGCGGTTTGCTATCGGGGTACTTGCCGTGTCCTCTTTGGAACACAATGCCCCTCGCCGTCTCAAAACCTCCTGGGGAGGCCGGCTCAGCATGGCCGGCCATCGCCATCAGTGCCTTCGTGGCCTTTGGCGGCGTGCTCTTTGGATACGACACGGGTACCATCAGCGGAATCCTCGCCATGGACTACTGGAGGGACCTCTTCTCAACTGGCTATCGTGATCCCAAGGGTCACCTGGACGTGTCACCCTCGCAGTCGTCCGCTATTGTGTCCATATTGTCCGCCGGCACCTTCTTTGGTGCCCTCGCCTCACCGCTCCTGGGTGACACCATCGGACGCCGCTGGGGCCTCATTGCGTCGTGTTGGGTCTTCAACCTTGGCGTCGCGCTCCAGACAGCGGCCACTGCGCTCCCTCTCTTCCTTGCCGGGCGCTTCTTTGCGGGACTAGGAGTCGGCCTACTCTCCGCGCTCGGTGAGTGCCAGATCTTTGTCTCTTTGGTAGTGAATACTGGATAGCTAATGACGTCTTATCAGTCCCACTATACCAGTCGGAAACCGCACCGAAATGGATCCGAGGAGCTATTGTTGGGAGTTATCAGTTCGCCATCACTATCGGCCTGCTCCTCGCTGCTGTCGTCGACAATGCCACACATCTCCGCATGGACACAGGTTCCTACCGGATCCCCATCGCCGTCCAGTTCGCCTGGTCCATCATCCTCATCGTGGGTATGCTTCTACTTCCAGAGACACCCCGCTATCTGATTAAGCGAGGGCAAATGGACAAGGCCAAGTCGGCTCTTGGACGTCTTCGCCGGCTGCCGCAGGACCACGCCGCTGTCCATGACGAGCTTGCTGAGGTCCAAGCCAGCTACGAGTATGAAATGAGCGTAGGCGAGGCCGGCTATCTCGACTGCTTCCGCGGCGGCATGCTGAAGAGGCAGTTGACGGGCATGGGCATTCAAGCGCTACAGCAACTTACGGGTATCAACTTCATCTTCTACTACGGCACGCAATTCTTCCGCAACTCCGGCATATCCAACGCCTTCACCATCACGCTCATCACCTCCTGCGTCAACGTCGTATCCACCATTCCTGGTCTTTATGCGACCGACACGTGGGGCCGTCGACCTCTCCTCTTCCTCGGCGGCATCGGCATGAGCATCAGCCAACTTCTTGTGGCCGTCCTCGGTACCACCACTACCGGGCAGGATGCCGACGGTAACATTCTCGTGTTTAACCTTGCCGCGCAAAAGGCATCTATCGCGTTTGTTTGCATCTACATCTTTTTCTTTGCCTCCACTTGGGGCCCCCTCGCTTGGGTGGTCACAGGCGAGATCTTCCCCCTAAAGCACCGTGCTAGGGGTTTGTCTATCACGACTGCCACCAACGTATGTACCTTTCCGTCAAGACCACATACGTAAAGTATGAATGCTGACCATGAATCTGGACATACAGTGGCTACTCAACTGGGCTATTGCGTACGCGACGCCGTATCTGGTCAACTACGGCGAAGGGTATGCCAACCTGCAAAGCAAGATCTTCTTTGTCTGGTTTGGCTCCTGCTTTCTGTGTATCGCCTTTGTGTACTTCCTCATCTACGAGACCAAGGGGTTGTCGCTAGAGCAGGTGGATGAGATGTACGGGGACAAGACGTGCACTCCGTGGCGAAGCGCCGGTTGGCGGCCCAGTGAGATCCCTCGGGAAAAGGGCAAGGAGGATAACGGCGACTCGGCTAGCGCCGAAGTCGTTGTTCTAGAGGAGGTTAGCCCACAGCCCGCCTCGCGGGTGTAAGTACTAGAAGCACTAGGGTATGACAAGGTGGGCGGTTGGAGCATGTGAAAATGATAGCGAACGTGGGTTTTTTTTTTTTTTTATATAACGAGCGTTCAAATACATATTCAATATGTACACCTAATTTCCTGGAGCAAGCGTATGTGAAACATGAAATGGGGTAAAACCCTGAGGGTCGGTCGGGGGTGGGATGCCGAAGGCGTTGAGATAAGAGCACTCGACGATTTATCCAAGGTACCTAGGTATATTGGCGTGAGAACTGGAAAAAAGGTGGTCAGAAGAGGAGTTGGTTTGAGGACATGGTGAAACTGGCGCTGCCGGTTTGGGGAAGACAGAGCCGACACGAAATCGCGGCGCTGTGATGCTCATCCGCCCAATCTGTCTTGAAGGACACCTCGGTGTTGGGGAAACCTAGCCATCAATCAACTCAAGTTAACTCCCTAAGGTGCCCACATTGCAGTCCACTTCAGGCATGCCGTCTTCCGCGTCAATAACCCACGTGGGATGCCAAGTCCGCATGGAGTTGTCGGGATGCTACCTCATGGTTTCCCAAAGTCGGGCGTGGTCATTGCAAACGATGTGATCTTCAGTGATCAAGGAAAAGTCCAAGCTGCCGGGTCATCTCGACGTCCTTGTAAGATGGAGAATCTACGATTGGGTTTGGCTATCCAGGAAAGCCCTTTCATTTTCACGGGTCCTCGTCCCCCTGGGAACGAGAACCTACACAACCTGCATCCGCGGCTGGTGTTCTCATCCGCTCACCACCAATCAGCAGCGCAGATTGAAGCACACCTCTGGGCGAGAGGCGGCCCACGCTTGGCAGATTATACCAGATTTAGAAAGATAACAATCCTACCCCCAGCCACGTGCAGAGAGAAGCGATGTTGGGGCCGAAGATGCATTCTTCCCGGGTTCAGGGGTAACGGAGAGGGTGCATCGAAGAGCGGATTGGGAACCGAACGACTTGATTGTCACACGTGTTTATAATTGGTTCTTGTGCAACTCTAAGTGTATATATGGGCTGGTCCCGATGCTGCGAATGTCGCGGCTTCGAAAGCTCAGAAGTTCGAGATCGCCCGCCCAGAGCTTCCGTTCCCAAGACCATCCCCCGGATCACGCAACCCGCTCGCGATGGTAGCGATCCGTTTCCTGGCCTGGTCGGACTTCGTTATCCCGAGCCTCGCGGCTCCCCACGACAATGGGAAAGAATGTAGCTCAGGCCCTGGGAAGGTCACTCCTGTCAAACGGATCTCGCTCGGCCCTCGCCCGTACTGGCTGGTTGACGACATGGACGATGGCCCGTTGAAGCAGAAGCTTGCTTCGTGCTCCGAAAAGGAGATGAAGCGAAGCGACTGGAGCATTTCACACCGCGGTGGCGGCACGCTGCAGTTCCCCGAGCATACACACGGGTCCCTCATGGCAGGGGTAAGCAACTATACCCAATCTCCCGCGCCGTTCCTTGCGAATCAAAGCCACTAACCCCGCGGCAGACGAGAATGGGGGCCGGTATTCAAGAATGCGATGTCACATTCACCAAGGACAAGAAGCTTGTGTGCCGCCACGCCCAGTGCGACCTCCACACCACCACCAACGTGGTCTCCATCCCGGAACTCAATGCCAAGTGCACGGTTCCCTTCAAGCCGGCGGCGAACGGCGCCGCTGCTACCGCTAAGTGCTGCACTTCGGATTTCACCCTCGAGGAAATTGAGACTCTGTGTGCCAAGATGGACGCCTCCAACAGCGCTGCCACCACACCGGCCGAGTTCCTCGGCGGCACGCCTGGGTATCGGACTGATCTGTACGCCAAGACTTGCAGCCGTGTGCTCAGCTTCCGCGACTATGTCGAGCTTGTTGACGGCCTGGGACTCAAGTTCACCGCTGAGCTCAAGACCCCTGAGGTTCCCATGCCTTTCCCAGCCGGCAGCGACTACACCCAGGCCAAGTTCGCCCAGCAGCTGATCGACGAGTTCAAGGCCGCCAACATCAAGCCGGAGCGCGTGTGGCTGCAGTCCTTCCTGTACGACGACCTCCTCTACTGGATCAAGGCGGAACCAAAGTGGGCCAAGCAGGCCGTCCTGCTCGACGAGAGCGCCGACGCGGCCATGACCATGCCCGAGGCGGTGGCCAACCTCAAGAAGTACGCCAAGGCGGGCGTTAAGATTATCGCGCCCCCGCTACCGTACCTCGTTGCGGTTGAGAAGGGCACCATCGTTCCGAGCGAGTATGCCCGCGAGGCCAAGAAGGTCGGCCTCAAGATTATTACCTGGAGCCTGGAGCGCAGCGGCTGGCTGGGTGATGGTTCGGGAGGTGGATACTACTACAGCAGCATTGCAAACGTTACCAACAACGAGGGCGACGTGTACAACCTGCTGCACGTGCTGGCGCAGGATGTGGGCGTGGTTGGCGTCTTCTCGGATTGGAGCGCCACCGTCACTTATTATGCCAACTGCTTTGGCCTCTTTTGAGGGAGGGAGACTGTGATGGGAGAATGGGCGTATTGGATGGGGATAATTAATGTGGATCTAATAATTGAAATCCGGGGCGATCAACGCGTTTCATCGTCCCATGTTCCAAGTACCAGGGCATGCCATGATGTTGCAGCCGCGGATGCAATTAGCCGCCGGGTATTGTCAATACTGCCGTGCAAGCATCGTGGGAACCTGTCACTACGGACACATTGCATCTTGATAGCTAGCCCTGAATTACCTACTATTATGTCGAAATCACAACTCTTTCCAATAGACCCAGGCCATTGCTAAACTCCCTCGACATCCAAAATGGTGGGCTCGGGGTCGGTAATTCGGGTTTCCGGCTCTGCTCATCAGCTCGCCAGCACGCGCCTCTCGTCCGTTTTGGTATTCTTATTTTATCATGCGGCGTTAGTGACGTCGTCTCTCGCCCACTCAACACAATGCCTAAACGAGCCTGCAGGCAGATTGCAGGAAAATAGATCCGGTGTCTGTCCCGTTCCAGGAAGAATCGGGATTGTGGAAGAGGGGGATGACAACGTCATGTCCTGGTCATTTCCCCCCAAATGTATCAACCAAGTGTCTTTGGACAATTCGTCCCGCATCGATTGTCTCTTTACTTCAACTGAGTTCCGCAACGGTCACGGCACCAGCCTGGTGACGACCACCACCAGCGCCTCGCATCTGATTGGACTCGAAGCCTTCTCGGATAAGCCAGCACCGCTTGTCGCCCAACGGCGTGACTCCCTTGGGCCATCGTATGATATCGTCCCTGTCGAAGGAAAAGGCCAAGGTGTGGTGGCAAACAGGTTGATTCGGAGGGGAGAGATCATCATGGTCGATGTTCCGGCGGTGCTTGTTTCGATCCCGTTCTTGGCCGACACCAAGCCGCATCACCGGCGTCGCATCATCAAACAAGCTATAAACCAGTTACCCGAAGAAACCCGGCGCCGGGTCTACAGTTTGAGTCGGGGCTCGTCAAAGTACGAGGTGGACGCAATCATGGGGTCCAACTCAAATACCATCACAGTGGGCGAGGACGAAGTCCACGTCGGCTTGTTCACGGAGGCTGCGGTACGTCGAGCGCCTGGTGAAGGTTGACGGTAGTTGCTCGTGTTGGCTAACGAACATCGCCCCCCACGGTAGAGGATCAACCATGCGTGCAGACCGAAGTGAGTTTGCTCTTGATCTAATTTGGAGGCTCGTTATGTGTTAACAACTTTTGATAGCGCATACTACAGATTTTCAGAACGTCGGTTGACTATGGAAGTGGTGGCCTTCCGCGCTATTCAGCCAGGCGAGGAAATTTTCATGAGCTGTACGTTGTTATGGCCATGTTCCGACTACTGATGCTATGATTCTAACTATTCTAGACGTTCCTCTCGAAACACCAGTGGAAGAACGCCGAAAATACTTGCAAGACCACTGGGGTTTCAACTGCGCCTGCTCGCTCTGTCGCGCATCGAAATTGGATGCCGACAATTCCGAAGCTTGGAGAGAAAAGGTCAAGAGTCTGAAATCAACAATCCTCGATGCGAGAAGCCAAGAGTATTACCAACACGCAATTGTCATGACGGAAGAGTGGCTTCAGGTCTCCGAATGGGACATGACCCCGCCTTTCATGCCTGATTACCACGATACCCTCGCAGATCTCTACTTTCTGAAAGGAGACATGGTGAATGCTACAAGATACGCTCGCATGGCTGTGGACGGGTGGGCAAGGTTGGGTAGCGTGGATGAGGAGCAACTGGAAAGGTCTGCGGCGTTCCTGCACCGTGTGGATGAGTTGAACGAAAAGGGAAGGTGATTAAGAGAGACATTGAATGGTACAGTAGTTTGACATCCATGATCCAAGCCTTGGTTAGGTGCGAGTCCAGCCCTCACTCGGTGTGTCGGATGTTAGTACTAGAAGCCGTGAAGTTGTCCTAGTCCGAGCTAGAAAGCGAGCCTTCAAACCGCTAGCCTCCGTTGTTATACAACGCCAGTTGTTCGTGGCGCCAGTGGCGGTAAACACGTTCAAAGTGTCGTATGTACATACGCTTCGGGGTTCTCGGTCGGTTCTACCCCGCTCTAGTAAGCTGAGAGCTGCAGTGACACCATGTGCTGCACAAGGCGGGACGGCCCAGGGGCTGAATGGTTGCGCCACCTGCGAGCCATGCCACCTTAATCACCTTTTTGGTCGTACTCGCACAGACCTGAAGTCCCCGATGGTTGGGTTCCTGCGCTTACTGTATGATGGTGTAAGCGGTTCTACTTCTCTGACCGATAGTATTCAGGGTTGTGAGTTGTTCCCGGATGCCTTGAAAAGACAAGGGGCCTATAAGTAGGGAGGTAGTTAACAGAGATGATCCGCCCTCCGGCATCACTGCAGTGTAGTATCATCTACTAACTCACTCAGTACTGTCACCATGTGGCGAGTTTCGCTTTTTCTGGCCGCTATTCACCTCGTATCGGGTGTTCAGGGGCTTGCTGTAAGCTCGGTCCACGCCCCCAGCGACACTCAACTGACCACTGAAGCCATCGGTGATTTCGAAGAAGTCGGGTTTGCGGGTGTAAAACGTACAACTTCATCCACGCCACAGCCTGAGTGCAAATCCTTTCCAGGAGACAAATCTTGGCCCAAAGAATCCGAATGGTCGCGTCTCAATAAGACCCTGGGAGGTGCTCTCTTGAACCCCCTCCCGGCTGCGTCCGCGTGTTACAGCACGTCACCCAACTTTAATGCCGAAACCTGCAGTTTCCTCCTCAACAATGCGAGCCGCACAACCTTCTATCTGGATGACCCCCTCACTATCTTGACGCAGTGGCCCCAGGGTAACACATGCCTCATCTCCCGAAATCCGACCGGCACCTGTACTCAGGGGGGATACCCCGTCTATGTGGTCAACGCAACAAACGTCAAACAAGTCCAGGCCGCGGTCAATTTTGCCAGAAACAAAAACATCCGCCTTGTGATCAAGTGCGTATTTCAAACAAATACCAACTCAGCGCCGAATGTGACTGACAGTTGCTGGATAGGAACACCGGGCATGACTCCGGCGGACGGAACACAGGGGCGGGCTCCATTAGCGTTTGGACGCATTACCTGAAGGGCTTTGAATTCCTTCCCAACTATAAGCAGCCCGGCGGAAATTACCGAGGCCCAGCTGCCCTCGTGGGTGCCGGGCTGCAAGTGTGGGAAGTCTTTGCGAATGCCGAACGATACAACATCACATTGACGGCGGCGTCTTGCCTCACGGTCGGGTCGTACGGTGGTTGGATAACCGGAGGCGGCCACTCTCCTCTCAGCTCCAAGTATGGTTTGGGCGTCGACCAGGTCTTGTCTCTGCAGGTTGTCACGGCCGACGGGCGATACGTAACAGCAGACCCCAAGACAAACGAAGACCTGTTTTTTGCTATGAGAGGGGGCGGAGGCAGTATGTTCACGTTCCCATAACTTGCGCTGTTTTGGATATCAAACACAACTGCTGACCTACGAGATAGGCACGTACGGGATTGTCACCTCGGCCATCGTTAAAGCGCACCCCCAGATCAACTTGACGATCGCGAGCTTTAACTTTGCTGTCGGCGATACGGTATCAACGACTCCGAGCCCCAGCGTCACGATCACCGACATCGACACATTCTGGAAAGGGTTCAACGAAGTCTACGCATTTGGAGTCCCCACCTCTGACGCTGGGGGGTATCTGTGGACCAACGGCATCCCAACAGGCGCGAACCGCTACCAAATGCAGACCCAGGTCCAGCTACCCGGCCTAACGCCGGACGAGGCCACCGCCTTTGTACAACCGCTCCTCCGCACCCTCAACGACCTCGGGATCCCCGTCGCCATCACCACCCCAACCACCCGCGTGTACAGCAGCCAAACCGGAAACACCGGAGGCCAACCCGGCAACGGGTACTACGCGTCCCGGTTGTTCCCGCGCGCGTCCTTCGAAAACGGCACGCTCTTCGCCGCGGCCATGGCGGCGGCCCGGGCGACGGTCGAGGGGGGGTACACCTTCCACGGCCTCAACATGGCGCCGACGCTCAAGGCGGCCGGGTACCCGGCCCCGGCCGGCCTCAACCCCGTGTGGCGCGACACCGTCATGCACGCTGACGTGTTCGCGCGGGTCGACATGGGCGCGCTGACGCCGGCGCAGGGCGCGGCCGAGCAGCGCCGGCTGAACGGCTACATGGAGGCGATCCGCACGGCGACACCCGGTAGTGGGGCGTACTTCAACGAGGCGGATATCCAGGAGCCGGATTGGCAGCGCAGCTTCTTTGGGTCCAACTACGAGAGGCTGGCGCGCATCAAGCGCGAGCGGGACCCGTGGCATGTGTTTTGGGCGCCGACGACGCCTGGCAGTGAGGCGTGGGCGGTGCGGACGACGAGCGAGCTGCCGACACAGAATGGTCGGCTTTGTCGCGTGTAGGGGGAGTGATCCCTTTGTGGTTGTGGATTGGGTCTGGAAGGCGCGCAACTGTTTCATGGAAGAGCTGTACTTAGTGCTGCCCTGGAGTGCTAAGTTGAATCCTGGGGGCGCCAGCCTCATCCCGTTTGTGTTCCTGCCTGGTTGGGATAACCAACCGGAAGTCCACTAGTTGGAGGTAGGAAGAGCGCGGGATTCAGCAGCCTGTCGAATTCTGAGTCCCAGTTCAATCCGAGACCGTAGTTAGTCTCTGGTGCTTGGAGTTGCATGAGATTCGTGGGATAAAGCGCGCCCCAATGCTCATCTGAGCCGCTACCGGAAACCCCCGGTTGAGCTTCGGACCCCGTAAACATATCATCGACGCAAAATGTGCTGTTAGGGGTCAGGTCTGGGCCTGACCCCGTTGCCGAGTCCGTGCCTTGTGACAGCAGCGGCGTGAGAGTCGGCTCGCTACCACTTGCAGTATCCGCGTGCTGCTGGGGTCCGTATTCGTCCAGAGGCATCTGCGACTGCTTGTAGAGACCCAGCAGTCTCGGCTGTAGATTCAGAATAATATCCGCAATTCGTGGGCGGACCCGTTCCTCGACGTCCTGGAATTCTTCGCGGAACAATGTTTCCAACTCTCGTCGTACAAGCGTGGGCATCTCTCGGCGAATGAAGGTGGCGTAGTCTTCTAACTCCCCTGGTCCGCCTAGCTCCTGGTTTTCGTTTCCGCCTTCGGACTCGTAATCTGGCGGTTTGGTTAGAAACATGTTTCTTAGTATCAAAAGCAAGAGTTGAATTGTCTTACATGGGGATGGGATAGCACCCTGCTCGTCATCTGGAAACAGGATCATGTAGATCTCGCGCCATTTATCTACATCGGTCATGTCCGCATGCGTCTTCTTGCGGCTACGCAGTCTCTTTTCTTGATCCTTAGTAAAGCCCTCTTGGATGGTTCGATTCCTTTGAACCGAGCATGGTGGGTCTTGTTGCAAGTGTAATTGGAGTTGGCCGTCTGTTTTAAAAGTTTCCCAGCACCGGGGACACTGGATGGGAAGGGCGTGTCGCCGGTAGAGGTGCGTCCTGCAAGCCAGTCGTTAGCGTCATCGTAGGCTAATGGCGTGTTTAGGAAAACCTACTTGACCCTATGCACTTCGTCCCATCCCGGCCCAGGGCATGAAGTCCACTTGCGGTACTTTTTCGGATTCCGTTGAAAATAGGGGCAGGCAAATTTGCCCGTGCCTTTCTCTTGGCTCGGGGCCGCAACGCTCAACGAAGCTCGCTTGGTCTTCTTGCGCCTGCCGTCGCCGTCGTCTTCTTGAGGCGTTTGAGGCAATGTACCCGGACCCAATGCCTCAGGTCCGGAGGCCCGCTTCATTCCCTGCGTAGCTTGCCATTCCTCAGGCGTCTCCAACCCATATTGCTGGGCCTGGGCCGAGGGAATCGGGTCTTGGTTGAGGAGATTAGGAAGAGGCGGTACGGATTGGTGCGCCAAGGGCGGGCCTCCGAAGGCCTTGAAGCTGTATCTGACGAAGGGCAAATCCATTTCTTGCTCGGCCGACGAGGCGTTGGTTTCGAAAGGGGTGGTATTAGTCGTGACAGAACCAAAATAGGTGTTACTTGACTGAGAAGCGCCCCCGCCGGGCAAGGTCTGTTCACCGTCGTCTAGTGGGCTATCAGGGGCATGTTGAGGGCGTAGTAGGCCTGACTCTACCATTTCGTATTGAGCCTGCGTTTCTCCCGACGAGCGGGCCCGGAAGGCAGGAAGTCTTCCTGCACTGCTGAGCTCAGCTCCCGCGACTGAAGTTTCTTGGTTCTGGGAGCGAGCCAGAAGCTGGATGGTTCCACCACTCGGTGGCGCGGCAGCGGAAAGCGGACTGGACAGCCCCCCTGCTCGCCGCACAAACCGCATAGGCGCTTGAGGTGGAGGAGGGGGAGGAGACGGTGCGGGCGCCTGTCGGCGGGAACGGAATGATGCGAAAGTCACAGGTAAGGGTGGTGGGGGTGGACCTGGGGACGACCCGTGCGTTGTTGATGGGAATCCTAAAGATGCCGGTGCTGGGGCGTGAGTTGTAGCCAACATTGGAGTGAAGAACGAGGCCATCGCACTTGGCCCAGGTTGTGGGATGCCGGACCCTGGGGCGCTCGGCGCCGGCTGCACGTCGGTGGGATGACTCCAGCCCCGAAGTTTGGTCTTTCTCTTCTCCACGGCACGACGTTTCGGCAACACTGCACCCGGGGCAGTGTCCTCTAGTACAGTTTTGGTGGTAGCAACGGGTGGTTTGCGAGGTTCCGCCTCCCCTAATTCCTCCTTCTTCACCACCGGACGTGCTTTAGCCCCTTTGATGCCGGCAATCTTGAGATTGAGCGAAGCGCAGAAACTTTTCATGATGCGGTCGATCATCTCGGACTCGCCGCCATTGTCTGGATTGTGCCCGACCGGGGCTTCATCCGAGCCAGTACTCTGCTGCTCATCGTCTGAGATATCGGCATCCGTGTTGCCGCCGGGGGACGCAGCAGCATTGGGGGCGGGTGAGTGTTGGCACTGTTGGGTTTTGATACCATGAGGATGACCGTGAGTTTTGGACTCCGCGGGCATTTGGGTCGCTGTGATGTCCGCAGCTTGCCGTGGCATATCCTCAGTGTTTTCAGGATCTTGGGTGCAAACGCGAGAGAAGTCATCAACTAAGAGTGCGATGCTAGCGGTTGTGGGTGATCGAAGATGGGGTTGATCTGGCTGTCGCCCAGACTCAGGGGTTGACGGTGACTCCAGTGAGTCTGGCAATGGTCGCGGCCCCGCACTCAAGCTCTCCAGGTCTTCTTGTGTGTTGGGCATCGGAACCAACGAGCAGGCTAAGACTGGATATAGTTAAGAAATTGGTGGGGAATCAAAGAGATATGGTTGTACATGAAAGCTTAAGGAAGGGGAGGGCTCTTGATCAAATTGCTGCCTTGGTTTAGGGAAGGATGCTGAGGTAAGTCCTTTGCACAAATGGGCAAAAGTTCGAGGTTCAAAGCGGGCAGTCAGCCGGCGCGGAAGAAACACGTGAATCTCTGGTTAAGACCGGGTTAGGGTTGATTGCGTGTCTCCTGAACCCCCCAGCCCCTTACCATCGGCGGCTTTCTTGTGGCTTCCCCCTTGCCCCCTCTAGCTATGTACATGCTCGTTGAATATGTTACAACTTGTGAAGGCCAACCGTCTGGCGTTATCTCTACCATTATCATTACACGACCTCCGGTCATTTACCTACGTTAGAAGACCGCGGCTTTCTGTTTTCTATTTCCAGCCCGAGTCACCACGGACCTCTCGCCCGTGGAGCAAAAATGCACGACTCTCGAAGAACCGGCGGATGCCCTGCCATGCCAAGCTAGCATTTCCCGAGATTAGCTGACACAATCAGCGTTAGCTATATCAGTGGCTGGTATACAAGGGGGACGAAGGAGGTAGCATACCCAGAGTGCAGTTCTCGTCGGTGTAGTGACCGTTGATGTAGCAAGTCTTGTCTTTGACTTGCACTTGGTGCCAGCCGCTTCGAGTCGAGTTAGTCGAGAGAATCTCTTTGGTGGGTCAAAAGACTGGCGTCACAAATCTCCTTACCAGTTAACGTTTCCGCTGTCCGTTACGCATTCTCCAGTCTTCACACACATGAAGCTGCCAACGGTTTTGCCCTTCAACTCTGTGACTTTTTTGTATTGGGTGCCGGGGCCCGACCGGCAATTCACTGTCGAAGAGACGTTGACAATTTTACAGGAGATGGGCTCCTTTCGAACATAACCATAGTGGGGGTCGACCATCTTGTCGGTCGAAGCGGCCAAAAGGCCGGCGGGGAGGAGGGAAGCCGTAAGGAACGTGGTGATTCTCATGTTGTCCAGATGCAAGTGGTGCGGCCCTGGGTGGAGCGATCAGCTGTGCGTGGAAAATCCTTGGAAGTCTTTATAATTGTCGGCCCCCTTCTGCCCACAAGCAATAAGACGGTGGAATTCCTGCCGGGACAGGCAGTTTGGGTCTTGTCACCTTCCTTGTCAGGGGTGATATCCGCCCCACACCATGTTCCCAGAAGCCGAGGAACCATCGCACATTGGTTCACACACACACACACACACACACAATTTATTCCGCCCGGCGGGCCTAACCCGAAAGGGCAACTATCATGCAATCTACTAATACATATCCTAAAATGGATCCTGATCTCATGAAGCCCGTACATCCTCCTTTTCTGGCTTATCTCCTTACAATTTTGCCCTCTCTGCTGCGGATGCTCGTGGGTTAGTTGTACGAATAGTAAGCTGGCTTGAAGGCTAGTCTCCAAGTGTCCAACGTCCTATCTTCGGCGGCTGAAGCGCGCTTACTCCGTGTGACACGAGATGAAGGGGGTTGTTAGTCGGGGTTTAGGATGGTGAGGTTAGTTTGCTTCATTCTGTTGTTGTTCAGTCCTCAGACGACCTGTGGCAATGGCAAAACGTATCGTCGCCCGCACCGCCCGCATGTTGGGGGACCAGTCCTTGTCATCCGAGGGCGACTTTCCTCCCAGGTAGAAGGAGAGGTTCCCCCTGTGGACATCCGTACATTGCAGCATCTCCCTACGGTGTTGATCCCATTGCTTGCATCGGAAGAGGAAGTGGTCCACTGTCTCTCTGGCTTGTCCACACGTACACTGGTCTGACGGTGCTGCTTTGATGCGATGCAGGTATGTGTTGAGCTTGGCCATGCCTGTTCTAAGCTGAGCAAGCACGCCGGCCTCGCTTCGGGACAGGTGGTCGTATAATAGTTGGGTGTGCTTCCCTGGTAACGCTATATCGACTCTCTTGGAATGTCTGCCCACTTTGTCAGGTAAGGACGTGGGCGGTGCCCGCTTTGCCCATGCGATACGGAGGGCTGTTGACCGCATGGCAGGATCCTGCGTTTGTGGCGTAGCGTCCTGCCGTGTTGCTTCCTTTGCTTTCGCTTTGGCTGTGTTCAGGAGCTCGTTTTTGGTACCCGCTTGGATCCAGACGACCGAGATCGTGTTTCCCGCCTTGCGTAAGGCACTTATCGCATCGTACGCCTGACAGAGATATTGTTGTCCTGATTGCTGGTGTGGTCGCTCCAAGGGCCATCACGGCTGCCTTGTTGCTGGTGGCAAGGATGATCTTTCGGTACCTGATATTTCGAATCCACCTCAACGCGTACCCAATAGCCGCAAGCTCGCCTGAGAACGGGTTTTGCTCCGACCTGGAGCCCAGCGTCACACTAAAGGCTTCGTTCCTTGAGCCCTCTCGCATCGGCAGCGGGAGGCGGACGACTCCTCCGATCCCGACCATGTTGTTTCGTGCGGAGCTGCTTACGGCGATCCGGACCGCCCACTCTGTCTCTTTTTGCTGGATGCCCGCTCCGTCAACCGTAGTGCGGACTCGCCTCTCCCATGGCGCTAATACGACGGGAGCGATGGTTTCGAGGCTGTCCAATGGGACGTCCTTGAGGAGATCTGCTACCTGAAAGAAAGGCGAGCGGTAAGATCCCCGGAACTTGCGCATCCGGGAAGTGGCGTTGCGGAGTGGATTCGTCTCTGGTAGGGTGTGGATGTCCGTCCACATCTTGATCGCCCTCTTCCAGAATCGATCTTGAGCCATGGGGGTGTGAGCTTCTGCTTCTGCTACGCGTGTTGCTACCGTGCTGAACGTTCCTATGATCCCTCGCGCCGCGACCCTCTGCACCCTGTGTATGGCCGGCGCGGTCTTCCAATTGCATTGGTGCATCCAGACGCTGGAGGCGTAGTCCACCACTGGCGCGACCATGGCGGTGAACAGCTGCCGCGCCGTAGCCGGGGATAGACCACTGAGCCGTTTCAGCTCCATCGCCGCGCTGAGCCCTTTGGAGGCCGCTCTTGCGATATGCTCCTTGTACCTGAGCTTGGCATCCATGACCACTCCAAGGATCTTAACGTGGTCTTTCGGCTGAACATCTTGACCCTTGATCGTAAAGGGCTCCGAGTTGGCTTTATAGGCCTTGCGGGTAAAGTGGATGACGGCTGTCTTGTCTGCTTCAAATGTCGCTCCGCTTCTCTTTTCCCAGTCTAGTGCTTGGTCGATGATTGCTTCGATGCCCTTGCGTGTGCTTTGTGCCGTCGGTCCTGTGACCCAGGCGGTAAAGTCATCGACAAAGGCTATTGCACCACCGTTGCTATCGATCTTTCGCTGGACCAGATCCGCGTTGAAAAAGAGGAACAAGATAGGGGAGAGGGGCGAGCCTTGGGGCAGGCCAGCCTGTGGGAGGTCCCGTCGTTCCGCAGCATGCCCGTTGACCTGGATAGAGGCCGTACGGTCAGAACAGAAAGCTTCTGTCCATCGGCACAGCTCTTCCGGGATACCACGTGCCCTCATCCTCTGGACCAGCCGTTCCTTGCAGACTCCGTTATAGGCTCCCTTGACATCGAAGCTAATGAGGCTGACAATCTTCCGTCCTCTCCAGGCCGTGTAGATCTGCTCCTGTAGAAATACCAGCGCCTGCTCTGCTGATCGCTGCTTCCGCGCGCCGAAGTGGTTGGTGGGCAGGAGGCCGTAGGTCTCCACGGCGTGGGACAGCCGTTCCGCGATCACCGACTCTAGCACTTTGCCCAGCGTTGCTAGGAGGGAGATTGGTCTCCACGCCTTTGCGATGGTGTAGTCCTTTTTGCCCGGTTTCTTGAGCGGGATGATATTAGCATGTCGCCACTGGCTGGGAAGGGCCCCGTCCTCCAGTGAGGCACGGAAGAGCGCCAGTACATGGTGCTTGACCACCTGCCAGACTTCCTTCCACACCACTGCCGGCAAACCGTCCTCCCCTGGTGCCTTCCAGGACTTCGTTGCGAACAGCTGTCGTTCGACTTCCTCCATCGTAAGGATAGGCGTCATGATGGGTGCCCTCTGTGGTCTTGGACCTTCATCGTCGATCGTATCGGGCAAGGCCGGGAAGAATCTTGTTAGGAGCTCTTCGGCCTGTTCTCTATGATCGGCCGTGGATGTACCATCTGCTCTAACAAGTTGCGGGATCCTTCCAAACGTGGTATCATCTCCGGATTTTAGATACTTTGCAGCCTTCCAAATGTTGTCGTTGTCCGCAAGGAACTCGGCCCAGTGCTTCTTCTTCTGCTGCCGGATGGCATCGTGGTACTGTTTTGCTGCACCCTTTGCCAATTCCTCAATCTCGGCTGTGGTCCAACCTGCCCGGCGTTCCGAGCGAGCGCGGTTCCTCCAGTGCGTGTAGATGTGACGTAGCTGCGTCAGGTCCGTAGTCCACCATCGCTTTGCGTATGGCGATGGCCGGGCTTTGGGAGTGAGGGAATGAACCGCGCCTGAGACAGTGGACATCAGGCGGTCCGTTCTCTGCTGGACTGTCCCCTCCGCTGGGGTGTCCCCTAGTGTATTTGCAATTTTGGCTCTGATGTCTTTCCATGGCGCGTTCTTGAGAAGCAGTCGGTCGTGGTGCGTCGGCACAGGTACCTCAATATCGAAGACTGTTTCAATCGCGCGGTGATCTGAACCGTGTTCCGTTCTATGGACTCCACATCTGATCACGGCTTCTGCCAGTTCCTCCGAGGCCAGGACCAGGTCGATAGTCGAACCGTATCCACCTGCTTGCCATGTTATTGTGCCCCTTGGGAGTAGAGTGCTTAGAGTCAGCTCGTTCATGAGGTCGATGATGGGGTCGGCTTCCCCTTGTCTCACGGATGAGACGTCGTCTCCTCCCCACATTTGGTCGTGGCAGTTGAAATCACCTGCAACCACTATATCGACAGTCGTTCCTACGCCCCGTTTCGCCTTTGCTACCACCCTGCGGAGGTTCTCGCAGGTGTCTTTTAGTGCCTCGCCGTCCCCACACGGTACGTAGACGGACGCGACCAGGACTACGCGCTCCGGGAGCCGTATGACTGCTGCCGTGATGTCCGGGGAGTCCACTGCCACCTGCTCGGCTTCCACGATTTTGTTCACCCAGAGCATGCTCCGGATAGCCCATCTACCTTCCTTCAACGTGCACGGGATCATCTTGGTCCATTTGTGATGCTCCATAGGGGTCGTCAGGAGCCGTCCTTGGATCCTCCGCGCCTGGGGTTCCTGAATGGCTATGACGGCAGCGTCCTGGATTGCCACGTCGTTCATCAAACTATCATGCACCTCCCCTTGCTTTCTGACGTTCAATTGGATGACCTGAAACGTCCTATTCATGACGAGATGGATAGAGCTTCCGGCAATTCTTGCTGAACGATTCATGTGGTCCTCCGCACAGAACGCACTTCGGTATAGCTGCTGAGCACTCGCTGTGACGGTGGCCCTCACTAGCGCACATTCCACACACTTGAGGGTTCCTGCACTGGAAAGCTTTGTGGCCAATCTGCTGGCAGTTGTAGCATTGGTTCGGCCGCGCCCGACGTTCGAAGATTCCCGTGTATCCCGATTCGCCTCTCGCGTGGAAGAAACCCTCATTGATGAGCCTCTTAGCATCGCCGGCTTTGGTGATATATACCACCATCGATCCATACGCTTTCGCAGTGTCCTTCCGGCTCAACCAAGCCAACTTGGCGATCTGCACGTCGTTCTCTCGGCCCAGGGTTTCCGCCGCTCCGGGGAGTACTTTGCCTTCAGGGTCGAGAACGGCCGTACGGTTGACGTTGTCAATTTTGACTGGGTACAGCTGGTCACGTAGGACGTGTGCACCCGGCGCCTTCTTCGCTTCGATGATGTCCTTGATTCTCTTTACTTCCGCTTCGTTCCTGCCAACGATCCTAAGGCGGTTGATGTTTCCTCTGTCTCTGGTAACGGCAAGACAACGCCATTTGGGTTGGTCTCCCGGCGCTCGCATCTCGTTCTCGATGAGTTTGCGAAGAGCCACTGGTGTAGCCTCTTCGATGTGTTCCTCCGGTACCCTGGTCATGTCTACCGTGCAGAACGCTGGCTCTGGCGTAGCCGTCCGGCTTGCGGAGGATGCCAGACTAGGACCGCTGGTAGGAGGTGTACATCGGGCGACATCCGCATACGCCGGCCGAGCAAGAGGGGCTTCCTGAGCCTGGTTCATGGTGTGGAGCTGCAGTCTGGTGTCCTCGAGCTCGCGGCGGGCTTGGGTGAGTTGCTCTCGCGCTTGCGACAGTTCTTCGGTCAACCGGGCCGTCATTTTGGCCATCTCTTCTACCATGTGATCCCTGAGCTTTTCGAATTGAAGCTGAAATTCCATTTTGATAGTGTTCAATTTGTTTTCGAAGTTGCAGTCCGCAGTTTGCTCTTGGCCCTGGATTCCCTCCCTTGCTCTCTCGGCCGCTGCGGCCCGAATTGAGCGATTTTTGTGGTTTCTCAGCATTCTCTCACTGCTGTTTTCCTCCAGCTTCGCAGGTACAGCGGGTCTCAAGTGCCAAGTTTGCTAATTAAAGGAGACGGGAGTGCGCCGCCCCACCACATATAAAATGAGGAAGAGACACCAGCGCGAGGGATTGGATTTGGGGGCTGGAACGGCCGCCGCAGCATCTCCATCTCATCCTGGTGTTTCTCCGGAGTCCGGTGGGCGGCGAACGTTTTAGATTCCAGTAACTCCCTATCTAAAGAGACACCTACACTGCACGTTCTACCATCAATAAAAGATGGGGACTCCTAACCCATCTAAATAAGTATCCGGGACAGCCATCAAAAACACCGTGACGATGTTTTCTTCGGACTGTAGCGGTCTCCGGCCGGGTGCCACCATTTAGAACTGGCAATTCCGAATTCTCGACGGCCGAGATCCCGCCCATCCCCGATCCGCAGCCATCTCCGTAACGAATCCGAAAGTCCGAACGGCGCCGGCGACAGGGGGTTATCACCGCAGGCGGCCGGCCCCGTGTTCCGTAATTCAGGGTTAAGGTCGATTAGCATCTGAGCGCCATGCACTCCGAGACTCCTTACTCGCGTTGTGATTTGTTCATCTTCTCTTTGGTCTACTATTTTTCATCAAATTGAAGTGAGACTTAAACAGTTGCGGCTGGAAAGTATCGTGTGTCTGGAAGAAATGGAAAAAGCGTATTAGATGCCAAAGCAAAGTCGTGTGGAAACCTCGTGCAGTCTCCCATCCCCGAGTTCAATATCAAAATCGGTTTGGATTCAAAGAGGAAAGGATGCAATTCTAACTACTTCATGCACAATTCTCTAATGTCGAGGGTGTCGAGGGATGTGTACTCGCAAGAAATCAGGCCGCGGCATCCCTCTTCATGCTCTCCGCGATCCATTTCACCGTGGGCGCAGCAGCTTTGTTCATCTCCTCCTCGGTCATCTTGTTGGTAGCGAGGTACTTGTTTGGCCCCGGGATATTGGCACCTTTCTGGAAGCCGGGACGCTCAAGCAATCCCCAGAACCACTTGGAAACGTTCGGAAACTCTTCGATGGCGCGTAATCCAGAATACCCTAAAGCTTGTTAGAAAAGAGTTTCAAGTTCCAGGGCATGCGTATTGGTTGACACATACTGGTTGCAGAAACCCACGGCCAGATGGCGATATCGGCGATCGTGAGACGATCACCAACCAAGAAGGCGGTCCCTTTCTTCTCAAGGTGGCCATCCAGAACTCGAAGCAAGCGGCGGCTCTCATTGACGTAGCGGTCGATCGAATATTGGTGTACTCCTACTGCAGAGCCTGTGGGAAACTTAGACGGAATTTCCGGCTTTTCGCTGTGTTTTCCTACTTACGAGCGAAGAAGTTGGACTGGCCTAGCATGGGTCCCAAGCCGCCCATCTGCCACATCAGCTACGAAAAAGTTAGCCGGAGCATACTTCATGACAGCTCGAATGCTTACCCAACTAATTGTCTCCCAGTGCTCCTTGGTCCCGCGGGGGTAAGAGATCAGGTGGTTCTTGTCGTATGTCGCCACCAGGTACTCCAGGATAGCCCCCGACTCGAAGATCTTAAGCTCCAAGCCGTCGGCCGTCACGTCGATGATGGCCGGGATGCGTCCATTGGGGTTGATCTCGGTAAACCACGGCTCCTTGTGCTCATTCTTGAAGATATCAATCTGCACCAGCTGTGTGATGTGTCAGGCTCGCCACTTAACCGAGAAGGAAGAAAGAAGCTGTCACAGCCGTACCTTGTACTCGAGCCCAAGCTCCTCTAGAGCAATGTGGACTTTCAATCCGTTAGGCGTGCCCTCGCTGTACGCAGTGATGTTGGTCTTGGTCGTCATCTTGAATTCTGTCAGCTGGATCAATTTATGGTATTGAGATTGGTGTGGTGTTGGTGCGGCGTGAAGTCTGGGATTTCCTGAGCGCCAGAACTACGAACATAAATACTTCAAGCAGCAACCGCCTTGCTTAATAACAATGGCAACATGATCTGAATTTCTAGAAGATGTTTGGAATCTGACAAATTACCTAGACGACCAGGCTGGATTATTGACATTCTAATTAATAATGATGAGCTTGACGCTTGGCTTGGGCCGACTCCGTTTTCAATATCTGGCGATAATGAATATCTTCCGCACGAGACAAAGCAAAAAGCCTCAGTTCTAGTTTGCTGCATCATCCCAGGGACCTGATACCCGATTAAGCAAGTCGCATGACTCAAGTCTCGGTATCTGCCGGCCTCTCCGCATGCTGTAAGAGATGACGGACAAGGCATTAGTTGATCGGGAGCCCGTGGATCGGGGTGTCTGCGAAGAAGGGCAAGGCAGCATAGGCGTATGATGACTGCCATAATCAATTGGTTTGTTTTTCGAGTGGGGGATATCAGCTTGCGTCTACACTAAAATCATGTCATCGTATTGGTTCCTGCAAGATGCCAGGGACCATATGCCTAATCGGGAAAACTGCAACGCCTCTCGGCGTTGAGGCGGTGTGGAGACGAATCAGACGATGGGAGCAGTTGAAATCCGATGATGACTAAAGACTTGTCTGGTAACGACGGTCAGGACGGTCATCCCCAGCACCAAGAAACAATCTCGACCTTCGGAGGCCCCTTTGTCCTCCCTCTCTCTTCATTCAATTCCTTCAGCTTTTGTCTCCCCTACCACGCAGCTTGAAACCCCCCCCCTCTCTCCGGGCCCCAACGCCATACTATCGCCATGAGCCCCCTAAAACAGCAACGACTCCTCTGGGTGCACTCCGCCGAACCGACAGGTGTTCGCCGTCGTGACAAGGCCACCATGACGAAGATCCGCCGCCATATCATGAAAGATATTGGAATATCACGACGCAAACCCCAACAGAACCCGCAGTTCGTCATCGAGATGGGGTCTTCTCGTATGGACTCTCTGGTGCCGCCCTTCTGGAGCCAGGATCCGCTCAGCCTTCTGGAGCAAGAGTGGGGGATGGACAGCTTCTCAGCGTACGGCATGTGTTTTTTGGCTGCCGAGGGTAAAAGACTCCTTGGAAATGCAGATGCGTTGACTTCCGAGGGTTTCTCATTCCCGTTTGCTTTCACGTCGTCCGCATTCCTCCGCCACTTCAAGCCCATCTTCTCCGACCCGTCCGTGCTCAAAGGAATCTACCACCGGTCATCTGCGAGGATCAGAGTCATGGCATTGGAACGTTCCATGGGGACAATCTCGTGTATAGAGGCGAATGTGGCTAAGCCCAGCTTTGATCTCGCGACAGCGGACCGTGTCATTTACGCCGTCTTGTCCGTCATTTGTTACAATGTAAGTGGAACCCATGGCTTGTACCGTTACTTTCTTTTGCCCGAGCCACTGATGATTGTCCCGCAAGCTGTTGAGCCGCGAGTTTGACCAAGCACGTGTCCATTTGGAGGGCCTTGCGGGGGTGATTGCTGCCAGAGGCGGGATACAGTCCCTGAAGAGCAACAAAGAGCTGAGATTGATGATTTTCTGGTACGGCTAACCAGATGAGGCCATGGATTGCAGCTAATATCCGACTTCTAGGGTTGACGCCGCGACATGCTTGCTGTTCAACACGTGGCCACGATATTCACTCCCCCTGGACCTCACCCCGCCAATGTTTCACACGGAGTCATCAAAAGATCTACCGATACCGCTCTCGAATATTCTTGCGAGCACCGAAGCTGAGGCGCAATTAACGCACATCCCGGTTTATGTAGCAGAGCTGAGCGAAGTAGCCATAATCATCGAGTCAGAGCTGGCTGCGAGAGGGAATGCTTTGTGGGATGATGAAATGTTTCTGGGGCTACGAATTAACGCCCTGATATATCGTTTGTTTGAGCGCGCGGGGCGGACTACCGGATCATCTCACTGGGACCAAACTTTGGAATCCATACGGCTGGGGGTCATCATTTGGATTATCTGGGTGAAACGCATGTGCCGATCATGGCCGGGCTCTCCCACGGCATACATACCAGAATTATTGTCCATGCTCAGTGACGAGACGAGCTGGGCGGCAAACACCTCGGGTGTTTCGGATGACATCTTGTCTGTGAGGCTCTGGCTTAGTGTTCTCTGCGGCATCGCATCTTGCCACGGATCGCGCGAACGGGAAGCTGCTGTGCGCCTGATTGCACGAGATACCCATCGACTAAACGGGAAAGAATGGAACGAGGTAATGGTGTGTGTACGGCAGATGCCCTGGATCAGCTCCTTTGAAACGGCTTTGGCCGAAGTAAGGTGTCATGTACAGATGCTCCACGTCTTGCAAGAACCGCATCTTAGCTAGTGGCTTTTTGACATTGGTCATAACTTCTCATCCAAAACGATCACCAGAAATGAATGCTCTTTCTTTTTTTAAGAAAAATCTGTGGAGTGTCACGATCATCAATCTTAACTAGGGTGGAATAATAATGACAGAGAAGGAACTCCCGCAAAGAGACACGATATGCTAAAGGGGGGGTAGAGGGGGTGGAAGCGCAAGGGGAGATCCCAACCAAGCCACCCCCGAAATCTGGCGCTAGAAGAAAACCCGCAAATGTTGTGCGTGCGTACCCAACGGTACTTTGATTTGTAATTGAGTCCGGTTGATAGTTTTCCCTATTATTAAGCTGTAAATGCATATTAGAAACGGTACACTTGCAGGTCCTTCTGGTCCCGTCATTTTCGACCTCGTCGCTCAACTTAATTCCTAGGACTGGACTTCACCCACAAAGACTCCTTGTCCAACATCTTGAATCCATCATTCTTCAATATGTCGGCATCCGCAAGTCATCCAAGAGTCATTGTCGTCCTAGGCGCCACGGGAAACCAAGGTGGTGGCGTCGCTCGGGCATTGCTCAAATCCAAATCGTGGATTGTCCTGAGCTGGCACTCGCGACTCCGGACTCGCCCAAGGCCCAAAGGGCTCCTGGCCCGAGGAGCAAACCGATGATGGGCCGGTTGGGAGGTTGTCGCCGGCACACGTGTACCGATATCGACACTCTGCGACAGGCGTTTGCCGGCACCTATGGAGTCTTCGCCATCACCAGCGAGCGCCATCCTGACAAGAAAATAGTGGACGAAGAGGACATGCAGCACGAAAATCGAGGCCCGGGCGCAACATTGTTCCTCCGCTCGCCAAGGAGATGCAATGTGTCAACATTTTTGGTCTTTTAGCAGCCTGCCTGACATGATGCAGGCCACGTCTGGCCAGTTTCCGAAACTCTACCACATGAACAACAAGCATGCCGTCGAGCAGATTGCCAGAGAAGAGCTCCCAGGAAAGGTCACTTGCCCCATACCGGGTTTCTTCTACACGAATCTGCAATGGCGACAGTATTCTCGACACCAGGGTATGTCGAGCTGCACCTCATCTTAACCTCCCACGTCAGTCGACGAGGGTTTTTTCTATCGAAACGTGAGAGAGAAACGAAACCTAACTTCTCCCCCGCTTCCATCTGGCGCAGGAAAACGGGCGTTGTTTAGGGTTCTGCTACCCGCATTCCATCGGGACCAGGTGGCTCAGTGGGACAGGATTCCGGAATATGAACATGGGGCTTCATTTCCGCAGCAAAGTAAGTTCCACAAGGTTCAACATTTCCATCGGCAATACCCAACCGGAAAGAGGACGAGAAGGAGAAGCGAAACGGATATGAGAGGCGAACGAGTCTCCTGACGTGTGGCTTTTGTCTAATCACGCCTGCTACAAACAGAGGTATTCGAATTGGGCATCGATCAGACGCGCGGCAAGACCTACCTCGTCATGGCCCCCCGGATCACGCCGCAGGAAGTGGTGGAGACCTTCACAAGAGTCACTGGGCAACCGGCCATCCACTCCCCAACGTCAGCGGAAGAGTTTGGCGACCTGACAGCTCCATTGGTCGGACCAGCTTTCAAGGAGGACGCCACGCAGATGATGCAATGGGCCGCCGTCGCTCCAAAGAACAAAGTTGCCTACGGGGCTCTGGAGCCAGAGATAGACCGCTCCGCCGAGGAGCTTGGTCTGACTGCTAGCTCATTCGAAGTGTGGCTGAAGAGGAGCGGCTGGACAGGACCGGATCATGAGTAAGTGGCGCCGAGGGAGCCCCGATCTTGCTTGGACAAAACCCGATGGCGGCGGTTGGAAAGACGGAAATGTTGCCAGGATATAAAGTCTTTGTCAGATTGAAGGACTATGTTTCTCCGGCATACAATTAGGTGGAAGGACCTCTGCATGACTGTACTAGGTACATACCTATCGTGCCAATACAACGATTAAGCGTATCTAGCAATGGTCAATCCAAAGAGGTCCTCGCTCCTCAAGGTCAAAAAGCGTGACAATGAAAACACGGTCCATGGCCAACCACAACAAGCCCATCACACCAACGCGATGGGACCAAAACCAAGTAACCAATGACGGCTGCAGAACTCTGGGCACCGAAATGCTGTTGTTCAAACTAGCGTAACAATGTTTGGCGAGTAAGAGCCATGCACGCGTCAATACCTAAGTCAATTATTCCCGAGCCGTGGACCCGCGACCCCTCTCTTTGACCGTCGGAAGGCCGATACCGCCATCCTTCCCCATCCTTCGGGTGACTCAATTCAAGCAGTTCGGCTACTGGCGGTTCTCAACGATATATTAATTTTCAAGGCCAGGAAACATTCAACGAACTAGATCCAACCCAATAGCTTATCCACCGTCGACGACTTGGCGCATCATTCACGATGGGGCAGTTCTTCGAGACAATCCCAGAGTACCTCATGAAATGGATCCTCGAACAAAAGATGTTCTGGGTGGCCACTTCACCGCTCTCGGCATCCGGACACGTTAATGTGTCGCCCAAGGGTGGCCTCTACTTCGGCTTGTTGGATGACAAGACCTTTTGGTACATGGACCTCAGCGGCAGTGGTAGCGAGACCATTGCACATCTGTACGAGCCCGACAACGGCCGCATCACCGTCATGTTCAACTCGTTCGAAGGGCCGCCTCGCATCGTCCGTCTCTTCGGCCACGGGTCGGTCCTTGAGCGGGGAGGCGTGCACGAAGGAGGAGGCGAAGCCTTTGACGATTTCGTCAAGAAGCACGACCTCCAGGTCCTCCCGAGCTCCAGGTCCATCATCATCGTCAAGGTGCACCAGGTGGCCAGTTCGTGCGGATACTCCGTGCCTTATTACGAATTCAAAGACTTCCGTAACACACTCAACGAAACCTTTACGAAGAAGGCAGAGAAATTTGAGCAGGGCAAGTCACAGGAGAGTAGGGAAAGGTTCGTACATGCTGCCCTTGTGCCCCGGCGGAACAGAGTGCCAACTAAAATCACAATCCCGATTCAGGTATTGGGCGTTCAAGAACGCATACAGCGTGGACGGTCTGCCGGGAATGAAAATTGGGTACAAGACTGGAAAGCAGGAAGGCATCGCCCCGATCCAGAAGATGGTCGGCCCAATGGCACCACGAACATACCACAACAGTCGCAGATTTGGCCCCTGGCACCTTGTTCTTGTAGCGGTTTTGTCGGCTGTCTGTGGTGCCTTCTTCCAGCGCCTGTTGTTGACTACACTCCAGGGGATACTCGACAGTTCCGCATCGTAGTTTCGTGAGTAATCGTACGTGGGTTCAATGAAGAATGAGTTATTCAGCGGGGTATTGCATTTAAAACGTTTTTTTAATGGCCCATATCCTCCATCAATGTCATAACCGCGTGCGTATTTACATATTTACCAACCCACCAACCCAGCCCTTACCACGGGAGCTTCTCCCCGTTGTGGCAATAAAAGGACCCCGTGTCCTCGGGGCGTAGCCCGTGCAGAACGACGAGCATGTCACCGATGCTCTTGCTCGGCTCCAACTGGGCGCCGGCACCGCCCATCCTCGTCTTGACCCACCCGGGGTCCATGACGATAACCACGGCGCCGGGGAGCTGCGCGCGGAGGTCGGCGCTCTGGTGGACGGTGAGCATGTTGAGCGCCGCCTTGGAGATGGAGTACCCGGCGCACTTGCGCGCCGACTGCGTGCTGAGTTGGATGCTGGCCAGGCCGGACGTCATGTTGAGGACGCGCACGTCGGGCGACAGCAGGCCCGCGTCGAGGAACAGCTCCACCGTCTTGGCGGGGCCGATCACGTTGATGCTCAGCTGGGCGTGCAGCTCGTCTGGTCCGAGGTTGAGCGAGCTCTGTGACGAGGCGAGATTCACTCCGGCCACGTTGAGGAGGTAGTCGATCTTTTTGCCCTCGCCGAGGGTGCGGGCGACTGCCTTGACGAAGGCGTGGATGGACGGGATGTCGCCCGTGTCGCACTCGAGGATGTGGGTGGAGGGGGAGGCTACCGCCTTTAGGTCGGTCAGGTCCGAGGACAGAGATCGGACGGCGGCGATGATGGTGTTGTCACCGGACTGGGCCAGCTGCCGGACGAACTCGAGCCCCAGCCCGCGGTTGGTGCCGGTGATGCAATAGACGGGCATCTTGTATTCTGGGAGATTATGAGTGATAGATTGAGAAATATGCTGAAAGATGTGAAACCGAATCTTAGCCAAAAGACTTCTTAAGAGTTCTTATATCACTCAAGTCTATAACGAAGGGCCGGGGAGCGGGGGTTAAGGCCGGTTTTCGGCACCTTTAGGCTGAGCGAGGATTTAAATGTCCGACATCCCCGCACACCAGCTAACAAAGGAAGCTTCGGAGCCACGCTTGACGAACCCACATCGAGGCAAACTTTCCTGGCGCTGTTGACGTCGTCCAACTCCACCGGGTGACCAACCGCACAAGGAGAAGGGTTAGGGTTCTCCTGATATACCCTCGTCCTCGCTGTTGGCTGTTGGTTAGCCAAGAATTAGAGATGCACCCTCGTTCGCTCTAGCCTTGTTGGGCACACCGTTCAGTTCAGCTGGATCCTGCCTAGCAAACCCAGGCTGCGCCGCCAGCGCTTGCCGATGACACACCAGGCGAGCAAGCGCAGCCTGGGTGACACGAGGGCAATCCTGGGATCGAACAAACAAAGTAATGAATGTTTACTATTAAAAAGGCCTATGCGCTCTTTCTGCGAGCAGAGTGTTCGAGACTTTATTCCATATCAAACAACTCGAAACCCCAGACTCAGCCCGCCATGTGGAGGAAAAAGTATTACGAACACCCGCGGCGCCTCGCGCTCGCAGCCATCGCCAAAGAGACCGTGGCCATGACACCAACCATCGCATCAGGGCTACCACATCTCGATCCAACAAAGTCTGAGATGCTCAACCTGGCCAGCCTGCCGCCTCTCGACCCATCCAAATGCCCGCGTTTCAAGACCATGTACCCAGACGGGCCAACCCCAGTCTACGGCACCACAACCCGCGTCTTCAACCAAGACACCTTCGACGCCGCCCTCGCCATGCCCGCCTCGGCCCTCTCCATCCTACCCAACACCAACACCAACCCAACAACGCCACAACCCACCACGCCCACCCCAACAACAACCGAAACCGAAGCCTCCACCCTCGCCCTCCTCAAAACAGCCGCCGCCTCCCCCGCCAACCTCAACCCGACCACGGCCCCGCGCGTCGCCGTGCTCAACATGGGCTCGGAGCGCAGCCCCGGCGGCGGCTGGCTCAAGGGCGCCTCGGCCCAGGAAGAGGCCCTGTGCTACCGCAGCACCCTGGCCGCGTCGCTGCACCGCGCGCTGTATCCCATCCGGGAGAGGGCGGGGTTGTATACCCGTGATGTGGTCGTCTTTCGCGGGGCGGCGGCGCAAGGGCATAAGTTGATGGTGCCGGAGGTGGCGGTTGCGGAGTTGCCTGTGGTGGGGGTGCTGAGTGTGGCGGGGATTCGGAGGCCGGAGGTTAGGGCCGTTGGTGGGGAGGGGGCGGAAGGTGCGAGCGCTAGCTGTGGGAAGGAGAGGGCGGAAGAGGGTGTTGAGGATGGGGTTGGCCAGGAGGTGACTGATGAGCAACCGGCGCATGGTAGTGCTGCTAAGAAGAAGTGGGAAGGAAAAGCAAAGGCAAAGGCACCCAAGGGGCCGTTTGTGTTCGCCGACCCTGCGGCGCGGGAGTTGACAAAGGACAAGATGCGACTGTGTCTGCGTATGGCTGGCGCAAAGGGACACACGATGCTGGTGCTCGGGGCGATCGGCTGTGGCGCCTTCCGGAACCCGCCCGAGGAAGTTGCCAAGTGTTGGATGGAGGTGTTGAGTGAAGTCGAGTTCGCGGGTGGCTGGTTCAAGGAGATCTGGTTTGCTGTGTACGATCTGAGGAATGAGGGGAATTTCGAGATTTTTAAGGAGGCCTTTGATGGGAAAGTGGTTGCTGCACTTCCGGCTTCTAATCCCCCGGTGAAGGAATAGATACTTGAAATCTTCATGACAATCTGCTTATCAGAGTAACCGTCCCCGATGCTGTTGGTTTTGTGCCCGCGTTGCTTGCTTTCTCCTTCTTGATGCCCACCCTGAGCACCTCCATCAAGGGTAGATACTCCTTGCGTTCGATTGCATCCACCCATTGCTCGATGCGCCGGAGATAGAATCCGGAACCGCACCGCGAAACGGCGTTTAGGAAGTCGACCTTCAGGGCACCCTCCTCCACCTCCATGTCCCACTCCGGCCTCAGTTGACGCATGCGCGCCGTGTACACCTTGCGAAGTTGGGTCTGCTCGTACTCCATCAAGTGAATCCAGTACAGCTCTGTCTTGCCCTCGTTGTCGAGCCCGTCGTCGGGATCGTCGCCGCCGGAGACCTCGCTTCCCCCGTTGTCGACGTCCGTGTAACAGTTGCGGTCGGGTTTAACCTCCCTCACAGCGCCGCGCAGGAACTCGGGCACTTGTGACGCCACCCACCGCGGCATTGCCGATGCGCATTCCCTGGCCATGATATTAGCTTTCTTTCTGTCAACCAAGCTACCAGAAGGGGCAATGCCAAGTAAGAGAAGATGTACACACCACCCGATGACAGCTGTGACGCTGCCGCTGGCATCGACGAGTATGTTCCGGAGCGACAGGTCGTCGTGCCAAAGGACGGTCCGTTCGGGGGGGTGAACGATGGCGGGAAAAACCTTGTGCACCATGCGCAGGAGCTTCCGAGCCACCCGCAGCGCGCTCTCGGCATAGTCCTTGTCGAGCTCGGTTTTGGCCTCGGCGAGCGCAGTGGTGTGCTCCTTGATAATGACGTTCAGTTGGGCGCGGATCCAGTCGTGGCTGCAGCTAAAGGGGCCGCGCGGGATGGGATAGTGGTATCGCTGCCCCGAGAAGAAGAAGCTGGACACGATGGGTCCCGGCTCAGGCATGCCGTGGTCCGAATTGGGACTGGTCCCTAGCGTCCCGATGCCCCTAAAACCGTCGCCGAAGTTGCCGCAGCGGAAGAGCTGAGCTTGAAAGGCGGCCGCCCTGGTGGTTAGGGCTTCCTTCTGTGCCATCGACATCTTCCGCCAGCGGTAGTATGCTGGTATCCCGGACATTCTGCTCATGATAAGCCACTCGTATCCGATTTCATTGCTCCGGGAGTCGTCGAAGGCCACAAGCTCTGGAACCGGGATATCGGTCTTGCGGCCGACGAGCTGTAGAGTTGCAGCTTCTCCACGAGTCTTGGTGTGAGGGTCGACGGGCAGTGAGACCCGCATCATGAAGTGGCCCCGCGGTGAGTAGACCCGGTAAAGCTTGTTGAACGCTCCATCTGCATGAAAGGTGACCGGGCCGTTCGCTTCCCCCTCCTCGGACGGCTTGCGGGGAGGTATACCCATATGTCGACAACAGACGCGCTCGACGGCCCGGATGTGAGGGTCTCGCGTCCATCGTGGCTCCGGACCCAGGCCGTTGTCCTCCCAGGCCAATCCCTCACGGCCGGCGTCCCGCATGGTTTTGGTTGAGTTGAGATGGTAAGTTATCGTGCCCCTGGCTGATCTCGGTGTTTTGTGCTCACTGCATGTGCTCACAAGTCAAGTCTGGTCACAATCGACCGCCCATCATTGACCGGCGCGTCTCAAACAAGGTGCATCGCGTTCGCCTTCATAGTAGGTAACTAACGAAACAGCAGAACAGTAAAACATCAGAAGGGCAGGCAGGATGCTGTTGACAACATTTGCAGTACCGCCAATGGGGATGGGGGGTGGTCGCACCGTCGATTATCAAACGGCAACAAAATGATTGGATTTTGAAAAAGAAACGCGATGTGGGACTGTGATGGTCAACAAGCTTCTCATTGGTTGTCGCCCGGGAAGCGACAGACTGGACGAGATGAAAGTCTCGGCGAACAATTCCATCACAATCATCACATTTCCGGCCACTCATCATTCTTTGGTGATCGAAGAGATTCCATAACTACGAATCCTCGTGGCCACCGCCTTATCGTAGTGCACGTGCGGCCTGTGTCCATATCCAAAACCCCTGGTAATGATGGCCGAGCAGTGCCAGGTCTGCACGCATGCGATGAGCACCCTCAACTTTCCAAACCCCAGGCCACAGGGGCCCAGGGACCCGGATCATTCCAAGCCTGAATAAGTGATGATAAAATCAACATTTTCTGAGCGGGGAGGGATACTGGGGCGAACAACTCATGATATGTAGATGCCGTCATATTTACCCTAGCGCTTCTTAACATCAGATGCGCCTGGTACTTGACATCATAGATGGGAGGCTATGATGCGCTGAAATATATAAAAAATCACCCCAGACACTCGGCACCTTCGGAAAGTCAGTCGATTCCCCTTCAGACTTGTTATAACTTTCAAACTCTTACTTTTTGCTTCTCGGTGCCATCGTTCCTAGAATCCCATCAACTTACCATCTACGTTTTCGGACGTTTGGGCCATTTCTCCACTCTTTTGAGATTGACAGCCGAAATATCACGGCACCATTTCATCGACAGTCACGCACAACGACGAAACATCACTTATAGAAAGGAAGCCAGACCGGTCACACTGCGTGCTGGGATAGTATACTCATCATGACATCCATGCAGTCGCGTATTCATGTCCCAGCAGCCGGTACCCGTGCCGCGTCCCTAAATAGAGAAGTGGCCCGTTTCTTAGATAACCACCAAGACCTTACGCTGGGGAGTGCTGAGTGGTACGATGTGGAGCGGCAGAAGCACGCCGAAGTTTTTGCCCTCAAGAACCTCCCGAAACGCAAGGTTAACCCCATCGGCACGGTCGAATTCACCACTGTCCGCGGGCCCCATGGAGACATTCCGATCCGGGTCTTGTATCCGGAAAATGGCAGAGACCTGAGGACAAGCGGAGATGCGGGAGCGCTGGTCTACTGTCATGGCGGGGGGTATTGCGTTGGGAGTGTGGATGAATTCGAGAATGGTTTGAGACTTATAGCCGAGGAGTCAGGCTGCATGGTAAAACCTCCCTCCACAATTCACGGGCCCCAATACCACGAGTAGGCATTCGCGACTGACCGTGTTGGCCCTGCAGGTTTTTGCTGTCGAATACCGGCTGGCTCCAGAATTACGCTACCCTGTCCAGCTCGACGAATACTCGGCCGTCGTCGACTGGGTGCAAGGCGACGGGGGCCGATATAGGGGGGTGCACCCTCGCCGCGTAGCGGGGGGCGGAGACGGCGTCGGGGGTAGCATGACGGTGGCGCTCTGCTTTCGCCGCCGCACCCTAGGCCTAAAACCACTGGCAGCCCAATTGTTATTGTACCCGGCGCTGTACTCGCCATGCCTCGATCCACAGGAGGATGAGGGCGAGCCCGGGTACTACACGCAGGATAAAGGCATCTATTCGTGTAACATCCATTACCTGCCGCTCACAGCTGGTAAGGTCCCATGTTGTCCCGCCCACGCCCGTGAACTGGCTTAACATTCAACAGGTCTTCCACGGCCCATGGAGTACGTCTACCCTGGCGAGCAGGGCAGTTCTGGGCTCATTGGGCAGCCCCCCGCAGCTATTTTAACCAATGGCTTCGATCCCTTACGGGAGGGCGGCATTAGGTTCGCCAGGAAGATGAACAACATAGAGTTGCTGGCCGCTTGGAAGCACTATGGTGATCTCGCGTATGGATGGCTGCAAATGACGCCGTGGTCCGAGGCGGCACGAGAAGCAACCTGCGATGCCGGAGTGGAACTCAGGAGGTTGTTGTACAAACGTGACATTGAAGAGAAGCCGGTGCGGTAACACAATTTCTGAATAATCTAGGCTCGAATATAAACTGCCACTGGACATGGACGGTGGGGTTGCTGCCGAGGTACTTACCCGAGTTGTCGGCTTACAGTCATGCACTTTTCTCACTTGGTGGCCTGGGTTTGTGGGGGATTCTCGTATTTATCTTAGCGGTTAGAGGGGCGTCCAGTTACGCCTAGATCATAGGGATTGTATGTACATACCCCTATCTAGCTCAGGGTCTTCTTGCTGTGTATTGCTCGAGATTCTCGTTGGCTCAGTTGCTTGGGGTCACCGCCCCAGAGCTCCCCTCTCAGCGAATAGATACCCTGTCCATGAAGTGTGTCTTGCGCCCCCCTGCGCCGTAGGCAGCTGAAGCTTCCCCGCACGACCGCCCCAACTAGGAGAGACACGACGACTCCAGGTCCACGGGTTCAGTACTTGGTAACTCCAACTCCACCACTGTCGTCATTCACTTTCACTTAACATCAACCACCGCCCCACTGGAATCTCAGGAGCGTCGTGACGCAATGGATACCAACACCAAACAGACTCTCCCAGTGGGGGTAAACACGACCTCCAACGAAATCAGCCAGCAATTCTTCCGCCACTCCTCTGCCAAACGCGTCAACACTGACGCAACCATCGCCAAAGCTCTCAAGGCCGAGTACCCCGGCCTCGAGCTTGTAATTGCGCCATCTTACGGCATTGACTTGCTGGGGTATGCGTCGGCCGGACACGCCAGCTTCACGTCCATTGACGAGGCCAGCGATGAGCTGCCGTCCTCGCTAATATGGAAGGTGTATGTGACACCCGGTAGACGTATCGACGGCAGCCCCGGAAGTCTGGCACAGGACGTGATATTCGCCAAATTCTTGTACAAATGGGAGGATGCCGAGTTCATCCTCTACTTGGTGGATGGGCGCGACGGGACCAGTTCATACCCGCCGATACGCAACAATTACATCCTGACCACGGACACGCACAAGGCGGACGCCCTCTTGATTGCCGCCGGGCAGTGGGGCAACGAGCTGCACGAGCAGGTGTGGGTGTGGGACAGCGGCATGTGGAACAAAAGCGCCGAGCTGTACCAGAGCATCAGCAAGGCCTCCTGGGACGCCGTCATCCTCGAGGACAGCATGAAGAAGGCCATCATCGCGGACCACCAATCCTTCTTCGACGCGCGAGACACATACGGCCGCCTCAAGGTGCCCTGGAAGCGGGGGCTCATCTACTACGGCCCACCGGGCAACGGCAAGACCATCTCCATCAAGGCCACAATGCACATGTTGTACGACAGAAAAGACCCGGTGCCGGCACTCTACGTCAGGAGCTTCTCCTCGGTATGAGACAGACACCCACACATACTAGCCCCCGTCCAGTCCGTGCATGTACTAACCGACCCTCAGTTCGCCGGCCCCGAGTATGGCATCAGCCAGATCTTCCTCAAGGCGCGGCAGTACGCGCCCTGCTACCTGATCTTTGAGGACCTGGACTCCCTAGTCACCGACTCTGTGCGCAGCTACTTCCTCAACGAGATCGACGGCCTGCGTAGCAACGATGGCATCTTCATCGTCGGCAGCACCAACCACCTGGAGCGCCTCGACCCGGGCATCGCAGTAAGCCCCCTCGCCACCCCGCCTCCACCCCCCTCTTACACTCCCCACCACCACACAAACCAATCAGATTAGGTACCTACCTACCCTACATTAACTAACACAATCCCAGAAACGCCCCTCGCGCTTCGACCGCAAGTACTACTTCCCGGACCCGGACCGCGCCCAGCGCGTGGCCTACTGCCGTTTCTGGCAGCGCAAGCTCGCCGGCAACAAGGACATTGAGTTCCCGGACCGGCTGTGCGGCGCCATCGCGGGCATCACGGACGGGTTCAGCTTTGCGTATATCCAGGAGGCGTTCGTGGCGGCGCTGATCGTGGTGGCGCGCCGTGGGGGTGGTGGTGGTGGTGATGGGGATGGTGGTGAAGAAGGGGAGGGTGAGGTGGCGGGGTGGGAGGCCGTGGAGGGCGAGGAGATTGAGGGTGGATGGGTGGGGGTTGCGGATGGGGAGGATGATGATGATGATGATGATGATGATGATGATGATGATGGTGATGGTGATCTGGAGGACTTAGTCTTGTGGGTTGAGATCAAGAAACAGGTGGCAATCCTGCGGGAAGGAATGGAGGAGAAGCAGTGATAGAGGCAGCGAGGGAGTGTCCCTTGATGCTACTACGGTTGGGCGACGACATTGTTCGAATACGGAAGCGGGAAGGGCGCTAGGTTTGGATTTCTTTGTAATATTGTGATACTCTAGCGGAGAAGTGTAACCTCCCATCTATCTCTCATGTTTCGAACCGTCTAATACTGCTGCTATTGGACGTCCTTCGCCTCCGTACAGCCGAGGCGAGCCCGCGCAGCTCCTTCGGCGAGTGTATTGTGGGCGCACGATCAGCGGCAGTCCCGACCTCATGCAGAGCATCCATCTTTTCTAACGCGTCAACAACCTCAGGCGGCGGCTCCGAACCAAACACGACCTGGATGTCGCCGTGTGGAGACAATCCGGGGAAGTATCGCCAGGATCCAAATCTCGTCGACTTAGACCGTCGGGCCCAGACGCTCCGTCGCTCCCATAATCCAATGAGCAACAGAACCGGGGCGTTGACGGTGCGGATGGCAGCGACGTTGATGTTGTGGAAAGCCAGGGGTCCCACCAAGAACTTGATGGGTAGAAGAATCAGCATGGCGGCGATGTTGAAGGGCGGCGGATAGGAAAAGATAGCATCACTCTTGACGCCCTGGAAAGTGAGGACCGCGCGGCGGAATTGGACTTCCGCTGCTTCGTTGGAGATAATCTTGGAAAAGGTGTTGGTCAGGATGGCGACGAGGATGGTAAGAAACAGGGTGTTGCCGAGGAAAGCAAATGTGATGATCAAGGTCGGGCCGAGGATCAGGTGGAAGTCCGCTGCTCGCTCGATACCTGTGCCGTCAAGGCCCAAACCAAATCCTTTTCACTGTTAACCGAAGAAGTCCTTGCCCCTAACACAGCTAGGGAGATACATACCATAGCAGCCATTTGGTGACGGTAGCCCAGGTTACATTGGCATTTAGTGACCCTTCGCCGCTGGTTCTTGCAAGGAACAGCAACCCCACGACAAAACCGGCAAAGCACCATATAGCAATAAACGTCAGGCGGGTGAAGTCGCGCATCATGGCGTGGAGAGCAATGAAGACGATGTTATCGGGCATCAAGGCGAATGCGATACGCGTGAGCAACACGGGGGCGGCGGTGCACAACACTGGAAGCGCATAGTAGGCGTCGTCAGAAAGCACGAGCTCCACGGCGCGCACCAAGCCGTAGGTGGCGTAGATGGCGACGAAGGTAAGGTCGAGGAACGACCACAGGTTCTGAGCATGGACCTCCCAGCCATGTTCAACAACGGCCGCAAACTGTTCCAGCACCCAACCAGCTGCGAAAACGTTGAAGACGGTCTCGTAAAGGCGGACACCAGCCATGTCAGTCCCGAACCCGAAGTGGGCAACGGTCAACATGTAAAGAATCAGGAGGATCCCAAAGTGCATCAGCTCTATGACGTTCCTCAACTGAGGGACAATGAGGCGGTGATGGTTGAGAATGGCAGCCCGGCGGGGTTCATAGAGCGAAACAGGGTGGTACTTGTAGTGGTCTGGGAGGAAGTCGACGAATGACAACGGCGTATACACTACAACTCCCTTGTACACGGCATCCACGACAAGTTGACAGGCGGGCGACTTGATCAGGAACTTGCTTTCTGAGATGATGGCGAGTTCGAGGGCCGTCAATTTCCGCTCGTGGCCGCCCCGCTCCTGGATGGCCCATTGTGGACGGCGAGCTCGTACAGTTTCCGGTGCCGTATCGCAAGGGTCGAAGCCGGAAACCAGAATGTTGGCGATGAGGAGGAGACCCGAGCGCCCCGGGTGATCTTCGTGGAAGCGGCGCAAAATGCGGGTTGCAAGAAGCTCGCAGAGGATGGCACGCGACTCGTGCACGCCCTGGTAGAGCGCCTCATCGGAGCGAGGGCGGAGGAACTGAACCCTATTGGCGACAAGACAGTAAACTGCAGAATCGACGACTGTTAGTATGATAATCCCCGCAGACGACTGCAAGACACTGACCGATGGCGGGGTCCTCTGGATTGTATAACCGGTCGACGAGGGGTCGTACGATTTGGTGGTCCATATGGGGCGCTCGGAGCTCGTCCAAAGTGCAAGTGTCGTCTAGTCACATGTCAGATTCTACGAAATTCTTATCACCCAAAGACGTGGGGCATACCGATAGCTGCTATGACCAAACGCCGGATCCTGCCATCTTGTAAGCCTCCTGCCATGCCTGTCGATGGACCTTCTCCGAGTCCCGTACCTGTGCATCATCATGTAAACCGACATGACGGTGCCCTCCCCGGGCAGCAACACGGCGCTGCCATCCTCCCCACCCTGGGGCGGCAACCGCCGCATACGAAAGAGAGGCGCCACGTTGTCGTTCTCGCCGTGTGGGTTAAGGGCGGCCTCGGGGTCGTCGTCCTCGTCAGACGAAGAGTGGGAGCTGGTATCGGGGAAGTCCGCGCCCATGTCGTTATTGTGGATGCCACGGATGGTCTCGATTCATCGGTCGAAGTTCGATGTCGAGCAGCAAGGTGCGAGTTTGGGGATAATTTCGAGCTGGAAGACGAATTGACACGAAGGCGCATCGCAACTGCGCCAAAAGTTAACGGTCGCGGTGGATCATTTCAGCTTCCCATAACGTAATCTGATTCTTTCCGGGAGCTTGGCGGCCCCTGACAGGGACCAGCTCGCCATAAGCCGTTCTCGCCGGAAGGGAAGTTGTCGCGGAACAAACTCGACTGTATCCCCATGTTGTTGGGTTTGGGGGTGATGTAAGTCAGATGCAGGCGACCGAAGCCAACCCGACCGATCCATGCGCCAGTCTTGGAAACTTGGATTCCGGTGTGCCTCCCCAAACCGGCAACCGCGGGTGGAGACTTGCACAAGGTCGCTACCCTAACCCAACCCTGTGTCGCATTCATTTTCTGACGGAAAGAGTAACCTATTAAGGGCTGGAAACTGTCCGAAGATAAAATATTTAACATGGAATGTGTATGGTTGTCCTTTGACCTCAAGTGTATGCCACTAGACTAAGGTACCTATTTAATTAAGCCAAACAGACAAAAATAGAGTCCATCAAGCCTCTCGCTGCTGCTTGAGCAAAAGAGTGTTGACAAGGGTGAGATTCGAACTCACGCCCCTTTCGAGACCACGGAAACTGTAATTAAGGGTTTGGAATTCCTTAACGTGGCGCCTTAGACCGCTCGGCCACCTTGCCCTGATGGTGGATAAAGGTTTCATGGGGAAGATGGAGTTTACAGAGGCAGTGGGATCGCGGGCATCTGCCCTGGTGGAGCACTTGGAGTTCAGGTGGTGTTCGCTGAGTGTCGTGGGGAACCCTGCAGCAGACCCTTGCTCTTGGGCCCCTGCGTTTTCGTCCGAACGACTGGAATGATCGCCGGCCAACCAGCTGAACGCGACGCGACCGAGTGCTGAACTTTCTTCAGCGGTCAGCACAGGCTCACGCTCACTCTCACAACGTTCTCGTTCGGTAGATACACCTCTCTCAACAGCGAAACAGCGCAGCTCCGTACCACTCCAACTGTACAGAATGGCGACCTACACCATCACGTGGAGGAACAAGGTGTGGATGGGATGGTTCTTCATGCAGCTGCCCATCATCCTCTGTAAGCCCACCGCCTTGACCTTCTGTTTCAGCCTCGGCCCGAGGTTTAAGCTTGACGCCAGTGCCCAAATCTAACGTCTCTCTCCAGTCATGGACCTGCTCGACTACATGTGGCCCGCCTGGCTCTACGAGCCCGTCGGCTCCCCGCTACACGCAGCCTTCCAGATGAAGGCGTGGTACATCGGCAAGTACAACGACCCCATCGTGCAGTGGACGGCGGAGACGGCGTCGGGTCATGACAGCTGGATGGGTCTGTTCATGCACCTCGAGTTCTTCTTCCTGCTGCCGACGGTGCTGTACGGCATCTACCGCCTGGCCGTGCAGCGGCGCGGCACCTCGGGTTGCGATGAGCTTCTGTTCTTCGTGTTCGCGCTCGAGGTCGCCTTCACCACCCTCATCTGCATCTACGACACGTCCTTCCTCGACGAGGCCATCTACCCGGCCGCCATCAAGCGTGAGATGCAGTTCCAGCTCTATGCGCCGTGGTGCATTATCCGTAAGTGCTTAGCCTGTTCTAAATTGTTGGATCTGGGATTTTATCTGACTGAACAAGCCGCCCTCGGTGCTATTGACATGGCGGCCCGGATCATGGGCCGCATCAAGGCCGCCGATGCTGCCCAAGGAGCCAAGAAGTCGCAGTAAGCGCGTTGAGTCTGGTTTCAGTACCGAATGGTAGACGACAGGCAAGCCAAGCCTGGGCCAGATTTGCCGGGATACTTGTGGTAGCGTTTGGATAATCTGAACAACATGTATTAAAGGGGCTCGTTGTCGAGTCTCGACTCCAAAACGCCGTGGTATCATTTTTGGTAGTACATCGCTTCGCACCCCAAACCACCATCTTTCCGTCCGATGCCCCCCCTTTGGTAGACTCAGTCGACCGCCCGCTTCTGGTATCCCCAGCCGTTCCCGACGGCGTTCACCCCATAACCAAGCGGGGTCGCGCTGCCGAGGCCCCGCCCCCTGAGCCGCCTAGGCATTACCGACCCAAAGAAGTAAACGGCCGAGACCACGGCGCCGGCACAAAACGACACCAGGCTGTAAAAGACGGTGCTGGCGTAGATGTGGCCGCCCATGCCGGCCCACACGACCTTGCCGGCGACCTTGGGTAGGGCCGGAGTGGGGAACCAGCGCACGCTGAAGCTGAACGGCAGCGGGTCCCCTATGACCAGGCGCCGGGTCGCACTGCCCTCAAGGTGGGTAAGCGGGCTGGTGCTGTAGGCGGTGCCACTGTCGAGCACGCCACTGTCGCGCGGCTGCACGTGGTGCTTCGGGGTGCTGTGCAGCAGCACGTTGAGGTGCGTGCTGATGTGCATGTGGCTCAGCTGTAGCGTGCCCGCCAGCGCAAACACCAGCGGGATGTACTCCTGCGCCGGCGGCTTCTCCCCGACGGCTGTGATGTGTGGCGGGGGCCGCGCGGGAAGGCGGCAGGATAACGGGGCGTCGTTGTGGATGTAGAACTCGAGCAGGTGGAAGAAGGGGTCGCTGATCATGGGGATGGTGCAGTTCTGCTCCCCCTCGATGCCGTAGTTAAATTCGAGTGGCTGGTTCGTCTCGTTGCAGACCGGGAAAGGGATCCATTGGATTTCGTGCTGTGCGTTTTCGATGTGTTCGCCCGTTTCCCTGTGGGCGCATCGTAGTCAGAAGTTGCCATCCACCTAGTTCCCGTACGCATTCTCGAGGACAGAAAGAAAAACAGGACTCACGAGCTTCGGTTCATGCACTCGACCCGTATCGGGGCGCCATAATGGTACGACGGTAAAGAGTGCTCGTGGTTTGGACTCGAAGCACCCATCGCCGTCGCCGCCAAGAAAGCAGCGATCAGCACGAACAGCTGCATCTGTCGCGGTAGGGACGGCATTTCGGTTGTTGTCTGAATGGGATCCCTATGCAATGGCGAGGAGACAGGACACGCGCCAGCGCATGTTCCGTACCGGTGAGACTAGAGGAGCTCGTGTGTCCAGACCTTGAGATTTGGTCGCACGTTCGAGGAGTGGCAAGTTGGCGACTTGGCCCATTGCCCAATGAAAATAGAGGAACCACCCCTAACCCTGGTCAACAGCGTTCATCCCACTTGTGCGGCATCAAACTCCTGGCAAAACTTCTCGGACTGGATGAAATCTCTAGAAGTTGGAGTTAGGGGTTGATTAATCATTATGAGCTAGTTCTACGCCTAGTACTTGCAACTTCGCCGCAATCATGATCCTGACGCCCAGGCTCATCCCTTTTTCTGGTCATCTTCTGAGACGCGTTCTCCATCCTTCGAGGTCCTTTAACATCACCAAATCGGAAATCGGAATTCGACGTTTGTACGGATCAGTAACTCGGGCAACCACAAATTACCCTGACCCCGCGAGTTCAAGTACTACTCATCGCTTTCGTTTTATTTATTTTTTAAAGAAGAAGGAATAGCAACCCCGCCCCGGCTGCTCCCCACAACCCCAAACCTCCACCGGACACACTCACCGCAGCATTCTCACCACCGCCAGTGCAAGGATGCTCAGCGGAGCACGCATTAGTCCGCGGCGTGTCGTTTGGCATGGCCGCGTTTCCGGTGGCGTTACCGCCGAGATACCATGACCCGATGTCGGTCAGGTTGCCCCACGGATCGAGCATGGCCATGTTGGGGCCGACGTTGGAGACAGTGCTGCGGAACGACCCGAACCAGCTGTACCGCGCCACGTCCTTGTTGCCCTCGAGGAATGTCAGGGACTGGTTGAAATACTCCTGCGTCGTCGACAGGTTCTGGTCGTTGTAGCCGTACTCTACCACCCAGAGCGGTACGCCTGGGAATCTAGGGCTATGGTTAGCTGACTGGAATCGAGTTCTCCCGATGATAGCGCCAACTTACGCAGAGGAAAACGAGCCAACCCGGTCCTTGAGCACGCCGAAATGCCCCAACGCATGGAACGGCACAAAGTCAAACTCGCACTCCTTGTCCTTGTTCAACTCGGTGCAGTTCTTGAGGAACGGGTCAATCCATCCACCACGGGGATCCCCCACAACAGGCAGCCCCAGCTTGACACCAAACTTCTCGCGCAGCGGGACAAGGTTCCGCACCCACGCGCGGGCGGCGTCCCGGGGCATCATCTCGCTCCCTCCATACTCGAACGGCTGATCCGGCAAGTTGAAGCCCATAACATGCGTGATATTCCTCGCATTGCGGCCGGAGGCGGGTTGGATCATCTCGGTTATGTTCCGGAGGAAGTCGGTGTCGTTGACGCCGCCGCCCCACAGCATGGGCACATACTCGATCCAATCCTGCCCCAGCGACGCGTACGTCTCCGACACGTTCCAGTGGAAGTTGTAGTACCACGAGATGGGCGAGCCCTCCCGCACCCAATTCGCGTCGTCCTCGGGCCAGTCCTTGTTGCCCACAGCCGCGAGTCCGCGCTTGGGCGACTTGGCGGCGAGCCCGGTTGCGGCGAGCAGACCCACCAGGGCCGAAAGGGGGGCGTGGCGCATTGCGGGGGTTGGATTGGGTACAGAGGCGGAAACTGGCTGAGATCTGATGGGTAGGTTGTGGTCTACCTGGCCATGTTGTCAGGGGTCTGGCGAGTTGTGAGAAGTTGATTGAGTGATTGACCCTCAAAGCTTCAAGAAAGATATCGGAGAATTTCAGTGTTGCCTAATTTCCCACGTTGTCGTGTCAGATTTTAGTCACATTTAGCCCCAAGGCGCTAAATGACAAACACCAACTGCATTGAGGGTCCGTAAACGACGCTGGGGCGACGGTCGCTCTCCCTATTCGTCACAACTTGGCGCGCCTAAGCGAAGCCAGCGCGTTCTTGCGGGTTCTCTGTACAAATCTCTCACGGGTCTATCGTCTACCATTGTGTACCACATAGATACTTTATATAAATCAGGCTAGGTCGTCGCATGACGCCTCTGCCATTACTAGGTATTCATATCCTGCTTTGTATGTTCTAGATATTGACTATACCACACTACAAGACCTATTCTCAACGCCCGTCACTCGCTGTAGACTGGAGACGAGATGAGATGTGTGAACAGGTCATAGGGTCCATCTATGCGAACATGAATACTAGGTACTGCCCTGGATGGCCTAGCTTGAGGGTCTTTGTTCCGGCACCGTGCATGCCACTTCCCCGCCGAGTTCCATTCAATAATGCAGTAACTATCCTGAACTACCACCTTACTCCCGTTACGCCGGAAGTTAAATGAACGCATCGTCTCTCTACACACTTATACATTCATTCTGACAACAACCTAGTCCTCAAATCGGGTAATTCCCGCGGCAATCGGTAAAATATGCTCAAGCGGATCTCAGCATGTTACACCTCATCAAGATCAGTACCCCTGGCACCAACTACTGTCGAGCCGGCCGGGGCTTCCATTACCTTGCCTGGGCTCTCGGTGCCGACGTACCCTCTTGCAGGGACTCATCGCCTACACCACATCCCCAATCTTTGCCCTGCTTGCAAACAAATTGATACCAGGATCATCGCAGTCGCCGAACGATATACACTCTTGGCAAACTTTTGGGATCTCGAGGGGTCGGCCATCGAGTGCCGGTTTTGTGCATTACTCGCGCAGGCCATCAAAGACAACGCAAATCTAGGTCTTGAAACGACTCCTATAGCACTGGGTTTTACGCGGAAGGATGCATGCTCTTTATGCTTGGCTCTAGAAGCCGGCATTCTGCGCGTATACCTAGCATCGCGCCCCAGCAAAATCACGGATGATGGCTTCACTTTAGCAGAGTTCCGGGTGTATCTTGATGAAGACGCCGGCTTCAGGAACGAAATCTCAGGTGAGGTCGCTTCGATACTTTTAGTCCTGGAAGACTGCGTTAACAAGTTGAGGGCCCACTAAACACAGGTACCTTCTTAGCTGACGCAGATGTGTAATTGGATTTTCCTTTAACGCGCTGTAGCTTGGCATGAATTCCCGCCTTTGATGCCTCCACCACCATCGGTTGCTCCCAGCCTGAAGACAAACACTCACTTCGACCACACGGAATGTTCCATCCATGATCGAACCGATATCGCCACTACAGCGGTAGAGTCGATGCTGGATTCATTGCCCCCATGCACCTGTCTCATGCCACCCGACGCCAGAGCAGGCGATCGATATACGTACGAGGCATATTGCCAATCCGTTGACCCAGCGAGGGTTGAATAACTGTTAGCAGCACCCGCCCTTCCTACTCGAGTGATCTATATCGGTCCTTTAGACGTGGCCTTAGGATCTAAACTGAAATTACATCTTCGGCTGTCATCACTCCACAACCCCTACTTCGCTCACCACGCCACATTCAGACATCGTTGGGGAGGTGCAGTACCGTTTATGACAACAACCAACACTTTCACATCTAGAGTCAATGGCTTTTACTTGGAGGAGCTCCCTCCAAGTTTCCAAGATGCAGTTCTGGTCGCTCGGACCCTGGGGCTCCGGTACTTATGGATCGACTCCCTCTGTATCATGCAGGACGACGAGGCGGACTGGCTTGCCCAATCCCAACAGATGGGGAGAATCTTTGCAAATTCCACCCTGACAATCGCCGCTCATTCAGCGCAGGATTCCACGCAAGGCTTCCTAGGTTCGTTTTTTCTTCCTAGCTTGCTCCGAATCACCCCCGACAACCCGGCAGGTGGCTTCACCATTCCAACGCCGGAGCTGTCCTCCGCCGCTCTGCTGAACAGGTTCTCACAAAGCTGCCTCCACAGCAGAGCGTGGGTGATGCAGGAGCTGTGTCTCTCTCCGCGTATTCTCCATTTCGTCGAAAATCGCGTCCCACGGGAATGCGAGCACACACCCTTGCGGATTGATACCGCAAACCCACCGACGTGGGCAGCGCTGCTGTTACAAGGTCTCGGTCGCAGGATTGGGAGCAACTAGGAGAAGCCCGCTCCAATTTCTGGCGGGAGTTGATCTCTCAATACTCGACCTGTCAGATGACGAAACCGGGCGACAAACTGATAGCCGTAGCTGGCATCGCCGAACAGCTGGACCGCCTTTTTGCTTCGACGTTATCTTGCAACTATCACTGCGGCATCTTTAATACCGACGTTGTAAGATCTATTTTATGGCACTCTAGCCAGGCCCTCAAACCTTTACAGAAGCCAGCGAAGAGGGCCCCGTCATGGTCCTGGGCCAGCGTGGACGGCAGGGTAGCTTTCGCCGCTTTTCCGGATGGTGCCGACATGACGTGCAGTGTGATTTTCAGGTCTATTACGCCAGATGGGGTTTGCCTGAATACAATAGAGATGGCGCCATGGATGCGATCCTTCGCCTTGCAACGTCATGCTAGCACCCGCTCGCTTGTCGTCGAGGGTGGTCTAACACAACGTCCAGGAGGAAGCATCCAGGTAAAGCAGCCAGGTCAAGCTAATTCGAAAAGGCAGCATGGCTTCCTTCAGTACACTGTTTCTAATTATTATCACACCTCCATAAGAAGCACAAACCGACCCATATTCTACTTGTCAGCAGAATGGCCGTTGAAGACGTCATTTAGTAATATCAAGCGGTGATTGCTGTTATCGCCGACTGCTAGACCTTTTCCAATGACGAGCCACACGTTGCCCACCCTCTCGTCGGAGCCTCGGGGACTGGCCATGCACCGTAAACCCCGACTCTACCGGACTGCGATTGCTCGAAAGGTTGGACGAGATCCTATTGCTGCCGGCCCACCTGCCATACTTAGCGGCAGTCGGAACCTCGCGGGATGCCAATCCCTGACTGTATCTGGGCCCATTGGTCAGGCTTAGCCAGATCTGGCAAATGGTCCCTTGTTAAGGACATAGTCGGAGTATTCCAAGACGGGGCGTTGCTACACCGTAATTTGTCATGATTTTGTGCAGTTACGAAGTATGACAAACCAAACCCCTACCCCTTGCTAGGTGAATTGCAAATCCGGGCACTGGAAGTCCCGAAGCCCGACTGCGGTCTAAACCGCCGCCATCACTCCCCGCTTTACTTCATATTGGTCCTGTCTTCGAGACTTATATTAGTAGGAGCTGGCGGTGCTCATGTTCAGCGACTTTTTCTTCAGCATCAACAGTTGGGAAGAAGCACGATACATATACCGCACAGCATGGCTTCCCTCGGGAACTGGTCGTTCAACCCCTTGCCGGCGTTTGCGCCGACCGTCTTCCCCAACATCGCCATGTGGGATGTCAACAACACGGCCAAGAACCTTAGCTACCAAGTGCAGATCTCCTGGCCCTTCGAATGGGAATCCCGCGAGGTAACTGATAAGTCAGCCCTGACCCTGTAAGTGACGGACCAGCCAATCACCACCCCTCTCCCGAAAAAAAAAAGAAAAAGAAGAAAAGGAACGAAAAATAGAAAAAATAGCAAAAAGGAAACAAACCAATCACACCTAACCACCACCTCCCTCCCAGCTACATTCTCGACGGCAACGCGCTGGGCACGACCGCCGCCGAAGCCATCAAGCGGCGCAAACTGATCTACGCCGACCAGCCCGACGCGGTCGTCGTCAGCGTGGGCTACCCGCTCACCAACGCCGTCTACGACGTGGCCCGCCGCAACGCCGACTTCACCCCACCCCTGCCCCCCGCGGCACCTTCGACGGGGGGGCCGGAGCCGGCGGGTAACGGGCGCGCGGATGAGTTTTTGGCGTTCTTGAGCGGCGTGCTGCGGCCGTGGGTGAGGGGGACGGTGTTTCCTGGCGTGGGGTTTAAGAGGGATGCGTTGTATGGGCATTCGTTGGGCGGGTTGTTTGTGGTGTATGCGCTGGTGAGTGAGCCGGCGGCGTTTGATACGTTTGTGGCGGCGAGTCCGGGCGTGGGGTGGAATGATGGGGCGTTGTTGGAGGAGATTACGCAGAGGTTTGGGGATGGTTTGGGGGGTGGTGGTGAGCAGCGGCGGCAGCAGGGTGGTGGTGGTGGGAATGAGACGAAGCTCGGCTTTGTTTATTGGATATGGCGGCGCAGAGCAGTTCTCTGCTCGGAGGCGTGCCGAGACGGAGGAGAATTTCCAGGCGCGTAAGGCTCTGTACCGATGGGACCACATGACGGAGTGGAGTCATGCGCTGTACGACCGTGTCCGCTCGGGCAATGGGGTGTCGGAGGTGGTCTTGAGGGAGTATGATGGGCAGGACTATTCTGGGTGGGCGGGGACCGTGTTGACGGAGGCGATTGAGTACTTCTTTGAATGGTAGTTAGGGGTGATGATGGTTCACCACCAGACAGGCCGGTGCCGGTCACACAACTTTAAGTTCTTGGGAGATATAGTTTGAGATAGCTTTGTATGTTCAGGCGTTTTGGTATGCAAATAATATGTACACAGGGATGACACCAACCTTCTAGTATTTGGTCGAAACCCCGAAGCCAATGTCCGGCAACTAGAGGCGGCGTGGGAAACGTGTATACGATGGGCGGACAGTCGGGGGATGAAGTTCGCCCCGGAAAAGAGCGAACTGATCCATTTCAACAAAGGGCGACGGCAGTGGACCGAACAAGTAAACCTTACCAACCCAGGGGGAGGCACCAGCCCCGTTAAACCAGAAGGGTCTGCCAGGTTCCCTGAGGAGTCCTGGTTGGACTGGAAAACCTCAACTGGAAGGCCCACCCTGGTGGCGAGTGGAAAAGAAGCTGAGGAACCCAGAGCTATGCCCTGTCGAGGATCGTGGCCAAAGACATGGGGAAATGGGGCTAGCCCAAAGCGCGAGAAGTGTACACAAAGTGCCATCCGGTCGGCGCTGGCCTGATGGCGCATCATCGTTTCACATCCCCCACGGATGTGGGAGGCGAGCCGGTAAAGAAAGGCATCACTAAGGCCCTCGGAGAAGGCCCAGAATAAGAGCTTGCGGATTGTGGCGGGAGCCTTTAAGTCTACCCCAATCCGTAACCTCGAGACAGAGACGTGGGTCCCCACCATTGGACTTGTACCTAAACAAACGGCTTGCCGATTTCGAAAACCGACTCCAACGACCCGATCTGGACGACGGTCAAGGCGGCAAGAACACGGCGGCGAGCGTTGTCCTCACCGCCTGCCGCAAGATACAGCAGAGGCTTAGCTCGAGGAGGGGCAACAGGGGCCGACCGCGAACCTTGGGACCTCAAGGGCCTACGGCGGTGGAGAGAGCCGCGGACACGGTCATGCGCTGGACGGGGGGAACCGTTGATACGAACAGGGTAGTAGAAGAAGCTTGGAAAGCGAGGTGGTTAAAGGAACAGGACGGCAGGGCAATCACCAGGCCGGCGGACGACTTTGACCATCAGCAGGAGACGCTATTCCGGAACGAAACCCTAAGGAGGCACGACGGTCTCAGCAAGGCAAAGAGCTCACTGCTGATTCAAATCCAGACGGGAGCAATAGGCTTACGGGGCTTCTTGTTTACACGGGGAGTCCCGGAGGTTCTGACTCCTGCCTGCGAGTGTGGCGAGGGACGAGAGACTGCCGAACACCCTGGTAGTGTGGTGTTTGGCCCCCACCGTTGACTCGAAGATGGGAGAGAACTGGAATTCGGACACGACGGGACTTTTACTCTGTTCTACACGGCATCAATCCCACGACTGCACGGCTCGCGAGGAGAGTCCTCGACTGGCTGATGGGCTCGGGGAAGGTGCCGATGTACAACTTAGCCCAGGAGGCTCAAGCGCCCCCGTTCGGAGGCCAGGAGGCCTCCTCTCTTTGTATATGTAGGCTCACTAAAACGCATCGCTCCTTGATTGTTGGTATGGGTTTTTCACCCGGCCCGGGAGGGCACGGTTTTCCTGTACACTGAATAGCAGAGGGTCCGGCACGCCCTAGGGCGTAGCGGAGTATGAATAATAATAATAATATGTACACAGTTACAAGATCTGCAATCCGATTCCCTCCTGATTTACTCGCACCCAACGCGGGCCGAGTCGATGGCGATGTCGTCGTACCAGAATGTGTTGGTGTCGCCGCCGTACGACTCCCAGCCGAAGTATACAGCCTCTGGCGTAGGTTTGATGCTGCTCCGCTGCCACTGGCCGGCGTTGGGGTTGCCATCGCCCGGCACGCTGGTCAAACCCTCAACGGCCTCGCCGTTAAGCCACGTCTCGATAGAGCCGTCGGTGCCGACGTGGTACTCGAAACACTGCCACTCGCCCGTGGGGAGGGCGGCCGAGGCGGCGATACCCTGCGGGGATAGGTCCGGGAGGGTGGCGTCGTCGGACTCGCGGTTGTACATCAGGATCTTGCTCTGGCCGCCGATGCGTAGGTGCTTGTTGGTGCCCTGAGCGGGATCCGGCATGGTAATGAAGGTGACGTGGGAGTCGGTGAGGGCCTTTGACGCCTTGCTGGAAGAGGATGACGGTCAGAACTGCTTTCATGTCTAGAATTTGTCGATTGTTGCAAACTTACACCCAAGCCCTGACATAAAGATCTCCGCTGGGGATGCTCTTCGTGCCGAAAAAGATGTGCCCGCAGAAGCCACCAGCACCGTCGACCCGGATGGAGTTCGAGCCACTGTGTGCGGTGGAGCTGTCCAGGGCGACCTTACCGCCCTGGTTGCAGTCAGGGGCGTAGGTAGGCCATGCTGTCTCGTCCCAGCCGCCCTCGAAGTCTTCGGCGACCTGGGCGAAGGTGGCGGGCACGAGGGCGAGAGCGAGAAGGGCAGTCTGGCGGAGCATTGTCGCAGATGGTTGCTGGGGTAGCAAGTGAGGATGGAAGAGGAATGGGACTGAGAAGGTAGGAGTCTAAAAGGAGCAAGTAACTGGGGTTGAGTAGTATGTACTTATGTTGGGTACGCGATCCCTGGTTCCTCGGCGCTGCGTTCTCGCTGCGGGAAAGCTTGTTTAAATCCAGGGGCGATCTCATCGCGCCGGCTGTGTCCATGGCCCATATTCACCACTTCACCTTCCGTGCCGCTCAATTTGGAAGTTCCGTGAGCGGGTGCTCAATGGAGACTTCAATTAACAGCCGGTCGCGTCGGACCGTTGGCAAGGGCTGCAATTTAGCCCTTCAAGCCGCCTCCGGTACTTTTTATGCCGATCTTCTATGCACCCCGCACCCACCTTACCAGGAACCATTCGTGATCAACGGGGGTGGGTTCTGTTAGAGGGACGGGGATCTTCATCGCCGTCCGGCCCAGACGAGCCGCCTCTTGGAACGGCTCAGATGCCGATAATACGATGGTCACCGGGACCGGGGACATCAAGAAATGGTTGAGATCCCGGCCCGAGATGCAAAGCAGCAGAACCAAAACCATCCCCAACCATAACAAGGCTATCTCCGGATCGACACTCGGATATACGGCAACAGGAAATAACCCCAGCGACGAGCCGCTAATTAGACGAGTTTCAGGTTTTCGATTATGTTTCCTTTGAATTGCTCACCCTGGTAACTCACGTACGGAACTGTAAACGTCACAGCGTACGGAGTACATACGAGTGCCTGGTTATAACAAGGGACATGTCCCCACCATACGCCAGGTGCCCGGAAAGAGATCGCCATCCACATATTCCGCAGCCCAGGTTTTACATAAATCCGATTCAGCCCTATTTCCATTTAACTCCAGCATATTCGTTTCTCATGTCTGATCATAATAGTGAGGAAGTCATCGTTGCGAAGGGCTCCGAGGAGCCTATGACGACGCGCCCTTACGCCAACGTCTCGTAGCCGGAGCCGCGCTGGTAGTTGGAGCGGTTTGAGAAGAGATAGTAGACGATCATGCCGATAACGGGGAATAGGAAGACGACCAGGCACCAAATGAGCTTCTGGACGGGCGTGCGGCTCGACTTGAGGACCTCGACTGTTGGGAAGCAGCGTTAGCATTCGGTCATGGTTTGACATCAAATGGAGATTGACTCGGCTAAAACTAAATAACATAGACGTACCAAAGACAATAATATCCAGGATGAGGACAACAAGTCCAATGAGTCCGCCGCCAGTGCCATACTGCCAACTGTTGTCCAGTGCTTCGGTCGAGACAGGAGCGGCGAGGCCGAAAGAGGCGAAGCAGAGCTGGAGGATGATGTTGGAGAGGAGGACGTTGAAAGCCATGATGTTGACTGTTTCGAGGTGAGTTGTTTTCTTGGTTTAATACTGGCTTCAGCGCTGATACGGGGGGAGAATATTTGATGTATATGATGTTTTGGTAATGGAGGGGTGTGAGGGGAAGTAAACTTTATCCAGATTCAAGTTCATGTCGTGCAGCCTGTCCGTGCTGATGACGAGTGGAGGTAGTAGGGGTGACGTCATGCAAACGGGGTGCCTTGGCTGCTTTGCTAACCACAGCAAGTGGCTGCTTGGCTGCCTGCTTGGATGCACGAGCTCCTTCGGACATTTTGATCCGGGAGTGCGGGATTCTTCCATGATCCATCGTCATTGCCTTGAATATCCTTTCCGGTGTCTCTCACTGCCTGCACTTGCATCACATCAACCATCAACTAACAATCAACAAATCGCCCAGTCTCAGGCCGTCAGCCAGTGCAACGGCTGAAATACCGCAACAAAATAATTAGGGAATTTCTAGCGAGCACCCTCCAAATGACCATGGAGCACCCCTCACTTTCCGAAAATGGACTAGCTCGCCACATTTCCACAGGCACACAGTGCTAACATCGCCACATGACGAACAAGCCACTTAGAGTCCGGAACATTACTTGAGGCTATTCGCAGAATAATCGTCGTAACCCATCATCCCGCCTATGAGGTCTCTGAACATGGGAAAGGTACAATTGGATCCTATCAAGCTGTCTCATCGTTCCCATCTTGAAGAACTAGATCATCCTCCGTAAGCGCGAGTCTATCAGCCTCGAGGTCCCGAAGCAGGGCATCATGCATATCTTCAGCATCTGGATTTACGATCTCGAGGCCGTCAATGATGCGCTGGTGGGCTCGAGGGCGAATAGTGCCACGCTCGAACGTATCTTCACCAGCCTGGCTTAACCGCTGCAGACCTAGCGATGTGGTTGTGACCTCCTCGGTAGGTGTGCTCGTACGTTCTCCAGAGGCACCAGCGACCACGATACAGTCGGCTTCCTGAGTCTCCTGCTGCTGTGGTTGCGGCTGCTGTGGCTGCTGTGGCTGCTGTTGTTGCTTCCGGGGGCGGCCTCGTGCCTTGCTTTTGGATGCTTTCTGCAGCACCGGCGGGGCTGTTGACGAGGGAATGGCTGTAGCCAGTTCATCCTTAAGCTCATGCTCGAACGCTGAAGGTAGCCGCTTTGTACTCTTGATGCCCTCGCCCTTCTTCGTGGCGATCGCTCTAAAGGGGCGGCCCTTGCCCTTAACCGCGAGAGGGTTTAGCGGGATATCCGGCATGCTGCTGGTCATCGGCTGCTCCTGTACGAGTGTAACTGGGCGGTAGTTCCACCAATGCTTATGGACCTGCTTTAGCTCGAGGGGGATGACGCCGTTAATGTGCTTATATAGAGTATGACGGCAGGGGAGTCCGTGAGTGGTCGGGAGACTGCAGGAGCAAGTACTCCCCTCGAGCGGAGCGTTCTTCGCAGGTAGAGCTGCAATCTCCATCGCGAGTAGCTCAAGCGCGAAGGGGGAGATCTGCCCACGAACCCAGCCGTAAATAGCGTTGTTGAAGTCCGTCCTGGTCTTATTGGTAGCCTGGGCGCTGCTGATGTCGAGAGTGCTGCGCTGGTTCTTCTAAAACAGGCAGAGGCGATCGAACACGCTCTTGAGGTCGGCTTTGGAGCTGATGAGGTACTTCTTGATAGCAGAATGCGCTGATTCCACTGCAGAAGTCGTGACGTGGCCCATGTGAGGCACCTTGTTGGTCCAAGCAGCCACCAGCTTTTCCTTCCACGGATCAAGCCAAGTCTTGGTCACGTACTTTATAGCCTCCTCGGGGTGCCGGCCTGGCGCCTTGAACTTGGCCAGGGTACTCTCGTAAACCTCCTCGGTACTTGCGGCAAGGAGAGCGTTCCATTCTTTAAGGAACTCCTTGAACTTGGGGTGACGCTGATATTCCGCGCCCACCTTCGTGGCCGGGGGGAAATGACGGCGAGCCTTGGCGAGTACATTCATGTTGACGTGCCAGCGGCAGAGAAGGTGCGGTACTGCAGCCCATGAGCTCTTGTTGAGGGCCTTTAGCAAGGCCAGTTCTCGATTAGAGACCATAAGGCCAGGCTTGGGAATACCTTCACCCTCTAGAATCGAGATCTGATGCTTAAGAGCTACTTGGTAATGATCCTCCTGCTCGCCGCTTATGAAGGTGACTGCCCAATTGAAGACCTTGTTGCAGTGGGTCACTCCGCAAGCGTTAAACATCGGCATGTTGTGGCAGTTGGTCTTATACGTGGCGTCAAGCAGCAGAATGTCTGGTTCTGCTTTAGCAGTCCAAGGCCAGTTTTGGGAGCAATGGTTAAGGAGGTGACTCGATTCTGGGCATCCCGGGTATCTCTCCAAACAAATAGGCTGCCCTGGAAGGTAAGGTGGTCCTCGTAGAGAGCCTGGAGGGGGGATCGGCCCTTTAGCTCCTCGCGGCGATGTCGCTGGAGAAGGTTGTGGATATCCTTTCCCAAGATCCCGAGCTCATCCGCATGTATCTTTCCCAGGATCTGCGCCGGCCTGACGCCCTTGTTCGCTAGCTCAATAACCTCCTGCTCCAACGGCTTCAACTTCTCGGCTCGCGAGGCAGCAAAAGCAGTCTCTTCGTTCCATCCGTGGTTGTGCGCAATTCCCTCGGGCACCTCCAGAGCCCACTGGCCGTTTAGCAAAGGCTTAGCCTTGAACTTGAACGGGCAGCCCGTGAACTGGGAGCTGGTCTTGCGGCGCTTCGATTCGTGGACCTCGAGGTTGGCCTTTGACTTGTAAACTCGGCCCTTAGCGCATCGGAAGAGGGCATTCCCCTTCTTCGATCCATTTTTGACGACTCTGTACCCATTGGTGGCTGCGTGGCGCCCAATCGCTTCCCAGGCTTCTTCCAACGAATTGTAGACACCTGACGGCGGCGGTGCCCCGCAAGGGCGTAGAATCCGCGGTCCCATCGCTCGGGTACCTGCGAGTGACATCTATTGTTAAATCCAGCGCTTAAAAGAGGTCGGAATCGTATCTCTGCCGAACTGTAGCGATGCTGTAGTGATGCTGTTGTGTGGAGGAAATTTGGGCCGAAGTTGTGAGATTCGAGAACAGAAAATATGGGCTGGCATTCACTGTGCCGGATACTGTGCATTGATTGGAAATATGGCGAGCTAATCCATTTTCGGAAAGTGAGGGGTGCTCCATAGTCATTTGGGGGGTGCTCGCTAGAAATTCCCAATAATTAACTAGACGGACAATAGTTAAGCATTAAGAGGGATTGGCCGGCACTGGGGCCATCAGGTGACATGTGACATATCGTGCTTTCACAAAGTCGGATTTCTGGGGTCCATCACTCACGTTACTATGCACTAATTTCATTAAGTATCTATCATAACTAGCTATCATGGGTATCTCATGGATTGCCAGTGGTCACTGCCGTTCATCATCTCATTCGACGCTCATGCAATCGGTCTGCTAGTGGTGGTATGGTTGGTACGCGGCCCCTTGTTGTTGTTGTTGTTGTTGTTGTTGTTGTTGGTAGTCCTGGTGAGGGTTCTCACACACCTGCTGGTGCTGCTGCTGTCCGTATTGCGGTTGTGAGTATTGACTCATAGGCTGGACATAGATCCGCTGCTGCCAGTGCCCCCGGTCCGCGAACACGGACGGGTCCGACCAGACTCGGTTGCGCACCATAAAAGTGACCAGCCCCAGGACAGTAGCCGAGACCCAGTAGTCGAGGATGGGATAGATTATTTTCTGCGTAGATAGCTCGGTTTTAATCCAGTTTGGAATAGCGTACTTCACTTCAACCGCCAAAACGAAGGCGCAGCGAAGCAGCCAGAGGAGAGACGCTGCGAGAAAGAGACTAGGTAACTACGAGAGGCACTGGGTTAGCCACCGGTATAAAGTATAAGGTAGGTAGGTACCTGTTGCTGGGGCACTCACGTTCCCGACGACAAGGTCGCCTCGTCTGTTCAACTTCGCCGCGCAATAGATGGCGAGCCCAACATTCAACGCCGCGACGAGACACAGAGCGAGATTGATTATGACAAGCAGCCAATCTAGTCGGATGCGATCTGCATCTGGTTTCAAAAAATCTGCGATCGTCTTGGCGAACCAGGCAATGTCGAAGGCAATCAGTACCACCGTTGCGAAGATGGTATCCAGCTGCGCCGCCTTCCACCACTTCTTCTTCGCCAACACCAGATACCAAACGGATAGTCCGGCGAGATAGACTGCATGAGACGCAAGGACGCTCGCCGCCGTGGCGAGGAGTGAGGAAACGGCTGATCCGTAGAAGCTTGTCACCGCCGCTTGCCAGTTGAGGTCAATCATTCGTTGATCGTCCATCTGGTCTCGGACACGCACGATCGCGGTGACCGGGAAGATGATGGCAGTGGCCACGGCCCTGGCATCGTGTTTTGATTAGCAACATGAAGCGGCAGCTCGATTCACTCCATCCACGATCGCTGCAGGGAACTCTCAACTCCGTGTCTTACAATAGGTAGGCTGGAAACGCCATGTGCAGGAAAATCCGTGTCAATCTCAGCGGTTGGGCTTGGTGTCTGCCGTGTTTTCCGCACAGATTGAAGCCCCAGAAAGTACCAAGTGGTATCAGAGTGACCCCGATCAGCGCCGCGCTTACGGCCCATGCCTGCCACGATAAGAACCAGTTGAAGTTCATGGTGCTTTTGTTGCCGCTGGCTGTCTATCGGATCAAGCTTAGGTAGTTCACGGCCAAGAGGAGTAAGTCCAATAATGGGCTCGAGGGGCAAGAACAGGAACCCCTTGGTTTATGAAATGTACTATTCTATAGTTCCTGCACCGTAGCATCAGTGCATGGCTCTGGGGCTGTGTTGGGGGCTGGTGCCAATGCCAAGGGAAGTTGTTGGTGCGCCTTACCCGCGACAGGGCTTTCTCCTTCACACGACGACACCGCGTTGGATTCAGAGGCTGCCCGACTTGTGCCCAGACACGGGAACCTCGCAGGCTAGCTTCTCTTGGCCAAACGTCCGTTTTGGCTCGTATTATCAAAGTTCTAGCCATCTTGGCGGTGTTTGTCGTGCTGAGGGATTCATCCCGCGTGATGCAACCAGCAACCTTGGGGGCCAAATCACTCAGGAAGGTCGTCGGGTACAAATTAGGTTTGTCCCCATGGCTCTAGCCTTCCACTAGGGTGGCTGGTAAGATCCAAAGCCAGGAGCGGACTCCACAACGATGAGGCCGCCGAGTCACTCTATCAGTTTATTCCTGCCATTTCCCCAAGGGGATCCAACAACCATTAAAGGCGGCATCATGAGCATCGCTCATCTGGGTGGCACGAATCTCATGCTTTCGGGACACTTTCCCTCTTTATCTTGAACCTTATTATGATGACCCTTATGCCATTCGTCACTTGTGCATCGCAGCAGGAGCAACACGGATGATACCCAGGTATGAAAGTTTTATGCAAGAGCTCGCGCCTTTTGCATGTGCCCAAACGGGCAGCCCAAAAAACAGCTTTCTGGTTTACTTCTCGCATCACCAGAATAAGGCATGTATCCTGTGGTTATGAAGAGTATGAAACTCGTAGACAAGTGATAATTTGATAAAGTATGAGCCATGGTTAGTGGAAACCTTACTGTAAACAAGGATATCTCCCTACTGCTGTTTCTCCCCACTGACATCTACTGTAGGTCAAAGTTTACCTTATGATGCTCTTATTTTCGGGAATAAAGACATTAACTACCTGATTCTGATGGGTTTCATTTTCGGAGTTGTAAAAGTGCTGCAAACAATCGTCAAACAGTTGCTGCAATTACTCCCTGCACACCTGTCCACTGGCAGCTACACTGACTGCGTAGCACCATTTTCTCTTGAGTTCTCCTCCTTGAACTGTAGCGTTTTTCCTATTTGAACTGCAATGGTTCGGGAAAAGGAGCCTGGAGGGGGGAACGTCGGAACGTCAACCAGCCTTCGGCAATTTCACGATAAGTTAAACTTTGAAAAAGTTGAGCGGCACTGCCGAAGGACGGCGAAATGGCGGGGTCGGCGCAGGACCAGATCGTGGTCGAGGCGGCGGACCAACCATCCCCGCTGAAGCGACCGAGCCGCGCCCCGAAACCGAGTGCGAAAGTTCGCGAAGCCATGCAATCGATCGAAGACGCAACCGCCGCGTCGAGAAGGACTACGAGCGATGCTACGCGGACCGCCGCTTCGAGAGGAACACGCGCGCTAGGAGGCGGGAACGCGACCAACAGCGAGGTTGGGACCGGGAAGACAGCGCTACAGACACTCCTAGAGGTGCTCAATACACAGCGAAACGAGATGCTCGATACAATCATTGAACTGCGCGACGTGGTCAGCAAGCAGAAGAACACGATTCAAGAGTTACACCATCAGCTCCAGGAATACCAACGTCAAATGGAATGCGCCCTAGGGAACACAAAGGCACAGCTATCAGAGGAGCTGAGGCAAGCTCGAGACCAGATCGACGTCCTTCTACGCAACCCGGTATTCACGGCCTCGTCCCAGCCAAGCGCAAGAGCATCGTACGCCGAAGTCGCTCGCACCCCACCATCAAGCCAACCAAGCGGGGTGCGCACCCTCTCCTCGTCGAACACGACACCCTCATCCTTTACCGACACGCTGTTCTGCACCATTGACACATCCAGAGTGGAGGAAAACGAAAAGAACAAAGTCCAGGTGGCGGATGTCAGAGAAGCAATCGAGGCGGAGGTCCGGACACTGGAAAACATGGGAGATTGGCGCTGCGCTGCGGTTGTAAAGGAGGCCCGGAACCCGGATCGGGTCAAGGTGGTTTGCAGAGACGAGAACGAGACCAAGATTGTCAAGGATGCAGCACAAAAGATCACTGTCCCGGCGTACGGGTGCTGAGGGATCAGCTCTACCCAGTGAGGATCGATAATGCCAACCGCACAGCGGTCCTCGATGCCGAGGGGAACGTTTTACCAGGGGCAATGGAAGCCCTTGGTACGGAGAACAACGTCAACATTGCCAAGATTGCCTGGCTCAGCAGGAAGGATACAAGCAAGGCCTACGGCTCGATGGTTGTCTACGTGACGAAGGGCAGCGAAGCAAGGCGACTTCTAGACGGGCGTTACTTCCATCTCGCCGGAGAATCCGCTTACACGACCGTTTTCGCGCCCCGGGAAGGCCCAACCCAGTGCTACAGATGCCAGGAGATCGGCCATAAGGCCTTCGCCTGCAAAAAGCCGCAAAGATGCGGAAGGTGTGCGGAACAGGGTCACCACCACAAGACGTGTCAATCCGTGGTCCTGAAGTGCGTGCTATGCAGAGGACCACACGAGTCATTCGGCAAATACTGTCGGGTACGCTGGTTGAACAATGGGACCCAGAACGCTTGAGATCCTTCAGCTTAACGTCCGCAAACGGAGAGAAGTGCAAGAGAGTCTGCTAAACGACGAGGGGCTTAAGAACTATACAACATTGGCAATCTCCGAGCCATATGCCAGACTGATTGACGGTTCGGTGGCGACGATGCCAATGAGTCACCATAATTGGACAAAATTAATACCAACGACAAGACGAGAGACACGATGGCCGATTCGGAGTATGTTATGGGTACGAAGCGATGTGGAGGCCGAGCAAATTCCAGTGCCGTCGGCAGACCTCACCGCAGCACAGATCCGACTCCCAGACCGGGTGGTGCTGGTGGTGTCAGTCTACGTGGAGGGAGGCAGCGACGAAGCACTGGAAGTGGTGATGAGAGAGCTCGACCGGCTGATTAGGAGGTTCCGAAACGGAACGGGAAATAGGACGGACATCATTCTGGCGGGCGATTTCAACCGCCACGACCAGCTCTGGGGTGGAGACGGCGTGTCACCACTGAGGCAAGGCGAGGGAGACCGCATCATCAACCTCATGGACGAACACTCCCTTTGCAGCCTCCTCCCAAGAGGCACAAAAACATGGCAGTCAGGGGACGCAGAAAGTACGATCGACCTGGTACTGGCCTTAGCGGAATTAACAGAGCAACTACTCAAGTGCCGGATCCACCCCTGCGACCATGGATCTGACCACAGAGCGATCGAGACGACATTCGACATCGCAGTAGAAGACCGCCAAACCGAGACGAGGTTCCTCTTCAAGAATGCGCCCTGGGCAGAAATCAGGGACAGGATGGCAGCGAACCTCGACCATACCCCCCAGGGTGGCAGCGTCCAGCAGCAAGCGGACCGGCTCATGACGGCGGTAACCGAAGCGGTCTTCGGCCTGACTCCCAAAGCCAAGCCATCACCATACGCCAAGCGGTGGTGGACAACAAACCTGACACGGCTCCGCCAGGCCTATACATTCTGGAGAAACCAGGCGAGAGCTCGACGCAGGATGAGGCAAACGTCACCAGAACTCGAACAGCGAGCCAGGAACGCGGCCAAGGAGTACCATGACGCTATCCGCAGACAGAAAAGCTCACACTGGAACAACTTCTTAGCCGACGACGCCAACATCTGGCAAGCAACGAAGTACCTGCAAACGGGCAGCGGCACGATGGGCGACAAGGTTACCCCGCTTACCCGACCTGACGGCTCGGTCACGGAAGGCAAAGAAGAACAAGCACAAACGCTACTAGCCACCTTTTTCCCGCCGCTGCCAGAGAGAATCGAAGACGAGGGACAACGTCCTCAGCGGGCACCAGTACAAATGCCGGACCTGACAATGGAAGAGGTGGAGCAGAAGGTCTTGTCCGCCAAACCGTGGAAGGCACCCGGGGAAGACGGTCTACCGGCAATGGTACGGAAACAGCTCTGGCCAGTTGTTAAAGACAGAGTGCTCCATTTGTTTCAGACTTCGCTTCGAGACGGCGACATCCCTAGCCAATGGAGGAACGCCAAGATCATTCCACTGAAGAAGCCAGGGAAGAGCGACTACACGCTGGCCAAGTCCTGGAGACCTATCTCGCTGCTCTCCGAGCTTGGCAAGATACTGGAAGCATTCATTGCGGAACGCCTATCCTATGCTGTGGAGACCTTTGGCCTTCTCCCTGGGAACCACTTCGGAGCTAGGAGAAGACGCTCAACCGAGCAGGCTCTCCTACTACTTCAAGAACAGATCTACAAGGCATGGAGAACTAGGAAGGTGCTCAGCCTGATCAGCTTCGACGTGAAGGGTGCATACAACGGAGTCTTCAAGGACAGGCTGCTCCAGAGACTCAGAACAAGAGGCATACCAGACGCCGTGGTCAGATGGATCGATGCCTTCTGCTCCAGGCGCACAGCGACCATCGCGGTAAACGGGTTCACGCCCGAGCGACAAGAGTTGCCCCAAGCGGGACTGCCGCAGGGGTCGCCGCTGTCCCCAATACTGTTTCTCTTCTTCAATGCAGACCTGGTACAGCAGAAAATCGACGCGAATAGAGGCTCGATTGCCTTCGTTGACGACTACACAGCCTGGGTCACGGGTCCATCAGCAGAAGCAAATCGCGCAGGCATCCAGGCTATCATTGACAGAGCCCTGGACTGGGAAAGACCAAGCGGTGCACAGTTTGAAAGCGACAAGACGGCCATCATACACTTTACGAGGAACAAGGAGCGATCTTCGGAACAACCGTTCTCTGTCAAAGGTGATATGGTCAAGCCGACTGAGAGTGCAAAGATCCTAGATGTAGTGATGGACCGCGAACTCCGATACAAGCAGCACATAGCCAGGACGGCAGCCAAAGGTCTAGCAGCCGCTTTAGCCCTGAAGAGGCTGAAGATGCTTTCCCCACGGACAGCCAGGCAACTGTTTCGCGACAGTAGCCCCTGTCATGGACTACGCTGCCAACGTTTGGATGCATGCGTGCGGAGGGAAGGCACTGAGCTGGCTGAACAGGGCGCAGAAGATCGGGGCTCTGGCCATCATGGGAGCTTTCCGGACCGCGGCAACGACCGTGGTGGAAGCTGAAGCGAGCATCTACCCCGTACGAGAACGACACACCCAGGCGGCAGTCAGGCTATGGATCAACATCCACACCCTGCCCGGATCGCATCCCCTCGCGGTGAAGAAAATCCGGACGACTGTGCGATTCGTATCCCCGCTGCAGAAACTCGCCCCAGCGGTAGAAGGAACCGAAGTTGACCGGATGGAAACGATCCAGGAATATGCCGTCTCACCTTGGGAACCCCGCCTGCGGCCGACGGTTGAAGCTGACCGAGCAAGGGCGGCCGAGAAGGTCGACAAAGCTACGGGAATCCTGATTGCAACTAGCTCAGCTGTAAAGGGAGGCATTGTTGGCATGGGCGGTATCGCACGGGACACTCTCTTCAACAGAACCAACGAGACGGTGGCAAGCTATGCCGTGGCCCTCGGAACACGGGAGGAGCAAAATCCATACACTGCAGAACTAGCAGCCATCACAATGGCCTTGGAGAAGGTACCGGCCAGCATCTGTCACAGGCACATCACCATCGCCCCTAGGAACCAGTCAGCGCTAGCAGCAATTAGGCAACCGCGGCAACAATCCGGCCAAGGCATTATACGACACATCTACGAATTGACTAGACTGCATCAAAAAAGAGGGAACTCGATCAACCTGCAGTGGGTACCAGCGGAAACCGACTTCGCGTTGGGACTGGAAGCCAAAGCGGCAGCCCAAGGAGCGACAAGAGAGGGGCGCACGCCCGAGTCCCAATGGCATCACGCCAAGTCGACGGCAATTAGGGCAGCAATGGCCAAGCAACGAAAGAGAAGGGTTATCCCCGAAGTAGTGAGCAAGTTCTCCAAAGCTATAGACGCGGCACTGCCAGGAAAGCACACCCGCGTTCTCTACGACAAGCTGAAGCGAAGAGAGGCCTGCATTCTGGCGCAACTCCGAACCGGAATGGCAAAGCTAAACGGTTTCCTGAACAGGATCGGGGCCGCCGAATCTGACTTCTGCGCCTGTGGACATGCGAGCGGAACAGTGGGACACTTTCTACTACGATGCACCAAGTGGACAGCTCTAAGAGACGATATGCTGCAATGCTCAACGACAAGACGAGGGAGTCTCTCTTTCTACCTAGGAGGAAAAGCGCCATCAGAAACAAGACGTTGGTCACCAGATATGAAGGCAGTCCGAGCAACAATCAAATACGCAATGGCGACAGGAAGGTTGGAACAGAACGTGGAGGAGAGAATGGAGCAATCGCAGTAGAAGGACTCGACCAACAACACCACGCAGCCTCAACCAGCAGGTCCCACTTTAGCTGCTGAAGTTAGGATGCTGAACACTTGGAAAACGTAGCCTCCAAGCTGATCTGCTAACAATCAAGGCAAGAGGCATAGGGTGTGGCGAGAAAGGGGAGAGAGTAATGGGCTTGTACGAGTTAGAGGCTAAGTGACTTCGATCCGGATGTACCTAGCGTGCTTAGGCCATATAGGCTTAGTGCCTCCGGGCGAACTAAATTCCATCCATCCATGCTATGCTACGACGTCGAGCTGGTGCGCCCCGAGCGCGAGTGGACCGTGGTCGGGAGTTGGTTTCCGCGCCAGGAGGGGCTGGAGGTGCGGATGAAGAGGAGGGGGGGTTGAGGTAGTGTGAAATTGGGATCTTGGTTTGTAAGGACCTACTAGCCTGATAAGTAGTACTCGGAGGTTCAATTCAGTTCCACTATATATGGCGTTTGAACAACTGGAGGCCTTCACAAGCAAGTGGCAACGAACAGGCACAGTTACGCGGATAGAAACATGCTGCGTTGTGGCTATGCGCCGATACCGCATAAAACCGCATATTATGCCATGAATCAGTACTACCCCTCCCGCTATTTCGTAAGCCCGGGTTCGTCAGAGTAAGAGAGATAGCCAGTAAATCTTACATTACAAAAAGTCCACGGTAGCGCCGCGATAACAATGGGCCGCCCTCTCAAATAGCCTTTCTTCCACAAACGCTTTCGCCGCGTCGGCGTTCTTCTCCCACTTGAGCCAGTTGTAGGCCCACGGGAGGCCTTTGTACTCGTCAAGGTGCCCCGAGCAGAAAGCCTCAAGGTCGTCAGGGATGGCTATCGCCCTCAGACTGCTCTTTAAGGAGTAGCAATGGTCTAGCAGATCCTGCAGCTCTTCCGACATCATGCCTTGCCGTATGTTGTTCCGGATTTGGACCATGGCCGGATGATACATGGTCCATGAGCGGCTGAAGTCGACGAGTTTTCCGCCCAGGTAGTTGCCGCCGTGGGTTTCTCCCACAAATATACCCAGAGAGTGGAGGGATTTCAGGTCCGCCCAGATGCACTGGGCTATGTTGGGATTCAGTGCCCCCCTGGGGACGGGTTCTTTGACGATGGCCCAGACAGGCAGTCCGCGGTGTTCCTCCTGCCGCCTCCAGAAATCGTGGCCATTCAGGGCCTTGTCCGCCTTGGCGTCGGGGGGCGGGGTAGACTCGCCCGTCACCTTCCGGGCCAAGTCGGCTTCCTGCTCAGGGGTGAGGAGGAGATAGCCGTAGGCTTTGGCGGCCAGGTCCTCGCGCTTTGCTTCCTTGAGTCGGCCATAGGCACGGCACTCACAGTTGAAAGGGTCAAAGTAGTCGGCATAGAGCTGAGAGTTGGCGAGTGGCCTCTTAAGGTCCCCGCCCTGGTTCTTACGGAGAAAGTTTGAGTGGCAGAAGTAAAACTAGGGAGGGCACTCCGAGTTAGATTCCAAGTGAACTGGGCCGGCGCGGAGCCAATGTGCCGCGTCTCATCACGTACCGTCTTGAGAGCAAACAGGCGAGGCTGCCCAGCTCCTTTGATCTTGACCTTCCAGACCTGAGAGTCCACGTTGTTTTTCTCGCCGAGAAACTCAACAAACTCGATGTTGGCTCGGGCATTCGGAGTGAAAGGGGCTAGTTTGGGACCCGGGACGCGGGGGAGGGGCACCGGCGGATTGGGAAGGGGCGCGAGGTGGAAAACCGACGAAGCCATGATGCGAAAGTAGGTACCTTGGTAAGGTAGTATGCTGAAGTCGTCGGGCTTACTCGGAAATTCAAATTCAAAGGTTGAGAACTGGAGCGGAAATGCGATGGACCGTGGACGGGCAAAAGACGAAACAGTTGAGACAGCGTTGGGTTCTCTAGATAACGGCCAAAAACCTAGACCTTCTGATGCAAGAATCCCCATTGTGTGATTAGAGTTACTTAGAGATCGTCCGTGTCAGGCCGCCCCACTTTGGTCCTCTGCAAATAGTCTGCGCTCTGCGCGCAGAACTATATTGCAATGCAGGCTGAGGCGCCTTCTACCTTTGAGGAACCAACTCTTTCTTCTACCTTTTTTTCTACTTTTGCAATTAGATGCAGTGTCCCGTATCAGAGAAACAAAAAGGAAGCCCGAGTCCGAAGGAAAGCAGATCAGGGAAAGGGCGCCGGGTGAGAAAAAACAAAGAAAGGGTAATAAATAGGCTAACTAAACATGCCTGGGGCGGGTGTTTAGGTTCACCTCAAGCGTCGTATGATATAGGCAGGCCGGTATGAAGACTTTGGAGATCACATATCACAATATCTGTCAATAAACAATTTGCTTTCTTCCCGTTTGTCTGTATATAAAAGCGTCGTCAGCCATTCTGGTTCTTGGCGACCCATTTCCCCTCTCCCCTTTGGCTAAACGAGTCGGATTATCTCCCTGGGCCTCCAACTGCCAACCGGGTGATTCCCGCCCTTGGTTTGCCGGCACTCATTTCCTAGGTGCCGCACAACTTTGTTTATATTAAGGTTCTCGAGAGTCTAGATGGCTCTCAGCCAACGGGAAATCCCGTAAACCAGAATAGGGAAAATGAAGCCTGGGTGCGGAAGGTGCAAATAAAGGCCAGGCCCTATAGCAGTGCCTATATACGCGGCAGTCACGATTTGAGCCATACAATTTGCGTGGTATCGACCAAGCCATGGACTCTTGCCTATATCAAGAGGCCAGTCCCCAACTCCCAAACTAGGGCCGTTCTGCTGATTTCTCCTCTTTACTTCGCTCAGTGTTACTAGAACGTACTATCCATTCCATTGTTAATATGAAGTTCACTTACTTTCTCGGGGTGCTGGTCTACGGCCTCGGCCTGGAAGCCAGAAGAGTCCCAGCCCCTGGGGCCGTTGCCCGACAGTGGGGTGACGGTGACGATGACGAGGGAGAAGAAGGGGGCAATGATGGCGGCGAAGGAGAAGGAGATATTTGCGAATGGACGGACCACTGCCTTGGTATGTTCCATTCATCTTCCTTTTCTCCATTCCACAGCTAGCTGTTAACTGGCCGTCCAGGTGACCCCTGCAAGACCGAAATTGACTGCGACGGCGACCTCACCTGCCTTGCCGGGTCCTGTGCCGACCCTGACGCCGTAGAACCCACTCCCACCGTCGGGATTCCAACTCCGATCATTATTACAACCACCATCTATGTCACGGCTTCCCCAACAATACCGGCCAACCCCGATTGTGAATGGACGGGCCACTGCGCGGGTTTGTATCCCTTTTTTCTCTCTGAGGGATCCTGCTAGAGAGCTGATGGTCCGGAAATATTGACACAAAGTTACCTCCAGGTGATCCATGCCAGACAGAGAACGACTGTGATGGCGATATGACTTGTCACTCGGGCACTTGCGGCGATGGGCCCGTAACCCTAGTCACCAGCACTCGTCGCATTGTTACAAGCACCCGCCGAGTGACAGTCCCACCTAGGCCTACAACTACCCGCCGAGCCACAGTCCCACCCAGGCCTACGACTACTCGCCGAATGACCGTTCCGCCCAGGCCCACGACTACTCGCCGAGTAACAGTCCCGCCTAGGCCTACGACTACCCGCCGGGTCACAGTCTCTCCGACACCTCGCTCGACAGTTCGCCCCCCGATGACCTCAGCTCAAGCAAGCCCAAGACCCCCGTGTGCTGAGGGCCCGCTTGCTTGCATTGGTATGTGACACGGATTCAGATGTTGGCGCCCTCATGCTGATTTTCTTCTTAGGCAACAGCTGCGAAACTGACGCCGACTGTGGTGGCTCCTTGATCATTTGCAAAAACGGGACTTGTGGGCTGTGATGTGTGCGGTCTTTGGCAGCGAGTCTTGGTGTACCGTGTAACCTCGTGGAAGCCTCTCTTACTGCGCGCAAGAGAACTCAATTTCGTGGTCTGTCCCTCGCTATGGGCTATCTTAGGTAAATACAAGCGTACCAATCAGTACGTTTGCTAAGGGGTTTTAACGTTGTCCGAGTCTTCGATTGGGTATCACAAATAAACGCATCTCTATTCTCAACATCCCCTCAAGGCCTAGGGGATTTGTGAACAAAGCATGGCTTCAGTAGCCGATTTGTGGACGCAACATTACCATTCTTTGAGTCCTTGAAGCCCATTGTGCCTAACACAATACCCTTTCAACAACGTGATGTGATGCGGATATAATGAATGTCATTGTCGCATATTGCCCGTCATCTTTCCTTCCAGTCTCTCGCTCGCCCGTCGCCGTTCCTGCGTTCCTCGCTTCTGATGCCTTTTTTTTCGGGCACTAACCACGGTGATTACCACCCCTGGAAAATATGGCAACCTCGCAAAACCCATTCCTCGACTCATCCCCGGAGATGGACATGGCCGACGAACCGTTACCGCCCCCAGACCATGTCCTCAGGCTTATCCCCCCCTTCAATCACCACGGCGAGCACAAGTGCGGTCACCATCGACACAACCTGAAGGAAGAGAACTTCGCCAAATACGTACGACGATTCGGCGACGATACGGAATCCGCGACATGGAAGGTGGCATGCCGTAATTGCCATTCCCGTGTTACGCTCAACCAGATCCATGACCTCCCCTGCGGCGACCTAATCTGCCGTGGCTGCTTGATGGTCAGAGCGTTCAACGTGAAGTTGAATATCGAGAGGCACCATAAGCGCATTCAGGCCGTGCGCGAAAAGAGGGAAGACCTCGAAACCCGCTTCATAGAGAGCCAGGATATAACCCCTCAGGACAGGCAGAAGTTTATCCAGGACCATGACGACATTCGGCGAGTAATGTTCCGCCTAGCCGGGCTCATGTGTTGTGGCGTGGACATGCAACTGGGGAGGTTCTTGGGCTGTATGACTCCGGCGGCGTCGCGAGACTTGTGGCTTGCGATCCAGTGGGTGGGCGACCCTCGTTACCGCCAGAGGATATGTGGTTGGCCCGACTGTGGCGCGTACGTGCCGGTTTGCTGTAATTATGCTGACCCTCACGACGGTGGTCATCGTTGGCACTGCGTTGTCTGTGGAGGGAATTCATTGCGTTGGTCGAGCTGGCGATCAGAGAAAGGTCAAATCAAGTTTCCATTCATCCCCTGGCGGTGGCCTTTACTGGCGCCTGCGAGGTAGGTAGGTAGTCAAGCTGGGAAATAGGTACTAAAGGTCTTGGTAGGGTTCCAGTCCTCTCTTTCAGAGAACTATTAGTCAATTGACATTGTGCGACATCTAAATTAGAACAAACGATCTTTGTCCCCTTTTCGAGACCACCCATCTTGGGAGCCCATTCTAACGAAGTATGCACTACCTATTGACTGATCAATTTTCAAGATACTTGTTTCCCCAGCATTGGTATGTTCTACCCAAACCACGCTTACTTCTTCCCAGCCTCGAGTCCCTTCAAACTAGGAGAACCGATATCTTGATCATCCGGCGGCGTCCACCTCATCTCCTGCTTTAGGAACGCCTTCAAAGCCGTCCTAATCTCCGACACCTGCTGGTTCCAGGCCTCCCTCTTCTTCTTCAAATCCCCACTCTTCACACCAGCTTCCACAGGATTCAAGATCTCCCGAACCTGCCCCCTCTTATGCGCCAGATATGCCCCCAACTGCAACACCCTCCCCTTGCACCGCGGCGCCGCCCCGGGCCCCTCCCTCCTCAACAACGCCTCCTTCAGCTTCACCATATTATCATGCTCCCTTACCGTAAACACAAACACAAAATCAAACCGCGCAAACACATCCTTCGGCACGCCCCTCGATGTCCGCGCCAAAATCTCCTTCCTCACATCCTTCTTGAACGGATAATCCGCCCACCGATTATCAAACACTGCCGACAGCGCCGTCGCATCGGGCGGCGCCCCGCCCGGCCGCCACGGCAGCTGAAAGCTGCGCTCGCTGTAGTCGAGCGCGTCGATGGCGCCCGCCGCCTCGTTCTTGCGCTTGGTGAAGAACCCCGCCGAGCTGACCTCGCCGATGCGCCAGTCACCGCCACCGTTGCGGGCGCGGAGTGTCAGTTGTGCGAGGAGCTTGACCAGCGCCTCGGCGACGACGCTGCGCGCTTCGTTGTAGGGGTCGACGAAGAGGATCTTGTAGTCGCGGCGTGGCGGGGTCGGGGAGGGGGAGGGTGGTGGGCGGCGGATGGGGGATGTGGCTGCGAGCGTGCCGTTTGGTGGTTTTTGCGCTGGGTCGCGGCCCGGTCGCGTGGTTGTGGTGGTGGTGGTTGTGGCGGGGGGTTCGTAGGCCTTCTCGACGGCCATGAGAACGAGGTAGTCACGTAACAGGCTGCGCTGCTGGTCGATGTCCTCCATGATAACCTGGACCTTGTCGGCGCTGCTGTCGACGATGGAGAACCACACCTGTGTCATCCATGATGCCCGGAATTTCAGGTCTTTGGATCGGGAGAGGATGCCGCTCTTGTAGCGGTCGAATAGATCATACACCTTCTCGGCGTTGGCCTTTATCCCGGCCAGCAGCTTGCGGAGATCGTTTAGTTGCCCAGACAACAGTTGGGTTTTTGGGTTTTTGTTGTTTTTGTCGTTTTTGTTGTTCTCCGTCAGGAAGTTCTGAAGGCGGACGAGGAAGAGGTTTAAGTTTTCCATCCGCCGGCCCAACTGGGCCATCTGCTGGGGGAGGTTTTCGATACGCTCGTAGATGGTAATGGCCTTTTGGACGAGCTCGACCACCGTGAGGACAGTGCCCAAGTCCATTGTGTGTGGTTGGGCACTAGCAAGCTTTTGGCCGATTTAACTCGGCTTAGCTCTTTTCAAGGATGAGTCGGTTTCAAAAATCTCTTAGGAAAAAGAAAACAAATGTAAAGGAGGAAGTCTACGGGGAATCTCGGAGCCTGGTGGTGAAGGTGAGATTCTAAATGTGAGCCGAAGCTGCGCCACATCGTGTTGCACAAAACGGGTGGCTGAAGATACGGTACGGCGGGTCAACGACAGGGGCTTATGGGGCCCACCAGACTGGGCCCAATGCAGCGTTTCTAAGGGCACAGAGGCTCTCCTTTTCTTCCAGTTACATCAATCAGACTGTCAGACAATTGCATCACGAATTGAAGCCTCGGATCAGTGACCTTCCTTGCACTACGTTGCGCGCCCTGTTTAGAAGTATCGCTACTGTGGCTGTTGAATTTCCAACACATCGCACCGGCACAGCCCTTAAACGGTGATCATTCTTCGATTGCGACTAGTCGAGGGTAGCCTGGTCTTGGCGTTGTGGCACCTCACCGCTACAAGCAGAATGGAAAAGAATGTCTGAATATCATTCAAGTAAGAAATGCTGATTTTAGAGAAACCCTCCCATTTTTGGTGCCCTGACAATGTTTGGTTTTCCCGAACAGAGAAATCCAGACGTAATTGCAAATGCCCGCCCCCGTTTTATCTACCTGTACCAGTGCCAGATTTTGACCGTCCTGTCTCGTCTATCATCGCTGCAGCGGGCCTTGTCACTCGAAAAGCAGCAAAGCCCGTGTACGCCAGGGGTTGAAACCACTCCAGCAACAACATTACCAGCGCCTGGTTTCTCAAGGCACCAAAACAAAAACCCCCTGGAAGGGTATCGAGGGGTCGGGTAGGAAACATTCCGTCGGTAGACTGATAAAAAAAGACTGGTTGGGTGTGGACTAGTCGAGTAAGGAAATGACAAAGAAATGACCGTGGGTCTAAAATCGTCGTGATACATTATGAGGCCAGGGATGGTTGGGGTGGCCGAGTCGACTTCCGAAGACTGTGGCACCTTGTGCCCAAGCCATGCCGTCCTCCGACGTAATTTGCCCGGCTTTGATACGGGCGGGCCCGGTCGACAAGCCTACTAGATGCGCAAGATCTCCATCTCCGAGATGCTCCGATGGCGCTTGTGCAGGTTGGCGTCGACGTGGTTACCGGATGCCTTTCTCTTCTGCGAGACGACGTTGAGTGGGCTGCTCTGTTGGATATCGCCGAACCCACTGCCGATCGTGTTGCTCCGCTTTTGCCGGCGGATGGGCGTGATGGGCGTTGTGACGGTTTCCATGCTCCCAGTCTTGATGCCGCGGAGCGTGCCATGATAGTACGGGCCAGAGAAAGCGAGAGATTCTTGGCTCGCTTTGTCGCTGTAGATGAGCTGCTGGTTTATCTGATTGCGGCGGAAAGCGCCTACGACATCTGAATTGCTGTCGAAGTGGGTAAGCAGCGGGTGTGCTGCTGGTGCGGATTCGGCTGCCGCGCTTGCATTGCTAGCGGCCGTCTTGGGCCGGGTGGGACTGGAAGCGACATCCCCGTTCCAAAGCGAGAATGGTTCCTCCTCTTCCTCGTCAGATGAGTCGTTATTCAACGTTACAAAATCCTCAATCTTGAGGAGGCTTTCTTCTTCATCCTCCTCAATGCCGGCAAAGTATGAGTCGTCGCTTTCCTCTTCGCCGGGGAATATGCCGGGGGTGCAAGGGAAAAATGCTTCGGTCGGGCCGAAGGGTTGCATGTTCATGAAGTCGCCAAAAGTATTGGATGACGCCATGGCACCCATCATGACAAAACCCGGGTTTCTGACGAGGGGCGAGGCTAAATCCTGTGCAGAGAAGTCTAGGTGGAGGGACTCCGGTGAAAGATCGAGCTGGTTCGTTCTGCGGGGTGTGAAAATAATCATCTTTCCGGTCGCAGGATCGACGACGCCAATCGGCTTATTGTCCGATCTGTCGAGATTGAACCGGCCAACGCGAGGCTTGCCGGGTTTGCAACTGGCCGGTCGCTCCGTGTCAGAGTCTGAAGATGCGTCGACCGCGCGGGAGCGTCGTATTTGCTTTTTGCGGATGATGGGCTCTGGAATATCTTCTTCCGTGGTATCACCGTCGGCTGCGCGGTCGCAATTAGGTTAGTACGGGATGTGCTTATCCTCAGTAAATAAACTCACTCTCGTAACCGTCGAGATCCTGCACTTCTGCAGTGTTAACGACGGTTGCGGACATGTCGATGGGCGGGTCATTTGGCCTAGGCGTCGCCAGGGAATCGATGTCAAGGTCAAAGTCTCTAACAGCGGCCTCATCTTCGGCCCTACGGGCGGCGATCTCCTGCGAGCCGTTGTGGAAATCCCAGAACGAGCCTTGGGATGAGGTTTCATCATCGTCCTCAATTTCTCGGCGGAACATGGGGTCGAGTGCGCTCTGCTCAACAAAGATATCGGGGAAGAAGCCATTCATGTCGGAGACCTCGCTGGTCTCGCTCGTCGTCGAGTCTGTGTCGCTATCCGGAACACCAACGAAGCGAACATGGCGCCCAGGGGTGATGGAGACCTGATCAAGTAGGTCGCGGGTTACGGGATGCGCTGGAAGGAGCTCGTCATGGTCCGACGAGAAGCCGTCCCAGCTTGCACTATCATCCGCCGGATCAGCTTCCTCCGGCTCGGCTTCGTCCTCTTCATCCGCCTCGCTTTCCTCGTCTGCGTCATCATCTTCATCGGCTACTAGCGGCCGAGGGGGATCCAATGCTCGCTTGCGAGATGCATTGATTATGTGCTCCTCCTCGGCCGCAAAGACATCCTCGTCGTCGTCTTCAGAGTCGGTAACATCTTCGACGCCAGAGTAGCCGCTGTCGTCGGAGAGGTCGAGGGACGACGAGTCGTAGTCCCGGGATTTCGGAACCCGGGCCGGCTTGGGGGGATATTTTTGGCGGACGTTGCGAGACATGGTGGTGCGATCTGCAGGGGTAACCTTGAATGCAGGGCCAGAGGGGGACGAAAGGTGCACGGTCTTCCTGACGGTGCAGTGAACCTTGCAAATGGACACGGACTAAGAAGGTGGGGGGTCCGAATCCTGCAATGCTGCAAAAGAGATGAATTGAGGGAGAGAGGGTTGTCGGAATTGGTCGTTCAAGTCGCTTCCAAGGCAAGAGACGTGGGCCTGTGATAATAACCTGTTGATTTCAGTTCGAAAGCAGGCTTTCCTTGTCCCGATGAGCGTGTGCCTCGTTTCCCGGAGCGGAGGCGGGCTCGAGACGGTGAAAGTCTGCGAAACTTCGTCGAAGGGCGGACAGAATTGGGTATCTCGTTGAGGCTGCTGGACTGCAGGCGTGCCGGGGTCAATTGGCACGCCCGCAGTGGGCGCTTAGAGCTCAACGACGGCCGACGGCATCTTGAAAATCGACGAAGTTGGATAAGGAGGTACTGAATCTCTAGATTGAGTAGTGCGACTTCGTTGTCTAGTGGGTGGTATGGTTGGTTGACAAGGGAAAAAGGGAAGTCAAGGAGGGGAAGGCAGGGCTGTCGGATGCTTTTGACCAGACTTTTTTTTCCATCGGTGGGACCAATTCGAGTGGGCTTGGCTCGATGCGCAATTGGAGCCCAGTCAGTGGGTCGAGACTTGTTCCACAAAACTCCACCCCTGCATCAACGGGCCTTGGACCTTCTGGCAGCTGGCGACCGTGCATCGAAAGCCCGGGGAACACCACCTTTCGTGCGTCAGAATGGGACAATTACCGGAGCGCAACCCCCCGCCTGGACCCCGTCTCGTCACCGCTCTTTTCCCGCGCCGTTTGACGTTCGCAGCCGCATCATCGCTGCCTTGGACGAAGGCTGCGACAAGTGAAGCGCACACAGGCTTGAAGAAGAGGGCGTGGGGGGGAACCCGAGTGCCTATCAAACTTTGACATTTTTCATTTTCATTGTTTCTCCTTGGGGGGCCTCGAACCCCTCTCCCTCCTACACGTTTAGATCGTGGGCGTCATCGAGTCCGTCATGCATGCGCCGCGAAACGGCCCAGAATATCTTTCACTCCAATATCCAATTCCTGCGTGCCCATTTGGTGCCACCACTGCAGCCTGTCGCTTTCGAGCGGGGCGTCCAGACAGATTGCCCCGCATTCTGACGGCTCGCTTGTGTAGACGCAGGTGAGGTGCAGCGCATATGACAAAGTTACGTGTTGATCGTGACTGGAACGACAAGTCTTCGAATTTGTCTCCACAGCTCAATTTTAGACTTGCCGCCGAGACCGACGCTGGCGGCTAGATCAAGTAGGAGGTCACGGTGGGAGGCGATAGTGGACACGTGCAGCGCATTGCACCTCAAGTGCAGCGCAAGTGCAGCGCAAGCGTGCAATGAGGTGCCGCTTCTTGAAGCAAGTGTCGGCCGGGTCGGTTTCGAAGAACGAACGCTGCCCCGCACAAGGAGACCTTCGTCTTCGACCAAACCGCGTCGTGGCAGATCCAGCTGCCAGCTGCCGTCTCGTAACAAACAGAGCATTAGCGGGGCTATGACCGGCCCTGCCCTCTCATGAACATCGTCAGGTTTTCGTCAAAATCCGGGCTCAGCTGACTTGGGGCGAATCAATGACATCGCTTTTCGGCGTTGAGTCACTGCCCGTCTGTCGAGTCACAGAGAGAAGGGTGGCATGAACTTGGAGACGAGGTGTCTCTACACAGTCACAACTGCCCACCTGCCCTGGCGGACCGAAGGCAGGGTTTGGACGGCACCAACGCGCGGGATTCTACACTACAACCCGGCTTGCAAGACAAGCTCGGCCCTTCCCATTGGTCATGCACAACAGATGATTTGCCTCCCTCCTCGGGATCCGCTGACCACTGCCAGCCTCGAAAATTCGTGAAAAGAGGAGTTGGATCCACCTCAAAAGCCTGAACGGCATGAACAGGTAAGAGGGTCCAGTTTGAGGGGGAAGTGGCAGGATTTGCTACGGACCCCGCGGCATGAATGAAAAATGATCACTTATCTCGACTGGAAGAGAAGTGCTGTGCACATCATTGTCGTTTTCCAGGGCCTAGCTAGATGCAGAAGCCAGAAAACAGAAGGGCAGCAGGTTAAGTAACGTTAGCTGATGTGAAACTGAATTTTTAAGAAACACACCCCCTGGTTCCTTGTTCTGCCCTGGCCGTTGATGGCTGAGCCCCCACGGACTTGGGCGAGGGGTAACCTTCCTGCCAAGCCGGGAAGGCTGAACACATCTTATCTTATCGAGATCCGAGCCAGTCGGCAACTCTGTTGCTGTGGAAACTGGCCCTGCATCCCTGGCTTGGCGTCAACATTTTTTTGAAGCGCGTTCACTCCGGCTAGACTCGCCTAGGCTAGAAATGCATCAACGGGACCTGCATTCGAGGTCTCTGAACGCGAACACCTCCGCCACGCTGTCATCTTTTTCTTCCACTTTTCCCCTCAACAAGCCGCCAATCCGAACCTCCACAACCCTTTAGCCTCGCATCACCATTGTTGGTGCATGGAAAAGGTTCTGGCCATGTCTGGATCAACGCAAAAAGCCACGAACCTTTTCCAAGTCTTTCTTCGATTGCGTCCGCCGCCAAGTGGAGCCACCGCCGCCCTTGGAGAACGCTTCTTGGCAGTCGAAGAGCCAGACGATGATAATACCACGCCCAAGCACATCACCCTGAACCCACCCAACGATCGACGACGTGCTATCGAGAAGTTCGCGTTCACACAAGTTTTTGAGGAGGATGCGACCCAGCTAGATATTTTCCATTGCATCGGCGTGGCCGACCTGGTCAAGGGAGTACTAGCGCCATGTGGCGGAGATGGGACTGATGCCCTGCTGGCTACGTTGGGTGTCACAGGATCCGGCAAGGTTGGTGGAAAGCCCTCGAGGACAACAGTCGGGGAGATAAGGCAGACAGTTGCTAACAGGAACCATGTGTGTTCATAGTCTCACACGATCCTAGGGTCCCGGTCCCAACGCGGCCTGACCCAGCTTTCACTCGATGTCATCTTCCGATCCATCGGCCCGAACATCCTCGATTGCGATTCCACACCGAGCCTCGAACATTCGATCGCGGCGTCTGACCCTTCCGAGGCCGCCATATTTTCTGCCTCGACCTTCCTCGATGCCGTCTATGTTGATTCGTCGGCGCCCCTGCGAGCTAGCGCAAGAGCAGCAACCCCCATAAGCGTAGGGCTTTTTGCACCTTTTCCCCAAGCCGACCCTACCCAGCATGGCCAGTACAGCCCTAGTGGGCCAGAGCCTCGAAGACCAAAGAGTGTCCGCATAGTCAGCCGTGAGGATTCTATGGCGCCACCTTCCCCAACCTCGACCCCCGAAATAGCAAGTAGACTTGCATGTGAAGCCCGGGCGAGCCATGCCCGTGGCATTGCTGTGTCTCGTATCAATGGCGCGGCCGGGCCCCTGCTTCGCCCTCCTCAACGCCAGCAAGTGCGGAACGGAAACAGAGCTCACCAAGGGCAGGAGCCCCTGAGGCATTCCATGACCCCAACCACATCACGTCTGAGGAAAGGTACTAAATCTGCATTGCATTCTCAGGGCGAGTCGATCGGACCGGGACAGACACCATCGCGCCGTTTACACCGACCATCGACGTTCCCGCAGCAACCCGATGTCAGCGCCCTCTCCGTGTCCTGCGACCCGTCGGCCGAGTACGCGATCCTCATTTCCATGTACGAGGTGTATAACGACCGAATCTTTGACCTTCTAACCCCACCGATCAAATCGACTGCTACCAAGGAATATCGGCGGCGCCCATTGTTGTTCAAGCCGACAGAGGCATCGCCGGACCGAAAAGCAGTGGCCGGGTTGCGCAAGGTGATTTGCGGCAACCTGCACCAGGCATTGATGGTGCTTGAGGCGGGCTTGCACGAGCGGAGAGTAGCCGGGACCGGCAGCAACAGTGTGAGCTCACGTAGCCATGGGTTCTTCTGCGTAGAAGTCAAAAAGAGGACTAAGGACAGCTGGAGGAATAGGGGGGAAGTGCCTTGGAGCGGGAGCGCTCTTACCGTGGTCGATCTCGCCGGGAGCGAGAGAGCAAGGGATGCAAAAACTGCCGGGGCGACGCTGGCCGAAGCTGGCAAGATTAACGAGAGCTTGATGTACCTGGGTCAGTGCTTGCAAATGCAGAGCGACGCAGCCAACAAGGATAAGGTAAGTGGTGCCAGCCAATGCAAACAGGACAAACATTTTCTAACCAGTGCCCAGCCCAACCTTGTCCCTTTCCGGCAGTGCAAACTGACAGAATTGCTCTTTTCCAACTCGTACCCCTCTTCCTCGGGGTACTCAACAGGGAGACACCGTAACCCACAAACGGCCGTCATGATTGTGACGGCCGACCCCCACGGCGACTTCAACGCGACATCCCAAATCCTTCGGTACAGCGCTCTCGCCCGCGAAGTCACCGTCCCCCGCGTCCCGAGCATCACCCAGACCATCCTCACCGCCAATACGCAGGCGCCACACCAACCGTCCACCACCCCGACCGAATCACCCACCCTCTCCCGGCCTTTTTCACCGCTCGGCGGCCCGAAAGGATTCGTCAACTACCCCCGCCTCCTCTCCTCCCCTCCCAACATCGTCCGCAAAGCCTCTCCGACGACGAGCAACCGTAGCAACAGCAGCAGCGAGATGCACCGCTCCACCATGGAGGCGGCCGCGCTCGAGATCTCCCGGCTCGCCGAGGAGGCCGACTACCTGCGGCAGGCCCTCGACACGGAGCGCGCGGCGCGCCACGAGGCCGAGTCGCACCTGCTCTCCATGGAGGACCGCATGATCGAGCTGGAACAGGCCATCCGCGAGGACTGCACCAACGAGTTTGAGCGTCGGCTAGAGATTGAGATGGCGCGCTGGCGGGCTACCATGCAGGTGGAGATGGAGCGCGGGGAGGAGCATTGGGGGCGTAAGATTGAAGTGTTTGAGCGGAGTATGGCGGCTGGTGGTGGCGGTGGGGGTGGGAGTGACGGGGAGGGGCTGGATTCGGACGAGGACAAGGAGAATGTGCTGGTCGAGGGCGTCCACCAGGAGAATGAGCGGTTGCGCAAGGAGAACGAGGCGCTCCGGCGCGAAGTTGCTGGTATGAGCCCTACCCGGCGGATGCCGCTCCAGGAACGGGGCAGCGATGCGGGTATGGCTGGCAGGGGTAAAGCCGCCGCGGGCCCTGAGACGGGGAGTCCACGGCCCGGGAAGGTGACTAGGGGAGGCGGCGATGACGGGGGCAGCTTGCTGGTGCGGCTGGAGAAGCTGCGTGTTAGTGACGCCCAGCCTTCTTCTTCGGCGCGGAACACGGCGGGCAGTGGGAGCCCTAAGAAGATACGCCGGTTGCCGGCTAAGCGGTGGAATGCCGTCCGTGATGATGATGACCTTTTTTAAGCTCTTGTAATTTTCTGGTTTTGGCTGCGGGTACGGTTTGGGAAATGATGGCTCCGGTCTGGGTTTAGTACCTGTCTGAGATACCACCTGGCGGTGGGCCGGGGCAACTGTCGGTCTACGTTGGGAGTCTGGGTTATGTCTGTTTGGTTTTATGATGTTGGGATATATATGAACGTCTGAAACGGCCGCTTAATGATATTGTCTTTTCTTCTTCACGTCTGTTGCAAAAGAAACGTCGTCACATCTACTTCTTCGTTATGGCTAACATCTGTTCCGACAATCCAGGTCCTTTTTGTTTTTTATCTTACCCCTTTCGAGATGCTACCCTTTTCCCGAGTCCCGTCGCGCCCAGCTGGTGCCGTCTCGCTTCGAGGACGAAGCACCACAACGAAATACCCAGAGCTTGGCGGCTGCCTGCCCGCTGAGGGACGACGCCATCCACTAATTACCATTGGACTGCACCCCCATATCCGCCCTCATCCCCCCCTTCTAGCCTGAAGCGAGAGACTCACGTGCAAGCAACGCCAATTGTAGGCGTGCACTGACCAGCTCGTCGGCAAGTATAAAAGCGATGGTCCCCGCACTCCCCCGGGATTCCCTCCCTTCATACATACACCTTTACCTTGCCTGACTAGTGGTGGAGATCATGCAATCCACGTTAGTGTGGCGGTATGCCCTAAGGGGCTGCCGTTTCATGCCTGCGCTTCGGACGCCCCCCTTTGTCCGGTATGAGCGGGCCAGGCACAATTTTTGATGTCTTTTTCACTGTGTGCATCGTTCGCTGGAGGGTGAGTGGTGCCATTGGGAAGGAGTTCCCGGCCCTTTGGGGGGGTGTTCCCTTTGGGAACTGGAGGATCCAGATTGGGGGAGTTGCAGTTGAGGGGCGGTTGGTCGTCCATCGCCGTGCCGTGTTGCTGTTTCTCTCGGCGGCTTGGAGCTGAAACTTTGGGGAATTGGAGGGGCGGCACTTGGCAGAAGCCGTACCGAACCGAACCGAACCGGTCTCTCGGGAGGATTGGACCTATACATAGTAGACACAACTGCAGTTGGACCTTTCTCCTGCTATTTCAGGATGCTGTTGGGAGAAGGAGAGCCAAGTTTCTCACAAGCGAGCATTGCATGTCAACCCCTCAACCCAACATGTCACTGCTCGGGTATTGTCCGTTGGCTCGCCTATCTTAACTGTATTTAATATGCCGAAAAGGAGTATGGGGCCACTCTTGTTTTGGTGTAAACGCCGTTTGGGTACCGGGCATGTACAATCCTTCCAAGCATTTTCAACCAAAGATAGTACCCGCTGTGTGTTGGGTCGCTGGGCTTTTTGGACCACTCAAGCGGCGTACCGAGATTTCCCGCTTCTTGTGTCCGGGAAACTTGTACTGCAGTGCTACCCTCAGCTGACGTTTTTAGCCGGATGGTGTGTGAGACGTGTGGCCTACCAAGTTCCGGCCTGATGGTGGCGACCGACATTGATTGTCCCAGGCGCGGGCCTTTTGGGGGCGGTCTGGGTCTCACCGTGGACGAGATGGGCGCCGTCAACTGTCACGGTTCAATGCGTTTGTGCTTGTGTGCTTGCGGCGGGCTAACAAAGCAGCCAGAGAGCGCATTCTCGCCTAGTCTATCAACCGGAGTCTGAAGTGCGTGGAGCCTCAAGGCGCACTGGCATGGAGGAGTCCGAAATGACGGAATCCGAAATGGCGCAAGAGGCGGAGGTGGACGATGAGTTCTCGCGGCTGTGGCAACGCCATCTCACCGCGCTGAGGGACGACTTCTCGGCCACCAGCGTACAAGCGCTACCCAGTCTGCCTTCAGAATCACGCAGTTTTGATGGGAAGGCCGCCCCCAATCAGGACCTGGCACATCCGTGGGACGCGAAGATCGAGTCGGTCGTCGATGTGCTGGATGAGTTGACACTGTCAGTATCACCACTCTGACAGCAATCGAGGAAGTGGCTGACAAACCGTAGACAAAGCCCCATTACAACTGATACTTACAGCCCAGAGACTCCTTGGTTTCCAGACCGAGACGGGTATACCGACACAGCGTTCTCATCCCCTCTCAATTCCAGTTGCCCCAGGACAATTGGATCTCCCAAGGGCCTGGGGTTGCCGGATTTCCGCGTGGAGGACTATTCAGAAACAGCCCTCCCCGACCTCAAAGGAAAAGGGGTTAGCATCGCCCAGACCTGGAGCCAAAGAAAACCGCCGCCGCCCTGGCACGAAGACGCAACAGTCCCATTCCTCCTGCACAAGCAGCTCCTCGACGGCCAACAACCCCTCCTCCAACCGTCAGTAGCAACAACAGCCACAACAGCAACAACAACAACCCACACCCCCACCGCTTCACACCACGAACCCCGACCCCCAGCCATAGCAACCCAAGTCCACGCCCTAATCCTAACCTGGGCCACACCAACACCAATCCCAGCAACACCCTCCCACCACCACACGCACACACACATCCACCAAGACGATAGAAAAAACAACAACAGCACCGACACCCTACGCGCCACGCTCAAGCGGCGCGGCTACCGCGTGCAGTGCCGCACCATCCCCACCGACTACCCGACGGCGGCAGTCGAGACCATGCTGGACCGGTTCCTGGAGAGGTCGGCGGCGGATACGTTGCTGGTGGTGTATTATCGGGGGTGGGGGTGTTTGGGGAGGGATGGGAGGATGGTTTTTGTGAGGTACGTTTGTCCTTTCGTTTTTTTTCTTTTCTTTGGGGGCGGAGGGGGGGTTTAGGGGGTGTTTTTATTTGGGTATGGGGTTGGTTGGTTATTGTTGACTGTCTTGAGCTGTGCTGATGATCGGGGTTGCGGTAGCGGGCCTGGTCCTGGGGCGAGTAGCTTCTTTTGGGACGATGTGAGGGACCCGTTAATGCAGGTGCCCGGGGGATGTGTTGTTGGTGTTTGACTGCACCGCCTTGCCCGGGGCTAGGGCTGAGCAGCTCGAGATGAGAGTCGAGGCCGGAATGGTATCCTCGCCGTCCACGAAGCAACTGCTGGGGGTATGTGTGCCGTCGTGGTATCACGATCACGGGTGGGCAGCGGGCCTGCCTGGCGATGATATGACGCAGTCATTGTGTAGGGCCCTGAATGGGATGGGGGACGTACCGGGTTTGTCAGTCCACAGGTTGTGTTCGCTTATGAGGGAAGATTTGCGGGACACCCAACTCGCGTCGGTGGTGTTTGTCAGCCAACTGGGGGGTGGGCAATTGCTGGATATCTATCTACCGAGGCTTGCAACCTCACCGAGAACGACGAGGCAAAGCATGACCTTGTGGTAGCCCAGTATTCTGAGCTAATCTCGGACCAACCGCTCCGCATCACGGGCTTCCAAAGCTTGGATCATGTCGTGAACGGCTTCATGGGCACGACTGGAACTGCTTCGGCATTGGAACAGGTCGCCAGGGGGCTGATGATCCTTTGATAACATGCTTCTTCAGATAGGCGTGTACGATTATGTGCTCCAATAGCAAGTTCGTCTAGGCGAGACGGGGCCTATATCCGGAAGGTGTAAGAAGTAGGCTGGGTGCCGAGAACACGGCTACACATAGCTCGTGACTGCCATGAAGAATTAAATGCAAGGGCATTCTGGACGGTGTATGGAACGGCTGCATTTCCCATTTCACAAGGTGATGGCTTGGAGCCTACGTGGGCTCTATCAGAGAACAGTGGCTTATCTTGGCCATGGCCTTTTCTCCTGGCTTAACCAGTGACCTGGTACGCGGAGAAGTAGTCGAACTGCGACCCGTTTTCTAAGTCACTGTCATTCAAGAAAAGTGAAGGATTCACCACATAGAAAACACCCACCCCGCATCCTCCCCTTATTTTCTCACTCTCAAAACCACTACAAAATGCGGCAACAGCAGAGACCACGTTTAGAACCAGCCATGACAACGGGCTCGATGGATTCTGCACTCCCAAGTCTCAATAGCATGACCTCCGGTTGTACATTCCTTTCATACCGGGGACCGGGTGCTGGCAGATATCCCCTTCTAGCGTCGGGCTCGTCGAGATGATGAATCCGGAGAGCTTGTTTTGGATCGCCCGTGTGTCTCGACTCGATCTCGGGTGATTTACCCGGAGAAAGAAGTTCTACCACTTTCTGATAACCGTTATCAACGGCTGACTGCAGCGCAGTACGCCCCATGTTGTCTGTAACGTCGCGTTCCACCCCTTCCGTCGCCAGAAGCAGCCTCACAACTCCGATGTGCCCATGCGCAGCTGCGACTAGCAAGGGCGTACGGCCGTCTCCGTCTCTCGGGTTCAAGTCTATTTCATCTTGTGCCAGCATAATCTCGACAGTTCCCGTGCGGCCGTTCTCAGCTGCTTTTAGTAGCGGCGCCGGCCCGCCCTCCTCCCGAGAATTCAGCTCAATTCCTGGCTGGGCAAGTAACAGCCGCACGATTGGCTCGTGCCCGTACGACGCTGCCAAACCGAGGGGCGTCAGTCCGTACTTGTCCTTGGAGTTCACGTCGACGCGGTACCCCCCTGTGTGCAATAGTAGCTCGGCGAGGTGCACCCGTCCGTTGACCGCCGCTCTCGCCAGCGGGCTCTGGAGCCGGCTGTCCCTGGCATCCGGATCAACGCCGTCTGTTTCCAGCAGGAGCTGAGCGGCTTCTCGATGTCCGTGCCTCACGGCCCACCAAAGAGGGGTGCGACCGTACTTTGGATCCCGAGCATTAAGGACGGCAGGGCCCCCATGCTCCGACCCCTTGCTTTGATTCATCGCAGTTAATACGGCCTGTATCAATGCTCGGCGTCCGATGAATGCCGCCCAAGCGAGCTGAGTCAGATGAAACGTGGTGTCCCGCTCCCTTCTCATCAGCCTAAAGAAGAACTCGTTCTCCGCATAGACATGATCCACGAGGGCGTCCGTCAGTGAAACGGAGAGGACCGGCTTCGCCGGTAGGGACGTTTCCAGACTGACTCTCCCAGAAACCAGCAGACGCTCGACCACTGCCTCCCTGCCAAACCACATTGCCCACAACAATGGTGTCCGTCCTTCCTTGTCCGCCGCCTCCGCATCCACTCCATGGCTCGCCAGCAGCAGGTCAACGACGGCTTTGTGCCCTCCCCGAGCGGCCCAGGCGAGCGGTGACATTCCAGCGAAGTCTCGGTCGTCCATCAGCTGCCCGCGTTTGAGGAAAGCCGAAACCTGCCTCTCCAGCCCGAGGTGTGCAATGAGGTGCGCTGCGCTGAGCCGCATGGGAATCATCACTTCTCGTATCTCCACTTTCAACTCGGGCTCCTCCCCCGTATCCAATGCTTCGCCGTCTTCCTCACGTCTCTCAGGTGCGTCACCCTTGCTCTGGTCGGATGATTTTATCTCGATACGGGCAGACACTAGCTCAAAGAGGCCCATGGTGGCCGTAAGCACCTGGCTCGCAGCCGCAACACTTTCCTCGCAGTCGAGGAAATCAAGGATTAGCTCCTCCGTCTTTCCAGAGCTGAGGCTCTCGCGCGCATGGTGGCCCCAGTATGTGGCGGCATACGAGTATAACGGGTGCTCCTCACACCTTTCCCCAAGACGCTCGAGGGTCAGGAAGCCAGTGGGGGGAGGTTCGGAGAAGGCGGCAAAGGACAAATATGACACACATATTGCGGCGATAGTCGGCTCTTCATTCGGATCCAGAATCAGTGTTTGAGACGCATTAGGTGGCGGTTGCTCAAAATATTCGCGCACCGTGGCGTGGATGAACCGTATTGTGCCACTCGCGGCGTCGACAGTCACCAGCCCCATGCATACGGACACGATGTCTTCGCAGCGTGGTACGCTTTGCTCACTGAGAACCATCGAGCCCGGCCGGACGCCTAGCGCGTGGCGGAGAGCCGCTTCGGTCAGCGGCTGTCTCGCACGAAAGACCCACGTCAGAACCCGGCGGGCGAGCCTTTGCAGCCCCTTTTTCTGGCCCTTGATCCTCCTCGTGACTTGGTCGTATGCGCGGCTGAGTACCTCCCGTTTCTCGTCTTCGGATGATGCGAGACGAGCGTTGCCTTCGTTTAGAAACTGCCCCAGCGTCTCTTGGACTTCGGCGGGCGTGGTCTTGTCTTCCAAAAAGCTTAGGTACAGCTCGGCTAAGAGGAACCTATCGTCGTTTTGGTAGGTCGGTTTTGGTTAGCCTACATACTCGGGGTTATCTGGACGAGGTTAGGCGCTTACATTCCGCCCGAGGCGTTTATAATTGTGGTCACGATCTCTCTCTGAAGATCGGGCATCTCGCTCACGAACCCCGCCAGTTCGTCCATGTGCCCGTTGACAAACTTCATAATGTCGTGGTTGCTAGCGAGTACTCTCTGCCTCACACAGACGTCGGTATTGAACAGCTTTTCGATGACCGGAATGGGCCGCGAGGTTGCGAAGAAGCTGATCCCAAGTTCGGACTCTTGTTGGAAATGGAAGATCTTCTCCGATAGCCTGGCTACGAACGCCGTCTTCTCGCACTCGTCTAGCCCGTCGACCACGATGAAAGTCCTCGCGTGTAGCCGAACTGCGCTCTCTAGGATCTCGAGTATCTCGGTTGGCGAGGGGTCAGTTGACTTATCCTTGCGCGACTTGTACAGCTTCTGCAAACTCTCGGGGAGTGGGACCCATCCCTGGAGTAATTGCTTCGCAAGGCTTGCGAGCAACTTCTCGGGCGTCTGTTGGACGCGGCGCTCGAAGTTGAGGTAAAGGTAGGCGATGCCGACGCTCGAGTCGTACTTGAATCTCTCACACAGATTGTCGATCACGGTCGCCGTGAGGATTGTCTTGCCGGCTCCCGGGACCCCTGGACAGAACAGCGTAAGGCCCTTGGTATCCGCCCATTTGCGGTACGCTTCTGAATGCAACAGCCACTGACCGGTGTCGGGCTCCCTCTTCCTAAGGAAATCGCTTTGCTGGGGGCCATAGTTGATGGTCGTGATCCACTCGAGGATCTCATGGGCCTCGCGGGCTTCATCCTCGCTATGTTTGCTGACCGGCCCCTGAATAGGGGCGAGGCGGTAGAGGAGATCTTTCGCGTAGGCGGCCGCCACCATTGCTGCGTACCCCTGCCAGATCTTGTTCTTGTGCGTGTCCGAGTAGTCGCATAGCCCACGCACAACCAGACATGGGAAGTCGTTCATCAGCCCCGCTGCCTCCATCTCAAAACACAGGACGCCTTTGGATGCCCACCGGTCCCGTACTAGCGCATTCTTCATCACCTGATTTGCGGAGGCAATGAGGCCATAGTGTATTTCCGAGCGGCCCTTGCGCGCTCGCTCGCTCCGCTCTTCGAGATGCTCCGGATTCCCGTACGAACACTGGTCTACGCCACAACTGGTTGCGTGGGTGACGCTAGACTTGAAGAGATGATCTGCCTCCGGACCCGGGCGCTGGTAGTTCTTGCGGAGGTGCGGCCGTTTTTCGAAGACCTTGTTGACGGCGTCTTCAAGCCGGTGACCGCCACTGGCGCTGTCATGGTCCGCCCGGAGCCCTGCCACCGCGTTTAGCAAGATGCGCGGGGGCTGGTTGAGAGTGCCCGTCGTTTCAAATTCCCATCCCTGCACGTCTTTTCCGTAGTCGTACTGGAAAACCCCAGGCCTGCCATTTCCGGGGACACTAACGACGATATCCCCGAGCCGGACATCGTTTTTCGGGGTCGGCGCAGCGCCCCCGATACCGACCATGAGGCCGTGTTTGACGCTGGGAAAACTGGCTTGCATGTCTGCTGCCACCTTGGTCGCCGAGGTAGTTCCATACCCACCGCTAGAGAGAACGGTAACAACGACATTGTGTTCGCCAACTCTCCCAAACACGTAGTCGTTGCCATCGCTACGCGCCAAGGTTCCGGGACGCTTGTGCACCTCGTCAAGCATCACCTGCGCAGCGACGTACTCGACAGGCACAGCGCAAATCCAACCCACAGAATAGTCGTTTGCGCTGAGCTGTTTCGCCGATGCCGTGTCCGGTAGCTCCTGAGCGACATCTGGAACGAGGGAATGGATCGGGTCTGGCTCAGAGGGCGCCGATACCACGCTAGATGGTACGATAGGGGACAGCCCTGACTCGACAAGCCGCGGATGAGGAATGGGGGTTTCTGCATCGACGCCATCGAGCCTCTTGATACATGGCTTTTGCTGAGTGGGGATCTCGGACGGGGGGGACACTGAGGTCGACTTGTCCACCTGGCTGCGCGGCAAGCGATTGGGAGTGGACAAACTCTGAAGTGTCGGTGGAGGGGTATGAGTAGGCGGAGCAGTAACGGCAACAGCGTCAGAGGTTTCGATCTTTTTCTGCCTGCGGCATATGAGGCTACAAGAGGGGGACATGGCTCCCGGCTCAGAATTCAGTCCACGGCGGCTCTAAACGGAGTTGTAGTCCCAACACGGTTCTCCAGACGGGGATCCTTGACTTCTCTCTTGATTAATGCCCAACAATGGCTTTCAGGCGGGGGTTGCCACGTGGCTCTGCTTAGGCGCTGAGGTGCCCCTGACCAAGGGAAGCCCTAAACAATCACACCGCTGTTCCGTATTTGGAAAGCATAGGCGCCACATTGTAGCTTTATAAGCAGGATTCCGCGTCAGTTACTAGGCTCGTGATATTCATTGTTATAGGGGGTAATGTCACGAATATGGTCGCATGCAGACGACCCGGGGGGCACGCTGGTAGTGCCCCGAGCCAATCAGCAAAGAAGGGCCTCCTGCCATGGGAACCGGATCGTGAGCTGCAGACGGGATCCAGGGGTGACCAATCAGGAATGGATCATTAGATCGTTCCTCGATCCAATGATCCAGGACGGATCGCAGGATCAGGAAGTATTCTTCGATCCAGGTACGGAGGTACCCAGGACTTAGTTAGTATATAGTCACCCGTTCTGGAGAGCTCTGGGAGTTCTCCAGTTAGCAATCACAACTACAGTTCGCTACAAGCTCGGAAGCCTACTGTTGAGACAAGCCTTTGTTGTGCATCTTTTGGCTGCACCGAACCTAAGCACCCTTGAGAGATTACCTTCAACCGAAGCTGAACCCTAACAGGACAGGGTCCTGAAGTAGGTTCGTCACAGGTAAACTGCCAAAGATTCGATTTTGAGTGAAGTCATGGAGGTGTTCTGGCGCTTGTATGTTGTGAAGGGTTTATTTCTCTGCGGGTACATGTCGGAATAACACCGAAGAGATGTACATGTATATACTCTCGATGAGATAGACTGCACGCACTATACCTAGATACCTAGGTACGTGAGGGAAACCTGAGACTACACGTACGCTCCACACAACCAAAGGCAGCATTCCAGACCCAAGTACATATTGTCTCTGTGAAGGCATTGTTGACTAGAACGTAACTTGCCATGTCCAATTCCTGAAGTATTTACTACCAGCGTGTCTGCAACAATGCGAGCGTACAACAGGGAAATTGATAGGCTACAGGTCTCTGCGTGCAGGTAAACTTCAAGGTTATGTCTGCCAAAACGACCAGTATAATAAATACCGAAGCGAGCCCTGTAGCCTTGCGGTTGTGTAACCCTCATGGGAAACCTCGGGTCTCTGTCCTTTCACGCAGTGAGTGCCAGCGCACCAATATTCATCGGCTGAGGACCCAGAGCTATGCCCTGTCGAGGATCGTGGCAAAGACAGGGGGAATGGGGCTAGCCAAAGCGCGAGAAGTGTACACAAACTGCATCCGGTCGGCGCTGGCCTCTGGCGCATCATCGTTTCACATCCCCACGGATGTGGGAGGCGAGCCTGCAAAGAAAGGCATCACTAAGGCCCTCGGGAAGGCCCAGAATAAGAGCTTGCGGATTGTGGCGGGAGCCTTTAAGTCTACCCCCATCCGTAACCTCGAGACAGAGACATGGGTACCACCATTGGACTTGTACCTAAACAAACGGCTTGCAGATTTCGAAAACCGACTCCAACGACCCGATCTGGACGACGGTCGAGGCGGCAAGAAGACGGCGGCGAGCGTTGTCCTCACCGCCTGCCGCAAGATACAGCAGAGACTTAGCTCGAGGCGGGGCAACAGGGGCCGACCGCGAACCTTGGGACCTCAAGGGCCTACGGCGGTGGAGAGAGCCGCGGGCACGGTCATGCGCTGGACGGGGGGAACCGTTGATACGAACAGGGTAGTAGAAGAGGCTTGGAAAGCGAGGTGGTTAAAGGAACGGGACGGCAGGGCAATCACCAGGCCGGCGGACGACTTTGACCATCAGCAGGAGACGCTATTCCGGAACGAAACCCTAAGGAGGCACGACGGTCTCAGCAAGGCGAAAAGCTCACTGCTGATTCAAATCCGGACGGGAGCAATAGGCTTACGGGACTTCTTATTTACACGGGGAGTCCCGGAGGTTCTGACTCCTGCCTGCGAGTGTGGCGAGGGACGAGAGACTGCCGAACACCTGGTAGTGCGGTGTTTGGCCCCACCGTTGACTAGAAGATGGGAGAGAACTGGAATTCGGACACGACGGGACTTTTACTCTGTTCTACACGGCATCAATCCCACGACTACACGGCTCGCGAGGAGAGTTCTCGACTGGCTGATGGACTCGGGGAAGCTGCCGATGTACAACTTAGCCAGGAGGCTCGAGCGCCCCCGTTCGGAGGCCAGGAGGCCTCCTCTCTTTGTATATGTAGGCTCACTAAAACGCATCGCTCCTTGATTGTTGGTATGGGTTTTTCACCCGGCCCGGGAGGGCACGGTTTTCCTGTACACTGAATAGCTGAGGGTCCGGCACGCCCTAGGGCATAGCGGAGTATGAATAATAATAATAATATTCATCGTCTATTCCGATAGCAATCTACCTTAGGTACCCAGGTTACATCTCGGTCAATCTAACTGCTTTTTCCTTCCGTGTTCTATCCGGTAACCCATTTCTTCGTGGGTGCCCGATGTTGCCCAATACCCGCCGATTGATGCCAGATGGCCCTTCAAGTTCCCTGCCACCACCTTACGACTGAATCTTGCTATGCTAGTGTTTACCGTGCTTGAGTTTAAAACCCTGATTCTGTCCCCGTTTTCCTGCCAGCAGCTGGCCAAACTTGTCAACCCTAACATATCTCAATCTTCCCCTCGATCACTACGCCCTAAACCGTTGACTCGCCTAAGCCTTATTATTCCACGGCTGCCTAGACCATGAGCAACACCAATGACTCCTTTCCTGCAATTTCGCAGTCGCTGGCTGACCTGTTCGCAAAAGCCGAGGCCGAATTTCCCCCTCGCTTCCGAGAGCACGGGTGGTATCTAACCGTTGTACGTATCTTTTCTGGCATGTGCCTTAGGAGGTCATTCCTAATGAAAACGGGCTCCATGGCCATTGTTTTGTCGCGTGGCTAACTCCATGAAATGCAATATAGCTCGCATCATTCGTTGGTACCGGGCAGCAACAACTTGCCGGTCACCTCTATAAGCACCTGGTTGCCCAGCCTCAGTACCAAACATCGGAAGCACGCCAGGCTTTGGTTCGGCGTCTGCGGGGGGCTTTGGTAAAGTGCATCATCATCAACGGCATCCCCGTGGTAATTGAAGCTATTACGTCGATTTCGGAGGTCGAGAGGCCCGAAGATCAGGACTACTCTTGCTCGAGGTAAGGAAGCAGAAGATATGACCCAGATCCACAGGTTTCCGTTGAGATACAACAAACAGGAAAATGGCTAAATTGGAGTCGTATAGAGCAGATTGGCAAATTGGCCTAGAGACCTCCGAGCGTGCAGCTAAAGTCCTCAAGGTTCTTTACAAGAGCGAGAAAGGCGGCCACGTCAAAACGCTGCAATCCCATCTGGATATTCGTGAGTACTTGGCAAGAACTTTGAATAGCTAGGTAATTAGTTGCTGACAGCGAAAAAGCATGGATCTCGGTCAACGTTTCCTACGGCCTCTTCCTGTCGGACCATCGAATTTTGACCATGCAAGAGACAGAGCTGGTTGTCCTCCCAGCCGTCATGACCCAGAACCTGCGTGGACCGACATATTGGCATCTAAGGGCTTGTCTGAGGGTCGGCATGGAGGCTGAGGAGGTAGAGGCCGTCCACAAGATTATTGAAGCCGTGGCTGCACACGGTGGGAAGACACTAGATGTGCAGCGCGTAAAGGATGTGACAGACGCTTGAGTACCATGGGCGCCAAATCTATTGGCTTTTTTTTTTTTTTTTCATACGCTAGCATTTAAGATTAGAGGGTAGAAATGAAGTTTACTTGTGCCCTATCTATAAGCTTGAAAGCCTCGAGTTCCAACCACATATCTATAACACCCTCACCACTATCTGTTGTGAGTGAGAGACGATCTGGACACTCAGGGAGATGGGGGCATGCGCTGCTTCTTAGTTTCGTGCATATAATATCTCTACCATACCTCGGTAAGTTCCCCAAGTCCAGTACGCAGTAACGCCATCTTCCTCAACTTCATAGGTGGGGTGAAGCAAGCACGCACCATATTGCATGCTATGGACAAGCAACTCGAAGCTGACGATGCCGGCACTGTTTCCCCCTCGGTTCTTGTCAGAATACGGGATTCACTGGTCCAATCAGGCAATCAAGTATGGTTGTTGTCCGCGCTTCTTCCGCGTCCGTTGTATTTTTCGGTGTGTCCTCGTTCAGACTCCGACATGTGGGTCCCCTTGGGGTTTTTACCCGTCGAAATGAGAAGTGATGGTTAAGCTAAACATGCCCCGTTTTCTTCATATCCGAAGCCTCTGTTGGACGTTATATGGGTTTAACGAATATTGGCACAGCGCAGGACACGGGGTTCATTGGGGTCGAAATTGAATGGGTTCAACTGATTTCTTGATTGATGATTCTCGCAGATTCGGAAGCCACCTTTTCTCTGTCCCCAATTCGGGTCTGGTGCCTGGGGCTTACCAAGGTGGCCTGAGGCAGTCTGATTACTCATCCTTTCCAACAGCCTCCACCCCGATATTCTGACAGTTCTCGCCTGCATACATCCGCACTCTGCGCGCTGCAGCAACGAATGGGAGTGCGAGAAAGAGCTCGGACAGATTCGGGCCCGTATGACGCGTCCGGCAATAACATCAACACGGCCGTGCGGAAGTGCCATGCTGATAACAGCAATCTTTGGGTCGCTCCTACATACCTCCTGCTAAAACCCCTAGGTGTCCAACTTCAACAACGACGTAGTAATTTCATCTTTTGCAGAACTTCCCGCCCTCTTTTATGCTCTCCTGAGCTCTGACATCAATTTGTCGCCATGGCTGAGAAAACCAACGGCCAGGGGACGATAGCCCCAAAAGAAAGCACATTCCGGTCCTTCACGCCGGAACAAAGCGCAAACTACGCCGCAAACCGGCTCGACTACCACCCCCGACTGTACAACATCGTCCTCAGCCACCACCAGTCCACAGGCGGCCAGCTCAACACCGTCCTCGACGTCGGCTGCGGGCCGGGCACCGCGACGCGCTCCCTCGCCGGCCTCTTCAACCACGCCGTCGGCATCGACCCGTCCGAGGGCATGATCACGACGGCGCGCTCCCTCGGCGGCGTCACCCACGCCAACAACAAGCCCATCCGCTTCGAGGTCTGCACCGTCGAGGACGTCACCGCCCAGGCGGCCCTCGAAGCCGGCAGCGTCGACCTCCTCACCGCCGCCACCGCAGCCCACTGGTTCGACATGGCCTCCTTCTGGCCGCACGCCGCCCGCCTGCTCCGCCCCGGCGGCACCGTCGCGCTGTGGATCGGCGGGCCCATCTTGGTCGACCCGTCTATGCCGAATGGTGTTGCTATCCAGGCGGCCATCGACGGGTTTGAGACGGCGCTGGATGATTACATGGTGGCGGGGAACCGGGCCGCGCGCGGGTTGTATGTCGATTTGGTGCTCCCTTGGATGCTGGAGACGCCCGTTCCGGATTTTGAGCAGGCGAGCTTTGTGCGTAAGGAATGGGGTGTAGGTGAGGGAAAGGAGCCCGCGGATGAGTATTACAATATCCAGCGGCCGGCGAATGTGGACTCGCTGGCGCTGGTGTTCGCTACGGCCAGCCCGTATATCAGGTGGCGTGAGGCGAATCCGGATGCTGTTGGCACCGAGGCCGACCCGTTGGAGGTTATGAGGAAGGAGATTGAGAGGTTGCTCCAGGATGCGGGTATGGATCCGAAGACGGGGGTGATCAAGGGGGGCATCGGAGCCGTTCTACTAATGGTGAAGAAGACGGCGAATTAGGTTGATTGTCTTTTGGCATTGGGTGTCAATACCGCATTCCCGCAATCCGAATATTACCTATTTATGGAAATCATCAGGCTAGTTAAGCCTCGTGATTATGAACAATTGACGTATGGACTCAAGCAAAGCCTATCTGCCTACAATATCCGTGATCGTGCATCCACCGGATCAACTTGTAATAGCACTGGAATATTGAAGTTCCTATCGTCACGGTTCTTAGTAATCCCCAAATCCTGCTAATGAACTTGGTAGGATCCAACAGTACTTGGGCGGGGCTTGAAGCTCGCGAGTGGTTGTGCTGCAATGGATGTTTACTAAACACTCAACACCAAGCGAGACAACTTCCCACTTTACGATGCATGGCTATTAATAATCGGCGGAAAAAAGAGGGAGCCCGTGTAGATAGGAGAGAGACGTGCTAACTTGAGGTATTATAAAAAGCACCTCCAGCCACGCCATCATGCCTCCCACTTTTGCTTCCTCACCAATCCTCGTCTCACCCAGCAAGCTTCAAGCACATAGCTCTACCCTCACACTTACACCAACAACACCATCACCACCACCTTATCTTCCATCCCCATCCATCATGTCAACCCGACGCACCCCCTTCAAAAACGTCCTCCTCATCGGCGCCGGCGGCTCCATCGGCCGGTACATCCTAGCCGCCCTCCTCGCCGAACCGACCCTCACCACCACCGTCCTCACGCGCGCCTCCTCCCAAACCACCCTCCCCACCGGCGTCCGCACCATCACCATCCCCGACGACTACCCGACCGCCTCCCTGACCACCGCCTTCCACAACCAAGACGTTGTCATCTCCTGCCTGACCACGCTCTCCACGTCGGACCAGTTCCGCTTCGTCGACGCGGCCCTCGCCGCGGGCGTGCGCCGCTACGTGCCCAGCGAGTATGGGCTCAACAATGCGCGCGCCGATGCCCAGGCGCTGAACGTGGTGTTTCGGGATAAGGGCGCCGTGCAGGCGTATCTGCGGGAGAGGGAGGGCCGGATGGAGTGGATGGCGGTGAGCTGTGGGATGTGGATTGGGTGGTCGGTGAGGAATGATTTCTTGGGGATGCGCGTGCGGGAGAGGCCGGGGAGGGTGGAGGTGTGGGATGGGGGGGAGGGGAGGTTTAGTGTGACGACGGAGGAGAATACCGCGCTGGCGGTGGTGAGGGGGCTGGTGGAGATTCCGGAGGAGACCAAGAATCGGAGTGTGTTGGTGGAGGAGTTGGTTACGACGCAGGCGGAGCTGTTTGGGGAGATTGAGCGGCAGAGGGGGGAGAAGTTGGTGGTGGAGGAGGTGGATAGTGTTGAGAGGATTGCGGAGCTGCAGGCGGCGTATGCGAACGGGGATAAGACGGCTACGTATGGTCTGATCGAGGCTGGCTTTGTGACGGGGCGGTATGGCGGTGACCTGGCGAAGGAGGGGGAGATATTTACTGAGAAGCTGCGTTTGCAGAGGCACTCGCTCCAAGAGGTTGTGGCCAGCGCTCTGGCTAGCCTCTCGTAGAAAGACTTTCATTATTTCGAGGGTTCGTTCAGTTAGGTACCAATCTGATAAACGCCCGGCACGTATATCCATGTCACTTAGTTCTTTTTTCAACTCATGAATTTTCGGAAAACTCTCCCGGTTATGTGCCCTCTCTCTCCTCACTGAGCCTCGTCTTGACTCTTGAGCCATCTAATTTCCCGAAGATCTAAGGTCTCCTACAATTGAGTCTCTTGTTCAGAGGCACTGTGAGTGATGCTTGGCAAGGCATGTTTTTCATCTCGGATTGGTATGGGCTCTGATGAATGGGTCACAATGCAAGTGTCCAAGCTAATGCCGGTGTGAGTTCAGGCCTCAACGCCCAACCCAACCAAACGGGGAACAAGGATTGCAGTAGATGGCGGGATCTCTGCCCAAAGTCTCCCTTGCTATCTCAAAAATGTCGTTGTTTCCACGGGCGGCCCGCCGCTTACATGTGCACTGCCGGAGCCATTCGCGTGAAAGCGATGCTGAACACAGGCATGTTCAATCAGCCATGTTTGGTCCTCCATGGTGTAATTAATTAGCGAATGGTGACCTCGACTCAGGGCCACCATCTCAGGCCGCGCGTCAAAACTGGAAATTTGAAAGCTGAACCCAATGATGCACCTGCGTGACTAGACCGAGAGGGACCTAGACCGCAGCAGGGCACCAAAAGTGGATGGCAAAGTGTCTTGGGCTCGCCGTTTCGCCTTTTTGAACTTGGGCCTTGATGGTCTTTGTGTTTTTGTTCGCTTCATTTGCTACATTTGAAACTCGAGGTCGAATCGACTGGAAGCGGCCAGGGTATGGGGACATGTGGGCATGGCCGTGGTTTTTCACGTTCTCCCTCAATTTGGAATTGATTGACATAAGGAGCACCAGGAACCCGTGGGTATCGCCGCCGGCATCGAAACTTTCTGACTCTCCGTCAAAGTTTCAGGATTTCCTAATACCTGCCCCTGACTTCAAGCTCTCACGATGGTGAGCCCAGGATCAAACAGTGCTATAGGCATGATGTACCAGCAGCAGCTGTTGACGGTAGGTACCATTGGTGCCATCAGGGCGGTTGATAAGCGAATAAAAATACCGTAGCTAACATACACTTGCTACAGCCGGCCCAAATCAAAGGCTTCCAAGACGTGTACGCCGAACTCAGCACGCCAGACGCGCACGTTCAGGTGCAACAAGAGCCAAATGGCACGACAACGTTCTACTTCAATGCCACGGCCGACACCGGGGGCGGCTGTGTCTTCCAGACCCACAGCGCGGCGACGGCGGCCTCCATCCTCCACATTGCGCAGGTGAAGGGGGCCGAGGTCGAGCAGGTGCACGCTGACGTCCTGGCGGTCAAGGCCAAGGCGGAGGCCCAGTCGGCGATGGGGATCCCGACTTACGTCGGAGCCGACGCGGGGGTGTACCTCGTGAACGCCGAGGCCGGCCCTTTTCACGGTTCGCTTGGGCTTGCCGCGGATACGGAGCTGGGGTGCAAAGACCAGTCTGTTGGGTGCAAGGTTCTGGGTTGCGGGGTGAGGGTTGGAAGGGTTTGTGAAGTCTCGGTCTTTGGCAACAGTGTTGGGATCGACTGGGGAAAGTTCAAGTTCTGGTGATAGGGGGTGGATATATTGTTGGGAACATGGATGTTAACAGCAGAAAGGCAATCCTCGAGGTGACCAAGACTTGTCGCGCTTCCAAGACTGCCTTAAGATGCCGTCAAGGCCGAGTTCGACATTGTCGCAGGCATTGCATTCGAAACCCGCGTGAACGCCCCCGTCGTCCCCAACAAAAGAGTACGGCGCACAGGAGACCAACACCACAACTACAGGCAAACCCAGGTCGAAATGTGAGGTGGTCCGCTTCGAAATACAGGAGGATGTGTTGTGCGCGCGGTTAACTTTTGAAGGGCCTAGTAAATTTGGTATTGAGGTTACCACAGGTAGCGCTAATCACGCATTGGACTCTTGGAGGCAGACCGCCTCAGGGCTGAGCCCTCTCAGATGAGACTAGAGCAGCGCCCTTAGTTTCTGAGACCCGTGTCAGTACGTCTCAGGACATTGAAGTATGAAGTATCTAAAACACTTACGTGAAGGCCCCCAAAGCTATCATCGCCCTGAGTTCCGTCGTGGGGGGAGAGCAGCACGCGAGCAAGGTCCTTTTTGGCATTTTGCAACTCGATTACTCGCTAGTGTCGCCGTCTAGTCAGTCTCCTTTTCTTGTTTGTTTGAATTTCTACACGATTCACAAACCTCTTCAAACGAGTCTCGGATGTAGAACCGCACCGTGGTTACTTCTCGCATCTGGCCTATTCGATGGATCCGCGCGAGCGCTTGTTCTTCTAGTGTTGGGTTCCTATGGTTTCATTTAGTGTCAGTCATCCAGATAGTACCCGGGCTGTATCGGATTCATGACATACCAGTGAGGTTCCATCAAGTAAGCTCGCGAGGCCACCGTGAGGGTCAGGCTAAAGATTGGTATTAATGGCCAGTGACAAAGACGATACGGACGGTGTCTATGTCTCACCCGACGGCTCCACAGGAGAGCGTAAGCAGCATGACACGAATGCTCGGATTCGCTTTGAACCTGTCGACGACCGATTGTCGTTCTTTTTGTGGCACACCCCCGTCGAAGCGGATGCTTCGTATGCCGGCCTCCCCGAGGCCTTTCTCAACCACGTCAAGGGTCAGTCTCCAGGTGGAGAACACCACGCTGTAAGAGTTAGTATGTGGGGATGACAGAAAGAGGTTAGTGGTGAAAAAATCAGGAAACAAATACGATACCATTTGACGTCGGCTGGCACCGCGTTGATATCCGCCACTAGTGCCTCGACCTTCGAGGGGAGGGCTGTATGCAATGTTGGCGTCTCGTCAGACACCGCGGCGGGAACCTCTTCCATGACGCTGTCACTTGTGGACACGGGTGCCACCAGGCACGAGGGCTTGTGGCCGCAACCCAGCGTCTGCTTCGCTCTCTGCATTTTTCGTATGCAGTCTCCGCAGACAAAGCGCAAACATCGGAAGAACTGAGGCTGCTGTCGCGAGGATGACGTGTCGTGGCTGTTATCGCCCAGCAGAGAATCGGTCAGACTCGTAGTCGAGGAGCATTGCAAGCAGACGATGGGGCCCATGCCCCGCTGGATATTGAAAGCCTGTTGTGCGGCAACGGCCCAATCATCTGACGCCGAGGCGTTCTGTGTTGTACGGTTCCGTCGTGTGTGGTAATGCAGTCCGAGGTCGCAAATCAGCCGTAGAGATTCGATCTGCTGCAGGACGTTCACGTACACGCCGGCCCTGGACGATTCCGAGCTCGTGTGGAGGGCCTCGTCGATCTTGGTAATTGTCTGCTCTCTCACCTCCTCATATGCTGCCCTCTCCTCGCGGCTGAAGTCGACCGCACAGGTCATGTCTCTACGAGTTGGGAGGCTGATGGTGGACTTAGCTCGTCGTAGGAGAATGCAGGCGGACAGGCATTTCAGTCTTTTGGCAGCCTCTTCGTCTTCCCCAGCCTTCCAGAGCCGCGAGATATCTGCCTCGAACTGCTTTGGGTCGTCGTATGGGTAGACCCGAATAAACTTGAGCTGCGCAGCTAGGTCGCTAAGGCGGTTCTGAATAGGTGTACCCGTCACCGCCCAACGAGAGACTGAATCTAGCTCACACGCTGCCCGGGCCATCCTCGAGTTGCCATTACGGATGAAGTGTGCTAGCTCCTGTTAGTACGTGAAGCAGTCGGGTACTCCGAGATATAAGATTGAAGCAAACCTTCGTCCAAGATGATCCTTTGCCATCGCACCGAGAATAAGACGGAGTTTTCTGGTTGGTTGCCGGGCTTCCATTCCGCAGACACAGTATGGTATGTCGTCAGAACTATGTTGACACCCTCGAGTTCACTGGCATCCATAAGCCTGGTTTTTCCATGGTGGCGCCGAAATTTCATGCTGCCAGACAACACATGCCTAATTTAAGGAGTCAGTTATCAGAGGTGCTTCTAGTAATCACTAAGTAGTACTGACTCCGACGACTGCTCCTCCCAGGTTCCAATTACTAGGATCGCCAAGTCAGCATAGTGAACAAGGTAGGTAAGCCGCGAGACAGGGCTCCTTACGGGGGGGTGGAATGATGATGAGCGTTGCTGAAACACAAGGTTTGGCTTCTTGGTTAATGTCTTGGGCAATACCATCGGCTGAGTTACGGTCCAAGTCAGTGGCCACCAAAGCAATCATGGTTAGCGTTTTTCCGAGACCCATTGGATCAGCAACGATGCCACCGTAGAATGGAGGTGGTTCTTCGCTTTGATGTGCTCCGGAGACTCTGTTTAGAAAACTTGGGTTGAGTTAGCCTCGGTCCATGAACGGCAGTTTAGAAAGTACAAGTCAAAAGTCTAAAGCAAGAAATCCAGCTTAGGTGACTACTTACTACTCGCCGTGGCCAACATCCAGATACTCCCAAAGGTCGGCTTGCCTCTCTCCAAAAGTCCACCCTCGTTCGCGACGGAGCATAAACGTCAAGGCTTGTTTCTGGTGCCTAAGTATCATTCCGTTAGCGCAATTCCAAGACAGTCTGCAACAACCCAGGGGTATGTAGTTGATGGAGTACTTCTTCAATGCTGTACGAATCGCAGTAGGCTGCGGTGTCTCCTCCAACTCGTTCCCGTTGCTCAATAGATCGAGTAGGTCGGGTCGATCAGGGACATTCTCAAGCAAAAGGGATCTTGAAGACTGCCGGACGACATCGGATACCATGGGACAGGAATCAATATCATCGACCGAAAGTTTGTGAGGGTTGCAGTACTTCGCGTCGAGGTGAACGTGACGGACGTCCTGAAGGTACATGCCGTAGTCTTGGAACCAGGTACCAATATCTTCAAAGAGATCCTCGGGGCCATAGATGGTGAGGTCGAGTGTGCATGGTCGAAACAGCTGTGATGCGACGCGGTTTGGCTTCGCTACCGTCGGTTCAGAATCCAACTTGCACATGGCAAACAGTTGAATATTGCTTTCCTCGAGGAGGCTTTGAATCATTTGCCCATGCTCCTCTGCGATCTTTCCGCTTCCCTCAGTGCCATCCGTGGTGGCAAAACGATCCGATGACATGATTTGGACGGGAAACGGGCTGGTGGTTGTTGCAAGCATTTGTTTGTCACATTTTCCGGGGATGGATTGAATCTATAGTCGGAGTTAAAGCCGCACATTTTGTCCTTTCTATTGTTAAGGTAGCATTCTCACCATCCCAAAACATACCACCCTGGGCGGACCGATATTGTTCTGCTCTGGCCAGGATACGGCGCTGGAATGGTTGGACTTGATGTCTGGCTCTTGGTTGTAAGTGGCGGTTGGGCAGGACGTCTGAGTGGACATCGAGAGCGGAGGGAAAAGAACCATGGCATCATGGCCAGTCGGCGCCAGATGGGCTCCGGTGTGCCCAAACGGAGTTTGGTCATGGAAAGATGGTCGAGCAACGTTATAGGCGAACAGCCAGGGCGACTGAACAGGCTCGCGTGGCGATTGTAGGACCCCGGCAAAGTGATGGTTGCCAAATTGACCTGAAAAGGGTGAGGGTTGGGAGGGCCATGATGTTTGTCCCCCGCGACTTGAAGAAGAGCTAGTCAACCTTGTAATAGAGGTGGAACTTTGAATTGGTGCAAGGAGGTTGTAGCTTGCCCACGGCTGATCCAGGTGACGCTTACTCGAGGGTAGCTCCGGTAACGATGGGCATGGTACTTGTGGGTTGTCATCATTCGCCGATTGCCAGACGTGACAAGGGCTGTTAAGGCGGCGTCGTTTTGAAGGCTGGGCCCCATTTTTACCATCTGCTGAGGTGTCCATTCAGGCTTCAATGTCGGTGTTATGTCAAACTTGGCTCCTAAGATTCCCAACCCGGCTGAAGTCTAAGTAGAAGATATGTCGGGTGCAGAAGAGGAAGAATTAGGAGCATGGTATCTAGGTAGGTAATTAGGGAGGTAGGCATGGAAACGGGCAAGCCGACTAAGGTAGGAACACAAAAGCATGAAGCTGGGAAGCACAAATCCCTGCCGTCGAAAATTGCAAACTCTCGCATAGTCCAGTTGATGGGCGATGATCAGAGCCTCACCAGAGCCCAGCGTGCTACGCCACGTATGCAACCTACCCAGGTGCCGAGGGACTGGGGCAAAGCTGCGGCAGGTTGCAGCTGAAACGGTTGAGGAGAGAAGAGCCAACCAAAGAATTTACAGCAGCCGCCGTTGCAGGTTGGTGGTGGCTATGCCCCAGTTCTTGACACCCAATCGAATATGTTCTGGTCATTTCATTGCTTCTCACCCCACGCTCACTGCGCCTCAGTGAGTGCCATTTCTCACTGGTTTAGACCGCATTTTTTATGAAATACTGGGTAGGTTACCTGAGGTACCTTAGGTACCGAACGTTGGACATCCATTTTCAATCTTCTGTTCCAACCAGACTCCAGAGACCGAAACTGACTGGATCAACCACCCTTAATGTTCTGAGAACACCAAGTCCGGCCAAAGAGGTGTGTGTTAGTTCGAACCACCAAAATGCCACTTGCACCTGTGGCCTCACCAGAGGCGACGCAAATGGTGCGAGCGGCGTTTGAGGAGCTCAAGCAAACAATCACCCCCCAAGATTCGCGCGACTTCCATCAGACGACACTCCAAGACGTGAGGCAAGCCGCACTCAATATTGAGGTCCAGCTTGCTTCAAGGCAATGCTTGCGCAATATGCGTCGGCTGATGCCCCTCTTCCAGGGGCTGGAACACTACGCAAATGTCATGGGCGTTGTCTGCAACGGTACCCCTTTTCTCCCGTGGGTCTGGGCACCCATCACACTTATCTTGAGAATTGCCTGCGAACACGTCGAGGCATTCGAACAGATCATGAAGGGGTACTCGCGAATTGCGTCAGCTTTGAAAAGGTTCGAGATTTTGAGCGAAGCCTTCTCCCGTGATGCCGGCTTCCAGAAAACCATGGCCGTCTTCTATGCCGATATCCTCCAGTTCCACAAGCACGCGTACAAGTTTGTGCGTCGAAATGGTTGGTGCTCCTACACCCCTATTCGCCCTGGCAACTCCTAAAGGTGGTTGATTGTTTTTTAGGCTGGAAGCTGCTGTTTCTCACATCATGGGGTCGGTTCCAGCGACGATTCGACAATATTCTGGAGGATATGGAGCGCCACGAGGCTCTGATCGACCTGGAAGCAAACGCCCGTGACATAGGAGAGGGTCGCCAGCTACGCCAGGATATCAGGCTCTGGAGAGAGGAGAGCCTTGCCAAGACTCGGCGACTCGACGAAGAACATGCAGCAAAACAGTACAAGGCCATCATGTCTTGGCTTAAGGCTGATGAATCAGACCAGTTGGCTATATTCGAGTCCATCTCGGCCGAAGGCTCGAAGTACCCCGGGACCTGCGGGTGGGCCCTGAAGACTCCCAAAGTGACTTCATGGCTCCAGAAGAGAAGAGAGACACCAATGCTGTGGTTACAGGGCAGCCCTGGAACTGGGAAAAGCGTCATGTCCGTCCAGCTCATCAACTACATGAAGGCGGCCAAGATGTTCGTGATTCACCACTTCTGCACTTACTCATACCCAGCTTCAACTTCGTACGAACAAATCTTGAGGTCCTTGCTGCTACAGCTGTTGCGCAAAGACGGTGACTTGGTTGCACATGTCTACAACGAATGTGTTCTGGAGAAGAAGTCGCCGACCCTCTCCACCCTAGAGCACTTACTACAGGTCCTTCTGGCCAGCTTATCCAGCGAACCCTGTCAAGCTGAACACATTTGGATTCTGCTCGACGGCCTGGACGAGTGTGATACTGACAAACAAACGAGAGTGGTGAGCCTCCTAAATCAGGTGGCCTCGAAGTCCTCCTCTTCTGAATCTACTATTTGCAAAATTCTCATTTCAAGCCGTCCCACGCGCATCTTGGCAAAGCGCCTAGGCAAAAGGCACACCCTCTCACTCAGCGACGAGAAGGCGGCTTTAGCAGAAGCCATCAGACAATACGCATCACAAAGATTGCAGTCACTGCACCGCAAGTTCTCGCAGCTGGACATTGGAGCCGACGAGCTTCGGGAGATTGAGTATGGGGTCGCCAGAAAGGCAGACGGCAAGTCACGTTGCTCAGCTTTCCATAGTGTAAATACAGCTAACCTCTGTCCGTTAGGCATGTTTCTCTACGCACGACTGGTCCTGGACTACTTATCGACAAACATCTTCTACAGTGGAGAGGAAGTGAAGACGTCCATAGACCACCTGCCAGACAAACTTTCAGACTTGTACGCTACATACTATCTACCTTATGTCACTTTATCTCCCAACCAAACCCCCGATTCTTCAACATAGCTAACACGCGTTGGACCGATTAAGCTATCGGAGGATTCTCACCCAAATCCTTGTTCACCTCGATGCCCGCTCAGTCGAACGAATAAAGTGTATCCTTGGGTGGGTTGCTTTTTCGAAACGGCCCTTGAAGAAACTCGAATTTCTGTCTGCAGTTTCTTTCAGCTCTGGGGATCCCAAGGTCACTCAACTCGCCCCTCAATACATCTTGGATATCTGTGAGCCCTTGGTTGAAGAGCGATCCGACGAATCGCTGGCTTTGATCCATGTTTCTGTAAAAGAGTATGTACATCAGCCATCGATTCCTAGGCCAAGGAAACTGACATCATGTTTCAGTTTTGTTCAGAGTCCAAGCAGTAACCTGGCCATTCGCGAAGAAGAAGTTCTCCAACAACACACAACAGCCGTTCTTGCGTGTCTTATCTCCGGATTAGACGTGTTTCATAAAGGATACCATGAGCATTCGAGAGTCTTTCGGGTGATAAAAGGGATGCATGGTCTCCATGTCTACGCCACGGAGTACTGGACAGAGTACCTTCTCTCCGAAGCCAGCCGGCATGGTGGCATAAGCACGGATACCTGCGTCTCTCGTCTTGCGAGTGAGCTGGCAAACAAGCTCGAGGTCTGGGCCCCGTCGAACGTACCGCTGGGCAGACCGGGCCCGGGCCATTCCGACGAGCGGCTATTGCTCCTTAGGCAGCACGAAACTCTTCAGGATCATGTCAAACGGAGCTTGGGCTCGAGGACAACTAAACAGCTTGAGCATGAGCTCCAAAGCGAGAATAGTACGTTGACAAGCCGTCTGTTCGATGTATTGCGCCCTTGAACTAGACTGATACCGTAAACCCGTTAGGCGATACGCTAGAGCCATCGGACCCACCTGACGGTATCTTGACAATGCTCACGGCATATCAACAGTGTGTCAGATCTATACTCAGTCAACACGACTTTCCAGGCATCTCAGCAGAAGAACTGGAGCTCTTCAGGAGGCAGTTTCGCGCATCGGCCTTCACCTGTCGTCTCAAATTTTGCCCACGAGCAACTTTGGGGTTTGATTCCGCACAAATCCTCCGGGAGCACGAGCTTTCACATATCTCCAGGCTCAAGTGCCCTTTCCCTGGCTGCCATTACCCGCCCTTTCCGTCAGCACAGGCTTTGAGGGGTCATGAGCGGAGAATTCATCAACCAAATCCGGCTCCGAGACCCATCCGCCGAGTCGGAAACTTTGGGCGGAACGAATCTGCCGGGTCGCCTCAACGCATCAACAAAGAGACGCATCGGGTCAAACATATGGCATTGGTCTGGCCAACACCGGCAGGGTCCGGATCAATTACACTCCCATCAATGTCACCAGCCCGTTGCAGTGTAATTGCACCTTACGTAAGCGAAGCCACATTGAATCAAGGCTCCTCACAAATCAAATATTTCGCAACCAAATAAAATACTTGGCAAATAAGCCAAACCAAATACGGCCCTATATTTGGCAAATAAAGGGCCACATTTGCCAAGCTTTATTTGGCTTATTTGACTTATTTGCCAAGATTAATGGGTTCCACACACATATATAACCCTAACCCCAGACTACACCGTCGAGACCGTCTTCTTTCAAGGCTGGCACCTGCACTCGCACCCCTGGCCGAGGAACTGGCCGATTCGTTCAAAAACGCAAGAAAAATTAGAACTGGCCAAATATATTTTTTGCCCAATTAGGAGATTGCCAGCCCACACCGCCCGCGCATCCATCCGCGCACCCACCAGAATTGGGTGGGAAAGAGAGAGGTCTGAAGCGGTGGTTTTCGTGGGCGGTGATCTTGATGTCCTGGGCATGCAGGCCGGTGGATGGATGCGCGGGCGCGCGGGCGGTGCAGGCCGGCAATTGCCTAAATGGGCCAAAAATATATTTGGCCAGTTCTGAATTTTATTGCATTTTTGTACGATTCAGCCAGTTCCCAGCCCAGGCCTGGCCCAGCCTGGGTGCGGGTGCGAGTGCGGGTGTGGGTGCATGCAAATGCTCGCCCCTGAAAAACGAGGTGTGGTTCAGGGTTAGGGTTATGTATGGGTATTTGGCTTATTTGGCAAATACCCAAATAAATATGCAACCTAGCCAAATAAATAAAATATTGGGGCGTGCCAAGCCAACCAAATAAAATAGGGGGTCTTATTTGATTTGTGAGGAGCCTTGGCTCACAGCAGCGAGGGGTCTCTCTTCGGCTTACGACCTTAAGCGGCTTATCTGTTGAAGCTGTTCCTTCCTCTAAGCCGTAGAGTGACTGCTCTCGAAGGCAAGAGCGGTTGGGTACCAGCTCGAGGGAAGGAGCGGGCTGTGGATCGAACCGGTTAGGTGCCCTAAGCCGGCAACGTACCGTCAACCTCCCGCTCACTCGCCTGGAGCTGCTCTTTTTGCTCGAGCCGGGATAAATTCGCTCAAAGCGTAAGCCGTCAAGGTTTTTCATTATCAGCATGCGGCGGTAATGCTACGCCGCAACGTGGACCGCGGGCCTTCCCTGAATATGCCCGCTATCCCGGCGTGGTTGGATGGTCCGAGTGGATTTGAAAGCCTGTTATAATTCCGACTACCCGGTAGATTGGAATTATAAGACGCCCAGCCTAGGACTCTACTCAGACAATGCAGTGTCGGTGTTCTAGGTAATATCATGTGGTGCAAAGTGAAATAACCGGGAAGGCAAACAAAAAACGAGGAGTGTGACGTATCTCTACGCGGGCAGAACGGAGGAGGGAGACGCAGTAATTGAGTATCAGTTGACAACGCTTACCTGTACAACCTACTCAGTATCTTTCCCCTACTCGCCGTCATCTACGCGCGCGTAGCCGCAATCTCCACACTAGGCACATGTACATGATAATAGGCCAGCTCTGGAACTAGAGTCTTGGTAGTAACTTACAAGGCAGAACTTATCCAGCGGGACACACGCACCTCTATCAAAACCGTCCGGAGTCGGACGGTCACGGAAAACTGGTTTATATTTACCGAAGGCGTTCGCGCTTACATATTGCTTCTTTCACCTTTAATCGGTATATGCAGGTGGAGGGTCTAGAGTTGGTACCGGGTTGTTCAGCATTGCCTTCTTGAAGAGCTTGATGATGGCCACGTACCTAGGTACCTGATTATGTTGTGTAAATCCCGCAGCATCTCAAAACCCATCAGGTCCCAAATCCCTCACCAGATTCTCATCTCCAGATATCTCCCTTCATCAAACACTTCACCATCCATAATGCCGTCCACATACGCCTCCCCAACAAGCCGATAACAGCCCTGCCCACTGCCCCCATCCCTCCGCACCACCAACGGCACCCTCCCACCCTTAACCAGCACAACCTCATTCCCCACCTCCGCCCCATCCGGCAAAGGCATACAAAAACCCATACCCGCCACCTCCCCAAACGCCGCTCATAAACCATCTCAATCAACCTCGAAAAACTCACTGTATCCCCGCCCACGTCAACCGCAATACCCCAAAAACACCACCGGCCGCAGCGCCCCGATCCACTCACCACTCATGAAACCTAGCCAGCGGCCGCATATTCGCCCGCCACTTATAAAATAACCTCGCCGTCTCCTCCTCCCCCTCCCCCTCCCCCCCTCAGGCACCGCCACCCGCGCACCAGCGCACAACGTCCGCCGATACACCGCCAGCGGATCATACCCCATTTCCACCCCCATCCCCACCCCTTTCCCCAGCCCCTTCCCCGCCGGAGTTGTCGTCGGCGTCGGCGTCGGCGTCGGCGTCAGCGGCACCGGATTCGTCGGCCGCTCCGCCCTCGCAAACGCCTCCCACTCGGCCAGGATGCCGATCTGCGGGACGACGGCGCTGAGCTGCGCGTATAGCTCGGCCAGGCTGGAGAAGGCGTGCCCGAGGCGGGCGAGCCGCTGGAAGAGCGTGTCAGGGGGTTGGCGTTTGGCGGGGTTGGCGAAGGCGTCGAGGTTGATTTGGAGCCGGTGCAGGGTTGGGGTGAGCGCGGTGATAGTTGTGAGGGCGTGGCTGGTTAGGAGGAGGGTGGGGGGTTGGAGGAGGTTGGGGTTCGGGAGGAACTGGGGGGAGGGGTGGGTGCCAGCTGTGGCGTGGGTTTGGCGCGGGCTGCCGAAGGCGTCGTCCATTAGGGGGCGCGGGACCAGGGTGGTGATGCTCCAGTCGGAGGCCCAGGAGGGGAGGCCGTCCATGGTGCTTGGGGTGCAGGCGCCAAAGAGGTCGAGGTTGTTGGAGCGTAGGAGTACGTTTTTGGCGGCGTCCGTATAGACGACACTTGTTGGTGCGGTGTAGTCGGGCTCGAAACCGAGGGGATACACGGTGTGGCTCTCGTCGGTAACCAGCCTGAGGGGGGCGTACACCTTGTCACGCGGGTTCGTGGACTTGCGGAAGCGACAGTGGATCGACATCCTCAGCATGTCCTGCGTTGGCACCGGAACGTTGGAGGCTTGCATGGATAGCGCGTCGGATGGGTGTTTCCGAACCTGCGTCAAGGCACGCATGGAGAGGTATGGCATGACGGTTGGGTCGACGATCTGACCGATGATCAAGGTCAACCATATTCCAATAGCGAAGCCGTAGTCGACACCCTTGCATAAGCGCCGCCACTCCATGGACCGTGACCCAGTCACAACCACGGCCTGAGATGCTAGAAGAATCTCCTGGACCGTCCAGGCCCTGGACCACCACGCGGACTCGGCGAGGTGAACGATGGCAGTTTGATCTTCGTAGCGCTCATATAGTGGGCTTTCCACAAGCTTCCTGTCCAACAAAGATATTGTGAGATTGCCTGAGAGAATGGAGCTCACATTGGTCGAGTGCTCCCGAGATATCGTCTCGGCGGCCAGCTCTTCCAGCATATCATACGCCTTGTCGGTATCGCCCTTGACACCAGGCCCCAGCCAAATCATGGTGCGGTAAGCTGATCGGTAGATTTCATCCATCATACCAATTTGGTGATTTTTCTCCTTTGACTCATCGGCTTCGACCGCTTGGTTGATGCAAATGGCGTCGGCCCAGAGCGTCCGTGGCTGATCCGCCTTGCGTAGGTCACGAAGAGCCGCGCCCAGGTTTTCCGTGACCATGAGGGTGCTGGTCCCAATGTAGACCGCGGTCGTCTTGGCCTCGCTACCCCAAACATAGCTCAATGCTTCGTATGACCCGCGGCAATCGTCGAGGGAACATTCGCTCAAGGGAGCAGACGATCTTGTCCCGGCGAGCGCCAGGGTGGAGCTCGAGTAGTCTGATAGAAGTCCTATTAGTGAGTGGCGGGTATTTATGATTCGTCTCGCCGTCATGCCCATTATGAGGGCCCTCTTCCTAAGTGGCAGTGTCTAGGTGTCAGCCCAGCGGCAACCACGACTCGGACCGTGAGCGGATTAGATTCTGGTCAAACCGACCTTTGGTGGGCCCCCGTCCTCGCCCTCCTCACTTGGTGTTGGGGAATCGGGCAAACCTTGAAAGGTGTACCGGATCCTGTCGCAGGATAGGCATCTCTCGGTAAGCTCTTAAGAGCTTGGCATTCACCCTGAAAGGTTGACATGCAGGAAAAGGGGTTTTCTTTTGTATTTAGTCCGCTCCTGAGAGCCACTCTCCTTTGTTCATAATAATGGCACTTTTACCTCACGTTTTCCCACTATCAGGAGCTCCCTGCAGTGCAACAGATCCCTCCGGATAGGCCCTCTCTTATATCTCGCCATGTGCGCTTCGACATGACTCTTTGGGCGTCGCTGGGATAAATGGGGGCAGACAACTTTGGCGGTTCAGTTTGCAAGTTGCAATATTACACCACCGCTGGTACCGTAAGCCTTCAGGCCAGCGGGGTTCTGGCACAGAGCCTCAAAGTCCGAATCGGCCGAACGTCAAGCTTACCCGGGGGGTGGCCCAAGTAAGGTCCAGCATTGACGCGGAACTGGGATGCTCGATTGTCACGGTTATGGTCGCGTACCACGCCCCGATGAGGGCACGCGCGGGAAGCGTTCCCAGCCAATCATTAAGAATGGGTCTCAGACCAATCAGCAGAGGAACGAAGGGAACGGCTACCGTTCCCAGGATCCAGTCTGGAACGAGAGGAACGATCACCGTTCCTCACGTTCCCAGCAAAAGGTACGCCGGTACCTAGGAAGCCTAGATAGTATATAGTCACCCGTTCTGGAGAGCTCTGGGAGTTCTCCAGTTAGCAATCACAACTACAGTTCGCTACAAGCTCGAAAGCCTACTGTTGAGACAAGTCTTTGTTGTGCACCCTTTGGCTGCACCGAACCTAAGCACCCTCGAAGAGATTACCTTCAACTGAAGCTGAACCCTAACAGGACAGGGTCCTGAAGTAGGTTCGTCACATCGATGCCGGAAGAATCAGCCAACTAGTTAACTGCATTGGCTCACGGCAAGCGGACACGGCTGAAATGGCTCGGATTTGACAGCGGCGGGAGGCTAAGAGGCTTCATTAAACGAAAAAAGGTCTTTGGTACCGAGGTAGGTAGCTATTGTGAGTGGACTCGATCGTTCGAGCGAAATGTGCCTCTACCAAAGTGAAAAGATTTCCCAGACGATGTGTAAGTGATCAGCGGCAGGATAGGCTCTTGGGTAATCTGGTCCAACCATGTCTAGTACGTTACAACACCGTCCAGCTGCGCTGTGGTCGGCCGCAGGCCTGTGCAACGCACCGTCATCAAAGAACGAAACCTTGCCCTCGTCCGGGCATTTGTCAGCCAGACAGTCATCTGCCCCGAATCACTCTGATGCCTTTCCTCCGGCCCTTTTCGAGTTTCACTCGCAAGTGAACTCCCCCGCCCTTCCGGTGTACTTCTGCTTGAGAGGATACGCGCAAAGAGGCCGTTTGATGACAGGTCCTGTGCCGACGCTGGTGGCCGCGAGCGTCTCAGGGGCCACGCCGTCTTCGACCCAACGGACCAGCGTGTCGAAAGTAGTGTCCGGGAAAGGGCCGGGGCCTCCGTGGCAATGACCCAAACCGGGAGCAAAGAAGAGGCGGTAGAAGTCGTGGACTTTGGGGTCAAGTGCCGTAACTCGCTTGTAGTATTGCTCGGTCCCGCGAGGGGGGATGAGCGGGTCGGCCTGATTCAATGTTAGAGGTTATTAAAGCATGCTTGACAAGACGGTGGAAGGAGGGAAGGGCAACTGGGAAGGTTGGACGTACCAGTCCATGGTAAGTGATCATCTTTCCTCCGGCTCGACGGAATGCTGAAAGGTCGGGATCGGCCGTGCCGATTACCGAGTCGTACTCCAGGACCGCGGCATCGAAGATGTTTTCGTATTCTGCCAGCATTAAATGGCTAGTGTCGGAGGTCGAGTTCTTCAGGATGAATAACCTAATCCATTCTTGAAACAATGTGATGGGATCCATTGTGCAAGTACCGTCGGTACCACAGATGGTGCCAATAGGCGTAATACCCGAGCCCCCTTTAGACAGCACGGCGTCCGGGTAAGGTCCGTACCACATACGCGAGTAATTCGCCCGTCGAGGGCCGTCCCACTGCACGGAAAATTAGTGAGGATAAGTAGGTAAGGAACAGAACGCCGCCCACTTGCCGTTTTTTGAACGATTGTCGCTGTGCTTTTGGAAATTCGGCGCTTACTGGGAGACTGAGATAGTAGGTAAGGGTTAGTATAAGGACTGGACAAGCAAGCGGGTGGGTTGAATAGAGAGCCTTGCTTTTTGCTTAGCAGGGTTTCCGCCTCCTTGTGTGTGACGGGAGTCGGCGGCGGAGTCGGTGACAAAGTCAGGGCACTCAATAGATGTCCCGACGAGCTCTAGCGGGTCAAAGTCACACGCCTCGGGGTCCGATATGATACCGTCCACAACTCCGTCGAGCCCGTCGCAAGCCTCAATGGCAGCTGCGGTGAGAGCAGCGACCTCACACGATGGTGGGTATGTTCCGTACAGGGTCATGAGGAAATCGGGGTAGGTAGCCCCCACGACAAAGGGATTCCAGTTGATGCCGGGCGCGCCAGCTGCAATGCCATCGAAGATGTCGGGGTACCGTTGTGCGAGCATCAAGCCTTGCCGGCCGCCCTGGGAACAGCCGGAGAAGTAGGAATACGCAGCAGGTTTGGCGTAGAAGGCAGCCGTGAAGTTCTTAGCGATAAGAGCACCTTCGTAAAGCGAATCGGACGCCAGGTTTTGAAGGAGGCGCATATTGGGCTTGCCTTCCTCAGGGAGAGCCCAGCTCACTGGGGTGAGGGGATCTGCTGACAACCCCAGCCCAGCATCAGTCGCATAGGTGGAATAACCTTCACTGACGGCAGCAGCCATGCCCGGTAGGGCCGGGCCGGGCAGTCCGCCTGTCCATCCGCTCCCCCCAATGCCTTGCAAACGGCCATTCCAGGCCTCTGTTGGGAGCCAGACTTGGACGTTGACCGCATCGTTTCCGCCAGGGTGAGTGTAAATAGTCGACACGTTGCAAAACTGGACGCCGGTGACGTTGACGGCCCCATGGTTGGGGTAACCACCCACAGGGACGTTCTGGCTGAAGTTGTCGACAAGGCTGGCTTCCAGCGACAGAAATTTGATGTCCGGGATGATTGGATATGTAAAGGTGGCTTCGGAGCAGGCAGACGGCGAGATGGTGCCGTGGAAAAGCGACACGACCATTGTGGCTGGCGTGGCGGTGACAAGGTCGACGCGTCAAGTTACATGTAATAATAGTGGATGAGCAGACTCGATGTCAGCAGAGTACCTATGTAGTCTGGTGACGATCGAGAGGGACGAAGCGGACGAGGTATCACGACGCCGTAATTTGATATCCATCGGTAACATAAGGCTCGGCGAATAAGACGGATCACGGACGAGACAATATCGCCCACACTTGCGAGGCTGGAGTTAAAGGAGTTACGCATTCCGACCTGGGAAAGCGAATGTATTATGTCCGAGTATCCACATGGTCAGACATGAATCGGGCAGGGGTCTCAGCAGCCTCTCTTACATCTACATGTACCTGCATGTACATATTCAGATACGAGTGAAATCACCGAGGTGTATGCAAGACCTTGGGCGCACAGTCATCGCCATCAGTCCGTCCATGACTGAGCGGAGAAACGAAAAAAAAAAAAAAAAAAAAAAAAAAAAGAAAAAGAAAACTTCGGAAACTACGGGCCCAATCTCCAGTTTTTTTTTCTGTCCCACGACTCGCCCCAGATAATGAAGCCCGAAACCAATCTTCCGTCTTATTGTGGATGTCCATGGGGTCGCAGCGGTCGCAGCGGACAAGTTCATGTCTTCGAAGCTGTCACGAAGTCTGAGAGAGAAACCCGGGTCCTCCTTCGAAACATTGTGATATCGTGATGCAATGGCTACACTCGGTCGACATTTAGGTGGCTGCCTAACCAGGGCGTTTAAATACCAGCAATAGATTCATTCCTGGCTCTCTCCAGTTCACAGCCTATAACGCTACCCCGTCCCTCTCAACATCTTTTTTCGTCCTTTCCTTTGGGTGGATCGGCCCCATATCGAAGACTAGGGACCTTACCTACCTAGGTACCTAGGTATGAATATCTATGGGCTTGTGGCTAGAACTCCAAGGGAGGACCCATCCAACGCGAGGGCTAAGCGAGGGCACGACGACACTCGGTTGCGAGAGTGTGAAGAGAGATCAGGGTATTGCGTGGTGTGACGAACCTACTCCAGGACCCCGTTCTGTTAGGGTTCAGCTTCGGTCGAAGGTAATCTTGCAAAGGGTGCTTAGGTTCGGTGCAGCCAAAGGGTGCACAACAAAGACTTGTCTCAACAGTAGGCTCTCGAGCTTGTAGCGAACTGTAGTTGTGATTGCTAACTGGAGAACTCCCAGAGCTCTCCAGAACGAGTGACTATATACTGCTATCTGATTCCTGAGCTCTAAACAGCTCTTGAGAGCTTACTAGAACTCATGGCTCTCGGTGGCTCTCGAGAGCCCTTGAGAGCGGCTTCTGACTGGTCGCCCTTCTTGGCTCCCGGGTGCTCTGGAGAGCACCCTGTGGTTGGCTCGTTTAAATGACTGGCCCGGGGCGCGGGACGCCCCGGGGTCCCGTCTGTTGGCATATTCGTGACACGTGGCTTGATAGGTACCTAGTCTAAAATGAGACGGGATGGAAAGACTCGGAAAGACTGTTCTTCTGTCGCTATGATTCATCCCAAAATGAGTATCTGTTGATGCTAAACCGAAGCCAAGTCAAGAGTCTTGCGTGCGTGCAGGGTATTTATTCCTTACTACTCGTTCATGCTCTATCGTTCGCATGTCACTGCATTTCGTGGCTTCCCCGACCAGAATCTCGGCCTGCCCTCAGTTCACACCACTATTGCCCCGAGCCCGAAATGGGCAACGCAGGTATTCTAAATTTACTTGGTGAGACTGCGGCCACGCAGTCACAAGCCGCACCTACCTCACAAGTGATAGCCCTTCTCGCCGTTCTCTTCCGATCCGCTGGGTTGTCACACCCCTGTCCTCCCCAGTGCTCTGCGCTCCAGCGCTGCCCAGGGCTTGACATATCATTCGGCAAATTTGTCGCCGTCTAGATAACGAGCGTAGGCGCTTGTGTTGACAGGGAAATTCACATCGTCAACGGCGAGCACTGCATTGACGATGACGACGACCAGGCGGCCTCACTCGTAACAATTGGCAAGATATGACGGCCCGAGTCCGAGGCAGTGTTCAATCAGTCCGGGGACAGAAAGCCTTGAAGACCCAGGAGCGAAAGGTGGTATCAATCCAAGCGCCGAGGAAGCCAAGTACGGTAAGCAGCTTGTAGATGTTTCGAAGGGTGTCAGTCATGCCGATCTGTATGGGACCGAAAACTTCGATCTTGTTCAGACGGTCGACTGCGAAGTAAAGAGACCACTCGTGATCGTGGGTTAGGATGAGGGGCAGCGTAGGCAGCTGCGGGCCTAGTTTCCCGCCGCCGATACCGAGTGTTTCCATCCGCCTATGCCAAGCTGCGGTCCATATGCCCAATTGCAATTGCCCCTCCTCGAGACTCGCCCCGGCAACTTTGGCCACCATGGTTACTGCAGTAGGGGCGCGCACCAGGGGGTGGTAATCGGGTTGGTTAACGTAAAGGTGGCCCGAAGCGAATCCAGAGGGCTTCATTTGCTTGGCCTGGGCGACGAGTTTGTTCTGGATAGCAAAGTCGAGTTCTGACTCCGAGTCGAGATTAGGCGCCAGTACAAAGTCCACCACCTTGCCCTCGGCCACCTCACCCGTAACGAGATATGGAAGAAAGTGAGGTAGAATACGAGCCGACGTTGCGTTCTCCCATATCACGGACGTATGTTGCCTAGATAAGGCAAGCTCCAAGAGTGGTTCGTGAACCTGGGTGTTCCACGCGGCCTCGGCGCGTTGGAGAGTCGAACACTCCCTAGCGTGGACTTTGATGCTGCGGACCTTGTAGAGCTCGGCGTGAGTGATGCGTGTTTGAAACAAGGCGCCCTGCCGAGTACCGGAAAACAGAGCGGAGAGGGGAAAATAGTCAAAAACGCGCTCCTCGTCTTGTCCTATTCCATCTTGGCTGTACCCTTCCCCAGGTTTGCGGTAAACAGAGTCTGGGGGTGGACGATCCGTGTATAGAGCCTCAATCTCTGTGCGAACCTCAGCAGGATAGATGCCCGTCTGGTATGTCGTAGCGCGAAGATGTCGTGATAGAGCTGCCGCACGTCTTCGGGGAGCTGTCTCAGACCGGCATTGTCGTCGAGTGAGCTGAACATAATGGGCTTGTCGAGGTGTTGTAACCCCGCGATGTTCTTCACAGGTCTGGCGCGGCGGCGAAAATTTTTCGAGCGGGTATTTTGGTGGTCGGATACGATAGACGCAGCGGAGGAATAGCCTAGGCTGGATGGTAGGGGGAAAGCGGTTCCCATTGAGAGGGTGTTGGCTGAGAGACGTAACGACCGGCCCGATCGGGGCGTTGCATCGGGATCCAGGCCAGGTTCATGGCTCTCGGGTCTGCTGTCGTTAATCTTTCGCTTCTTAGGACCGGGTGATTCGCCCACGGTCTGCGTGGCCGCAGATGGAGGGGTTGTTGTTTCGAGCTCTCGGGGTCGCTTCAAGTTCGGGTTGGCGTTCGTCGTCTCATCGCCGTGGGAATTAAATACCCTAGATAGCCAGCAATCCAATATGGCAGGGTCGTTGTACATGGCTAAGGGTGGGAAGTGGAGGCAGGCTGGGAGAAAATGGGCAGTGGGTTGTCTTGCCGCGTTGGGCGAACAGTTCGATGCGATGCGATGCGTCTTGCAGCGCGTTGCTCCCGGCTAGGCTGGACGCGAAAACACGTGATGAAGCAGGACGCCTGACAGTGGTGGGCTGACGTCACTTGGTCGATTTATTCCACCTCCCCAGCTATCTCTCTGGGAGATTCCGGCAATATGAATAGAAGCCATTAGACTCGTGGCATGTCCAAAGCTGCTGGTTCCTTATGGACCCCCGCGGTCGGTGAGACAGAGTACTCTTTGGTTCTCTTGTCCATCGAGGGTTATGCCTTGACAAGGGTCTCGCGAGACACCATACAAATCTGGATGATAAAGTCACAGTACTTACTTCGCACATGATAGATGCCATTCGGGACGACGAAGCTGAGGTTCGCAAGCGGGGGGTTTATTGTGGAGATGATCCAACGCAATGGGCCCACGTCATACCTATCTGAAAGTCGTGTAATGAGTGTACTTCATACTGGTATGTACAGATCTGCAAGGAACCGCTTCAAAGAAAGACTGTGGTGTCGTCAACGGCCGCGAGGCGACGTTTGAGAGAATGTGAAAATGATTTGGGTATTCGTACATTCACGAATAGCTATTCGTATTGTTACGACGCCGAAAGGGACGCTTGAACAGTGGTCAAAGCTGCCCCGTTTCAGGGGTTCTTTCTTCCAGAAAAAAAGCCCGAGGGAGTTCGTCCGGAAAGCGACCAATCATCACTCTCAGGCGCGCCCAGAAACCTGAATGGCCCCACTAATCTCCAAAGACTTCGATTTGTGCCGATACATCCGAGACCCTGGCGCAGCCAGTAAGTTGGAGGATCACTGTGACGGCCAAGAAGAGGCCGCTCCACCTTTAACACTGGTTCCGAAGGGTCCTTCAGGTCCAACATGCGACTTGCAACACTGGAATGACGCTCCCAGTTCAAACCCTCCCCAAAACCATAAGAAATCGAGAACAACAAACCCCATCCCCAACATGCCGCCAACATCGAGGAGTTCATGGCTGCGGGTGCCCCGGCCCAAGGTTCGTTTTTACTTCTGCCCCTCTGCCCTTCCCCAAGTCACCAGGACCGAGCTAACCAGGACGCCGCAATGCGACCAACCCAACCCAGACCTTCCTCGGCTTCATGACCCTGCAAACCGGCACCGAACTAATCTCGACCGCCCTCATCTTCAACAAAGCGACCGGCCTCTACGGCCTCCTCACCCTCTTCACGGGCTACTCACTCTCCGCACTCCAAGTAACCGCCTACCTGGGCTCGGTCCTCGTGCTGGCCGCCCTGGCCATCTGTCTGCCGCACGTGCGCAAGCAGAGCCCCCTGCCCAACCTCGCGCTCGCGTGGGTCTACGCCGTCGACACGCTGGTCAGCGCCGCGTACACGGCCGCGTTTGCTACGGCGTGGTACCTGGCCGAGTTCCATGATACTAAGGGCCCTGCGGGCGCCGAGGACGATGTGGCGACGTCGCCGAGAAATGCGGGCCAGGTGCAGCACGATGCGGGGCAGCAGGCGCTGGAGAAGGCGGGCACGGGCGTGCATGACACGGCGGCGAGCATGGTGTTGATTGTGGGGTTTACGCTGGTGCGGGTCTATTTCAGCCTGGTGGTCATGGCGTATGCGCGTGTGGTGCTGCTGCGCTTTGTGGACGAGAGCATGCCCGAGGCGGAGGAGGTCACCGGCGTGTCGCCGGATCCGTTTGCCGTCGGCGCGCCGCTGGGCGAGGGGTGGAGGGGCAAGCTGGGCAGGGGGATGGTGCGTGTTGGGAGGGGGTATTGGCTGGGTGGCAAGAAGGAGGATGAGGAGTGGGCGCGGCAGGTCAATTCCAAGTTTAGGAGTACCAGGCAGTGAGTGAGATATGCTGCTGTGGGTGGCAGTGGGCAGTGGGCAATGGGCATGGGCAATGGGTAGTGGGGGGGAGCGCGGGTTGAACCGACGCACGTGGAGGCGTTTGGGCGGGAACTAATTACGATGTGCTTGTTCGCTGGCTGAATTGGATCGCATGGTTGGTTGGCGTTATTTTCGGGATTCGGGGCTTCGACTGCATGAACGAGGAGGGGATAGAGCGGATAGACCTCGACGAGGACATTAATATGGGGGGTGTCAGCCATCGCAGTTTCCGGCATGGCCGATGATTTTGCTGAGTTTGAGTGTTGAAAAACGCACGTGGGCCTGCCGAGCCCAATGCCGCCACCCATCCCATCATCCCCTTGCTTGCTTGCGGGTTAAAGGAAGGGTCTTGCCCACGCCGTTGTTGACACTTTTCCGATTGTCAATGGAGAAACTCAACGGCTCGGCGGCTCGGCGGCTATCGGTCGGCATCATGAGAACCTCAAAACGAAGAAGGTGAGGATGTCGAGGCAGTCGGGAAGAGAACGACTCACCGAGCATACGCCGTTTTAACAAAGTGCAGAGGAAATGCCACGGCAACATGTTAGTGGGGATGACAAACCTGGGAATCACACCATCACGCAACGAACCAGCGGAGCCTGGGGGCATTCATGACAAAGCGCTGTTGAAATCCCACGCGCGCAATTCGCTGGTTGATCTGGGGGCTCTGGGCAAAACCCGGGATCTGAGGCGCTAGGGCGATCACGCAATCGCGCACCTCTTGCGCTGCTTCCCCAGCCGTCAAATTTGGGACAGCGGGGCCGATATAGGGCCTTTAATTGCTTGCCTCCGGCTTCTGGCCCTTCCATAAAGAGTCAGGGTCTTTTGAGGGTTTTAAACAGAGAAAAAAAAAAGAAAAACACGGCTTGCTTCCCTGTGATGCTGCACTCTCTTCCATCAATAATATCCTGCTCGTGAACTTTGTTGCACGATGGCAGACCTCAAGCTGAGGACACCCGAAGAGGCTGGTAAGTGCCATCAGTTTGCAGTTCTTTTGCCCCGCCAAATGAGGTCGTGGTGCCCCGCAGTCGCTGTTTATCGCAACTTGTCATTGGCATCGTCATCCCATTGACGATGGATGCGATGGCATGAAGGGTTGCGATATATGGTGTTCGCATAACAGCTGTAGCTTGCCGCGGAGTTAATTTGCATATCATGCATGGCAAAACTGACAATCGCGTTGTGTAGTCGCCGCAATCGCATATCTCGCTAGCGATGTGGTCGTCTCGGTGCAGCCCTCGTTGGGCGCCGATTCCGGGTTCTCGAGCTCCCTCAAGCAGCTCGCCGCAAACAAGACTCCCGGCCTGGTCGCAAAGTCTAGCGATGCCGTGCCCGAAGTCCAGTCCGTGAGGCACAACACCGACCCTCTTCTCTCCGTCTTCACCCCTATCCGCTCCGGCCGCCTGGTTTCGGTGACGACGACATCCTCCATCCTCCTGCCCTCGATTGCCCACCTCTACAAGCTCGCACATCTCCCAGTAGTGCTCCATGTTGCTCTTACGCCCAAGAGCTTCCCCGACTACTCGGCCATCACCTCGATCCGGAACTCGGGGTGGACATTTCTGCAGTCATGGTCGCTGCAGGAAGCCCATGACATTGCCCTGACGGCGCATGCCCTGGCTATCCGCTCCGGCAAGGGTGTGGTTCACTTCTTCGACCCTAGCTCTAGTGCTGGCAAGGAGCCCATTGATGTCGCGAGTGCCGATGTCATCCGCAGTGTTATTAACTTGGATAATGTGCGGAGGTTCCAGTCCGCTCCCATTTCTGGCTCCAGCATCTATGCAGACGATGGGCGAGTCGCTGTTGTTTCTGACCAGCCTGAGATCCTGGCGGCAAGAAACGTTGCTGTCAATAACGTACCTGTGGCCACAGGCGCCGCCCTGCCCGGATCCCCCACTATTACTTCACCCTCCTCCGTGAAGTCTAGCCAACAGAGCGCAGCCAGCTCACCTCCCCTCCCATCAGCCGCGACTACGATCGAACCCGCCCCGCCCGTCGTTTCCTCCGAAGATATCCACAATTACGTTACCTCCATCTGGACCCAGCTCAACGAGCTCGTGGGGAGGCAATATAGCACATTCGAGTGGAGGGGGTCCTCCAAGGCCGAGACTTGCCTCTTCCTCTTCGGGTCCGATGTGACCCTCTTCTCCGACGCCATCACCCAGGCGCAGGCCGATGACTCGTTTGCCAATGCGGGCTTGATCGCCCCGAGGCTGTACCGGCCCTGGCTAGGCGCGAAGCTACTTGAAGCCATCCCAAGAACAGTAAAGAAAGTCGCAGTCCTTGAGCAGGTCTCGAGGAAAACGACGAAGTGGGGCCCCGTCCTCATCGACGTCCTAACGTCGGTCAAGAGTGCTGCTGGCGTTGTCGAGACGATCGTCGGCCACCAGCTTGGGTACATCTCCAAGGAGACGGTCCAGCAAGCACTCCGTGGCGTCTTCCAGAACTTGACTTCCGACAAGCCGGTGCAAAACTTGGAGGTTGGCGAGCGGGAAGCCCCCGAGCAGGCTCTCGAGTCTGGGCTGGAGAAACCCACGCTGGAGACTGCCTACACCAAAATCCTTACCCAGCTGTTTGGCACCAGGACATTCATTGCCAACTCCCTCGAATCCGATAACGCTGGCATCTCGAACACCATTTCAGCCACCCCCGAATATGGCTTCGGGTCTCTGCTTGCTAGGAAGGAGAGGAGGAAGAAGTTTGTTGGGGAGGCCAAGAGCGCGGCTAGCTCAGGCGGATTTCTGACCGAAAACCCCAAGCGGGCTCTCGCAAACTGGGTTGCCAACGCCGATGACGTGAAGAAGTCCGAGGAGGCTGCTGAGGACGCCCTCTCAAAGCTCACCATCGACAACTCGACTCTGTCAAAGTCCCTTCTGGCGAACAAGCACTTTTTCCGCAAGCAGTCACTGTGGCTTGTTGGATCTGACGCCTGGTCGTACGATCTCGGTAACTCGGGCGTGCACCACGTGCTGGCTTCCGGCGAAAACGTCAACCTCCTCATCATCGACTCTACCCCCTACTCGGAACGGGCCGCAGCCGACGCCAACCGGAGAAAGAAGGACATCGGGCTTTATGCCATGAACTTTGGCAACGCCTATGTTGCGTCGACGGCTGTCTACAGCTCGTACACGCAGGTCCTCCAGGCCATGGACGAGGCTGACAAGTTCAACGGCCCCTCGATTGTCCTGGCGTACCTCCCCTACTTTGGTGAGCACGACTCTCCTCTGACGGTCCTCCAGGAGACGAAGAAGGCGGTCGATATTGGCTACTGGCCCTTGTACCGGTGGAACCCGGAGAACGAGAAGAAGGGCGAGCCCAACTTTTCTCTGGATTCGGAACGCATCAAGAAGGAACTGAAGGAGTTCCTCGACCGGGATAACCGCCTCACCCAAATGATGCGCAGTGAACCGCAATTTGGCGGTGTGCTGTCAGAGGATTTCGGAACCGAGATCAGGGCGCAGCAGAAGAGGCAGGCCAAGGACGCGTACAACCAGTTGCTCGAGGGCCTGTTTGGCGCGCCGCTTACCATTCTATTCGGCTCAGACGGCGGCAACGCCCAGTCCCTGGCCAAGAGGTTGGGCACCAGGGGCAGGGCCCGTGGCCTGAAGACCACCGTCATGTCCATGGAAGACTACCCGGTCGAGGACCTGCCAACAGAAGAGAACATTGTCATCCTCACATGCACGGCTGGCCAGGGTGAGTTCCCGCAAAATGGCAAGGCGTTCTGGGATGCCATCAAGGACAATACCGAGCTCGACCTGGCTTCCGTCAGGTTTTCCGTCTTCGGCCTCGGTGACAGCCACTACTGGCCCCGCAAGGAGGACAAGGTGTACTACAACAAGCCCGGCAAGGACCTCGACAGGGTGCTGGCTAACTTTGGTGCGACGAGGCTGGCGGATATCGGGCTCGGTGATGACCAAGATCCGGATGGATTCCAGACGGGCTACCAAGAATGGGAGCCCAAGCTCTGGGAGGCTCTTGGCGTGGCTAATGTCGAGGGTCTTCCTGATGAGCCTCCCCCGATCACCAACGAGGACATCAAGATCGCGTCCAACTACCTGCGTGGCAACATCGCGGAAGAGCTCAAGGACACGTCGACAGGCGCCATCAGCGCTTCCAACCAGCAGCTCACCAAGTTCCATGGCACATACATGCAAGACGATCGTGATCTCCGTGACGAGCGCAAGGCACAGGGTCTGGAACCCGCCTATTCGTTCATGATCCGGTGCAGACTTCCCGGTGGTGTGTCGACGGCGAAGCAGTGGATCCAGATGGACGACATCAGCAATGAGCTCGGCAACGAGACCATGAAGCTGACTACCCGGCAAACGTTCCAGTTCCACGGCGTCGTCAAGGGCAAGCTCAAGCCTGCCATGCAGGCCATCAACCGGTCCCTGATGACCACTATCGCTGCCTGCGGCGATGTCAACCGTAACGTCATGTGCAGCCCGCTTCCCTCGCAGTCCAAGTACCACCGCGAGGTGTTCGCGTGCTCCAAGAAGATCAGCGACCACCTGCTGCCCGCGACGACGGCGTACCACGAGATTTGGCTCACGGACGACGACGACAAGAAGACGCAGATTGCCGGTGAGGCGGTGCAGGACTTTGAGCCGCTCTACGGCCCCACCTACCTGCCTCGCAAGTTCAAGATCTCGATCGCCATCCCGCCACACAACGACGTGGATGTTTACGCGCACGACATTGGTCTCATCGCCATCAAGGGCAGCGATGGCAGCCTCGAGGGCTTCAACCTGTTGGCCGGTGGTGGCATGGGCGCTACGCACAACAACAAGAAGACCTACCCGCAGGTTGGCCGGACGCTCGGCTTCGTCAAGGCCAACGAGGTGCACATCGCCTGCGAGAAGGTGATGCTAGTGCAGCGCGACTTTGGCGACCGCAAGAACCGCAAGCACGCCCGTCTCAAGTACACGATCGACGACCTCGGCGTCGACGTGTTCCGTGGCAAGGTCGAAGAGCTATGGGGCCAGCAGTTCCAGCCGGCGCGGGCGTTCCACTTCGACAGCAACGTCGACACGTTCGGGTGGACCAAAGACGAGCACGGCCTCAACCACTTCACCTTCTTCATCGAGAACGGCCGCATCGAGGACACGGCCGAGTTCCGCATGAAGACGGGCCTGCGCGAGATCGCCAAGGTGCACAAGGGCGAGTTCCGCCTCACCCCCAACCAGCACCTGATCCTCAGCAACGTCGCCGACGAGGACCTGCCCGCGCTCAAGGCGCTCATGGCCGAGTACAAGCTCGACAACCTGCAGTTCTCGGCGCTGCGCCTGAGCTCGTCAGCCTGCGTCGCTTTCCCGACCTGCGGCCTCGCCATGGCCGAGTCGGAGCGCTACCTGCCCGTGCTCATCTCCAAGCTGGAGGCCTGCCTGGAGGAGAACGGCCTGCGGCAGGACTCGATCGTCATGCGCATGACGGGCTGCCCCAACGGCTGCGCCCGCCCCTGGCTGGCCGAGGTCGCCTTCGTCGGCAAGGCCTACGGCGCGTACAACATGTACCTGGGCGGTGGGTACCACGGCCAGCGGCTGAACAAGCTGTACCGCTCGAGTATCAAGGAGGAGGAGATCCTGGAGATCATGAAGCCCATGCTTAAGCGGTACGCCCAGGAGCGCAACGAGGGCGAGCGCTTTGGTGACTGGACCATTCGCGCTGGTATCATCAAGGAGACGAAGGAGGGTCGGGACTTCCATGAGGGGGTGAGTTCTTCTCTCGATTGATTGACTCTCATTGTGTTTTGATGCTAACTGAGCTTTCTGCAGGTTGCCGAAGAGGAGTCGGACGAGGAGTAACAATGTCAAGACATGGATGGAAGGAAGGGTGGGAGTTTGTAGATCAATTGCGGGCGCATGCATCTGAGATTTGAGCACTGTATTTATTTATCTTTACGTTACTTTACGTTACCATCATTGCTTTGGGCGTCGAAAATTTCAACTGCACATAGTCATCTTTTTTTTTTTCCTTTTTTTTCTTTTTTCCTTCTTTTCCTTTCCTTTTTTTTACTATTCTTTTCTTTTTTTGGGGGTTGTTTGTTTATCCAAGGGGCCTGGTTGTCGACGTAACCTACTCATGTTACGCGCGTGGCTGTCTCTGCTGCGCCATGCTCCAGTGCTGCCGACATCGGTCTGTGACCCTTGTGTCCCTTGTCTCGTCCCTGTCTTCGTCCCTGCCTTCGTCCCTTGTTTCCCTTCGGAGAAGTCGGGGTAAAATGCTTGGCAGGCAACGAGTCTGGGTTTGCGACAATCCCACAGAATCACAAGCGCCACTGATCGACGAATGGCTTGGCTGCCCTGGCGGGATGAGTGGGTCTCCCAACGATGACTTGCGTCGTGGTTGCCCCGACAACATGTCTTCGATGAAGCGACCAAACAAGACTGAGGAAGGTGCCCCTCCAGCTCCTGCGATGAAGGAAATCGCATTCCACTTCGTTGATCTGTGCTCCACGATTACTAGCCGAGTTTAGGACTTCTTCATCGCCGTTTTTTCGATTTTTGTTCTGACCAACAGCCAGTGTGCAGCCAGCGTCTTCATCTATCAATCACCGATCAACACGTTGTGGATTGCGCCGAGACTAGTTAACATCTATCTAAGAGGCTTCGCATTCCACCACTTCTCCCTTACAGTCGGCGCGACAATCGCAAATAGTTTTTCGCGCATTCCAACCGAGCTGCGCGACACAACCACCGAGCGCGTGTCTCAGAGACACAATTTTGTCATTGCGGCCTCGCCGCCACAGCAGCAGCCACCATGGACGACCGACATTCCCCCGCCCGCCAGCCGCCCCCCGAGTATACGCTGCCACAGTATGGCGATGTGGACGACTCGACGCCGACTGGCACGCCGCACCATGGCGCTGCCGTGCGCCTGCTAACCTCCATGGAGGAGCCTGTAACTTATGACCCGCGGCCGACGTATGTTTTACCACAGCTTCTTATTCCCCCTCCTCTTTCCCTCCCGTCTTTGCAACCACTCCAGCGAGTGCACTTGCCTACCAAGAAAGCGACGCCGGAGATGCTCCATGCTCTCGGGCTGCGCCCAGAGAGATCAATGTCGCAGAAGAACGACAACTCCGCCTCAGCCGGCGCTCCAGTCCGAATGGGCCCGCGGCCGAAGCCTACTGCGCAAGAGAAAGTGGAAAGTGGCAAGCCTCCCAGTCACTGTTCCACCATACGGCTGCAGAGAAAGAAACAATTAGAGCCACCAGCTCCCGAGCAAGTTGCAGGAAGTTTGGCCGTGATCCCGAAGGGCCCATGTCCAAGAAAGCGAGCGCGATTCCAGGCTCGATGCGAATCAGAATCGCCCAAAGAAGAGCGTCTCACCCCGAAACCAAGCATGAGCTCACATAAAAGCAACGTGAACAGAGGCCGAACTAGGCAGGCTTACGAGCCCTCGCTCGACTCTCGCCAATCCATCCTTGATCCGCCGCACATGCCCCCTCCGGATCCCTCCTACAGCTCCTACAACTCGGCCATCGATAACGGATCGCCAACGCGGCCATGGAGTCCCATCCGCGACTCTTCTGAGTACGGTCGACCACCGCCTGCCAGCAACCGATACGAGCCTGCAGACATTAACGGAAGCCCCCGCCCCGGCACACCCGCTTCGACATACGGCGGCAGTCCTAGGCGGCCCCTGCCTCCTGCGCCCTTGTTTTCGGCAGGGGCACGGGGCTCTAACCAGTCGTTTACTGACGATATTACCGTTAGCATCCCGCTTACCGAGGACCCTGACGATGTTTTTGCGCCCGAGTCGGACCTTGGTAGGGGCGGACACCACCATCGTGACTCGTACGCCGAGTCGCAAGTAACTCTCAGCGATGAAGCCACCGATGTGTCGTATGACGAGAAGACGGACCGGTACGGACCAGCCCCGGAAGGGAAACAAGAGCGTCGCGGTGTTCGCGCGCCACAGATGATGAGGAGGGAAGTGCAGTTGATCAACGGCGAACTCGTCCTCGAGTGCAAAATTCCGACTATCCTCTACAGTTTCCTTCCGCGCCGGGACGAGATTGAGTTCACCCACATGCGGTACACGGCAGTGACATGCGACCCGGATGACTTCGTCGACAGAGGCTACAAGCTGCGTCAGAGCATAGGGAGGACGGCGCGCGAGACCGAGTTGTTCATCTGCATCACCATGTACAACGAAGACGAGTACGGCTTCACCCGCACCATGCACGCAGTCATGAAGAACATCAGCCACTTTTGCAGCCGAAACCGCAGTCGGACCTGGGGAGAGTTTGGTTGGCAGAAGATTGTCGTCTGCATCGTGTCAGACGGTCGCGAAAAGATCCACCCACGCACCTTGGATGCGCTGGCTGCCATGGGTGTATACCAGCACGGCATCGCCAAGAACTACGTCAACCAGAAAGCGGTCCAGGCACACGTTTACGAATATACCACGCAGGTATCGCTCGATTCGGATCTCAAGTTCAAGGGCGCTGAGAAGGGGATCGTGCCGTGCCAGATGATCTTTTGTCTCAAGGAGAAGAACCAGAAGAAGCTCAACTCGCACCGTTGGTTCTTCAATGCCTTCGGAAAAGCGCTCAACCCGAACGTGTGTATTCTCCTGGATGTCGGTACTCGTCCTACCGGCAAGGCGCTATATCACCTTTGGAAGGCTTTTGATACAGACTCCAACGTGGCTGGCGCCTGTGGAGAGATCATCGCGATGAAAGGCGCCTGGGGGAAAAATCTGCTGAATCCACTGGTGGCTTCGCAAAACTTCGAGTATAAGCTGTCAAATATCCTGGATAAGCCGCTGGAAAGCGTGTTCGGGTACATTACGGTACTACCCGGCGCTCTCAGTGCCTACCGATATCATGCGCTTCAGAACGACGAGACAGGCCACGGACCCCTCAGTCAGTATTTCAAGGGAGAGACACTGCACGGCCAGCATGCCGACGTGTTTACGGCGAATATGTATCTCGCCGAGGATCGTATTCTATGCTGGGAGCTGGTGGCCAAGCGGGGCGAAAGATGGGTGTTGAAGTACGTCAAGGGCTGCACTGGCGAGACAGACGTGCCTGGTATGTTTACGAAGCCCCTTTTCCGGCCGCCGACATCTAACCATTTGCAGATACCGTCCCCGAGTTTGTCTCGCAGCGACGTCGTTGGCTCAACGGTGCCTTCTTCGCGGCTGTCTACTCGCTGGTTCACTTCAGGCAAATCTGGCAGACGGACCACACCATCGCTCGGAAGATCCTGCTACACATCGAGTTTGTGTACCAGTTCATCCAGCTCATCTTTACGTATCTGTCGCTTGCCAACTTCTACCTGACCTTTTACTTCATCGCCGGTGGCCTGGCCGACCCCCAAGTCGACCCCTTCAACGGCGCGGCAAAGTACATCTTCATCATTCTCCGCTACGTCTGCGTCCTCCTCATTTCGACACAGTTCATCCTCTCTCTTGGCAACCGGCCACAGGGTGCCAAAAAGATGTACCTGGCGTCAATGATCATCTACGCAATCATCATGGCCTACACGCTGTTTGCCTGTATCTACGTTGTCGTGCGTCAGTTCTCTATGAAAGACGACAAAGACGACGAAGACGCGAGCATCTCGCTGGGCAACAATGTCTTCACCAACCTGATCGTGTCAACGGCGTCGACCGTCGGCCTGTACTTTCTTATGTCTTTTCTCTACCTGGATCCGTGGCACATGTTCACGTCGTTTCTTCAATACCTTATCCTGCTCCCGTCGTACATCTGCACCTTGCAGATTTATGCCTTCTGCAATACGCACGACGTCACGTGGGGTACCAAGGGCGACAACGTGATGAAGACGGACCTGGGCGGGGCTATCGGAAAGGGCAGCACCGTCGAGTTAGAGATGCCCTCGGAGCAGCTGGATATCGACTCCGGTTATGACGAGGCGCTCCGCAACCTGCGCGACCGTGTTGAGGTCCCTCCCCCGGGGGTCTCGGACGAGCAGCTGCAGCAGGACTACTACAAGAGCGTGCGCACCTACATGGTCGTCACCTGGCTGATCGCCAACGCCACCCTGGCCATGGCCGCCAGCGAGGCCTACGGCGGCGCCTCCATCGGCGATAACTTTTATCTGCGCTTTATCTTGTGGTCCGTCGCGGGCCTGGCCGTGTTCCGCGCGCTTGGCAGCACCACGTTTGCTGTCATTGGCCTGGTGAACATGGTGGTGGAAGGCAAGGTGCGCATGAGCATCGAGGTGCCCAAGTGGTTGGGTGGGTGGGGCACCAAGATTAGTGACACGATGAGCAGTGTTGCTAGTAGTGTGCGGCGGTAGGGGGGTTGTTGGATAGACAATTGGGGAGTGGTGGGATAGGTAGATGTCTTCTATGAGCAGGGCGGATTTGTTTTTGGCGTTGGTTTATGTCGGGTTAGATGTGGGTGGATTTATGTCGGGAGGGGATGATGTACGGATGGCGGCTGGGATGTCGGTGTCTTGGGAACGATACCTATGTACGGCAGATGACAGGATGTCGGGAGATGATGAGGAAATGGGCGATGACGCGACGATGGAGGATTTGGTCATGTTAAGTTGGTTCCGGCCGGAATAGTTTGCTTTGTTAGTCATGTAGGATACCCGATATTAATGATTTTCCTCTTCATATTACGTCTCCGCTATCTTGATGATGTAACTATGTATGTTGCCCTGCCAGGTATCTCGAATTTCGTTTATTCGTCCTTCCCAAGTCCCAAAGCCCCGGTCATTAACATCAAACTCACTTTCTCCCATCCTCGGTGGTGTCATTATTCCACCCCCCCTAAATCCCAATCCAAGTCCAGCCTTTCCAACCCCATTCATTCCCTCACAGCCGTGGCGTTTCCATAACCTTGATTGCCACCTAAGCGACGTACGCCCCCGAATGCATCCCACCACCACGACGCCTCTGCAAGAACCCGAGCCCCACCAGCGCCGTGCCCAACCCAAAGCACAGAAACTGCAGGATCTCGTCCGCCTGCGCCCGCTGGCAGTTGCCTTTGAGCGCGCTCATGATGGACTCGGGCGTCGCGTCCTCCCCGGCGGCTACCCCGTAGCCCGTCTTGTCCCCGAACTTGATGCTGCCTTGGTTGAGCAGCGGGCTGTAGAGCATCGTTTCGTAGTTGCTGCAGTTGGAGGTGTCTTTGAGGCCGTAGGCCCAGGCCTGTAAAGGGGGGAGGGGGTTAGTGGGTGGGTGGGGGTGGGGTGTGGTATGGGGGAGGTATGCGGGAGGTATGGGACCGGGTGGAGAGAGGGGGAGTTGAGGAGGGTGGGAAAGTGGAGGGGGGTGAAGAAGGGGCGCGGTGCAGGAAGAGAGATAAATAAAAAAAAAAAAAAAAAAACGTACAATGCCACCACCAAGGAAAAAGAGAGCAGCCAGGCCGTCCAGCACGAGAGGGACCAGCTCGGGGACGAAGGACACAAAGGTGCACAGGACACCCACGCCGGCGACGATCATGCCGAACCCGCCTGTGAAGGTGCTGTAGCGGGTGGTGACGGGCGGCGTGTCGTACACCTGGTTCGCGATCATGGCTGCCGCGAGGGCTAGGATGGTCAGGGCCATGACGAACTGGGCAACGCGGTTAGCTGGGCGCTGTGTGTTGCCAAGGGGGGGAGGGGGTGCGTACATAGAGGCCCCGGAGGCCGAGGGTGATGGGTTTAAGCATGGTCGCGGTTTTTCTTTTCGTCCCAAAATCAAGTCGAATAATAATGTGCAGAGAGGAACCGGTGAAGGATCAATAGACGTGGGAAAGAAAAGTCTATTATGTCTGGAAGAATTGCGAAGTGGGCGCTTCAAAAATCTCTTCTCGTCCTAGGTGGCACGAGCGTATCACCTCCAGGTCCTAGTAGATTTCGGGGTGGGCACGGGATATGCTATCTCAGACTGGGACTGGTGGGCCAGCACCCGGAATCCTCATTGTTTTAAGGCATTTGGACCGTTGATATTTTAATCAAAGCAGGCGGCTCCACGCTGCTGCCTTGGGATGTGGAGGTCCAGGCCATTCAATCCTACCCAGTTTGTCCAATGGATGGGGCGGCAACCATCTGTGCCTTTTGGAAAAAGGTCTATGTACCATACGAGAATAGTCCCACAGTTCATAGCCGACGGCAGCGGCATGAGGGTCGCATTCGCCCCTAGCCTTGGTTGGGGCTTGGTGTAAAGAGACCAGAACTCGAGACCCCAGCGTGCCCAGCTCGCCCCATCTTGCCCCGTTTGAAGATTCCCTTTCCCTTCTCTCCACCAGCTGTGGAAGCGTGCCAGAGTTGGGATGAACTGCCAAGGCAGGAGGGAATCCTAAAGGATCAGTGATGAGCAGAGCTACAAAATAGAGTGGCTTGAGTGGCAGACAAACCAAAAGCGGGTAGTCGCGCAGGGCTGTGGGTTTCGAGATTGGCGATCAGGAGGATGCGGGCAGCAAACACAGCCCAGCGGTCAGTTTGGGGGCGATGCAATTGGTGCATTGGGGTCCAATTTTCTATTCTGAACACAAGGACCGTGCAGGTCAACTCGGCCGACAACCCTGGAAAATCCGGCAACCGTTCCGTTTTTGACCAACAGCCCCGTCTTTCCTGGCAACATGAGTCATGAAGTGACCAATGGTCGAGTCACTGAACCTGGGAGCAAGAAGAGAGGCGCTTGAACAGAGGCTTGTTTGGAGCGCGGACTAACTCGGTAGATTTTGTTGATGGGAATTTTTTCCCTTTCCCAACTTCTTGCCGAGACATGGAGACATGTGCCTGTGGGGCACAGCACAAGGCTCAGCGCTGGTCTCGGCAGCCGCGACCAAAGTGTGGATCCAACCTGTCATCTTCCTGTGTGATGATATTCTACCCATTGCTACCCCATAAACGTCTGGGCCTCGAGGCGGCAGATGTGCGAATATAGGTATATTCGAGTGACCGGATGGCCTGCTTCGGATGTGGTTCGGACGAGCGGGTCAAGATGCAACCTCAACCAGGCCGCCTTCCGCTGTTGTCTCTACTGGATATATCCAAACACGCTGCTTCTTCCACTTCCAAGACGCCTCTGTCTATAACGCCGGCACCGCATGCTCCACGGCTTCGCGCTGCGCTTCCCAGGCAAGCCAGTCCGATCTCGTTGTTCTGTACCCATGGTTTGTTAGCCTCGCGTCTGTTTTCGCTGCATTCCGGCGCACTCACGGTAGCAACCCCATCCCGTTGATCTTCCATATCCCTAAGGCCAACGCAACCAGCTGCATGGCCACGTACGCCAGCTTGACTTGGAGCATTTTGGCCCGGTTGCCTTCCGTTTCGAAGCGCTCAAAGGCCTGGTTGGTGCCCAGAATACCCATGATGGGGTTTTTGAAGGCCATGAACACCATCATGATGCTGAAGATCTGCAGCGAGTTGCCCGACATGTACATCATGATGCCCGTCATGGGCAGGCTCTTGATCGGGCCCAGCGCCACCTCCCAAGCCTTCTTGAGCTTCAACGTGTCCATCTCGTCGGGTGTTGGCGCCTGTCGCGGGGCGGCTTTCGGGTCCTTGGCATCCTTCTTCTGCAATAGCCTGCGTTAGCAAACCTGTTGACGGCCTGCACCTGATGCAGAGAGCGCGGGAGCTCTACCTTGGAGTTGGACGGTGATTGCGACGAGGGGTATCCCGGGGGATCGGGAATGCCAGCCTGCTTTGACTTATGCGCTGGTGGGTTGTTGAGGCCCGCTACCCAGGCGGGCAGCGTTGTTGTTGCAGTTGCGGACATTGTGCGATGTGGTTATCCCGGGCGCAATTGGGAGGTGGGTGCAGTGAAGTCGGTGTCGAGAACAACGAAACGCGTTAGCTCTAAGGTGATGTCAAGTTTGGCGTCGAGCCTTGCGCTGCTTGGCAAACCCGCTTGCTCCCGTGCCAGTGGGACCACCGTGGTCCCCAGGTGCCCCACCAGGCGCGCCGTTGCTGAATTGGTGCAATTTTCAGGGGTTTGACCCACGCTGGGGTTCCGATCACCGAAATCGCCGGGCTTTCCCCTGTTGAACCTCGAGAGTTTGGCAACGTCAACTCCGTCCTCGACCGCGACGTCAGCCATTGACGCGAATCAGAAACCTCAGCGAGAAATAGCAGCGATTTGAACTGCTCGATATCCCGACTATCCCGCAATAATCCCGACAGCGACGCACACGAGTAACCAAGGAACGAAGTCAACGACGACTGCTTTGGGCAGGGGCATTGGGCGAGAAATACGACGCCACCTGCGACATCAAGCCGAATAGGGACTTGAGATACCGGCCTTGACGACGACCTACTCGGAGAATAAGGCGCTGCATCACCAACATCAAAGACCCGCGCGGGTCGTAATCGTCCCGGCCCTCTCCGGCGGCAGACTGGACACTTTGAAGACCCGGCGCCGAGTCCGCCCTACCAACCCACCCGAACTCGACATCTTGTACCTCATTGCACAACGCTAGTATCATTGCTGAGGACGCGCGCAAAAAATGGCGACCGCTCAGGGAGGAGGGGACTCGAAGCTGTTCGCTCGGGTAAGCTCATCATCCCTTATCTGTTCAGGTTCCTTGTCAGGTTCCCCCACCCGTGTCTTTGTCCGTTCCATGTACCCCGTCCGTCCAGAGATGATGGGCGTCGCGGGGGACTGCGGGGAAGAAACAAGCTTCGCAAATCCGGCCACCAACATTCTTTTGATATTCTCCAGCCTCGCTGCCCCTCATCTGCCCACCCCCTTCTTGGCGAACCGCCTCGGCTTCACCCCTTCCTTAATTCCTAGCATCCTCAAACCCACGCCGGCGCGCCCTTGCTTTTCACCGCGCCGACCAGTCCTCTCTTCGACGACCCCCTCCTCGTCCATGGCCACAATGAGCTTCTCCCCCAGGTCCCTTAGACCGCCATCACCATGTTTCTCGCATACCTCCCTCCGTCTGTTCACTCACCAATGCGGGGGCCACAGGGCAAAGTCGCCGAGCTGCGCTTCGAGCTGAATAGCGGCGGCAAGAAGGACAAGCACTTCACCGCCAAGAAGATCGCCCTCAAGAAGATTGTCGCCAACATGACTATGAGCAACAACGATATGGTCGCCTTGTTCCCGGATATTGTTGGCTGCATGAACATTCCGAATCTCGAGATCAAAAAGATGTAAGTGAGGAACCTACGCCAAGCCAGCACCCCAACCATCATATAGGGCAATACTGATGAGACCCTAGGTGTTTCCTCTTCCTGGTCAACTATGCCAGGATGCGCCCGGATGTAGCGGTAAAAGCCATCCCCGTCTTAGAACACGTTAGTGCCTGCTATGCCCCCGTTGTGCCGTATGCACATGCTCATTTCTTCTAGGACATGCAAGACCACAACCCCCTGGTACGGGCGCTTGCCTTACGAACCATGTCTTACATCCACGTACGAGAATTTGTCGAGGCGACGGTACCCATCGTCAAGCAGCTTCTCCGAGACCCGGACCCGTACGTGCGTAAAACAGCAGCATACTGCGTGGCGAAACTGTACGATCACGACCGCCACATGGTAGAGAAGTCGGACCTTATCGACAGGTTAAACGGCCTGCTGAGGGACGACAATCCAACCGTGGTAGCGAGCGCGTTGGCTGGATTGATGGACATCTGGGAACGGAGCGACGCCATCAAGCTCACCATCGACTACAGTAATGCCTCCAAGATGGTTGCCATCTTGCCAGATTGCTCAGAGTATGTACCGTGTCTGCGCCTCCCTGTGGCTTGGCGCTGACGTGCAGCAGATGGGGTCAAACATACATCCTGGAAGCCCTCATGTCCTACGTGCCGCAAGAATCGGGAGAGGCCGCGCTCCTGGCTGAGCGTATCGCCCCTCGCCTCTCACACTCCAACTCGGCCGTCGTACTCACCTGCATCCGTGTCATCCTCTACCTAATGAACTACATGGCCGATCAGAAACAGATCGCCGCTCTCTGCCGGAAGCTGTCGCCACCCTTGGTCACACTGCTCGCCAAGGGGCCCGAGGTACAGTACCTAGCCCTTCGAAACGCCCTGCTCATCCTCCAGCGGCGACCCGAGGTGCTCCGCAACGACATCCGGGTCTTCTTCTGCAAATACAACGACCCCATCTACGTCAAGGTCACCAAGCTCGAGCTCATCTTCATGCTCGCCAATGAAAAAAACATTGACGAAGTGCTCACTGAGCTCCGCGAGTATGCCACCGAGATCGATGTGCACTTTGTCCGCAAAGCCGTCCGCGCCATCGGCAAGCTGGCCATCAAAATTGAGCCCGCCGCACGGCGGTGCATCAACCTCCTGCTGGAGCTCGTCGCGACCAAGGTCACGTACATCGTGCAGGAGGCGACAGTGGTCATCCGCAACATCTTCCGCAAATACCCCAACCAGTATGAGAGCATCATCGGCACGCTCTGCGAGCACCTCGACTCGCTCGACGAACCCGAGGCCAAGGCGGCCATGGTATGGGTCATCGGGCAGTACGCCAGTCGCATCGAGAACTCGGACGCGCTCCTCGAAGACTTCCTCTTTTCCTTCGCCGAAGAACCCGTCGAGGTGCAGCTCGCCCTCCTGACCGCCACCGTCAAGCTCTTCATCCAACGACCCACCAAGGGCCAGGACCTCGTCCCCAAGGTCCTCAAATGGGCCACCGAGGAGACCGACAACCCCGACCTCCGCGACCGCGCCTACATGTACTGGCGGCTGCTCTCCACCGACATGGAAGCGGCGCGGCGCATCGTCATGGGCGACAAGCCGGCCATCACGGCCGAGTCGGAGCGGCTCGACGCCGTCACCCTCGAGGAGATGTGCCTCAACGTCGGCACCCTCGCCACCGTCTACCTCAAGCCCGTGCAGACCGTTTTCCGCAACGCCCGCCCCCGCCGCCTGCAGGACTCCCCCGCCCTCCAGCGCCACGACCTCCCCACCGCCGCCGCCCCGCCCGGCCTCCAGTCCGACGCCAACAAGAGCCTCAGCCAGCTCGGCCTCGGCGGCCAGCCCGCCGACTTCGACCCCCGCACGGGCCGCGACTACAACCCCCAGCAGCAGCAACAACAGCAACAGCAAGCGGCGTCATCCCAAAACGATAACCTCGCGCAGGCCGTCAGCGACGCCGACGCGTATTTCGCCACGCAGCAGATGCGCGGCATGCAGATCCAGGAGCAGGGTGACAGCTTTGGTGGGAATGGCGGCGAGGCGGCCGGGTATGTGGTCAACCAGTACGCGCCGCAGACGGTGTACCAGCCGGCGGCGCAAGGGGTGGCGGGGAATGGGGATTTGTTGTTGTGAGCGTTTGGGAGAGAAAGAGAGGGGCGGTGAGAAGGGGGGGGAAGAAGGGGGAGTGGGAGGGATTGTATCGATGCGATGGTGGTGGTGGTTGCGTAGTATCTATCTAGGTATATAACTACACGTAGTTTTCCCCATGATGGGGTTCCGGGAGTATGATCAGTGGGTGGTGGGTCGAGTCAGAGGGGGGTAATTGAGAATGGCCGGCCGAGTTGAGTCAAGGCAAGTCAAAGTAGGGTAGGTGGGGGGGTAATGTGGTTGGACATGAGCAGAAGAATAAACAAAAACAAGATACTCATCATGTGCACTGAACTGTGGCGAACGGTACGGGTACTTTTACTTCATGTTTTAGAGGAAAACGCGGTGGTGTTGTCTGTCGCGCTTAGTTATGCGTGATTAGTCAAGTGAAGATTGAGTGGTATCGCGGCCCCCGCTGAGCGGCCGCTGGGTGGGGCTCAGCCGCGCACGGCCCCATCGCCCCCAAGATCCCTGTATATTGAGGGTAGGGTCAGTGCGCGCACATCAAAATATTTGAGTATATCTGGAAGTTTGGCTGATTCCGCCGATGATAGTAGGACTTTTCCCAAGTCCCCTCCCCCGTTCCTCCCTCCCCCTGTCCTTTTTCCCTTCCCCTTTTTCTTTCTTCCCTTGCCCCCTCTCTCCGTGAAGACATCCAAAAGCTATGGTTACAAGAGCGAAGCGACGCAGGACCGCGGCCGCAGCAGCGGCAACGCTGGCGCCGGCGCAGTCGCGAGTGCGGGACGTTATTACAGTCGCGGGGCCGGCGTGCTGCCTGGTATGATATTCGGCTGCTGAAGAGTTATGGCTCTGATCGGACAGCGGCTCTTTCTTACTATTCGCAACGAGACTGGGTCGTCAAAGCCTTTGGCTATGCCGGTGTTACCTCGCGAAAGAAGACGCATGTTGGCCGCAGCTCAGAGGCGAAGACAACCGAGCTGAAAGGCGTTAGCGAGGACCAGATCCGCCATGCCGGCCGTTGGAACCAGGAGCAGATGGTCGGCTGTTACCTCAACGCATTGCCCCGTAAGTTTATGCGTACGATGGCCGGCCATCCTTCGCAGATGGGGTGTTTCGAGATTCGCCGCGCTGGGATTGCACCACCAGAGGCCCTGCTTTCGATGATCTGGCCTGGGTTGGATAGCTGGAAGGACCGGTTCGGCCCTAGGTCCGACCAGGTGAACGACCTTGCAGCGATGGGCCTTACGAACCTGCTCTTCTACTTACGCGAGGTGGCCCTACAGGACTCGGTCCTCCTAATGCAACAGTTCCCCAGCAGCCCAGTATGGAACCACCCGGTCTTTCAGCACGAGGCCTACCAGCCATTCGCGCAGCAGGTCTTGGCCTTTGTGCGGGAGGAGGAGCAGCCAAGCCAGCTAGCTGTCCTTGTCCAGGCGATGCCAGTCTTGGCCCGACTACCTAAAGTCTATCGACTCGCGCAATGAGGCCAGAGCGGCCCAAGCTTCAAGCCGCGTTCGAAACCGAGGTCCGAGCAGCTGAAACGCGGCTCAGAGAGGCCCAATCTACACAACTTCAGACCTTCTTAGTTTCGGGGCTTCAGGCGGCCGCTACAGCGGTCCTGCCACCAGCAGAAGGAGGGGGCAAGAGCCAATACACGTCTGCCCAGCCGAGCATCAACAATAGCCGCCTGGCAAGCCCCGACCCGGCCAGGACATACAACACGCTAGAGCCAGAGCTGCAGCCGCCCCAATACCGCATGTGCCGGGCAGTCAGAACGGTAGAAGGCCTATGGCGCGAGTGGACAGTCGGCCTTCGGGGCCAGCCGGCCATCGCCGCGCTCGACAGCAGATGGGGCAGCCGATGGCGCGCAGGGCGGCAGAGCGAGCTGCAGTGGTATTCCCTGCGGCTCGAGGTCATCAAAGAGATCCGGCGTGTTGCCCAGGCACAGCGGATCAGCGAGCAGGCGGCGATGGGCATTGTCAGCATGCAACAGCAGCGCATTGGCTGCTCCCTCGACCAGTTTTGCAAGCAGCTGCGGGCAGAATAGGAAGGCGTGCACGCCTGGCCGCCTAGCTGTATAATATTAACTCGGGTTTTCAGTTGTTTTCTCCCTGACCTGGTGTCAGGGACCATTGCATGTGTATTTATAGTAAAACTTCCACCCACCATTCAGGGGTAAGGTGGCAAGCAACGAGGCTTCTTTCTCTTCTTTCCCACGGTTGCTGCTGAGCTCCTGGGGCTTCGGCTCTGTCTGACCAGACGGGGACCATTGTTTATTCGTGCATATAGACTTGTTGAAGTGCCATAAGAGTATTTGTCCAAACGGATAGCTCACTCCTCCTATACATTACGTTCGCCATCTTGTTGAGGGTGGTTTAGTGTATTGAGTGTTCGACCACCAGTTCAATAATATAGGTAGTCAAGTACAGTGTAACTAGTATAATATCGATGGCGTAATATAACTACATTCTCCTGGTCGTCTGGTATTTACAGCCTTCTGAATTGCTTTTTTAAATGCGTTCAATTCCATTGTAACTGCCAGGGGCAGATATGGGTGAGAGAGGTTGGTGCTCACTCAACCATGGCACACATACACCAGCCCACTTTCACACAGCTCACCGATTGCAGATCCTTCGGCGCCAATGATAGAGTGAAATCTGTGTCAATTGCGAGTGTATCGCCCCATTACTCTCCGCCGCCCTACTCGCGTAAACTTGATCACCGTCTCCATAGCAACTGTGATGAAATGAAATGACATGAAAAATAGCAAGACTCCCGGACCTTCCCCTCCTCAACCATTACTTTCCGCCTTCCTTGCACTCTCACTCATGCTTCATCCAGATAACCATATCATCACCCATAAGCAAATGGCAAATGAAAACGGTGGAAATCCATGAGAAAAGGTCTGTATCCGTTCACCCTAACTACCCATGAAGTCTGGTAACAGAAGGCTGGCGAGAGAGGGTAAAGACCGCCTTAAGCGATGGCCATAACGAGCGCGACGGCGCCACCCGCGACAATGCCACCGACCAAGTTGGCCTTGTTGTTACCTGCACCGTTGACGGTCGTGGTGGGGGTCGCCGTGGCCGAGGTCTCGGAGGTGGATCCCTCGGTG